AGATGTCTTAGAAACAGCTTTCATGCCTTGAGAGTTATTGAAGCAGGCAAAGTGAACTAACGTTTTCCCAATGGGATAAACAGCAAATGCGCTTCCTCCGATCTTCTTGTTGCACAATGAACACGTGCTCTCGCTTGTTACTTGCGTCACTCCTTTCCTATATTTGTACAGCTCCTCTTTCACCTATTTGTTTCAAATTACATCAATCCTGAAGGGTTTATGATTCATCCTCACAGAGTTACTTTCTCTTAATCTGATAACTTTGGCTAACAGTTACACAAACATACCTGTAAGTTTTCACTCTGCCTCAAACTCTTGATGACTGAATAGTTCCTGAGTGCTTCACTTGAGTTTCTTATAAGGGGTGCAAGAAACGGAAGCAGGTTCTGCAGATATTTGGGGGAAGATAAGAAGAAGTGATGATCGTTGTAATCTAGAATCGGAACTTAGACAAGCCAGATTAAACATTTACCTGGAGTTTGGTTTCTCTAGGTAAAAGCTTGAGGGCTTGTGCACCATTGATCCTCTCCCACCTTTGGCTCAGCAGATCAAGAACTTCAGAAATCATAACGGTGGAGTTTCCTTCTTCTATGGGCTCTTCAGCATCAACGTCGCTTCTTCCACTGTCAGTGCTGCTACTGACACCAGCTCGCATATCCTCAGCACTATCTATTGAAACTATTTTCTTCCACCGGCTTCCTTTAGCCTTTGAAGACAAAACAGACTCCATCATCTTCGTGGTCTCTCCACTTTCGAATGATCCTAGAGCTACAATACGTTTCGCAAAGTCCTTTGCGCTTTTCTTAGGATTCAGGTATATTTGCAGCAGTGTGAGGTAGATGTTGCTTGACGGTTTTCCAGATGGTAGAAAAGAAACGGACTCATATATACGATCACAGTAAGCCAGCGCCAGATCAGGTGCATGAAGCTATTAAGAAAAAAGACCAACAAGTTAAGCCATAGAATCCACGGATACCTATAATAATATATGGTACACGAGAAGATTATCGATCAGTACCTTATGAACATAGATCGACAAGGCAAGCTCATGTTGATTCATTTTTCCCAATATAACTGCACGCTCTTCATAGAGAGCATCGCGTGGAAGACGCTTCAACAAGGCCTGTGGACTATATCCGGAGATGCTCTCTAACGCAGACAATAGTTTCTTCCTTTCGGGAGGATGATCCTTGTCATCCCATTCCTGCTGCGCGCTTTTGGCAGCATACAAGTCAAGCACTTCAGAAAGGTAGATTTGTACCTGTAACATCATTCGAAATGTTACTGCCAGCAATATAACGTAAGCTCAATAAAAATGCTTCCGATAAGTGCTATTCCCTCACCATTTCGTTTTGGAGATTTCCAGAAACTGCGGTTTCGTTCATTGCCATCATGAGTTCTAAATATCTACCCTGCATATTTGGAGCATGCTTCTTCAGATAAGAATTGACTAGGTCAGCTGAGATGTTCCCAGACAAAAACAAGTCGATGGTTTGTGTTGGACAGCTTTCCAGGACAAGCATAGAGTACTCCAAGACAAGCATAGGATCAGTCCTGCAGAGAGGCTACAAAGAGACATCCACCAACAAACAGTTAGGATTCCACAGCTGTTTCTTAGAATACTTGAATTCAACATGAGAATGTAGGCCAACATCAAACGTGGTTACAAATTTGTAGTCTTCTACGCACATTAAGAATCTAAAGATAGACGAGACGAGAAGTTAGCACAGAGAAGACCTACCTTGAGATATTCAATGATCAGCTCAGGACTAAATGTCTGCGTTACTTCAGTTTGTGACTGGTTTGATTTGGACTCTTCCAACAGCTGACTAAGAAGCTTAAGGGCTTCATGGTGCATCGCATTGCTCTTGAACAATTCTAGTAGTGCAGAATAGTTTTTACTTTTCATGAGAATCTCCTCACAGATCTTTACGTCACAATAGTTAACACCCTTCAATAATTCTATAGCAGCTCCAGACTGGCCAGTGTGTAGAAGTGCTTGGAGAAGAGCTGTGTCAAGGATTGCTGCCATCTCCCTGGCACCTGAATTCAGCGGCATCGTACCACGCCCCTGCAGCAAAATGTTGTTCAAGCCTCAACTAAAAAGTTATTATCCAAGAAGTGGTCCATCAATCAGCTATTACCTTGTTGGACTTCTTAGTTTTGGAAGAGTCATATGCTCCATAAGTTTTGCCAACAGCATCCGAAATGACTTCTTCTGTTCCTTCAGAAGTGGCCTTTTCGATAATACCAGGTCTCCTCTTCTGCAAGTACTTTATAAGAGCCATCAGAGTGTTGTGACTCATTTTCTTAGATTCGAGGGCTGTATTGTCTTCAGATTCCAGAACATATTGAGGAGATGAAGGCTCCATATCATCTGAAATTCCGGATGAACCTCTTGACAGAGATGCTTCATCCCCAGAAACGTCCACCATTTTATCTGGTGGAGGGATCATTGTTGTTTTAGGAAGAATAATGGATGGATACATGGAAAGTACATGCGTGATATCTACTTGAGATGCCAGGAAGTGTTCCATGGCTTCCTCATAGCTCCCATTCTCAAAAAGATAATGAGCATATCTGGATCATGATAAAGAGACAGCAGCTATGAACAAAGATTCCCATGAAACTACACATTGCCTCTAATGGGTAACTATTTGAAGGAAGAGAAGAGGGCTTCTATCTATACACACCTTGTATGAATCGAGCTCTCCTTTGCAGCTCGTAGGCTTGACTCATCAGGGGGGAGTAATTTGCATAGAGCTAAAGCTTCCTCAAAGTGTCCTGAAGCTGTTAACTGCACAATCTGCGATGACACTTAACTTTCTCATTACCATTTTCGTCCATGAGAAACCATGAGCACCAGCAAGAAACATCAAACATTCTCAGAGCTAAAGTGAATACCTGGGCACCGATGGAAACAGGGAACAGAACATAAACAGAGTTATCCAAACCAACAATCACACCATTGTTGCTCTTGACAAGGTGACGGATATTTTGGAGAACAATTGTCTGTATTAAAGGATAGGGGCTTCGTAGCAAGCGAACCTATCAAAACAAAGCCAGAAAAAAAAAGGGCATAAGCGCATGACAGGTTTCTAGAAATGTGAAGAAAGAGAGTCTTATATACCTCAACTCGTCGAGGCAACAAGGCTATTGCATATGGGTTTTGAATGACAATAGCTGTTGGCGCCTCTGACCAGCAAATTCTCTCTGTTTGAAGTAGCTTTCCATTTTGATCAACAAAAACTCCAATGTTCTCCTACAATCACAAGAACAAACCAATAAATACAACACTCCAAAAACATCCTGAAGTCTACGAACAGATAAAAGAAGACAAAGTTGGAGCCAAGAAGATGTCACACACAATAGATAACAGATGCTACCACAGTGTTGCCTATATAACACACCAATCCTTTAGAAAATCGAGCAGATACATTGAATGGGGAAAGAGGAAAACAAAACTTTACCTTCCCCAAAAGAAGTTCACCAGAAGGTAGAGATATCACGAGAGGAGGAGCAACTCTGCCAGAAGGAAACACCTCAGAGAGTGTCCCATTGGCAGTATTAAGTATCACATACTCTTTTTTTATGCCTAGACAAATGTTATCTCCGCACCAAGAAATTGACTTGACATAATCAGAAACTCCATAGTCTCTCACTTCTACAAATCCTCCTCCTCCTGAACAATCCACCGATCAACAAAAACAACTCTTTATCATCAAAAATCCAAAATTTCAATCCAAAGTTCCAAAATCTCAGAGATTTTACCGTCGTGCTTGAACACACAGACCCTCTTCTGCCTAGCGAAACACAGGAACCCACGGCGATCGTCCCAAGAGTAAGCATTAGCGCCTTTAGCTTTGGTAATCACAGCGACAGTCTCCAAATTAGGAAGTCCATGAAACGCGATCGACTCCGAGAGAGACAGAAGCAACTCTCTCGAAGCCAAAACCTCCATCGCCACGATCGGTTTCTTAGAGAATCCCGCCACGGTTTTCTCGAGCGCGTAAGACTCTTGATGCAACTCCGAGGGAAGAGAGCGATCGGAGGCGGAGGATTCCGGAGAGTAAATGCGGAGGGAACCGTCGTAGCATCCGGCGAAGAGCTTGGAGCCGTAGGATTCAACAGCATCGATCCTAGCGGGACAATCCTTGAGGAGCTGAAATGAATCATAAGCGTTGTGAACCATTGTCTCTGCCTTTGGAACTTTTCTCCGTTCTTCTGGGAATCAGCAAGGATCCATGGTGTTCAAATCCAATTAGGAACAAAAAAAAACAAATTGGATAAATATCTGGAAAATGATGATGAAGATCAGAACTGAGAAAATATCAGTAGGTGAAATAATTATGAAGAAATGATTTACATTATTCACAACATTTGATTCTTTCAATTTCCGAGCTTGAATTTCAACTTAGAAGAACAGAGTTGATTTTTATTTTTTTCAATCGAATACAAATCGAACGTGCCTTGATTTTAAAATAATAAAAGAAAAAAATCGCAATAATTAGAACAAATTAAAAAATGCTTCCGGCGGGGCTCGAACCCGCGACCTTCGGCTCATAAGACCAACGCTCTAACCAACTGAGCTACGGGAGCTTCATGTCCATTAATATCGTTATATATATTTATCATAATTTGCATCATTTCACTTGGAAACAAACTTCTGTGTTTTGTTATAGAAGGAAGACTATAAGTAGCAAGAATTTCATCAGAAATGAATTTCATAACTATGTTGGGAAAACGTAAGAACTAAAAGGATAATCTCATACTTTTCAATTCGTAAAACAATTACACATGGTAACAATATTCTCACACATACATAAACTTCAATGACAAGGATCGTCGTCTCTAGTAACTAACACATTAAAAAGACTTTGGCTCACTAATAATCCTTATTATTCCTCCAACTTAACAGCACATTTTTATTGGCTCGTCTTCAATGAGAATAAAGCTTGAATTATTATTCTCTTGTATAATTTATATATATGATTCAACTCTCAGCTAGCTACTGATGCAAGAGAAGTGGTCGGCTCAGGAACAACATCAGATGCAGAGAAACCGTTTGGTTTCAAATAGTGCTTCTCCTCTAATCCCCATAACTTTGCGGTTTTGACATCGTCTTCAAACATTTGCCTTGAGAAATCCTCATGATCATACTCTAGTGTTGCTTCTCCTCCAAATTCCTTGGGGAGATTCTCTATATCAAAGTATGAGCTCATCAGTTCGTCACTTTTCTTGTCTTTTGGGTACACGAAATTCACCTTGTGAGCTGTTTTTGGGTCCAAGAAGTACTTAATAGCCTACAAAGGACAAGAGCAAGTAATGAATAACAACTCTTTAAAAGAGAAACAGTTTTGATGATTGTGTGATGATGAAGAATGTTGTGTACGTACCCTGTAGCCTGCTTGAAAGAGTCTTGGTGGGTTGTAGAGAAAGGCCATACCGAGTCTCTCAGGGTAATGATTCTGAAGAATGTAGACAATTTCACGAGTTGTCTTCAAAGGAACACTAGCGGCCATAGACCAACCCGTGAAATCGACGAGCCAAACCATTTGTTCTTGTCCCTTGGGAAGATTGAGGATTGCATTTTCAAGAAGATACACCAAATGCTGGATATTACCTTCTGCTGATGTTGAGTTCTGTTTTATAAGACACATATGAGGTTTGTAAAAAAGCATGAAAAAAAATATTTAAGTGAAAATCGGTTACTTACTTGCATCGCAGGTCTCATTATAAGCACAATTCTACCTTGTCGATCATGAAAGGTAGCTCTTGAGATTTTTCCGGTCTCACCTTCATGTGCTACTTGTTGCTGGACATAATCAAACAAGATTAAAAAAAGTTATATAAAAAAAAAAGATTTAAGCAGAACAATAATATGAGTTACAATGAAGTTATATTTGTACCCAACGGATCTCTTGAGGTTTGTAGGTTGATCTCCACTTAAGAGTCTCCTCAATCATTTTCTTGGCTTTTTCGACATTCCAACTACGAGCATCCAAATATCTTCTCAAGGTAGCATCAGAGCAGAAAACTAGACTATGTCCCGACACTGGTCCTATCGCTGATTTCAATTCGCTAACCTGAATTTGTATTTAAGTATTACTATTGATTAAAAAAAAACTTTGGAAATAATTTATCAAATATTGGTACGAAAAATAAGCTTATTCTACCTTATGATCTTGTTGAGAATCATCCTCGAGTTGGTGAGCATTCCTTCTCTTGAACATTTTTAATTAACAATATCTTTTAAGGAGACAACTTCAAAGCCTAGAAACGGTAAAAAGGATAAAATGCTACTTAAAAAAAAGTCAACTAAAATCAGATTTCCACAAAAACAGAGTTTTGATCCAATAGGAGCTAAATTAGATTCAGTAATCAGCAAATAAAAAGCTTGATCGGCTATTTATAGATAAGTGATAGAACACAAATCTAACATCTAAAACAGGATCAAGTATCTCTAACAGTAATTACCTTACCTCATCGAGATCTTACAAAGAGGTAAACAGTTTATTAAGTTTATAATAATCGAACTTATGATAAATTCTCTAGAGAATCACAAGTCTTCTAGAAAAGCATAAAACCCATTCTTCATTCAAAGAATTTATTACATTTTGACTTTTTAAGCACAAAAGTCGTGAAACTGAGATTAGAGTTAACATCCATTAAACAAAACAATTCTCCTCCATGGATCATTGATGATTGATCGTAAATCTAAACCTTTTCTTTTTTTTTTTTGTAAAGAAAAGTCAGTAAATAGCAACGTGGATAAAAATCTTAAAATAAAAACCAGATCAATGAAAACTTTTGAAGCTCACAGAAGTTTCTTTCTCGAGAGGGAGACTTGAAAATAGCAAAAGCCTTGATCGATCAAATAACAACAACACGTACGAAGAAGAAACTATAAATTTCAAAGCAAACGGAATCAAAATGGAAACGCAAAGAGAATCTGACCTGAAAATAAGGATCTTTGTATCAGTGATCGAGAGAGAGAGAAAAAGGAGGAAAAAGAAGAGGAGTAATGGGGTTTGGTTGTCACGCGAGTATCATTCCCACTTCAAGAGGGACTTAAAAGCGAGAAACGTGGGAAAATTATATTTCACAGACGTTAGCTCACCAATTTATGTCGCATTCAATATATTTCATAAATATATACTCTATCACAGGGCCTTATTTGTATTTAAGTGTAAGGCCCATTTAATTAATACACTTCCATTTCAATTATTTCCAGTTTTGTATTATTTCCATTTTTTGCGTTTATTTTTGACCAAATAGTTCAGATCTAGAACGAATATAAGATGAGCTGAAGAGGACAAGAGATCCAAAATCCGTGCCGTAAATAAAACTGAGATCATATCTGGTGATTTTCGAAAATTCCAACTTTCTTTCACGTTTATCAAACTGTGATATCTGTCTTTGTTATACTTTGTCAATTATCTGTCTTTATCTACTGTGTCATGATCTAGAATAAATAAGAGGTTATTCTAATTATAAAACTTGTTGAAATCACTAATGTGCAAACCACTCTTTCGTGGTTTACGTCGGCAACAATAATGAGAGAAGAAAACTCCAGAAAATACATCGTAAACCGTATAGTAATAGTTTACATGTAACGTTTAATTTTACTCGAATTATTGATTTTTAAAAACATTAAAGATTCGGTTTAGAAACATAACCATGTGCATATGATATGGTTTATGCAAACTAACGGTAGTTACGGATCTTACGGTACAAGTACTATAGATTATGTCTTAACAACAAAAAAGTACTAAAAATTATTGGCGTATATGGTTTTGATTAAATCAACAGCATTGACTTGGAACGATTATTATATGGCATAAGATAACATGTGACGTTAACCCGACACTAACCATTTCTTAATTGAATAGTTTTACCTTTTAATCATCTTCTCTAAGTATATATATATATATATATATCGTCTCTCAGTTATGAGTTGTATAATGAAAAAATCGACATATACAGTTACGGGAGTAATCTTCATGAAACTCGTCTCGGGTGAAAAGACATTTGAAATACAAATGACTTTTTACATGAAGCCAATTCCGTGAAGAACACTTCCAAACTGTAAACATCGCTTATTTCACTTGAAGTTTTTGTCTGGAATCATTTGGATCTAAGTAACTCTAAACGTTTTATATGTCTACACTTTGTGTACAAGAACCAACCTCAGAATCCCCAAAACCAGATATTTCTTTAGAGAATTTGTCACCAATTTACGCTAATAAATTCTTAAGAAAATGATAGATCCTCTACTTTAGTCTACTCTTCTAAAAAAAGCATAAATTCCATTTGTCAAAAGTGACCGACACATAAATCGACAGCCATGGAATTTAAGTGGTTTCTTTTCAAAGATTTCATTACATTTCATTTTCTAAGCTGTCTTGTATATCTTGAATGAAAAAACTATGCGAAAAATAGCGAAAATGACAAATCCATTTTAACAAAAAAGCATTCTCCATGCCCTACGTGAAAATTTTCTGAATTACTTATTTGACCAGGGATCGGAGAGTTCTTGAAATTCAGTAACAATAAGAAGAATAAAGTAGCAAACTAAAAATCAAATCAACTAAAATTATTGGAGCTAACGGAACTATAGAAGCTATAAACTGAAGCAACACGATCATAAAGTCGATGTTAAACAAGCGAAATTAAAATTAAATTGCAAAGAAAATCACCTATTGTTGCAGATATTTCTGTCAATAAAGCAACCACATCGGAGAGAAGAGAAAGAGAGAGACAGAGAAAGAGAGATCAATGGATGAGCTTGGTCGTCACTCGATTAGCAGCATTCTTTATATTCTCGAAAACAACTCAACAGTGAAGTTAAAGATTTCAGGTGGGGAGATACACCATCAACTCGTTGTTAATGCGACGTCAAAATTGATGTATTCATTAATTGTTTGCCATAATGCAGTTAATGTTTATATCATATGGTTGGTCACAACACTACCACCAAACATAAAACCGAAAAAAAAAGCACTACCACCAAAGACAATACGGGGAAGACAACTACTATAGTAGTACTAGCATTGGCTAATGGCATCACCAACATGAGAACAAAAAGCTGAAATCGTAACATTTCAAATTAAATCGGTAGAAAATCGGTATATAGTATGATAGGGAACATATGTATTTTCCGTAAAGTTAAGAAAAATACACATGTACTGCTAAAGTATTTCATTGTGGAGAAAACAAAAAGCTTTTTTGGGTTCACCGTTTTGGCTGCATGAATCACCCAATTTTATGTTTCGATTCAAAAAATCTTGTTAAGAAAATACTTAATTAAGCCATGTTAAAAAATAACCACAACTACAACGTAAACTCCATTTCAGATTGTCTATTACTCATATCCCACTTCGTCCTTTAGTATGATCTGAAAATATATCTTTTAATAATCATCGTTTTACTTTTTAACAATTCAAAACTGAACCTTTACATATTGGGAATCTTTAGACCAAAGTTTTTCAAAAAGATATTAAGTGAAGACTTTTTCACAACGTAAATATAGTTAATGAATACGTCATTCTTATGCCGATGATCAAGTCCTCCATCCATCGGCCCAATTGTCAAAGCAAAAATATAGTATCATTCTTATGTAGTTTTCGTCTGGCCTAGTGAAAAAGCAATAACAAAGATAGATATGATTTATAAAAGTTATATTGAATTACTTTTCAGTGTAAAGAATGCATTAATCTAGTGAAAGAAAGTAGACAGATCTGGGTGGATTCGAACCACCAACCTCTCATAATGAGAGCTCTACCGTTTTGAGCTTACAGATCTACTATCACAAACCTTAATCCATTTGACTAAAGCCCATGGGCTTTCTCCACTTCGAGCAACGTCAAGACGAAATCCTAGAGTGTGACAAAATCTAACATCCGGTCAGAGTATACAAGATCAAAGTACAAAAGGCAGTAACATCTACAAATAGTTTTTCACGGTATATCCACGGTTGCAGGAGCAATGTAAAGATATACGCATCGATAGAAACTGATATAACTATTTTCAGAAAAAAATAATTCCCTTCATAGAGCAAACATCGTAAATAGTCATGATACAATAATCCAAGGTTCATTTCGATAAAGAAGCTGCAGGATAGAATTGTGTCCAAAAGCCATCAAACTAAAATTTAGATAACGAACTTGTTCTAGATACCTTCATTCCTTAAGAATACAAACAAACTTCTTATCCGGTTGATGACTTATCCATGGCTCCGAGCTGAGTCTCTCCTCGGGTCCTCAAAGACATTTACTAAATTCAAGATATATCCAAATGCAGCACAATATGCTTACAGTATTATTGTAAAAAATATTCTACTGATCATTCTTTATGCATAATGATAAATACCACAAGACTGGTTACAAATTCTCAAAAAGATTGTTCGGATTCAAAAAAAAAAAAAAAAAGCTAAAAAAGCATTGTAGCCAATTACTCAAAAATAGTGTTCATATTCAAAATAACTAAAATAGGATTGTAGATAGATACATAGAGCATATAAAAAAAACTTTTCTTTCAGAAACTAGCAAACTGTTGAGCGTGGTCATAACCGAGAACGCAATTATTGACAATAAATTCAAATTAACATCGATATTTAACCGGCTATAATATTTTGATATGTCGATGATTTTGATTAGTGATGATATCTTTGAATGAACCGATTTGCCGTGAATGAATACTGAGCGTTAGATGAGTTAAAAGATGCGAATAAATAGTGAGAATTAAAACTCAAATTAGAAGTACCTTTTGCTTTGCGTGTCCATGGAGGATGATGGATTTAGATGCTTCGTTGTCTCCAGATCCGCTAATCTTAAGATCCGGATCAGTTCAAAATATGTCTGTGGATATTTTGTGAATCGAGATCAAAGTGTGTGAGAGAACGAGAGAGCAAGACACACGGAGAGGGGAGAACCCGGGCAAAAAAATAATCCCCCGTGCGATCTCCCCTCACCAACACGAAACTTTTTTTTTATTAAGGATTTTGTGACCTGCCATGCAAGCGCACCTGTCATGGCAAAGGTCGGATGACAAAGATGTCTATCAGAACTCAAGCCTCAGCTGTATCGTCCCTAAACAACATCTCATACATCCTTTCGACTCAATTCACATCAATATCACATATCTGCCTCCTCTTTGCTCTTCTCCTGCGTCTCTCCTCCTCCGCGATCGAGAATTGATCGATTCGTCACCTCATCAGAACCTCAGCCGCATAACGTATCATAGATCCGACGATCCTTGACGCCGCCGATGTCTAGATCGGAGAATAGAACTGGGAATCCGAAACTAAAAGATGTGAATAATATTACAAGGAATTCAATCGAATTAAACCAATCAATTATCAGATCCAGCTACGAGAAGACATGATTACCAGCTCTTCCACCCGATCGACGCATCTCGGCGGCTCCGATCTGTCTTCTATGCGTGAATTCAACCGGAACGACTAGATCCCTGCGGATACGACGCCGATCTGTATATCGGGAGTTGAGCTGCGAGGATCTACGACTAGATCCCTGCGTATACGAAGGCGATCTGTAGATCGAGAGTTGAGCTGGGAGGATCTACGCCGAGAAGTCTCCGATACGGCGACATAGCAGAGAGATCTATGAACAAAAAAAAGAAAGTTGAAAGAATAATAGTATTAAGAAAAAAAGCGGGTATGAAATCCTAATTGATCAAGGCGTAATTATATATAGAGGGTATGGTATAATGGACGGATGAAATCGATTGAATAGATATAAGATCAACGGTCCACGAGTGATTTCGTGACGTGTCTATCGGCGTTTTTAATAAGAGGCGGTTGTTTTACACGAAAGAAAAGAAAATAATTTGGTTTTTATTTAGGAAATAGACAGCATATATGGGTTGTTGCCTTGTTTTACCGATTCCATGCGTCGTACCTAAGCACGTTTTCTCATTAGGAAAGTGGAATATTCGTAGCGATTTCCTTCACGACTCTTCCATATTTTTGTGTATTTTATTTATTTTCTAAACAAGTAGTTTACAAAAATAATAGGTGATGGACCCACCCTAGAGAAATCTTCCACTTTAATTCTTGTGGGGGAGAAAAAAGTTGGGTTAGTCTTTTTGGGCGTGGACTTTTGTACCAAAGAAGAATTAATAACGGGCCACGAAGTTAACTGGGCTATTACAAAGCCCACAATCAAATGGCGGCAGCTGTTCGGAATACACAAAATGGGCTCATGCTTTATGCTCCCATGGAGAAGAGAACCCTAGAGAATAGAGGTTTAACCTGCTCCTGAGAGATTGAATCGGAGATAAAGAGAGAAAGAAATGAGAAATGAGGGAGAAAAGGAAAAGAGAATGCGTGGGTTTTCGTTTAGGATCCTTTGCACATACGGCGAGCCTTAAAAGAGTATACTTTAACATCGAAAGGGAAATAAAGACACGTAGCAACACAAGGTAAAGAGACTCTCTATGAACTAGAGTCTCTAACTAGTTCCATTTGCTTCTCACTTAAGCCGCGTTTAATGTGATTGGGGAAACCTGCTCTTCCTCTTGGAGTCTCTCACTCCCTTGGCCAAAAGGTACTACAACCCTATCACATTCCTCAATTTGGCCTTTCAAGTTGGGTGAACAAAGAGTATTTGGGGCGGCAAAAACAACAAAAAAACAGATTCTCTAACTGCCATTTAAAATCTCAAACCAAAGGTCTCTCTTAACGAATATTAGAACATAGGCGCCAAAAATTCAGACCTTTTTTTCTTTAACTGACTTTTGAAATCCTATTATATCATATCCTATTCAAATTCAAAAGTTCAACCACTGTTCAGGCCGTTCTCCTACTCATCATCATCATCATCATCATCATCGTCGCCACCACTTGAAACATCATCATCATTGTTGTCTGAAGAATTGGAGACAGAGTCACCATCGTCATCCTCATCTCTCTTCCTCTTAAGTTGGCTAGATGATGCAACTGAATAAACAACCTGAAGTTCATCATCCTCAAATTCTGCTTCGCTTTCAGTGTCCTCATCTACTTCGATTGCTTCTGCCACGGGTTGAGCTAAATGCCCTACTCCATCATCATCATCGTCATCATCATCCTGTCAAATCACAAACAGAGTCATAAACACACAAAACACACAAAAAAACCAAAAAATTTATTTGACAAAACAATAAGAATGAATGATGAATCTCACCTTGTCTTCACCATCCTCAACGCCTTGTTCCTCTTCTTCCCCGCTCTCGCCATCATCCTCTCCCTGCTCGTGCCCATCAATCTCTCCAGTGAGGATGTTCCTCAGCAACCCATTCCTATGTGGCACACCATCACCTACCTCATCATTATCCACGTCGTCTTCGTCTTCATCATCTTCCTCATCCATATCCTGATTATCAGCTACAATAAAGCCATCATCCTCATATTCTACTTCCTCATCCTCACTGTCATCGTTTTCTTCATCGTCCACATTTTGAAACCCATTGGCAACAACATCACTCATCCAATTTGGTTCTCTTCCCGCCTCAGCCACTTCCTCAGGGCCATCAATCTCTCCATTTCTGACCCTTTGCACCCAATTCCTCGGTTGCACCATAAGGTTTCCCTCATCATTATCCACCTCTTCTGCGCCCATCCTCATATTCTACTTCCTCATCCTCACTGTCATCGTTTTCTTCATCGTCCACATTTTGAAACCCATTGGCAACAACATCACTCATCCAATTTGGTTCTCTTCCCGCCTCAGCCACTTCCTCAGGGCCATCAATCTCTCCATTTCTGACCCTTTGCACCCAATTCCTCGGTTGCACCATAAGGTTTCCCTCATCATTATCCACCTCTTCTGCGCCCTCGCCATCATCTTCCTCGCCTTCATCCACCTCTTCTGCGCCCTCACCCTCATCTTCCTCATTAATATCCAGCGTAGCATCAATAAGAAAACCATCCTCTTCGTATTTCTCTTCCTCTTCACTGTCCAGGTTTTCTTCATCGTCCATATTCAGATGTTCATCTCGCAATCCATTAGCATGCTCACTCACCCCATTTGACTGCCTTCCCGTCTCCGTCTCTGTCTCTTCCTCATCAGCTTCGCTCTCCAAAACACCTTCCAGCTTTTCACAGTTCCCGTTGCTCATCCCATTTGGCCTCTCCTCACCATCAATCTCGCAGCTCCCTGGATCATCTTCTTCTTCCTCCTCATCTTCCTCATCATCATCGTCATCGTCCTCATCCTCCGACTCTGGCCTCTCGTTCTCCTCAACATCCATCTTATCCAAATACTTCAGAGATTTCACCAACCCAAAAACCTTAGATCGGTAATCCTTAATCCGCGTCACAGGGCACTCGTACAGATCAAGCGACACAAGCTTCAGCTGAGCTAACGGCACCAAATCCTCAATCAGATGTATCCGATTGTTAGATAAATCAAGGTCGCGGAGCAAACCTAATCCCGCTTGGACTAGAAACTCAAGGCCACCGGCGATTCTATTGTCGGAGAGGACAAGCTTCCTGAGCTTTCCGAGCCGCGGGAACCGATCAAGCGAAGAAACGCCGATACTAGCTATAGATAAGTGCTCCAGGTTCTGATACTTCTCGAGAAGTTCCGGTGACGGAAGATGGCCTTGGACGCACTTGACGGAACCGTCCAGAGTAAGGACCCGAGCAGCCAAAGGATCCGTTTCGCCGACCAATGCCGTGGAAACGGCTCTCTCCCAGATCTCATCCATCCCAAACCCCTATAGACCTAATACAAAGAATCTGATAAACAGAGACTGCAGAAAGAGAAAATGAAAAATCCTAAGAAGAAAAACTCTGTTTCTTCTCCGATCAATTCAGAAAACGAGAAGAAGGACGAGCTCGGAAGGTGATCGAAAATCAAACAAGCTGTTGCGTGAAATAATCAAACTATCAACGAAGTAAGAGCTTTTCTCAAACCAACCAGAGCAGAAAACCCTTTGTTTTGTTTTTTTCTGTGGTCAATAGCTGAAAACCCTAAATTTTTATTTTTCTCTAGAGGGAAGGCGGAAGAAGAATGGAGAAGCAAAAACAAATCTTAAGAGGATGGTGAATCGAAACAAATCTAAGCCGTTGGTTTTAGGAGACGAGGATCGATGACGTGGAGAGAAGGAACGGTAGAGATTAATGATATTTGTGTTAGTTCGCGAAAATAACGAAAACACCCCTCGGCCATCGTTATCTAATCACACGTCACACACCTTGCGCGTGAATCTAAACATCTTCCACCGTCAGCCTACCAATCGTGAAAATAGTACTACTGACTAGGAAAACAAAAACAAAATGACTAACGAAAACAAAATTAAATTGCTAATCTATAAAGCATGGATCGTAAATAGATCACTGACAAGAGAACAAACAATAATAATTGAGCAATAATGATGATGCATTTGTCACCAATTACACCATAGAGCAACCGATCATGAATTTGTACAACGAAACAAGGCAAGAGTTAAATGAAATGATAGTATCTCTAGCAGAAGTCTTTATGGGGATTATTAGCATTCTTGTTTGCTGTTTGAGATGATCCACTACCTCTAATCTCAGCATAGCCCGGAGGCAGCTTCGGGGGATGAACAACAGGCAAGTTGATGGAAGAGCCGTGGGCAACGGAAGGTCGAAATGACCAATTGATAGTGCTGATATTCGAAGACGGAGATGGATTTGAAGGGAATTGGTTATGCTGTCGTAGGTATATAGGCAGTGTTGTGTCCTTATCTCCGAGCTGCTGCTGTTTATCAAAGTCCATAGCATTGTGTTTTGCTGAATCACTTATCATCTCCCCAGGGTTCATGACACTAGCCGTTCCAAACAGCCAAGGCTGTCGGAATTTCGGGTGCTTGTTATTATCTTCTTTGCCTTTGTGTTGTTGGTGGTGGACATGATCACTAGTTTCGGCTGGTTTGACCGGTGGTTTGTTGTCTGGTGGGACGAAACTCGGTTCAGGTGGATCCACGGTGGCTCTAGGAGTTGTTGAGCGGGTTGTGGAGATTGTGGTTGTGGGGAATGCTTTCTCTGGTGGGACTGCTGGTGTGTAGTTAGATGGGAGAAGATCGTCCCAGTTCTCTAGAAGTTCCTTGTAGACTTTGCGTAGTGTTACCTCGGTTAGTCCGGTTATCTTGCAAATCTCTGCTTGTGTCTTTCGTTTGTCTTCGAGCTGACATGCTAGATAGATTGCAGCTGCTGAAATGCTGATTGGGTTCCTACGAGTGCAGAAGCATTTGTTTATCACTACTTCTCCGATATGTGTTGCCAGTTCCTAGTCATGTATTTAAAACAGACAAACACTTTAGGGTCAGCTTGGGAGTCACATTGGATGATGAAATGTCACTAGAAGACGCTTTTAAGACAACTATATGTAGAAGTATAAGAGTTTAGTGGCACAGACCTGAGCAGATTTGTTAAGTTGAAGGAGGGTACAGAATCTTGGCATATGGACTGATATAGAGTTGCTGTTGATGGGTTGACTTAATTGTAGAGCTTCTCCTAAGATCTTGATGTACTTCCCTATTTCCTTCTGCTGTACATTGGCTGCTATGGAGATTTCCTTTTGTGTAAAGCAAGAAACAGACATTAGCCAGATATCAAGTGTCAATAGTGAACTGAAAGAAACGCTGCTCATGTTTAAGTTCACGAGTACTAGTCCACATAGAAAAATAACATTAAACAACCAGTAAAAATGATTAAATCACTTAGTCAAAGCTCAAACAAAACAAAAAGTACACCAACACAGAAGCTTGATTTCTCTCTGCAAACACACAAGCTTAATTAACCTAGCATACACAGATTCTAGTTCCTCAATTCAAAAACATTGACAGCGATCAATAACAGCTGTTCAAGAAATTGCATTGCTGATTTATCCAGAATCATAAACTAATCAAACAGGCGCATATACTATAGAAATTGCATTGCTGAGAACGAAATGGACAAACAAGATTGCCAAATGTAAGTACAAATACAGGCAAATGATTCCATCAACAAAGGAAATGTGTCCTACCATAAGATTTAACAATTTACTCTAATTCACTAGTGTCTTTCAGAGAACCATGATCAAGCAGTGCAACATCAATAAAATTGAGGCTCAGTAGCTGAATATGCCGTTACCTGAAGAGTTCTAGGCTCCTGAGCTTCCCTTATAGCCTGAACAAGGCAAGCAGTGGCTAACGCTTCAACACTTCTGTTCCGCAAGCAAGTAGCTGAGCAACAATCCCTAAACAGCTGGAAAGCATGCTCAGAGATATCGCACTCCAACCCTAGAATCGACGCCACGTCGATGATCTGCATATAAGCCCTAAGATTGTCCACCACAACCGTCGAAGAATTCGTAGAATTCGATGCGGACGAAGCGAGTTCTAGGGTTCGTTCGAGCTCAGCGAGATGACCGGAAAATGAGAGGGAAGAGCGAGCGAAGATTGGGCTAGGCTCGAGTGACCAGGTGGAGAAGGCTGTAATGAATCCGGTGGGCTCAAACGGATCTTCCTCGTCCTCTGGAGACGGTTGCGCCGCCGTCTGGAGATCAGGAGTGACGAGGCAGAGAGGATTGTCTTGTGCGCGTAGATGAAAGAGATGGTGGTTTTGAGTCTGTCGCTCTTCCACTACGCGACCGCAAGACGAACACTCCGTTATCGATCTACCGGAGCTTGTGGTGGCACACCGTCCTTGCGCCGATGAACAGTACGGACACTTCATTTCTCTTTTTTTTTTTTTTGGTTCTCTGACGTGTTTCTTTCTTCACGTGTGATAATAAAGCTGTTTATACGATGAGTGTTACAAAAAAACCGCGCAAAATGGTTCTTTTGAGAAATTGGTATTTCTTTTAGGTAACAATCAAAAACTCTGTTCTTGTTTTCTGTAAACTAAGACCGGACAACAAATATCATGTTTTATTTCATCGCCAAATCTTACTTTGATTGCAAAACGTTGGCAATGGTGAATCTGCCACTAAAACAGATTCAGGCATGTATCGTCAAAGATCTCAAGGAGAAATATACCATCAGGATTCATGTTTCTACATATGTATTTATAAAAGTAGCTCTATGCAATATACCAATCAATAGAATTTTTCAAAGGAGAAAGTTTGATTTCGAAACAAGAATATTATAGTTCATCGTAGGTTCATGTGTAAAGGTGCGATACAATATCACCATCAGCTACTTGCGGCTGGCTTGTGTAGAATTCTCTTTAAGTTTCTTCCCAAATCCCTTGCGCTCTGGGAACAAATTGCAAAAAGGAAGAAGAAGAGTTTTAGATACGTAGTCTATGAACAATCCAGGAGAAGAAATCAAAAGATAAATTGGCTAACTTGGAGTGATGAAAGCTCTACCAAACTTGAACAACCAACTTCTTCAAAAGGGGATTCGCAATAAATGAAAGAAACAAAACTGAAAGCTATGGCTATCTGAAATCTGATAACATGTTTTTGAGAATAAATCATCTACTGAGGTCACAGACTCACATGCTACTATCACTGCTACGATATTACTGACTGAAATGCAATAACCTCAACCTAACAATAGATCTTGAACCTCATCTCCAGAACACTAGACAATGGCCATGAAACGTAACAATGTGTATCGAAGGTTCATACAGGTCTTTGAACGTTTGGTAAATCAAGGATCAAGCATGAATTCGTATCTGGTCACCAGTCACAGACAAAAAGATAGACAATAGACAAATTAACACTAAATTTCAGTGGCTAATCGCCAGAAACAGCAGAACTTGAGCATCAAAATGAACAAAACTGCTAAATTTCACTAACTAACTTTCAGCACAACCAAGCTAAATACCCTCGAGATCAAAACTCAAGCACTACAGCCCATTAATAGAAACTATGAAGAGAGAAAGATAACCGAGAGTACAGCAACCAGAGGCAAGTTCTAAAATCCATTTGAAACTGTATCTACTGATTCTAAGTCACTGAAAACAAGAGACACAGTGTCAAGTAAAATCCAGTCAAAATAACACGAAATTTAAGTCAAGAATCATCACCATTGGTCGAGAAGGAGGTGGATCAAGAGTGATAGACTGAACCGACATCTTGGCGATTTCACCAATAGCAGCCTCTCTAACCCCAGGCACATCACTTGTGAGTTCTTCGTAAGCAGCAACGAACGCCTCTTGCCAAAATCTAGGCAATTTGAACCGACGACTGTTAGTGTACACATCCCACATATGCTTCACTACCTTCTCTCTCTCCTCCATTTCCTAAAAACCCCCAAAATCAGCCGCAATCGATTACACACCAAATCAGCCGAAATCTAGAGAAAAAAAGAGAAATATACAAAGAGGGAGAGAGTGTTACCAGAACGTCGAGGTTCTCATAGTTCGGAATCCCGAGATCTTCGGAGAACCGGTTCAGATTTCCGGTGGATAACCGGAGAGTGACTGTACCAGTAAACATTGACCAAAAAGCCAGAAGCAAAATAGCAGCAAATGCCCAGAACTTGTAACGACCTCTTCCAAACAACCCCGAGTCGGAGCTTTCCTTCTTCGAATTCGCCATAGCTGTTCCTGCTCCCGTCGCCGAACCTGTAGTCGTCGTCGTCGGCAAGGCATCGTCCTCCTTCATCTCGATCTCAAATATACAATACAGTCAAGAATTTCGCGTAGTGGTGAGAATCACACCAAATCTGAACTCTCCTGATCACAAAATCTTGCGCTCTAATGAATCGATTTCAGTAGATTTCAGTGTAAACGCGAAAGTGTCGGCTCGATTTTTGATCTGAAACGACTTAAAAACAAAAAGCTCACTCTCTCTTCACTACTACTGGGCCATTGTTTGCTAGAAATTCGCGATGTACGAGCCGTTGATCCTAAATTGGCAACAAATACTACCTATGATCGTGACCGTTGGTTTATAATTTGATAAAAGCCACAAAGAGAGAACATCGAAAACGGTGTCGCATTTGATAAATTGCTAAAACGCAGTGGTTCATAACAAACTAAAAGAAAAACAGAGTAAAAAAATAAATCGTTAAGCTTTTGCGTTTTCACCGCGTACTTTATTATCACCGTCTCTTTGAAACAGCGCTTCAATCTCTTCAAGCGACTTTCCTTTCGTCTCCGGCAAGAGGAAATAGAAGAAATTCCACGCCACTGCCGCGACTCCGGCGAACATAAAGAAAGCTCCTCCCGTCGTTATCGCCTTGGTCAACGATAAAAACGACATCGACACGGTGGCGTTCATCACTCTGTTCACCGCAACACCGAGACTCGCTCCTTGCGCTCTAAGCTTCAACGGGAAGACCTCAGAGCTGTAGACCCAAGTGATTGGTCCGAGCCCAATAGAGAACACCGCAACGAAACCATAAGCAGAAACTATGCTCAGTACTAAAGCCCAAGCCAGCTTCCCGCCAGAATTTTGGGCCATCGTAAGCCCAAATCCTAACATAGTCAACGCACAGACCATACCTCCAACACTGGTCAACAAAAGCTTCCTCCGACCTACCTTGTCAAGCAAGAAAGTCGCCGTGAAAATGAACGTCGTCTTCATGATTCCGACACCGATCGTAACCAAGAAAAGCTTGTCTTTCGTCGTGATCCCTGCTTTCTTAAAGATCTTCGGACCGTATAACAGAACAGCTTCAATTCCGGTCGCGTGTTGGAAGAAATGAATACCTAGAGCGGTTAAAAGAACCCGTCGTACCGCCGGAGTAGGTCTTAGAATCAGCTCTTTCCAAACTCCTTCGCCGTGTGTCTTTTTATTCTCCATTTTCACGACCTCGTCTTCGCATTTCGGGTCGATCCCGGCGGCGGTTTTGATGTCTTGAAACCGTAGCTCCGCCTCTTCAGGGGAATTCGACACCAACTGCAATATCCTCTTGCCTTCTCCTAGACGTCCTTGTAGAATCAGCCACCGTGGAGACTCCGGCATTTTCAAGATCCCGAACGCTAGCACCAGCGACGGAACCGCGGCGATACCGAGCATCAGCCTCCAACCGATATGCATAGGTAACTTGGCGAAGAAGTAATTTACTAGGTAACCGATTAAGATTCCAATACTGATACAAAGATGAGGAAGAGAAGCTAAGAGTCCTCTATGTGAAGCGGTTGCGATCTCGGCTGAGTAAACCGGAGCAACCATTAGAGCAAAACCGACTCCGAGTCCGGCTGTGCATCTACCAGTGAGGAGAACAGGGTAACTTGGTCCCCAACCCATCAGTATTGACCCCAACATGAATAGTATTGAGGCCAAGACGATTGTGTAACGCCGTCCGATTATGTCCGATGTTCTTCCGGCGAGCAACGATCCGACGAGGGCACAAAGGTTGAGAATTCCGGTGAGTACTTCGATTTGAACATCGTTTGTCTTGAGATCTTCTTCGATGAACACCATTGCTCCACTCATAACTCCAGTATCTAAACAAATAAATACACACAAAAAAAAAGGATTTTATTAATTCTTGTCATCATAAAAACAAACAAAAACAAATTACTTGCCTCACATAATTTTTGTAGATATAAGAAATAAATAAAACAAAATGAACACCGTAAGAATTTTTTGGTCGGATCTAGGCATCTAGCAAAATTTTAATATGTTACAAAATTTATGAACACAAACGGATAAGTAATAATCTTCATATATGTAAACAAACATTAATATACTTACCGTAACCAAAGATGATGGAGACGATGGAGGCGACAATAGCACACTGAAGAGCGTATCTATTAACTCCCTCAGGCTTCTCCATCGTCTTCACGGCCAGCTTCTCCACCGTCTTCTCGGTCGGCTTCTCGCCGGAGTTTTGATCGGCCATGATTAGTTCACCACCAAGTAATCAGAAAATCTATCAGAAAGTAGAGTGTATAGACTTTATCTAATGTCTCTCCTAGTTTTAAGCTTATGTCTGAATGTTAGTTAGGAGTTTGGTTTTTAATCTCTCTCTCACTGCCAAAGAAGATATTCGATGATTATATATAGAAAGAAAAAGCAGGTGACAGCACAGAGAAGAGACAGTACTTGTGAAAGCCACAAGCTTCAAGGAGAGGATTTCGTTATTTGAATCCAATGGACAAGAGTCATCCACATCTTTATTTATATATATTTATAGAAATTTGTTTTTTGATAAACATACGTAAGACCCGATCAGTGATCCTAATTACGGATCATAACTGTACATGTATTTAATAATTAACAGCTGCACCAGACTCTAAACTTGGAAGTCTGATCTGTAAAATACTCAGATTCGATCTGGCAATTTAGTTAATTTCTGATCTTGGATAAGAACGTATCTGCAACGAGTTGACTTGTTGAGCGTGGATTTTGACTAGATAAGATTTTTTTCTTTGTATTTTGATGGAGGATATGGGAAGAAGACACGAGACTGTTATTATTGGATTGGATAAGAAATATTTTTAATTTTTGCTTTTTGTTTTTATCCTCGTGGATATTTTAAATTTTATGTCACTGTGTAACCAAAACACTTGTTTTGGCTGGACTCATAAGGTCAACGGTCAACTATATAGAGTGTAAAAACCGTCATGGGTCCATTTTAATTATCATTTCAAAGTTTGAATTTCAGATTATTTAGTGGAAAAGTCAAGTGGCTATGTGGATTTGAGAAAATCTAAAAAGGTTTGATTGGGTTATACTTTGAATGATGTGAAAAGCCAAAACATAATCTCATGTTAATAAACACATGTTATGTATACATGTAGCGGAGCCCCTGTAGAAAAAAAACAATAACATGCAATACAGAAAAAAACATGTAATTTGATCGTGCAAATTCATGATTAGACGTGTTATTTAATGAAATTATATGATTCATGGAACGCGAAAAGTACTTTTATCAAAACGTCCAAAGGCCATCTTTTCCAAGTCTCGAATGGTGACGTTGTAAAAAGTGGGGCAGAAAGTATACAAGGTAACGAAATCAAATAATGCAGATAGATTCATGCCAAGTTGGGACATGGTAACATTGTTTTTTTTTGTTAAAACCTGAATTTATTTCTTCCTATTTTCTTTTACGTAAACGTTGTTTGTTCTCCGATAACATTTCATACTTGTTTACCTACGATAAAAACAATTATCGATGAACCAAAACTACTAGATGTTTGTAATAATATACAGTTTTCTTAGTCTCACTCTCACATAACGATTTAAGAGAAAATATGCTCAACTTTTTATTCTTCTAAACGATTTTTTTCTGCTAAGTTTATTTCATATTCAACTGATTAAAAAACTGATCTCAAAAGTATTGTTAAATCTTTTTAACAAAATTTGAGATTTTGCGTTTAGAATTAAGTGCTAGAACAACTATAACTTATTTATATTTCTAGGTCAACATTGTCAACTCCTAATTACAAATTTACAATTGTATGTACATAGTAGAATAACTTCTTCTTCTTTTTTACTTTTAGGACACTGATATCACACAGTTAGCTTGTAAAATTTGAATACATAAAGCTAGATCATGCTTTTCATAAGCTCACTTTATAAAATATTCCACAGATTTCATTCACCAACTTTGTACTGTTCTGTTTCCGGACGAGTGGTATTATTGGACTCTTTCGTCAAAAGTTTATAGTCAGACTTACTAGATGCAGACATCATACTTTTCAACAAAATTGTTCCACAGTTTATATTAAAATATTAAGTAGTCATATGTGTATTATTATTAAGTTATTTATCTGGCAGATGATAAAGATATCCATATAGTGTTTTGTCTTGTCTGTTCACAAGGGGGCCTCCATTTATAATGTCTCTAAAACGAGAAGATGGAATTATTTGTTGAAGAAGTTCACTTCAGGCTACAAAATCGATACGACTTTTCATTGAAAGTGAGAGGCATAAGCTACAAAATCGAACTATTTGCTCAACATATGTAATTTTCTTGGGCCGATATATCAAGCTTTGGCACATCAAAGAAATAGAGTTCATAAGCCCGTATATCAGTTCTAACGACTTCCCAAATTGTTCCATCACGGCATTCATTTGTTAAACCTTAAAAGAATTGAATAAATTGACAATGGAGTATGGATGGATAGAACTTTAACGTTTATACTGCAAGTAGAACTGTAGAAGAACATGTAAAAAGAGCATAAACTGTAGAAACTTGAATTCATCATGAAACATAAGTGTGTAGAACATAGCAGTGAAACTCTACCAAGCTGGAAATCGTTAGCCATGGAATGCAAGAGATCCACCAACAAAAGCGTTCAAGCTTTTACAAGCTAATTTATGAGGAAAGAAAAATGCAGGAGGAGCTTATAGAGTAACCTACATACTTGATCATAGTTTTCAAACAAATCTTAAAAAACCTCAAAGCAAAAGAATCAGATCTTCAACTGAAACGTTCTTGAGCTTAAGCAGCAGTCTCTACTCCTTTTGCAGAAGATGAAGAAGCATCGGTTTTCGAACACAGCTCGAGTTCCTCCTCGAGTTTCTTCCACGCATTCAAGAAACTCGGAGGGAACTTCTTCTTCATTGTCCTAACCAACCCCTTGGCGTCATCAATCTTCTTGTTCTTCACCAATCCAACAGCCAAATGCTTCAAAGTATTGAAATCCGGAATCTTGTTCATACGCACGCTCTTCTTGAACATGGCGTAGCCTTGCTCATACAATCCGCAGTAACACAGGTGAAATATCAACGTCCTGAACGTAGCTGCATTGGGAGCACATTTGTTTGCTTCAAACCCTCTAAACACCTTCTTAGCTTCATCCAACATTCCTTTCTCGCAATACGCAGTGATCAGATAGTTATAGCTAATCGTATCAGGCTTCAATCCAGCACTGATCATTTCGTCAATCAGCTCACTAACTCTCTCAGGGCTCTCCTTTTGAGCATTCATTAGACGAACATTGAATGCTGCGTTATCCAAGTCACAGCCTTTCTTCACCATCTCCTTCCACAAGCTCTCCGCTACTTTGACTTCACCCTTCTTATACAAGGAACCCAAAATGGTGGTGAAGGCAATGGTGGTGAACTCAATGCGTTTCTTTTCCATCTGTCTCATAATCTCAATGGCTTTCTCCGGCGAACCAGAGTCACAGTAGGACTTAATCAATATACCGTAAGAGATTTTGTCAGGAGTGATGTGATTGTACCTCTGAGGAATTTCGTCGAACAGTTGGGGCACTTTGTCGAACTTTTTGGAATGGAGGCAAGCGGTGAGCAAGGCGTTGAAGGAAACGGACGATCTGGGTGTGCCGTACTTATCCATCTGCTCGAATGTGCTCACGGCGTGATCGAACATGGAGGCTCGGCCGTAAGATCTGATAAGCATGGAGTAGAAAGTTTCCTCCTTGATTTTGGGGTCGTTTTTCTGGGATTCGATTAGGGTCTCGATGTCGGAGAAACGGTTACACTTGGCGAGGCGGCGGACAGTGAGCTCCTGGGCGTAGCGAGAGGAAACAGGCGAAGCGGAGTGATCGGAGACGTTGGAGTAGATCTCAAGAGCTTTGTCAGGATCGTGTTCTTTCCGGAGAGTGCTCTTAGCTTTGGAGACGGAGATCTTTCCTGGAAACGGAGCAGCGGCAGCAGCAGACTCTATGGTGGTCGTCGCATCTCCGGCGGCTGTTGTAAATCGGCGAACATAGCGGAGAGAGAGACGAGCTGAAGCCATTTCGCAGAGAGTGTGGAGAGAGAAGGCGAGAAATGAGACTCCTTTAGGGTTTAAGGTTTTACAAAGATTGGTCCTTTTTTTTTCTTATAATTGCTGTGAACAAAATTGACTTGTACACTTAAAAGAGAAAGTTAAAGTTTCATTTGTTTATAAGTTCACATTTAAGTTGTTCTTCTGGGTGATTATCATTGTGATGTATATGATAAGAGAGATCAAAAGAAAGCATAAGTAATGTATCAAATCATCTCTTAAGTCTTAGAATCAAGCATAAAGGGTCTTTAACTGAAGCAAAATACTTAAAAATCTCAACAAGTGTAATAGAAAAGCAAACAAAGAAGAAGACACTCTAGGCTCCATAATCTCCTTGCTCAAACTTGTCTTCAGGGTAAAACACAGCAACCACTTCGTTCCCACCAAACTTCCTGCCATTCATCCCTGTTCTTGCCCTCGATGAGCTCTCAGTTTCTGCATACTTCAAGAACACCTGCACACATATACATATCCACAGTGAGATTCCCACTACAAAGAAATTTACGAGAAGAGAAAGAGAGAAAGAGAATGTTTTTGGAACAAACCTTGCCAAGGCCAGGAACTGGCTCACCATTGGGGCTAGGTCGCGGAATCACGACGTTTGTCAACGCACCTGCATTTAAAGAGTTAAACAGCAAACATTTCCAAGAGAATCAAGCAGATGACAACAAAGAAAAGCGTTAGTGTTTTTTTTAGGGCCTTTGGTGAAAAATAAGATAAGAAGGGATTATGCAGTCTCCTTAGGGCTGATTCTTTATAGCAAAAGGCTGTAAAACAGACATATACAAACCAAAGAAAAACACAGAGACAAATCAATATGCTTTTAATCTTTATATCTCCAAATGAATCATAAAACGCATTATGAAAATGACATGTCTTACCAAACTTTCCGCCTTCTTGTCTCATGTCTTCCATAATATCTTCAAACTCCTCGTCGTCTCTCAGCTCATCCTCTGCAACAACTTGAGTCAGACATACCACTGTTGTTGGCACTGCGCCTGGCTGTAACATAATCCTCTGCAAAAACAAAGTAAAGCATCAGTCTTTCAATACTATAAATGGAACATACAAGTTCCTTCAATCCTTCTAAGATAATGTTATTCACACAACGGACATATCACATTGATTTCTTCCGATAGTTTACCTGAAAAGCAATCTGCTGCTGTGCATGCAACAACACACTCTCTTGTTCAGGTTTCGGCTGCATTGTCCCCTGGTTAGCACGTCTCACAGTAAGAGTCTTATCTCCCATCTTGATACCATTTAGGGCAGCGCAGGCGATATCTGTAACAGAGAGATCCTGGTACACACAAAAGGCGTATCCTTTAGAGTTGCCAGTTTCTCGATCTTTTACAAGATCAAAGCCCTTAAGTTGTCCAAAGGACTCCAACAACTCTCTGACTTGTCCCTCGGTGAAGTAATACGGAAGCCCACCGACGAAAATCCGGTCAGGACCCTCAAGACCAGCAGAAGCACCTGGAGTCAGACCAACAGCGGCTAAGTTCAGATGCGGACTAGGTTGGCTCGGGCCAAGAGTTGCTGCTAAAGACGGGTTATAGTCACTAGGTCTCCTCACCTTCACCGGAGCTCCCTAGATAAGATAAAAAAAAAAAGAAACATTATCAAAACTGTTATTTATGCATCCTCTAATGAAGAAATGTAACATTAAAAACTTTACCTCGAAGATAATCCCATCCAACGACATGGCGTTGCTTGCTTCTTCAACAGATCGCATCTCCACAAAGGCAAACTTCTTCTCGTGGTTGATGTAGACATTAACAACGGCATCGCCTGGACCAGCAGTGTTTCCTCCCACAGCAGCCATGACTTGACTGAAAAACGTAGCCACAGACTGCAAATACACAGGAAAGTATATTAGTCTCAACATATTTTCACTAGGAGAGAAAGAAAAAAAAAAAGGGTTGATGTTTATGTTTACTTGTTCATTAGCTGTAGGAGAAAGTCCACCAACATAGACTCTGCGAGCATGTCGAGTCGCTTGCTGAGTCATGGCCTGCATTGGCATCATAGAGAGTCCCCCAAATGGCGCCTGAGCAGCCTGTGAAGGAAACATGTTGGGATACATGTTGGGGAACATTCCAGCACCAGGAAGAGCTGGTGGTGCAGGAGGAACTTGCCCTGTAACAGCAGCACCACCACCAGCAGCTATCATGGCAGAGGCTGGAGGAGCCATGTCGAATCCACTAACACGCTTACTGCAAAAACAACATAAGAAATCTCTCTTCTTTAAGTTGAAAAAAAAAAAAGTCATTTCATTTCATAGGATAGAGATGATATTAATACCTTTTCGATGGAGATCGTGACCTTGTTCTGCGATCACGGTGACGTCTTCTATCTCCTCTATCATCTCTACTACGCCTATCATAGTCACGGTCGCGGCTTCGGCGGTAGTCGTCGTCGTCTCTGCTACCGCGCTCTCTTCTTTCACCGCGCTCTCTGCTGTGATCCCTGTGTCGGCTACTTCTGTGATGACGCTCACGATCTCTGCTTCGCTCCTTGCTCTTCTCTCCATCTCTGTCCCTGCTTCTTCGATCAGTTTCTCTGTCTTTATCACGGCTCTTCTCTCTTTCTCCTCTATCTTTGCTTCTTGAAGGCTCTCTTTCGCTGTCAAGCGTTTCTCTCTACACAGAGAAAAACAAAAAAAATCGTCAATTCAATTTATGGATTACGAAACAACACGAAGCTAATCCAATTCAAGCTAATTGATCGACGAAAGGAGCAATAAACCTAAATTTAACCATCTCAATTTTGCCAATTGGATCGAATTACGCATCAAGGGTAAGAAACATAGATATGGAACTCAGAAAACAAAACATACTGCAATCAGGAGGTGGAGGATTGTACATGAATCAGAGAGCAAAATTACCTTAGATTTGGAGTCAATGAGATCCTCGATTTCGCCGCCGCGGCCACCATTGTCGTCGGCGTAGAACCCGTCGATAGCTGTTCCGTTTCCCTCGTGATCTTCGATGTCTGTCATCTTTTCAGCCGGGAATTTACGATCTATCTCTCTCTCTTGCTCACCGGAGATAAGGTTTATAGATATCTATGCCGTCGCGTCGCGATTCGAAAAAAGGGATGAAAGAAGAAATCAAACTCTTTAGGGCGATTTCGATTATTCAATTATCATATAAACACAAGAGGGACCGACCTGGAGGGAAAATAACAGCCCGGTCCGAATCTAGTTAGGCCCGGTATATAATCGATAGTCCGGTCCTAGTTTAACTCCATATTATTTTGGCCCAATCCATGCATGTTTGAGTTTTGATCAAATTTTGATTGTTTTTTAACAGCATGATTAGTAGTATGGAACAGTATGATGTGTCTTGTCAGTTGCCACTCGAATTCTTAATCTATTGTCACTAATACAACCGTAAAATTAATGTCACTAATCTACCCAAGTAAAAATGCCAATAAAGGAAGAAAACTAACTAGTAACTTGCTCGGAATTTGATTATTTTACGTTTCCCCATCTACAAACGTTAAAGTTTCAACAAAACACAATACTATACGAACATAAACATAGGAACAAAGAGAAAAGAGTCATTACAAAACATTAAACAAATAAACAAGAGGAAGAAGAGAATGAAAGAAAACAAAAGACGTCAAAACCAAACTCTCGACCTTGAACAAACCACCCAAATTAAACAAACACTCTCTCCACTTTAAAGTTTTCTCTTCATTCTTCCTCGGCGGTTGCGTTTGGCTGAGGCGACCACTTCTCTTCTTCCTCCTCCGATGGTTGCGGTCCTTTTGGTTCTTCTCCCGGTGTTTGCGGTTGTGGTGGCTTCTGAGGTTGAGGCTGAGGCGGGTGCTTCTTCTCTTCTTCTTCTTCTTCTCGTTTCCTCCTCTCTTCCTCTTCCTTCTTAGCCTCCTCTTGCTCTTTCTCCCTCTCATCCTCTCTCCTCTGCGACTCCCCTTCCGCCTTAAGCTTCTCCATCTCTCCTTCCGCACAAGAAGGACATCCCAACACAACCGCCTCCTTCTGAGCTCCCAAAATTCCAGAGATCAACACACTGCTCACATTAAACGACGCAGCCAATACGTCCTGGTCAAGCAACCGCAAAGCCGAGCTCTTCCCGGCCAAGAACTGCGGCTCGTTGTTCCTAGCCGAAGTAGTAAACCCAACGAATATCAACGAGTCATTGTCGAAAGACAGTTGAGCCATTGGATGTAACCGCGGGACAGCGAAAATATCTCCTTCCTCCACCTTAAACCTCTTGTTCTTGCACTCCGGTGATGATCTTGATATCGAGTTCCTAAGCACACGAACCATCCCCGATCCTTTCAACACAATCGATATCTCGCAAGCGGATGGGTTCCAGTGCGGTCCCATCATCGACCCCTGAGTTAGGTTCACCATGAAAACGCCAACCGCCGAGCCTTTCAACACTTTGAGATCCTTTGTGTTGATCGTTATGGTACGACCGTTTTCGCTCTGGAAATCCGGTTCGGACTCGAAAACGTTAAATGGCTTTGCACTCTTCGTCTTGGGCTTCTTCTCCTTCTTCTCCTTCTTCTTGTTCTCTACTAGCTCCATCACCGACTCTGCGGTTTTCTCTCCGGCAAAGAGTTTGAGCAAACGCGGCTGGAGGTGCCACGTGTCAGTGTTGGCCTCACCAGGTGAAGGCAGCATATCTTGCACGATCAACGGTGGCTGCGTTCGGTTCTTCATCAGCCCTATTATATCTTCAGGAACCTAATTTGGAAGCATCGAGTTTAGGAGATCACTTAACACAGCTCAAAACATCGTCAACTAGAGTAACTTGGGAAGCAAGATTAAACAAAACACATGCATACCCCAAAAGCTGACTGGAGAATTGTCTCATCAAAACCAAACAAGAGATCTGTGATACTCGAGTATGCACCAAAGCAAGGATCCTGCATATACGGAAGACGATGCGATTAGAAGAAAGATGTCGAGAAAAAAAAAATAAATGAAAAATAATATAACTAGCTTACATGTAAACACTCCTCGCTATTGGAAAAGATTGCATAAATCCTAAGTTTGGTTCCAAGGAAGATATCCACCGGTTTGCTCTGTAAGTAGAAAACCGTACCGGGACGTAACCTGTAAACGTCCCCTCGTCTTATCTCCGAACTCGTCGCTTTCTCTTCCACCCAATTCAGAATCCCACTTCCTATACAATCACAACAAAATCCAACTTTAACCTAATGAAACTTCCAATAAAAAAAAAAAAAAAAAAAAATATGACATATGGAACAGTTTATATGTACCAGACTCGACAAAGAAGACCATGTCGGAATGAAGAAGAAGAGGGAGCAAAAGCGTGTTTGGCTCCAGCGTTATGGAATGTATCTTGTAAGGCCCCATTCCGCCGCATCCATCGCCGATTTGCACGGTTGAGATCTGTCCGTAAGTTGTCGTGAAGATTGGTTTCCATTGATCTTTCTTGATCAGAAGAGGCGTCGAGAACCCGCAACATGACGGCAAAGAAACGGCGTTGTTTTCGTCCGACTCATCAGACTTCTCGGACTTAGCCGACTTAGCCAACGACTCAGTGGAGAGTAGTAAGATAACGAGAAGAACAGAGAGTGGCACTACAGTAAATTTAGTCATCTCTGTTTTAAAATTTATTTGTTATTCAATGCAAAGCGTAATAAATTGTTTAAATATAAAGAAACTGGAAATAGATAGAGAAAGTGCATGTGTTAGTGAAGGACGTACAATTACTACGTGTGTTAATTGTTTGGACACGTGCTTGCCTCCGTCGACAAGTACATGGTTCTTCGATAACAAGTACAAATGATCGCTAAAATACAAAAGCTAGAGTTTGAAAAAACAAGCTGATAAGAACCGTTGGTGATAATATTGTACATGTGAACAACAGAGATGCATAGTTTGTATCGCAAGACCAGTTATATGTCACAGGTTTCAGCTCTTTACTCATTATTGTAAACTCGTGTTACCATGCATGCCTATTGCCTACTATTGTGTCATATGCATTATCTTCGTTTGACGCCAGTTTGTTTTGTCATGTTAGAGCATGTTTAATGGGGGAAGCTTAAGAGAGTGCTTAAAAGATTTTTTAATATTAAAAGTGTGTTAGCACCTGTGTTAAAATTCTCTGTTTTTTTCTGCTTTAATGGGAGTATCTTAATTTGGGGTGCTTAAGAAAAAAAATTAATTTTAGTTTTATTAGTGAACAAAACATAAAATACATTGCATAAATTAAAATTTGAAACATACTTAACATACAAACATTTTAAACATAAAATTCAAGAACATAAACATAAATAAAAACTTAACCAGCATGTTAAGTATCTCCAAAAATATGTGAATAAAGATGTCCAAATGTTTCTCATATATTCTCAACCAAATTTCATTACCAATGACAAAAAGACCAAGATTTTAACAAAAGGTAACAAACTTTGATAGATTTCAGAGAACAATGACAACAAGAACAATCAAAACTTAAAAAAACCAACCATAAATCAATTCACGAATACATCAAACACCAAAACGTTACCTTTGCAAATGCATCAAACCCAATCCTCCCACAAACTGCAATCAAACCCCAAAAATGTTTTAAACATTTTATCAGCATATGGTCAAGTCATAAAGCATTAGTCAATGAGGTAATCATTAACAAACCTTGACTACGGTCTGGCTGAACCACTCGATGAGACCGTATTTGTTAAGATAACCAGCCATTGCAATGAGAGCAGCGAACCACGTGAGCGTGTCCCATGCGACCGACTCAGCTAAGCACTCTTTCCATGTCACAACACCCGTCACAAGGAGGACCGATAATCCAAGAATAGCTGCAGTCACAACATCTACACTCAACTTAGCTCCGAATATCCAGAGACCAACCTGTGTCAAGTAGAGAACTTGTTTAGAAAATGAAAAATCTTGTGCCTTATAAAACACCAAAGCAGAACATTTTCACTCAATAGCAAAATGCCTCAAACAAAAGCAGAGCCTTTGCTTCATCCAAATTAAGCAGAAGCTACAATTGCAGTCATGATAGCATATACTGTCCTCTGTTCAAAAGCAATCCCGGAGAAGATTTAACAAACATAAGAACAGAGCTCATGAAGAAAAAGAAGTAGTGTACCGTGAGAAACAAAGTGGCGGCCATAATCAACTCGTTCTTGGACATAGGACTCATCTTGTCAAGCTTTTCCTGAGCCAGCTTCGGTGCATCAGGGCTGCTCTTCACTGTAGGAGGATAAATCAAATACAAGGGAAACGGGACGACAATCAATGACACAAGTCCAGGGACAATCGCAGCTTTAGCCCAATCAGTCCATCCAATTGTCTGCTTGATCATGTTAAACGCAGAGCTCGTTAATTGACTGCAAAAGACAAATCCAAATGGAAATTATTCAAGTTTTAAATACGGTTGCATCCAAAAGCATTAAATTTTAAGTTTCAACAAGAGAATTTTGACCAAATCAAACCACAAAAACACTAAAACTCTAAATCACAAGTAAACGAGATTTCCTAAACTAAATCGGCAAGATAAAAGCAATTTTCAGTGCCTAACGAACACCTGAGTCCTATTTGACCACGATTTACAGCCGACTATTGAAGAAAACTTACCATGCACAGAGGAGAAACAATCATCGATTGACATCTGCTGATCGTTGTTTGTTCTTCGCCGATTCTCATCTCCGAACGGTTATTACGAGAGCACACCAGCGGAAGCATGAGAAATGGACTGATTTCTCATCGGAAATCGATGAAGCTTTCCAAACGAATTTGAATCGCCAAATCGTCTTCGAAGAGCACCGGAGAAGTGAGTGAGAGGAGAGAGAACCGACTGAGAAAAATGAGAAAAAAATAGTTTTGTTCCGTCTCATTAAAGAGGAACCAATCAGCTCCTGCCACGTGGCACATAAGCGTCGGATTCTCGAAAGATATCTATTTTTTATTTAATTAAATACTTTTTTTTTGCTAAGCGGCGCATTAAGCGTCCCGCGTTATTCATGCTCTTATTTCCTAAAAGGCCAGTTTTTGACGGGCCTGTTTATTTATAGTGTTTGGTCCAAACTGTATTCTCTCTGGCGAGGAGTTACTGAAATCCATATGCCAACCAACTTTACTTGAATGCATGAGCATTGAGATTGCCATTCTAATCACATTTTTCGGTTGATTGGATTATGTAATGAAGTTGAACTATAGTCCATGATCTTTAGTTGTCAGATTATCTCAAACTTGTAAAACTCAATTCAGAAGTATATCCTTTTTAGTGTTATTCATATATATAAGTATTGATTCAAAAATGGGAATACCCAAATAAATAGACCAACCGATGTTGGTAACGTATGAAAATCAAAGACACTAACTGTGATGAGTATTGTGTTTGACTTTATGACTTATGAGCAAGGAAAATTATATTCGATGGAAGTGAAGTTGAGACGTACGTGATCGTGAGTGTGTTTTGGTTGATTGTATGCTCCTGGACAAAATAACTTTTGGGTTGTTCAAAAAAAAAAAAAAAAAAAGGACAAAATAACTTTTATATCTGAAGTCTCAAACTTATCAAATCGTACTTTTTGATCTTCAGATTTTCAAATATCAAAAAAGAATTTGAAACTCGCATTTCACAGGAAGATCACCATGAACCATATGTTAATTAACCTTTATTTTTATTATTAGGCACGCCCTTATGGGAATTATATTTTATCAACGATCTTTAGTTTTTATTATTATTTAGATGTGTTTATTATATTGTGAATGACATAAAATAAGAATCTACTAAAAAACAAACACTTTTGTGAACATGAAGCATCTCTTTTTAGTAGAAGGAAGAAACGTCTGTTTGTCGTGGATCATCGGCCTCTCTTTCCTTTCCTTACTTCCTAAGTATATAACTCCTTTTTTCTATATATATAAAAATTATTTTTGTGGGTAGTAGTGTGTTAGAGAAAAAATATCCCAATGAAAAGGACATACGCAGCTGCCTCTAATTTTACTATACAAAAATTTACAATTAGAATTACAATTTCTAACTCACAAAGACAATTACTACTACATATAGTTTCACAACGAACTTATTAAGATTTCGTAACATCTTAGTTATGACTTACGAGACAGTATGGTAGTATACTCAATAAAAATCACAGTTCATGTGATTAATTAAATTACAATCACAGAAACGAATTAGAAAGAAACCTTTGGCAGTGGCCCAATTTTGGTAACGAGAGAATCCATTGGTCGATCAGTAAAAGAATATTGGCAGAGTGGGAATATAAGATATGATCGTTCAATCGTTTAATACTGTATATGATCACGTGTGTAATAAACAGAAGTTGTTTTAGTTACCAACCCATTTTATCAAGATGTTCATTCCTCTGGAGGGTACTTGGGCAAAATTCCAATCATGTAGGTAAGAATTAATTCCTATTTCGAGACATTATAATATGCAGAACATTAGGTGATGTTTTTGTATCTTATTTTCATAGTTACCTGAGACAAAAGACATATTGAAACACATTTTCAGAAATTCTAGGTAAAAGGAACTAATCTAAAGCTCATACCATCATTACGCATACTTAAGTCATGCAATGTTTTCATAAACTGCGGCAATAATCGCTTGTAAGATGATTAAACTATCAAGCAATGATTTATTAGTATCATAAAACTATTCTAATTACAAGAAAAGAGTATATTCAAATAATGCGGAATGGGTTTTGTAGTTTTCTGGTGAAAAAAAGATCATTTCCCAATAAGTGAAGAAGAGAACATATTCTTCTTCCGCTCTCACGGAAGTGGGGGCTATCAAGTAAAGTGGGCGTGATTCTTACGCGCTGACTTAATGATCAGTCAAGCTCTGTACGGTAAAAACCAATATATTCATTCAATGGCCCATGGGCTTCTACGGCAACATCTCCGACAAAATTACCTCAAAAGTAAGCCCATTGTGGGCCCGGTCACTTTCCCCTGCTTTTTACCGTTGAAATGTGGGATCCACATCCAGCCCAGTGGTCACTCTTTTTTTCCTTTTTGGAATTATTGTCCGTTAAACAGATCGATATGAATTATACATCCAATAACCACTCTAAACGTATGTAATTAGTGTGATATTATGTGACAGATACGGAATCATTTGTTATGTCTACAATCACATGTAATTAATTTGTTTTCTCTGCTATGAAGCGTTTGTATGGTTAAAAATATACTTTTATTTTTAATTATGAATCTTTTACTTATCTCCATAGTTCAGTTTAGCAGTGCTACTGCTATGTCGAAATTCCTTCTCGGTCAATCAGTAAATTAAATGCAAATTTTGTTTTGAAATAGTCTAATATTTTAGAATGAAAAAGACTCGAAAAATCCCACTCAGACCAAAAGGAAAGAAGAAGAAATCATTAAACTTTTCTTTTCGTTTTTATGAGCAAGAAATCATTAACCTTTTCTTAACTAACTTTTTATTCTTTTCAGCTTTTACCTTCTTCATGATAACCATAGTGGAGCTTGTATCTCTTTCCACCTAATGATTTCTCTTTAGGAAAAAAAGTTGTAGAGGAACTTTATTTATATTTCAGCTCATCGGAGAGCCGGAGAATTTGGTAGTTGTGTAATTTAGAAACAAATTTTAACACAAAGATGTGAATTTTTAACTGTGAAAACAAAATGGTCTTGGTGCTTTAACTTCTCAAGTCACAAACAATATAATTTGGCTAATCTCAAAGCGTATGCAATACAGTATCTCAAACATTTTCAAGTGACTTTTACATATAAGGTGCCAAATTTGGTTAAACGAAGGTGAATCATAGACATTAACAAAGACCGATTGAAGCCTTTTAATTTGGGAAAATCTCTAAAGTAGTGAAAGATATGTTATCAAGAGTTTGAATGTAGACTAAAAAGTGAAAATAAAACGGAATCAAATACTTAAAATCAATTTCACTTTCAACTTGATTTTTTTTCTTGGTTTTATTCTCTAAACCAAAAACCCGGATTAGACACGCTTACCAAAGTAAAAAAAAACTTTTTTGCACGCACTCCCTCGAAGATAAAAAGCTTAGCAATCATACCTTTCAAAAGCCCCGCCACCTTCTTCTTCCTTTTTCTCTCCCAAACTTCCACAGAGAGCAAAAAAAAAAAAAAAAAAAACTTTTTTCCTTTTTCTTTCTTTTGTTGCCTCAACTTTCTTCTCCACCAACATGAAAATCCCTGCATCGTCTCCTCAGGACAATCAACCATCGAACACGACCAACAATAATAACACTAACAGTACTGATAGTAACCAATTATCCATGGACGAACATGTGATGCGTTCCATGGATTGGGATTCGATAATGAAGGAATTGGAGCTTGATGTTGATGATGACTCTGCTCCTTCTTTGAAAACCGGATTTTCAACCACCGAGTCTGCAATCGGTCCACTTTACGCCGTCGATTCCAATCTCCCTGGGTTCCCCGATCAGATTCAACCGTCGGATTTCGAGTCATCCGATGTTTATTCCGGTCAAAATCAGACAACCGGGTACGGGTTCAATTCTCTCGACAGCGTCGACAATGGAGGATTTGATTTCATAGAAGATCTCATCCGAGTCGTGGACTGTGTCGAATCGGACGAGTTACAGCTCGCTCAGGTGATTTTGTCACGGCTCAATCAACGCCTGAGATCTCCGGCGGGTAGACCGTTACAGAGAGCGGCGTTTTACTTCAAGGAAGCTCTTGGCTCGCTGATAACCGGATCAAACCGGAATCCGAACCGGTTATCTTCATGGTCGGACATTGTTCAGAAGATCCGAGCGATCAAAGAGTTTTCCGGGATTTCTCCGATTCCTCTCTTCTCTCATTTCACGGCGAACCAAGCGATCCTCGATTCGCTTAACTCGCAGTCTTCTTCTCCGTTCGTCCACGTGGTGGATTTCGAGATTGGATTCGGTGGTCAATACGCATCGCTCATGAGAGAAATCGCGGAGAAATCCGTCAGCGGCGGGTTTCTGAGAGTTACGGCGGTGGTGGCGGAGGAGTGTGCCGTCGAGACGAGGCTAGTCAAAGAGAACTTGACTCAGTTCGCGTCGGAGATGAAAATTCGTTTCCAGATCGAATTCGTTCTGATGAAGACTTTTGAGATGTTATCATTCAAGGCGATTAGGTTCGTGGAGGGAGAGAGAACCGTCGTTTTGATCTCACCGGCGATATTCCGCCGTCTGAGTGGTATCGCTGATTTTGTGAACAATTTACGGAGAGTTTCACCAAAGGTCGTCGTTTTCGTCGACAGCGAAGGATGGACGGAGATCGCCGGATCTGGATCGTTCCGGAGGGAGTTTGTTAGCGCTCTCGAGTTCTATACGATGGTGCTGGAGTCGCTAGACGCAGCTGCTCCTCCCGGAGATTTGGTGAAAAAGGTCGTGGAAGCGTTCGTTTTGCGACCGAAAATCTCCGCAGCGGTGGAAACGGCGGCGGATAGGAGAAATGGCGGTGAGATGACTTGGCGGGAAGCGTTCTGCGCCGCCGGGATGAGGCCGATCCAGCTAAGCCAGTTCGCCGACTTCCAAGCTGAGTGTTTGCTGGAGAAAGCGCAGGTTAGAGGATTCCACGTGGCAAAACGACAGGGAGAATTGGTGCTGTGCTGGCACGGAAGAGCTCTTGTTGCCACGTCAGCTTGGCGGTTTTAGCTAACCGGATCGGGTGTGTAGATTTAGACTGGTTTGGTTTAACAATAATAGAAGAAATCAAATTGTATCTACGCCGTTCAATTTTCTTTTTAGCTCGAACCTTTTTTGTTTTTGCTTTTTAATATTTTTGGTGTTTCTAATTTAAAAAAAGAAAATAAAAATACTTTCTTATTATGAGTCTCTCTGTTTGAGGAAGAGTCTTTAATCAATAATCATTCAAACACAAGTGACCTTAATCGAGTGTGTAAAACCGAGTTCGTCAATCTGGTAAACCGACGTACGAATCTCCGATGAGCGGCTTTGCTTCACATATTCCATCTATGGCGCTTCTCGGATCCGGCTTCACCAGCGAGGTAAGATTTGATCAATCAGACGGCTGTTTCTTCTTTTACGGCTTTTGTCCCGATCCGTTTTTGAAGGACTCGCTTGTATTAATGGCAATTATGTCGATTACTTGATTGCGATATGTATGTTGAGGGATTGGTTTGTAATCGTCTTCCTTCAATTCAAAATTACCGTTTCCTGCGGTGTTCTGGTCATTGAAAAGTTTAGGTCTTTGTGAATATTTGTCTTCTGGGTTGCATTGACCGGTGGATTTGGATTTCCTCTGTAGCGAATTTATCTTTTGGATTAGTTTCTGGAGTCAATTGGAGAACTGATGTTTTGAATTTCTGAACTTTTGGAGAATTCTCAGATTTTATGTACATGATTTGGATTGAGATGAACATGATTTATGAAAATATTTGTTTCGTTCTATGGCATTTCAGGTTGGGTTACGTGTATTGCTTTCTCCACTTGGTTCCAATGTCGTACTTCGTACAGCATGGTGAGTATTTTCTTCTTCTTCTCACCAAATTCTAATTGTAAGATGATAGCCATCTAATTGCTAAGTCAATGGTACATTAAGATGATTTGGGTGATTTGATTGATGAATGATGAGATTATGTTCGGAATAGGTAGATTCTTGTTTGGCTTCAGTCACATACGAAGCAATAGGGCAGGGTGTTTTTGGGTTCTTTTACTCTATTAAAACCTGCTTTTGACTCAGTGATTTGGTTATAAAGGAAACTTTTTTGCGGTATGTCTGAATCTTGTTTCCTGCAGTTGCTCGATTGGGATTGGGTTACCTGTTTACTCCACCTTCAAGGCAATTGAGAGTAGAGATCAGAATGAACAACAGAAATGGCTTATTTACTGGGCAGGTTGGATATTGTAACATTTCTAATTCCTTTCGTCATCTCATCTTCAAGAGTTTATCGCAGTCTTCTTTCACATGGCATTTAATACTTTACTCTCTCTCTTCACCTTCTTTGCAGCTTATGGTTCTTTCAGCCTTGTTGAAGTGTTCACTGACAAGCTCATTTCTTGGTACGATTGACATCTCTAATCTTAATGATTTGCCTATTACGTTAGATATACAGTTTCGTGTCTCGTGCATAGTATTGATAACTGAACAAACTCTGTTCGTTTTCAGGTTTCCAATGTATTATCATGTGAAGTTTGCGTTCCTCGTCTGGCTTCAACTCCCAACCATCGAGGTACCTTTTCCCGAATCCCTTTGCAACCATCATCTAACATTTTAAGAAAAGCTACGTTCTCAATTTGCTTACTTTTTCCGGCGATAGGGAGCAAAACAAATATATAGCAACCACCTTCGTCCTCTCCTCATACGACACCAAGCTAAAGTGGATCGACTCGTGGATGGAGTATATACGGAAATGGTACATTATTGCTTTCTTCAGAACTCAAGACTATTCCACATTCTCGAGCTCATTTACAAATGCTCTAAAACAAAACATTTGCAGGTCAAGGTGGTTAGGTCACACCAAGGAGAAATCCGGTTTGTCCGATCAATGATTGTCAAAATTTTGGGATCAGGTACATCCAAAACCCTTATTTCTCTATCACGGCATAACTATACTCGGTTATTCAACTGTGGATTGTGTTTGTTCTCACAGGCAATGAGGTTGCACCACCAAGCCAACGACAAGGAGAAATCGAACCCGGATCATTAACCGCGACAAACCGAGATTCAGAATCATCGGATTCTGATCACGAAGACTAATAAAAACAAAGTGTAGTAGTCATTAGCTTTTACAGCTTTATGTCGAATCTCTATTACACAAAAATGTCAAACGATTGTATAGTCATCATATATAATCTCAAATAACTTTTAGACTGGTTTACAAATAAGTTTTGCTTTTGCGTCCGGTGTTTAAAAATCCCAATAACTTGTTATAAAAAGCTCCATGTTTCCTAACTGTTAATTTGCTCCTTCACCATCTTTGGAACCAGCAGCATTCTGTTCTAGATTAGCTACAGCCTCTGGTCCATGCACTCTCAGCAACTCATCCTGTTCAATGAGTCCGTGTAAGTAAAAGCCAAGCGAATGGATTTGATTCAAGTTCTTGATAAGAGTTTGTTGTTACCTGAATAGAGTTGTTCTCAGTCTTGAGCTTCTCACATTCTCCGGAGAGTCTCTGGAGCTCATCTCTCAGGCTTTGGTTCTCATGCGTCAAACTCTCTACCCTCTGTTGAAGCTGTTCGCATTCCGCCTATATTCAAAAGTGTGTGTATATTAAGGAATGAGTAACTTCATGAGGAAGAGAGCAAAATGATACTAAGACAGAGAGAGTAGTCAATTACCTGCTTCCGCAATCTAGACCGTCTAGCGGATTCACGGTTAGATTGTTTCCTTTTCTGCCTCTTGAGCTCTCTCTCATCCTGTAGAGCAAACACAGGAGTTTATCACAACCAAATCAGAATGGCTACGTGAGGATAAGATATGAATGGTGAGTTGGTCTCACCTTCACAGGTACACCAGCTTGGGAAGCCCATAAGTCCATCCCAATATTCAGATTAGTCCCTGGAGCTACTGGCTTCATGGGCACTGAACCTTGGATCTCACCGGTAGTGTTACTCTGAGAACTTGCTGCTTGAAGGAAACTACACCAAGTCAGAATGCAAACAGTGGAAAACCAAAAGCTTGTGGTGGACGAAAAGCTTACCATCTGCTAGCATCTGTCCAAAGCTTGGCTTTCTAACTGAGCCTTGATCCTACATTAAACATGAAATTCAATCAAACATTGCACAAAGAATTGATAGCAACAGAGAAGCACACGTCAAACTCATATAAAGTACCTGGTGGTTGGCGTTTTCATCGTTTTCATCAGATGAGCCAGCTGTCACACTTTCATCACTGCACAACGGAGAAATCATCATTACATCACATCAAAGCATAATCCTCATGAACAAGTGAACACAAAGAATGGAGCATTTTTAGGTAGTACCTTTGAGATACGCCATCGTTCCCTGAACCAGAAGGAGCTTTCTCAGCTCCATCACCTTTTCTTTTCAAGTTCCCCTTTGACTTCTTGCCAGAAGCTTGGTCCTTCACAGCCTCCTTGTTGGTTGGACCAGTAGTAGGAGGCTACAACAGAAAGAATATCGAGCAAAGTTTTCAATGGTGTCTAACAGAGCAAAAGAGCTATAAGCGATCACTTGAATGGTATGGGAGATTACCATGGGCATGCTCGGATGAGCATAGACTGCCCCCGGAGGATACATTGCAGGGTACGGAACTGGGGTCCCATAAGGCGGCATCATATGGTGCTGAGAGTATTGAACAAGACAAAATAAAACTCAAGTTAATGTCACCCAAAGAACAAAGATGCATAAGAACACATGAACAAGGATACAATGGAAGCTTACTTGAGCACCCCACATATACGGGTGAGGACTTGGAGATCCAACTGGGGATGGGAAAAATGGATTTGGAGTCCCTCCTCCGCCATAATAAGCCTAAAAGAAATGAACATACTTTTATATTCTGCATCGAGAAACAAGACGCTACACTAAGAGAACTAATTGTGCATATCAGACGAACCTGCATTGAATTTGACCAGTCTGGATACGGTGTGGGAGGAATGTCCTACAAGCAAGAGATAGATACATCAAAACACATGCAGATTAAAGAAAAACGTAATCCAATTGTGTAGTTTCTGTATCCATGAATTTCCAATACAAAACGAAAGTGAGGAAGAAGAAGAGAAGGACGAACCTGCGCCGAAGATGCTGGCTTGGAAGGCTTAAATGGGGTCTTTTCTTCGCTCGTTCCCATTGTTTTGTGAGCTATTCAAGTCGCGTTACGCAAGTCTATAAACAAGGACCAATATCCGTCAAGACAAAAGATTTAGGGAGTAAAGTCAACAGAGGATCTAGTCAACATGAAGTTTAAATCCAAAACTCAAAAAGGATGAAGCTTTAAACAGAACAAGACGAGCAAAATTCAAAACTCGAGAAAGATAATTACTTTGAACAGAGCAAGAGCAAGTACAACCACAAAGATCTAATTTTAACATGAATTCTACCTACCCAGGCACAGCCTCTATTTGCAGAATTGTTTGACGAATTCAATCTAATTTCAACACACAATCATTCATAAAAGAGTACATCTGCACATGCAAGAGTGTTTGCATATAGAATTTAGGCTAATAACGAAAAGACGAAAAAAAAACAGAGTGATGTGGAAGTCCAGCTAGGATATTACCTAATTTATAGAGAGAGAGATGAGACAAAGATGCCGACACGTCCTCTCTCCTCTCCGACAGATCAGACAGAACTAGAGAAACAAAAAACTCCGAGTCGCAGCTCCGAAGAAGATTGTTTCAGATTGTTTCTCTAGGGTTCTCTTAGTTGTTCATTGAATCTGTCGGGAAACTGAAAGATAGGAAAAGGAAAATTAAAAAGAGGATTGAGATTCTCCGATCTGGTGTGGCGAAGTCCGATAGGAGGAGAAGAATGCGAAGAAAGAGGAAAGTTTTGGTTTTTTGATTTTTTTTTTTTTTAATTTGTGGGGATTTAGGGTTTGTTGATCTGACACGTGCGACAAGGAGAGGTCCAGCTGTACACGTGTTACTGGATAAGGTTTTGACACGGTAGCTACAGTTGGTGTGACTCATCTACTCATTTATTTATTTTATAATTAAATGAGATATCATTATCTCCTAATGACATTTGTAACACTTTTCAGTTACTGATTAAGAATGTAATCTTTTTAGCTCTTTGTTATATTTTTTTCCTTTAAGATAACAAGTAAAAGCTGTTTTCGAGGTTTACATGTTTTCCTCGTTTTATAATTAAAAGCTTTTCAGTTGTGAATTATTTTGCGTAGAATATTAAAATTACTTGCTGGTGAAAATACCATGACTCATAATCTGGTAACAGGAACATGTGTTAAAAAAACTAAAAAAAATAAGTTTTTGACAGTTCTAGATATTTAACCAATGTTCGAGACGGGCTCCTTGCCAAGCTAATTCGGAAGACCCTTGTATGACATTTATGGGCCCATTGGGCCTCATTATATAAGTGGTAAAATATTCCGAACAGTCACCGGCCTATACCGTTGATTTCAAAGATGACTCAAAATCTTGCAAGCTTTAAAATATGACTATATATATATATATCAAAATTTACTTTCTTTGACATCAAAATATCAATATTCTGCACATGTTTACAAAAACAAAATGATAAGTTTCTTTTAAATGTAACGAGCATTACCATTGCCATTATGTAATTGATGTGATGGATCACCGAATAAAAAAGTTGATAAACTTTTTCTTAATTTGATCATAGGACGAGTCAGAACAATATAATACAACACGTTGGATACAGTGAATGTGTTGAAAAGTGGTTACGAGTACTTAAAAACAATCGTTTTAGGAAAGAGCCATTACATTACGTTTGCTTTACACTTCGCTTTCTAGTTTCTATTTACCCAAAGAGATTACATCAAATCCCTCACTTATTCGCCAAACATTTCTTCGTGGATCCACCATATCTAAACTTTACGAGACCAGCACATTTTCGGTCGATAATTTGAATTAGGATTTAGTATATGTCTTGATCAAAAATATTAGAACGTCAATCAAAATCCAAGCACAACTTTTGCTATGTAAATCAAATATCATCTAAGGAGACAAAGTCGCTATGTAATTTTTGCATTGATTTTGTAAAAGCACGTTACAATAGCGAGAGACCCATCGTCATTAGATTTGTACATAAGAAATTCAACAATTAATATAATATAAGCATTTACTGATAAATATGCTTCCTAAATTTCGACACTAATTAACATAATTAAACATTACATTAGCTAGTAGTTTTAAATGTATAGACCCATCCATTCTACTCCGTCGATGTAACTGTTTTCCGGCACAGGATAAAACAAGTTATTATAGTCATCACCATCGTCTCCGACTGTATAGTCTCCAAAAAATGGTGTTTCGTTGGCTTCGACGGAAACGGAAACGGAAGACGAAATGGGACTGTTGCTTGAACCTCCTTCTGCTCGTTCTGCTAATCTTTGGATTTCCCTTTCTGCATCATAGAGTTGTTCCTTGAGCTGAAGAACCTGAGGAAAGTTGTAAAATTAATCATTAAGTAACTAATTACCCCCGACTAAACTTTAAATAAATGAGTTTTTTTTTTTTTATCAGTGGCATACTCATCGACAAAGACAAGTCACTAATCACACTATAAAGAAAATTAGTGAACACTGTACGTACGGAACACACAGTATTTTATGTTGTGTAACAAGGTGGCATTTTATTGTTCGATGTCGCTTTTTTTATATTCTCAACTTTCTGTATTATTATTTCTTGATTTTTTTTTTTTTTTTTAAACTTCGAGCCCTGAGCCTTTTAAATCTGAAATACATCCCTTTCATATTCCTATAATAATTAAACGCATATAATTAACAAAAGATAATACAAGAAAAAGAAAAAGAAATACCTCAGACTCAAGTCGGCTCTTGTCGACAACGACGTTATCATGTGAGTTCTTGAGTTTGTTGTACTCTTCCTCGAGCCTTTTGTTCTTCCACCGTGCACGGCGGTTCTGAAACCAAACGGCAACTTGACGAGGGTCAAGCCCTAGCTCCGCCGCTAGTCTATCTTTCCTCTCCGACTCAAGCTTGTGCTCATCGCCAAAATTCATCTCCAACATGTTCACTTGTTCATCCGTAAGCTTTCTCTTCCTAAACAAGCCGTTGCTTCCATCTCCGGCAGCCACCGCTCCTTTGCTCTTCTTTCTCCTCCGCTTCGGCTGCTTCACTTCTCCTATACCGACCAATAGAAAATAAAAGCAAATTAATAAGAAATACTCTAATAACCGATATATGTGAAAATAAAGTTGGTTTTTCTTTACTTTTAGTTTCTTGATGTGAGTACACATGCACGTAGATGATTATATCAATATTTTTAGGTGTACGCGTGTTAGTCGAGAACTTCTTTTTTCGGAAAAACTCAAACAGAAAACCCACTTGACCTTGTATAACTTCTTCCAGAATTTTTTGTGGGTTTTCAGATTTTTGAAACAAAAAATATTGAAAGCTTCGTATAAACTAATTAAAATAATAGAGTATGGGGGCCTTATAAGCAAATCCATATTCAAAAGAAAGTGATTGAGATTTTCGGAGAAACTCATAACCAAAAAAAAAAGAGGACAAACCTTGTTGTGGTACAATCTGAGTGTAGACATCAGGGTACATTTGAGAGATAAAAGCCATGTTTTGATCATCCACCGAGTGGTTCATGTTCTTGGATCTCTCTTTCTCTCTGTCTTAATTTGTCTCACTTTTTATGAGATGTGAGAAGTTGTGTTGGGGAAGAGGAAGACCTATGATTTATAAAGAGTGTAGGTGTCAAAAAATGAGTTTTTTTGGGGGGTATGAAATGTCATTTTCCTGATGTGGGCTTCTTGTTTTTTAATATTACGGAACTGCCACAATACATAATTACACTCCTAATCCTAAGCCTCGTTGTGATTTGCGAGCCGAGTCCTATGACCTTATACGACCTAACTATAAAATACTTTGAACATTTTATTCTGTACGAATAACAACACTCGGTATTTAGTTACACGTCATTGATACGATACGAGAATGAAAAGTCGAGACTTAGGCACATGAAACTCACAAAAGTGAAAAGTGTATTCGTTAACGTACTAACATACTGTATTTGCGAGTCTCTACTATCGTATATAAAAATGGAAGGAAGACCAATAAATAAAGAACTGTTTCGCATGACCGTGCTGTCCAATGGAGAGGACATACACCGGTCTCAATGTCCTCCACGACCCAATGAAAAATAGAAGATATTACTTTAGAACTGAAAAGTTAGAAGAAACAAAAACAGGGTTGGCCAATAAGCAAATCAATTACTTAGATTACTTGCTTGGTCTAAAGCCACAGAGGATATTCTTGTGGATCAAAAGAGAAAAGAGATACTTTAAAGTAGTTGAAGACTTAGAGGGAGTGTAGACTTGTCGTCATCTTCGAACTCCAAAGCAAAGATCATTAATTAGTTTTACTTACTTATCTAAAAATGGGTCCAAGTCCATGTTCATGATGTTAATTGCTTTTAGATGTGGACTCTCCTAACAGGTTTATCTTTTTAGTTTTTATTATAAAGAAGAAAAATAATTTCGAGTGAAGACTTATAGCAGAATAGCTAATTATCAGTACTCATCATCATGGTATTATCATTTTGTTAAAGAAAGTTCAAATCTATAATCTATTGTTATACAAACGTGAAGCACTGATGTTTTGAAACTGCACTAGCGAATTCATATTGTTGACGTACGTATTCGTTACATTAAATTAAAAGAAAACGATAAAATGGATGATATATTATGATACTTGATAATTCAACCCGACTAATCTCACGGTCTAATCAAAGGCATCGTCTGCATTGTAGATGGTGACTATTAGGTTCGCACTGATAAGTCGGTACTGGAGATTTTTATCGTTATTGAATTCAATGTTTCACGTTTTCATTCTTTATAAAGTTTATTTTATATGACAAGATGTAAAGAGAGAAAAAGGAGGGGAGACAAAAGAACATGATGGGAGTCATATGAAAGGAATACAACAACGAAACGTGGCGAATAACAACACAACCAAGCGTACGTATTACATTATTTTTAATTTTTAAAATACTTGTTAATTTTGTGTAGAATATAGAGAAAGTAAATGGAATCACAGGCCTTTTGTCTCCCTCTTTCTTATACTAAAGGCTTCGAATCGTGACACAGATCAAAAATTGCAGATCAAATAGTAAATCCAGATCATATTGAACAAATACAGATCATGATATGTATGCAGATCAAATGCCTATCAAATATATTAAATAATTATAAAATATCATACTTAATTGGACAATAAAAAAACAAAGAAAATTTACAATATATATATAATATATAAAGTTTTCTTAGTATATATATATATATGAAATTTTCTTAAAAACAAGAAATTTAAAAATTGAAACATTATCTAAAATTTAAATTCGATTACAACATACAAAAAATTAACGTGAAATGTTTTGGTCGGTTCATAATGTACTTGCAATATGTTCCCTAATGTTAACCATAATTATATATAGAATTGTAATTTATAAGCTATATTTATATATAAATAAACAAAATATCTCAAAATATTTAAAATCTTTAGTCATATATATAAAAAAAAATATATTTTTGCATTTATGAATTCATTTTACTAACTTATATGAATCTCTTTATCATAAAAGAAACATGAAACTCAAGAAATTTAAATTTTGAATTGTTATGTTTGTAATATAATTATAATGATATATATATATAATAAATATAAATATATAGTGATTGTAAAAAAAATACCTATTATATAAAAAATATGAATATGTAAAGTGAATATATTTAATTTTTAGATATAAAAATTGTTATGTTCATTAATATTTAATTATTTATTGAAAGAATCAATATAAAAAAAATCACAAAATAATATATAAATTATATAATATACCTTAAGCTACTAAGAATCTTATAGATTTAATTTTCATATATATAAAGAAATAATAATTAGAAAACCCAATATTTATAACCAATTTTTAGAAATAATTAAAAATGTAAAATACATGAAAAATTGTTATGCATGTAACAAATGTTTCTAGGCGAATTTTAATTTAACACAGGTTTTGTGGATTTATTTGTATAAAAGTAAATAATAAATTATATTTTTTTTATCATTTATAAGTAATTAAGAAATTAAAAGTAAATGAATATAATAAAATAAAAAATAGGTCTGCATGTGTTCAGGAGGTTTTAGCTCTTTCTCTGCAGATCAGAAAAATATCACAAAAAGACAAAAAATATTGATCTGCATGCAGAGTGATCTGTATTTTCTTGATTTTTTTTTTTACTTTAAATTTCCTTTTATTCATCTTCTTCCCCATCCAAGAGGAAACAACCGGATTACAAGGTAAGAAGATGGATAAATAAAAGACAAGAGGAGAAGAGACTCCGAAAATACAAATACATAAACTCATAAAACAGCAGCAGCAGCATCAAGTTAGATTTGGAAGTATTGGAACCAATTATGGAGGAAGGAGCAGTGGTTTGTGGAAGAACTCGAGGATGCCAAATAATTGGGAGCTCTATCCAAGCTGAAAAGTTTAGCTCTGAGGATGAGTTGAATCTCTCTAATCAAAACATGCGACGGCTTAAGAACCGAGGAATGAAGTCTTGAATTTCTTTCTCTCCAGACCATGTAGACAATCGCTTGAACCAAAAGCTTACAGATGGAGTTTACCTTTCCATTTGCAGTAGGTGCCTCACACCAGAGAACTCTTTCGTCAATCGAGGAGGGCAGAGTGAAATCTGAATGTGCAAAGAAGCTAGCCCAAACTTCAGTGGAATAAGCACATTCAACAAGCAAGTGGTTCCTAGTTTCAGGGACTGCATTACAGAGAAGGCAATTAGTAGGAACATTGAGGCCCCATGATCTCAAGCGATCTCTTGTGCTTAGTCGATCCCGCATAGCTAGCCAGAGGATGAAGGCATGTTTAGGAATTCGATCCTTGAACCAAACTGACTGCGTCCAAGGTATGGTCGGAGGAGAAGGATGAATAGAATCCCAAGTCTCAGAAGAAGAGAAGTATCCAGGTTGTGAATTGTGGGAGTTCCGCCACAAAAAAAACATCCTCATTATCGTTCAAAGCCGCTGGAAGGTCTGGAGGTAGGCAATCTCGAAGAAGCCTCAGAATTGGATGCCTTCCGCTAGAGAGACACCACGAGCTTCCAATACAAGCTTCCTTGATTGTTGCCATTTTCTGAATTCCTGTTACTCGAGGTCCATTAGCTCATGTATTTTCTTGATCTGTAAATAAAAGTGTGATTGGCTATGAAATACATATCAATCTGTATTTAATCTGATTTGTATTTAATCTGTATTTGTTCTGGACTTCCATTCAAGGCCTAAGTGTTTGTGTAAGCTTTCAGAACACTGCCATGTCTCTACTCTTTACATGTTCTTCCAATCCCACTTTTACATCTCTCTCTCCCCAATACACAATTGAGAAACTTTTATAATTTTTGCAAGAGACTCTTAACTGTCCGAGAAAATCCCTATTGAATCCCAACATTTTGATAATGAAAGTACCTCCCAAAAAGTTTGGCATGTGATGATACCATATTTATGATGTTTGGAATAACACACATCATGTGACAATTTGACAGTTGTATGAATATGTATTTAAACTGTTATATTAGAGTATGTTTGTGAATTTCTGTCATGTATTTATATTTTTTTTTATGTGTGTGGACAGTTAATATTCTCTACATTATTATTGTCCATGCATATTTTACACTTGCCTTTACGACCCAAAAAAAAAGAAGAAGCATAGTTCACTTCAAAAGATACCTTCGAAAACATAAGAAAATATGAATATCAGTACTCGCAGACTAACCTACACTTTTTTGTTTGAAACTTATAAAATACACTTTGACAAAACAAATTATATAATTAGCCTATTAGGTCTAATTCACATTGGCTCCTTGGTACGATACATGTTGAACTCAAATTAACGGCTAGTATAATTTAAAATCAAGAGGTGAAAAGGACAGATTCCACGCCAAAGAGAAGGAGAGGTGGTGAGAACATGGGCGTTATCCACGTGGTGACTTTCCACAAATCAGCAAAGTAGACCACCTCTTCTGTTGGTCCACGTGTCCTAATCTTCAGTTCTCGGAACCTGTCTCATTTTATTCAGACTCAGACTAATCAGATTTATTCTTCGCCCGTAACCGTCGCCGCAATCCGCCATGTTCCAGATTTTAGTTTTTTCGTGTTTTGCGAGAAAGCTAAACCCTTATGGACTTAGTATTGTTAAAATAAACAAGATTTGATTTACCGGATTTTTTGAATCATCAATAAAATAAGTACCGGCTTTAATCCGGGTTCTGTGAGGGACAATATGGCTAATATGCTTAATTGCTTATTATCCAAAATTATCAGTATTAAAAAAAACTACTAATTAACTCCTTAGACACGTACAATCCAGCTACCAAAAAGCAAGATAATGGTAATATTAATCAGACAAGCATATGGATATATTTTTCACACATTTATCCCAAAGAGGTAAAGACCTTATCCACAAAGAACCGTTTGGCTTTATGCTACCAAAAAAATAAGATCACGTTTTGATTGACTATTTTCCCACATCAACTGAACTGAAATGTAAATTGTGGAATCCAAAAAATAAAAGTTACGTGTATCTTTAGGGGTTTCCTAATTGGGAAATAAGACGAAATGCTGAACCATGAAACTCTCCACATTTTGCCAAACCGGACAATTTCAATCCCGACGTGGCAGATAAAGCAGCAACGCATTTTTGGCCCTCGTTGTCTTTTGCTTCTTGACCATTTCGCGTTTCTCTATTTCAAGACATTTTCTTAATCGTTAAGCCACTACGTATACATACCGAAGATTTATTGATCTTTAGCAGTACTGTGGTGCTATCTATGGTTTTAACCTAAGTTAGTTATCTTTTATTATATCTTCAGTTTAATACGCAACTTGATTAATCGGCTTAAATGTCACGGTTATGCGCGACAATTATGTCCATCGCTCCCTTTTTTTGAAACTCTTTTCCTCCTGCTACAGATAATTAGCAATACAGATAACTCACGCCATATATTAATATAATAATTAACCACGGATCAGAGAGATAGGTTTTACCACCATTATGCAATCACTTTATTTTTTATATCTAAAACAAAATTTATCCATTGTCCTTTAGTCCTTGCGTTGGTTCCTACCACAAATAGTGTTCAAGGTAAGTTACTATTAACCACGAGGTTAAGAAAACATTGGGATCCACATTGATTTGAATTTGCTGCTTTGGCTGTTCAAGCTTCGAGGAGCTAGATGTAAAAGTGCGATACGATCGATTGGATTGAGATATGCGATACGCATTTACTATATAGGGAAATTACAAAATCATAGAAAATTAATAAAATAAATGCTACAAAATCTTAGACACACGGAAATAAATCGATATCTTATGTTATTCGCACATACATACAATAGTACAGTATAATGAAATGTATTGATGTATTGCAATTCAGGGTCCTAAATCTATATGTAGACGTTAGGTAGTCTATAACATAATACAAATTATAATTTATCCAATAAATTGCGACAAATAGTCATCTAGTTATACATATTTCTGAGCTCTCCCATCCAGTACGTTGCTTTAATTGGAAAGTCTCAATAAATAAATTCGTAGGGCACTGACCACTTTTTACATACATACACGATAATTTAATCTTGCTTCTCCACAAATGATTGTTTGTGTTTATGCTTAAAGGTTTTATTTTTACGTAATTTCTTTGGGCAAGCTATAAAGAAACTAATTTGGGCGAACCATTTCTGGACCAATATTGTTTTGTTAGTTAATCATGTTCCTTGAATTACGCCTTAATTTGAGCATTAAACCTACGGTGTCTACAAATACATGTTTATATTTTATTTAACTGATTCGAGATACGTTGAAGTGTTGCGCTCGATCAGGATCATTCGATCCCATCTCGTCTGGATCGATTTTCGAGGACTAAGAAATTCAGGATCACATTTAAAACAGCTCATATATATATATGTTAGAAGCTACCTACGATATATATTGAATACCGCATGCAGATGATAATATTGTAGGGTATTGGCAAATGGCAAATAGAGAGAAAGATTGAACTTGCTCTCTCCATCTCACGTCTTATTGGTTGCGTTTCTTCAATAGTAAAAGGATAGCGACGCTAGTAAAAAATATTTTCGCACTTTCACTAGTAAACAAATATTAAAAGCTACGAGACCCTAAAAGCTGCAGTAAAGCATTTTTTCTTTTTTCTTTTTTCTCTTTTCTCTTTGGGTCAATGGAACACAAGCCTCTCCCTCCCGTCGCATGTTACTTTTTATTTTTCGATTTTCGGATAACCAGTATACTTGAAGTAGTTGGTTGTTGAAATTCGATGGTTTAAAAAGCCAATAGAATTCTGTGGATCCTTCTATAGTAAATTAATAAGCATAAAAAACACTAAACAGCTAAGCCTAAAGCTTTGGTTCGTTAAAATAACAATTAAAGATTCCCAATTACTCGATTAGGACACTAATCACCAACAGTCTTAACGATCGAAACAATGACAAAACACAACGTGGACGGTCCAAAAAATACTCACGTTGAGTACATATTAAATATACTTTCCATAAATATATACTCACTCTATGGTTTGTTTTTTGTTCCTTCGTTTCTTTCGAGGTCCAACCTGTCTCTATGGTTGTCCTTCTTCATCCCAAGTCACGATTAGAGCTTTAAGCACATGGTTAGCAACTAAACAAATCTTGTCATTAGCTCCTTAATTTAAGATTATAAATTTCCATAAATAGCTTTCTGAAACGTGGCATGTCTATTAACTCCGCAGGCGTCCCTAATGACAGCTAAAAGAGGAGCCTTTTCTAGATTGCTCTTGGGTTTGGTCCTAGATTCGTGGGGGTGTGTGAGTTTCAACGTATTATTCATTTTTTAATAGTAAAACTCTCCTAATCAGTCATAATTTATCGTTATAATTTTACGATATTCTTTCTATTTTGGTTCTTGCAGCTTTATGCGCAATCTTGTATGATTTTCATGGTGGTCCAAGGTAATACATGGCGCAACATAGAAGCATAATCTTAATAACTTAATGAAATTTGTAATCAGTATCGAGGCACTAATACATTAGTATATTATTTGATACAAAATTATATTATCTTTTTCCGACAACTAACCAATCAGGCATATGGTCTATATCTATTTAACTAACATGTTCAATTTATAACATTTTCTACTACCTACTCTCTAACATTCTATTTGTAAAGTTTGGAATTTCAACCAATGGATGGTGACTTCGTTGGCTAACTATTAACTATCCTCCAACCAATCGATTTTCTCTCGTTGTAATTGTAACCCTATAAATGATAATTTTCACGCTACTCTATTTTTCCTAGATCGTAGCTAGAGGGTGACATTAGGTTAATTTGACTTCGTTAGGGATTTTAAATAGCACGCTTTCATGCAAGTTAAAAGACACCATCAGATTAGCCACTAAGAGAGCAATCATCATAATCAATGATATAATTGCAATACATCATTAATATACATACGTACACTATACATACACTCATGGTCTCATGCATAAAGATGTTTATCCTTTTTTTTTTGGGGTAAAATGTGAAGATAAGATGTTTATCCTTTGATTGATAAATGCAACAAAAGCGCGACATTGCTTACCTATTTGTTCTTCCCTAAAATGTAGCATGTGTACTAATATACAAACTTTCACAATTTGTAGTTTGGAGAAATGAGCAATTTGTCGCTATTGTTAAGCCCAATATGAGTTATGGTACAAATGGGCTTATAACTAAAATGCCCAATCAACCAAGAAACGTAGCCCAATTGTATCGACACTCAGTATTGACCGGAATATATACGGCGCCGTTTTCGTTGACCTGACTTTGATCCTGCGACTGTTAAATCTTGGCTTAACCCCATTTTTTAATTGCGAGATTAGAGTGGTGATTAGTATTAAGTCAAGTTTGTTTCAGGTGACTGTTTTTATTTATTTTACTTTTAAATTTTAAATCATTGATTATCGTTGACGGAAAATTGGGAGATTTTCTCGATGGGGAAAGGAGGCGGATGCGTTCCCAGCAAGAAGAAGAAGCCGTCGTACATCGGCACCACCGGCGATGGTCCCGGAATCGACGACGATGACGCTGCTAATCCTCCGATCCCGATTGAGGACGATCGGACCACCGTTGACGGCGATCGAACTACGGCGACGACTACCGCAGCACCAACAACTCCGACGATGACGGCCAGGACGATCCCGCCGCTGAAGATCTTCGTCGTGTACTACTCGATGTACGGACACGTCGAGAGCTTGGCTAAGAGGATGAAGAAGGGAGTGGATAGCGTCGACGGAGTGGAGGCGACTCTGTACAGAGTTCCGGAGACGCTTTCTCAGGAGGTCGTTGAGCAGATGAAGGCGCCGGCGAAGGATTCGGAGATCCCGGAGATCACGGCGACGGAATTGGCGGCTGCTGATGGGTTTCTGTTTGGGTTTCCGACGAGGTACGGATGTATGGCTGCGCAAATGAAGGCGTTTTTCGATTCGACGGGGCAGTTGTGGAAAGAGCAGACACTCGCCGGAAAGCCAGCTGGGTTCTTCGTCAGTACAGGGACTCAAGGAGGCGGCCAAGAGACCACCGCGTAAGCTTCTTCTTTTGTCACTTCTTTCACCATTTCCATAGTTGAATTTGGTTTTAAACTGAAGTAGTTGAATTTGGTGGAGTACAAGTATTCAAAGCCTTGTCTTTTGATTGAGTGAAATAAATGCGCAGGTGTAGAAAGTCATGGTTTTTATGTTTTAGGTGGTTGAATAAACCTGAAAGTCTGCTGTGGTCAGGACTTTATCAAGTACAGTTAGAGTTTATAGTGTTTGGTGGATTGTATCTTTAGTAAATGCTTGTCTGAGATTGCCGTAATTATGGTGACTTGCTTGCTTGATCTTTCATTTCCAGGGATTGTATGTATAGTTTCAGAGCTCTATTGGATTGTCGTTTCATTGTGAGTCTAATCTGGCTATGATTAAGTTCATGATTTTACTGAAGAAGCAAAGCTAGATCAGATTCTCTTCTCACTTTCTCACCACCGAAAGTTGCTAAATTTGTAGGAGTGTTAAGCTCTATAGATTCTTCAGTGTCTCTTCAGTCATTAGTCATTAGATTCTTCAGTGTCTTCTAAGTTCAATGGAACCGATTCGCTTCTTGTTTAGCTTTTAGTCAATTGGTTTCTGTAAGAGTGTGGTGCCTTTGTAGATCTCAACAAGTGTACGATTAAGATCATTTCCACATGTTAGGCTCTGAAACACTTGCTTGTGCCATGTCTTGATTTTGTTGCAGATGGACAGCAATCACGCAGCTGGTGCACCACGGGATGCTATTTGTGCCCATAGGATACACATTTGGGGCAGGAATGTTCAAGATGGACTCGATACGTGGAGGCTCACCGTACGGAGCAGGTGTGTTTGCTGGGGATGGATCAAGAGAAGCAACAGACACAGAACTGGCTCTTGCTGAACATCAAGGAAACTACATGGCTGCTATTGTCAAGAGACTTTCACAACCTTAAGGAGGAGAAAACACCAAAATGGCTTCTTTAGTTTTTTTCCTATTTTTATTCAATTCCTCTTCTTCCCGTTAAATAATCATGTAAAATCTTCCTTTCTTTCTTTTCTTTTAAGAATTCCTGAGTGTTATCAGTTTCGCCATTTTCGAAATACCTTACGTCAGTGGTTGTTGTGTACATGTTTTTGTCTTCATATTTGATTAATTCTCCCACAAATAACATTTTTTCTTTTGTAAAATAAAAACAAAGATTATTGTGTGTGTTCTTTCTTTCATTGGAGGTTGTAAGTTGTAACAGTTGTTGAATCGAAAATCAATTGCTCTTTTTTTGTTTTTAACAAAATTTAAAATCGCTGTAATATAGGGAAAGAATATTTATTAGTTGCGTCAGCCATTAGGATTCCTCGAAAGACATAAACTGCATCTGTACTTTTATTATCAAATCCTCTGCATCTCTCTGTTCCTCCTCGAGACAAGAAATCAAAACACCCGAAGAAGGCAAATTCTCTCTGAACAGAACAGAAAACGCGAGACATGTCTGAGATTTTATCTTCGTTGAGGTCACTGATGGCCTCTCACTCTCCTCCTCTCGACGCTTTGGTTGTCCCTTCCGAAGATTATCACCAGGTAATCTTATGATTTCTCAATTATACCCCTTTTGATTTATGATCCGATCTTTAGGTTTGCCCTCTGTTACTTGAATTCATGTTTCGTTCGTTGGTTTGTTAATACAAAGTTTCGATTTTTGAATATTTTTTTTTTTATCGAACTGTGTTTTCAATTCAGAGTGAGTATGTTTCTGCGCGAGACAAACGCCGCGAGTTCGTGTCTGGATTCACTGGAAGTGCAGGTGTGTTCTGTTTTGAGAAAAAATAATAATCCTTAATTGAATATTTGATCCATAATCAGAGAGACTTACACATTATTGGTGTTTTAGGTTTGGCACTGATCACAAAGAGTGAAGCAAGGCTATGGACAGATGGACGCTACTTCTTGCAAGCAATGCAACAGCTTAGCGACGAATGGACACTAATGCGAATGGGAGAAGATCCTCTTGTTGAAGTTTGGATGTCAGATGTGAGTCGTCACACTAACATAGATATATTAATGATCGATAATTTGATGATTTTGGTTTAATTGAGGTTTTTGAATGTAGAATCTATCCGAAGAGGCAAATATAGGTGTTGATCCATGGTGTGTCTCAGTAGACACAGCCAACAGATGGGGGAAATCATTCGCCAAGAAAGATCAGAAGCTAATTCCGACAACAACTGATCTTGTAGACCAAGTCTGGAAAAACCGTCCTCAATCTGAGATGAGTCCTGTTGTTGTCCATCCGTTGGAGTTTGCAGGCTGTTCTGTTTCAGACAAATTAGTAGATCTGCGAGGAAAGCTAAAGCAAGAGAACGCGCGTGGTTTGGTCATCGCTGCTCTTGATGAGGTTGCTTGGCTATACAACATCCGTGGAACTGATGTTGATTACTGTCCCGTTGCTCATGCGTTTGCGATTGTTACAACCGACTCTGCGTTCCTCTATGTTGACAAAAAGAAAGTATCTGATGAGGTCAGTCTTTCACTTTCACTTGTTTGTTTCAGTAATAAACAACAACTTGTTCTGTAACTTCTGAATATTCTTGTTCTGTGATGTGAATATGTAGGCAAATGGTTATTTCAAGGGACTTGGTGTAGAAGTCCGGGAGTACAACGATGTGATCTCAGATGTGGCCTTGCTTGCTTCGAATCGTCTTTTTTCATCTTTTTCCTCTAAAAGTGGTGCAAAGGATATGGAGATTGATTCTGAGAAGACTGATCGGTTGTGGGTGGATCCTGCTTCGTGTTGCTATGCTCTTTATTCTAAATTGGATGCGGATAAGGTTCTTCTGCAACCGTCTCCTATATCCCTCTCAAAAGCCTTGAAGGTAATAATATGGTTGACAAAGTGGCTTCTCTTACCGTCTTTGTATTGTTTTCCTTCTATTTAGTTTTTGATTGCTTCTGCTCTGTTGTGTTAGAACCCGGTTGAGCTCGAGGGACTCAAGAAGTGTCATGTTCGTGATGGTGCAGCTGTTGTTCAGTTCCTTGTTTGGCTCGATAAACAGGTAATGAGTGACCAGAGAAATCAATAATCTTTTAAAATCTTGAACAGTGCTGTATCAAAGATTGTTTCATGTAAACTGTCTTTGTGGAAAAACAGATGCAGGAGCACTATGGAGCATCTGGATACTTTTTGGAAGCAGAGTCAAACAAAAAGAAACCAACGTAAGCATCTTTCTTATAGATTTTACATTTTTCCATAGTTGATGGTGTACTGAGTTTTGCTTGTCGAAAAAACTAACGTACCAGTGAGACATCATCTAAGCTTACCGAAGTGACTGTGAGTGATAAGCTGGAAAGTCTCCGAGCTGCCAAAGAGGTCAGATTTGCATATAACACCATCTATGAGAGTGTCTTACCATACTATAAATTCTTTCTCTCAAGTCAGTTTTGTTTTTTCATGTGGTTGCAGCATTTTAGAGGTTTAAGCTTTCCTACTATATCATCTGTTGGTTCGAACGCTGCCATTATTCATTATTCACCAGAGCCAGAAGCTTGTGCTGAGATGGACCCTGACAAAATTTACTTATGTGATTCAGGAGCACAGGTTTGCTATATCACATGATTACAGAAGCTTCCCTTATATGTAATTCAAATGATTTGCTCTAATAAATACAATCTTGATGATGTCTTTGAGCGAAGTATCTCGATGGAACAACTGATATAACCCGAACGGTTCACTTTGGGAAACCTTCAGCTCATGAAAAGGATTGTTACACTGCGGTATGTACTTATCAATGATAACTTTTATGAAGATTCTTTGGATTAACCAAAATTTGCTAATAGTATATGTTAATGGCCAATCATCTTAGGTGCTCAAGGGTCATGTTGCACTTGGAAATGCTCGGTTTCCTAAAGGCACAAACGGTAATTTCTAATGAGACTTTGCTTTGAAGGAAGAGTAATTTGACTATGATCTGTTGTGTTTTAATATTGGCTATATCCGAAATAACAGGTTATACACTTGATATTCTTGCTCGAGCTCCTTTGTGGAAGTATGGCTTGGATTATCGACATGGTACTGGTCATGGAGTCGGCTCTTACCTTTGTGTTCATGAAGGCAAGTGATGACGAACCTCTTCTACTCTCTCTTTCTTAGTTTCTTATATCTGCTAACGAAGATTTATGTGGTTTGGAATATGCAGGACCTCACCAAGTTAGTTTCAGACCGAGTGCTAGGAATGTACCTCTTCAAGCTACCATGACCGTCACAGATGGTCTGTCTGCAACAAAAGCTTGATGTTTCTCTTCTTTGGTTAACCTCATGTTCTAAAATCATACTTTTTGTGTGCAGAACCTGGTTACTATGAAGATGGGAACTTTGGTATTAGGTTGGAGAATGTTCTTGTTGTCAACGATGCTGAAACCGAATTCAATTTTGGTGACAAGGGCTACTTGCAATTTGAGCATATTACTTGGGTACTTGTTCTGTCTCTTAACTGTTCCTGGTTCTCTTATCATTACGCATTTCTGAGTAACTCTGTTTCACTGCAGGCACCATATCAAGTGAAACTTATCGATCTAGACCAGTTGACTCGGGAGGAGATCGATTGGCTTAACACATACCATTCGAAATGCAAAGACATCTTGGCCCCTTTCTTGAACCAAACCGAATTGGATTGGCTCAAGAAAGCTACACAGCCTGTGAGTGTATCGGTTTAATACCCTCCCAGATTTCTCTTAATTAGAATGGCTTCTTCAATGCTCTCACTGTTAAACCATTAAACATTTCAAAGTCATTACACAGAGTTTCATTCAGACGTTTACATAAATAATAAGCTCATGCTTCTTCAACGCATATCTTTATTCCTGCAAGATTTTATTGAACCTTGTCTATATCTTCTTGGCTAGCAACTATCAAGTTTTAATTTGCTATAATTATTTTCGTCACTTTTTGTGGATTAGTTGTAACTCATTGGCTGAAGTAAGAAGATGGTATGTGAGACTTCTTGAGTGCTTCTTCTGCTGTCTTCTTCAGTTCCTTCACATTTGTTCTCATCTCTTTTCCTTCTTCCTCATCCATCATTCTCTTCACCATTTCAACTATCTCTTCCTTCTTCACGATCCCATCGTCAACGCCAACTCGTGTCGCGATCTTTAGCTCTTCGGAAACCAGCCGCGCGTTCATGCTCTGTTCTGAGTACAAAGGCCAGGCTATCATCGGCACACCGTTGACTATACTCTCCAAAACCGAGTTCCATCCGCAGTGACTCACAAACCCTCCTGTTGACTTATGTGCCAAGATCTCCTCTTGCGGTGCCCATGTCCGGACCACCAAACCGATATCTTTGGTCCGGTCTAGGAACCCTTCGGGTAAATAATCAAGTGGTTCTGTCTGGTTCTTGGTTTTGTCAAACATTGACGCTGATGGATCATCTTCAGCTGGTGACCGGACGACCCAAATAAACCTTTGCCCGGTCAGCTCCAAACCGTAAGCCAGCTCCATCGTCTGCTCGGCGGTCAGTGCCCCACCACTTCCGAAAGAAACATAAACCACTGACTCCTTCGGTTGCAAGTCAAGCCAGTTAAGCACATCATGCTTCAAACCCGGTTCCGCGAATCTAACCAACGGTCCAACAGGGTGAACCGGCACACCTCTCATAACCCGACCAAGATTCTCCGGATCCAAGAAAGATCCGATCGTCACCGGCTCCAGATCATGCCACGTGTTTACAAACACCCCGTCCGCAGTTATCACCTCAGCGCCAATTCGCTGAGACTCGGCGAGTTCCCGGATGTAATTACTTGGATCTTTAACCGGGTCAAACATAACCGGGTTACATCCCGGTATAAGCAACGCTCCTCTGCTTCTCAATTGTTTAAGCAACGTCTCTTTGTCAAGACTCGCCATATAAACCGTAAGGGCTAGAAACCAAGCACTTGTGGTGACCAGAACATGTTTCTTCATGATTTGAAGCTCCTTGGCCACAGCCAAAGCTTCCGTGCCTAACAAGTCAACGACGATGACGCTAGGCCTCGGCTCTAGCTCCATGAAGGCGGACTTGATCTGTGGTAACGCCTCCCTCATCATCTCCGCTAGTTTAGTTAAAAGCGAACCGTTAAGCTCTTGACCTGAAACACCGAGCTGGAGAAACCTGATCACGAACTTGGGATCTTCTTCTGTCGACGTTTTACCGATTAGGGATTTCGAGCGTGAGACATCATCCGTGACTAGGAAGACGGTGACACGGTCGAAACCATGTTGGTTCAGGAGACGTTTTCCGAGTTCTAAGATTGGTACGGCGTGGCCCATCCCTGGACTAGCCACTAGAGCTCCGTGAAGCTCCATGGTTTTAAGAAGTTTTTTTTTTTGCTCTCTTTAATTGGTGAATGTTGGTGACTGATTTGTGCTGGATATATAGAGGAGAATGTAGGGATTAAGATTGCAGTTATCAAAATTATCAAATCGTAACATTCGTTAAACCGAAAAATAAACATTTTGTAAGATCATTAATTGACCAAATTTGGTTGAACACTTCAATAAGTGATGAATTACAGACGTAAATTGTTTTTTTTTTCTGTAAATGTAACGATGTGATAAGACCTAACGTATAAGTAGCAGTGCCTTTATTCATCGTCCCTTAAAATAATTGTGTTTGGGTCGTCAATTGTTTTGCGTATTAAGATGATGTTTTGATGAGATGAGCCAAGCATAGAAACATGAATTGAGACGTGTTTGTTAGTTCTTTCTTGTTTTGGACAAAGCTACAAAATGCAATCTTGTGACCTTAATGTAGTTAGGCATGAGGATTTAAAGTTAAGAAAGTTATGTATGGTCAATAATTGTATCACTTGTCGATGAACATTGTCTCGCACCACCAAAGTAACCAAAAAAAAAAAAACTTAATTAGTTTTACCACAATTATTTTGTTTGCAAAATTTATAGATGTAGCTTCATAGAACTGTGTCAATATTTTTATCGTCCCTGAAATAAACGACGACATTCTGAGATCACTCGCTTCACTCAAACGTAGATCCTTGAAGATATTACCACTTGGCGGTAAATTTTATGGTTTTCTTGAAATTAATTGACCTTCTTAACCATTTAGATTACTTCATTTCGCATGACATATCAAAAGTCCGAGAAACATTTTTTGTTCTTGGTCACCAAAATTAACTGGATCAAAACTAAAAAGAAGCAACTCAGTCGCACGTGGACCCAAACGTGGGTCATCATCTCATAGTTCCCTCATCAAATGGGCAGTGAAATTATTGTCTTGTATCGTGAGAATTACGACAACCTAAATAAAGTATTTTAATTACAACACGCGATAATACTTTATACTAATCACATCATATAAATATGAAACAAAACTAAACTAAACTAAATTAAATAAATAAGTGCAATTTGTAGGGAGTAGTTGTTTAGGTCCCCACCAAAAGAGGAGAAAAAAAAGACAGAGCACATGCACATGGTAGGGGCCCAATATCCTCCGCTCGTGGACGTTTCGTTTTATTCAAAACACTTCTTTTCACCGAACTCAACACGCCACAACACATCACAACAAACTCCAAACTAATCACAATAATTCAGAAACAAAAAAAGAAATATTTAAATCCGGAAAACAAATTGGATATTGTAACTATCCGTAAAACAGCTTAATACACTATCAAGTCTCCACAAATTTGCTCTTTTCTTTATCTCCAACTCCAATTACGTTATCATGGTAGAAGAAACATTCCAAGTAAGTATAAACGGAGAATGTAACGGTATTTGGAAGGTTCGACCCTTCTCGACTTGCTTCGACCTTTCCCTCATCCACGACAGCTCCTGTACAATGCCGATGATTTGCTCTGTTATGACTTATGATCACAAAGAGACCGATCTTCAAACTGATTTCACATTTCGGTTTTTCCCGGTTACTTTCAGCATCTGGTTTTAGTGCCGCCGAGAGTGAGCTCGAGATCTTCTACACCAACTTCATGAATCATTTCTCCTTCCCACGGCTTAACCGTTCCATTCTCAAACTCAAACTCCGAAACTCTCCCGCTCATCCCCCACTCTGATCTCTTCATATCAATAGCCATAGCCATAGACGTCTGCTGAACAAGATTGTACGTTGGTGAAGGAGGAGCTGTGGACTGAAAATTAATCCACCGCCCTGAATCCTCAATCGAATCCTCCTCAGACTCGTCGCATTCCGGTATCGTCGGCGGCGTTTGGTGACCGTTACGGCGTGTAGGACTAGACGGAGCTGAGATAGCGAAAAGCGGATGCCTCAGAGACCCGCCGTTTGGTAACTGCTCTGGAGTGAGTTTCCGCTTGGAGCCACGAGAAGTTGGAGAGGATAGCGGTGGAGTTACCGGAGCGCTGTTGGATATTCTGAGAGGAGGGAGGTTTGCGGGGATGGAAGAAGCGATGTTGTGGAGGAAAGGGAGGAGAAGGTATGATGAGGAAGAGTTACGAGATGGACTTGGGAAGGAAGATGAGACTGGACTTCCATGGTAGGATGGTGCAGGGCTTGGAAATGCAGATGATTGTGGACTTGCTTGCATTGAAGAGTTTGTGCTGAAGTTTGTTGGAGTTAATGAGATTTCTGACGCCGGTGGCTTAAAACCCTGTTTGCATACAATTCAAGAATCATAATTTAGTTACATAGAAGAAGAAGATTACACAATAAGATGCAATTTCAAATGTCAAAGTCAATGATTTCGCTTGGCCTAGTCAAGAAGCTAAAGGATTTTTTTTCCCCCAAATTGCACATATTCAATGGAATCGAAATCAGAGAATCCAAATCGGAAACAGCAAAATCCGTAACCGGATCTAATTACGATGACTGAATTTCAGCTCGTGAGGATCGGAAATTGGGGGAAAATTGAGAATCAAGCCAATCGAACAGTGAAAAAAACCAAAATTCTCTCAAATCTAATAGTCTCTAACAATTCAATTGAATCGGAGCTACGAGATTTTCCGATCCATAGTATATGATTGAGAAGCTCAGATTGGGAATTGTGAAATGGGAAACATTACCTTGCGATAAGTGGTGCCGTCTTCTTCGACGATCCAACCAGCTTCGAGGCAAAGAGCTTTGAGGACCTCGTTGTTATCGCAGTGCTTGGGGAGCTTATAGTTGCCTTGAGCTCTGAGACCAGAGTAAATCTTAGCCGTGATGGCTCTTCTCCTCCTCTCTCTCTTCTTATTGTTCTCCCTCTCTTTCCACGTCGGAGTACGTCCGGCGGACGATGATCCTCCGCCTACTGCTCCTCCTGCCGCCATTGAAAAGCTCTATTCTCTCTCTCTCGCTGAAGTCTTTGTCAGTCTGGCGCACGAGGGAGAGAGGCTTTTTTTTCTTAATTATTTTGCTATTTTGTGACTCTCTCAAGCGGATTGGCTGTAACTTTCATTCATCGTCTGATTATAAACAAAAATTTCAATATTTGTTTGTCTCCGCACGTGCGATCCGTGTTACCGTGGGACCGATTTGGAAGTCAGCTTACACGTGTCGAATTAATTGTAACGCACGAGCTGTGGTCCCCGCCTTGTTTCCCTTCACTGTTCAATGAATTGGTATCTTTTTCCATTTGTATTTGAATTTAATTTTTTTTTTAAATGCTTGCTCTTTATTCTGCTTTTGGCACAAAAAGAGTTGTAATTTTATCCATTGTTTTCATACTTTTAAAAATGACGATATAATTGCGTATTGTGTGTCGTATTCGAAGTTTGTAACGCATTAATACAAACTCACAAAAGTTCCACACAGGTTTTCTTATTATGAATAAATATATCTAATTTCTTCGAGTTATCTAATCGAAATTTTGAAATTACATGAAAAAGGATAAGTTTTGTGTCATTAAAAATGTTTAAACGTAATTAGGATGACTCAAATATTTTATTCATAAAAGAAAGGAAAAAGTATTAAGACACATTTTGCTCATCGTGGTCGGAGCACGTGCGGCTCCAGTTAGGCGTGAGCAAAGAGACAGGAAGCAGAATCCCCAGCTGGATTCATGCTATTATTACTACAGCAAGCTAAATTAATAAATTCTATTTTTCTGGTTGATAAAAAATTCTATTTATTTACTCACCGATTAAATCTTCACAATCTTAAATTAATTTTAAAATTAAATAAGTGAAACTCCAGTCAGATGAAACCATTTCTGTGTGTTTTTATTGTGTTTATTATTTGAAACCATGTCTTGTCGTTCATATTCACAAACCTAAAAATTACAAAATTAAGAAGAAAAATACAATAATCTGTGATGCAAAAAGAAACAATCTGTCAGTGAGTTTGGATCAGATCATTCACGTGGGGAATATTAACAAAATTTCATATTGTACGGCGTGGTCATGTACATTTAATCTACTCTGATTTAATCGATTATTCATTATTCTAGTTAATCGTGCGGCGTCCATTGAGTCCCAAACCATCCATTGTTCAATGTATCGGTCTATACTGGTTTTTTTGCGTTTTCAATGTCAAAGTCAATGATAACCAAGTCCAACCATATTTTCTAAGATTACTTACATATGTCGAGTACACAATAAATACATAACACATCTGCGAGATATATACACAATTGATAAATACACACTAAACAAACAAAGTGCAACGTTTAGATATAACTGTTGCTACATTTTGTGTTAATATGATTATTTTGGTTAAGGTAATTGCATTTTTGTTTAAATAAGACAAAAGTTATCGCATGTTCTTTTAAAAAGGTTAATATATCTCTACATTTCATATAGTCCACATACTTCTGATGTACGTAATTATGGTTTAATTGAAACTTGAAAGAGATAAATACTTTAAAAAGCATCAAAAAATATTATATACGTCACAATCTATTTACATCCTTAAAATAATACAGATTTATGTAAGCATGTTCTCCGACGCTTCCCCCTGTAACGATCCACTAACTCAACTAGCTACGATACGAGCCAAAGTTTCAAATCATTTTTAAAATCCATTTTTGTCTACATAATTAATTTTTTATTACTAATTTTATCACTAATGGAGAGTAACCTATAAAGTATAAACAAAAACCATCCAAATATTTCCCATACTGAAATAAAGAATATTCAAAAAATATAAAAATATACGTAATTAATAATATTCGGCGGGTCTTCGATTGGTAGTGTGGTACGAGAAGGGAGAAGAGACGATTGGCGTCTAATTTATAGATCCGATATTACAGAAGTCATCCAAACTCCGGCTCCGGTTTATCGGGAGCTCAAGTTCTGATCTTATATGGGTCGTGCTCGAACTCGTTCCGGTTTCATCTCCGTCGCTTTCGGATCTCTCCGGTCTCTGTTCCCTCGCAACGTCCGTACTAACAACATGAAGAGAAAGTGAGTTCCTCTTTCTTCCTTCCGGGTTTTATCTTCTTTCGATTCGCAATCAGGGTTCTTAGATCTGTTTAATCGATTAGTTATGTTGGATGTGGTAATCAATAACCATAAATGATGAATCAACTGTTTCATTGTCTCTGGTTCTGAATTCTTGCAACAACGGTTTAAAATTTTTCCTTTTTTAAAACAGAACAGGAAAGTTTTTGGGGGTATCGATATCACTGATTCTGATAAACTTAGCAGCGATAATGGAGAGAGCAGACGAGAATCTACTGCCTTCGGTGTACAAAGAAGTGAGTGAAGCATTTAACGCAGGACCGTCGGATTTAGGCTACTTATCATTCGCGAGAAACTTTGTTAGAGGACTCGCATCGCCACTAGCAGGTGTTCTCGTCATTACCTATGACCGTCCCATTGTTCTTGCAATTGGTACTTTCTGTTGGGCTTTATCAACTGCTGCTGTTGGAGCCAGCAAGTACTTCATTCAGGTCCTTTATTTTGTTCTGTCTTTTTCAAGATTTTTGAAAAGTTAAAAAAGTTTCTTTTTTTAATTGATTTGTGTGTGTGTGTGACTTTTAGGTTGCTTTGTGGAGAGCAGTGAATGGGTTTGGACTGGCGATTGTAATACCGGCGCTTCAGTCGTTTATAGCGGATAGTTACAAGGATGGTACGAGAGGAGCTGGTTTCGGTTTGTTCAATCTCATTGGTACAATCGGTGGTATAGGAGGAGGTGTGGTTGCTACGGTTATGGCCGGTTCTGACTTCTGGGACATACCCGGATGGCGTTGTGCTTTCATTATGATGGCTACGCTTAGTGCAGTCATCGGATTACTCGTTCTTCTCTTTGTCGTTGACCCGAGGAAGAACATTGACCGGTAATAATAAAATAAAAAAACAGTTTGGAACTTTGGTTCAGACCAAAAAGTTTGATGAGCTTTTGTTTTGTTTTTTGTGATTGTAGAGAGGAAGTCATGGTTCATAAGACGAATACAAGCTCGGTTTGGAACGAGTCATGGGTAGCTATAAAAGCAGTGGTGAAAGTAAGGACCTTTCAAGTCATCATCTTGCAAGGAATCGTTGGTTCGTTGCCGTGGACCGCCATGGTTTTCTTCACAATGTGGTTTGAGCTTATCGGTAACTGGCATTTCCCACAACAAAAACTACATTACCGGTCAAGAACAGAACCGAAATCTTAAAGTTTTGTTTTTTTTTTAGGCTTTGATCATAACCAGACGGCTTCTTTGCTCGGTGTGTTTGCGACCGGAGGAGCGATAGGAACGTTAACCGGAGGGATCATCGCGGACAAAATGTCGCGGGTGTTTCCGAATTCCGGTAGAGTCATGTGTGCGCAGTTCAGTGCGTTCATGGGGATACCATTCTCGATCATTCTCCTGAAAGCAATCCCACAGAGCACAGAGAGCTACTCGGTCTTCTCAGTCACTCTCTTCTTGATGGGTCTTACCATAACTTGGTGCGGTTCAGCGGTTAACGCGCCCATGTTCGCTGAAGTGGTTCCTCCTAAGCACCGGACGATGATCTACGCGTTCGACCGGGCCATCGAAGGGTCGTTCTCGTCTGTCGCTGCGCCTTTGGTTGGGATATTGTCGGAGAAGATGTTTGGGTATGACTCGAAAGGGATTGATCCTTTGAAAGGCTCATCTGTTCGTGAGGCTGAGGCGCTCTCCAAGGGGCTTTTGTCGATGATGGCTGTTCCGTTTGGGCTGTGTTGTCTCTGTTACACTCCGTTGCATTTTGTTTTTCAGAAAGATAGAGAGAACGCGAAAATGGCGACTTCTAAAGATACTGAAATGATCTGAGAGGGGTTTAGATTGATTGCTCACTCACTCACTCATGTTGTGATTCTTTTCTATCTTTTAATACCACAAAGAAGATTTTGAATGTAAATTAGAGCTGGACTTCATATAAACTGAAACCAAACACAGCAAATTCATAACACAAAAAAAAACATGACACAGTTTTTGTTGTATTCGATACCACTCACTGTGTAAGCTTTCCAAAAATAACATAAACTCTAAAAAGAATTTGATGTTCCAAAAATACCAATAAATGGCTTTTTCCGAAAATACCATAAACACTAAAACCATGATTATGTTTAAGCAAAAACGAACCAAAATCAGTTATGTATGTAATGTTTTCAACATTATTTTGCGTGAAATCAAACAAAATATTTAGAAGGAAGCAAAGAAATGAGAAAGATGAAGCATGCATGTTATACAACCCGGACTTTTTGAGTTTTCCAATATCCTTTCAGTCTCCTTCATCAAACTCTCACGAACTAAAAAAGCTCACAAGATTTCGATCTAAAGGAAAAAAGGGTTTCTCCTTACGCAGAACGTAATTTTACAAAAGAGCAAACAGACAAACAGGGGTCCTTGAGAAGAAGAAGAAGAAGAAGAAGGAGAAGAAATACAATGGCGGATAAAGGGTGGTTTCGATTCTTATCTTTTTTTCCTTTGAAGAAGAAGAAGACGAACCACACGAGCTTTTTGGTTAGATACAGCGCGGGAAAAAGGTTTGACCGACGTAACCACCGGTCATTGCCCTCCTTACATTGGTCTCAAACAGCTTTGGGTTATCCCTCAAGACTTGTGCTGCTTCGTGGTTCAATGGATCTTCAGAATTCGGCTCCTGTATAAAAAAAAACAAAACACTCAGTTACTTAAGGAAATGCAAAACAACACAAACGATGTAAACGTGATCTTTATCAAGCTAACTTCTTTACCGTGAAAAGATGGAAGAGTCCGTAGATAACCGTGTTAATGTTAAGAACCGGTTTCCAGTCTTCACGCAAGATGTTGAGGCAAACGTTTCCTTCCAAGTCGATATTCGGATGATAAACCTACCGAGAGAAAACAAACATCTTTTACATATAAACGAGTAATTTTGAAGTAGAAGATGAAACTATAACGAATGCAAAAGAAGAAAAGGATCTTACTTTGGTTTTGCATTTGACTTTTGGAGCTTCATGGGGATACACAGGAGACACTTGGAACGTGAAAACAAATGTACCATTACTGTATATATTCATAAGAAAAGAAAGAAACAAATGAGTTTCCGAATTCTTGTTTAAAAGTGTGAGCATGAGATGAAATAAAAGCTCTACTTAACTGGTAGTATCCATCATCTGGTTTAATGGAGACTTCGAAATTCATCAAATCATCTTTGCCATTTGGAAAAGATATCGTACAAGAGCTCGGAAGATTCAACTCCGATATGTCTGCAGCACAATTAAAGAGATTCGAAATCACCAACACTTGAAACCAAATCTAGAGTCTATGCAGTAACATTATGTGAAAGAAGGAAAGTTAATTTACCTTTGTGGAGACGAAGTTCGCCAGCAGATTGCTTCTTGACGGAAGCTCCACCTCTAGTAGCATTTTGAGCTTGTTCTCTTTGCTTTTCCTTTACTTTAAACAACCCAATCATTGCTTCTCCCCTCTTAGAACCACACTCACACACCTGTGGACAAATCAAGAGAATAAAGTACTCAGATTGATATTCAAAAATTTAAACTTTCAAACTCATAATTTACAGAGTTTTGGTTCATCAGAAGATTCAAATCAAAGGCTACAACTAGCTCATGTGCGAATTTGTAACCAAACAAAGATGGAAGATTCGAAGAGAGCTATAGGAATTTCACACACAATAGATCGAAATGATTAAAGACCAAATCCGAAGAGATCCCTAAAACAAACTCACCAAAAGCTCAGAAAGTTAAAAAGGAAGAACAAAAAGGCGTTTTTTAAGACGAGTTAATCTACTTACAGGTTCAAAGATCGGAACTTTCAACATAATCAGACAATTGAATCGGAGGGAAAGAAAAACAAAAAAACTCCGACTAGGTCGAATACCGGAAAGCAAAAACGTCAAAACAAAGGGAACAGAAGAGAATGGAAGAAGAAGAAGAAGCTTACAAGTTGATAATTTCGGCGATTAACACGACAATCGAAACCAGACTAGGAGCGAATCAAAGGTCTCCGATTCTCTCTCTCTCTCTCTTTCTCTCTTGCCGGAATCTCGGCCTGGGAAGCTAAACGACGAAGAAACAAAAGAGAAAATGTTGAAAATGAGACAATCGTAGCTTCTTCTCAACGCTGAATAAGTATCACCACAACCTCTTCCTTGTTTTTATTGATACCCAGGCCCATCAGGCCCATAACATATTTAAAAATATCCGTTATAATAATAATAATCTTCGGCAATAAATGTTTGGTAGTTAGCGCGCTCATTATGTCAAACATCAATGTCCAGAAGACAGAACAGAAATGGGATTGACCCGTATGCGTGTTTCATTCCATTTACACTATTTTCGTTCTGAAAGATCTATCGACAATGGAAGACATTTTTTAATTGAGCTTTCTAAAGACTGTTGTTTAAAACGTTTATTTATACTCGATGTTTAATGTATAAAATTTGCATATATATTATAAAAATAATAATGATTTACTAGAGACAAATTATTAAAATTTGAAATTTGTCACTAATTAATAAAAGTGCATACAAAGCAGTTGAAAAATCTATCTTATAATGGGTTTGACAGAAAATATAGTTCTACAAGCTGATTTTTTTTTAAACAAAAAAAATTAGATAATATGAGCCAGATAATAATGTGGAAAATATCATATTTGTACTTTAAAAAAATAGAAAATATAATTTCCATAAACATTTTTATACAAATAAAGTGAAGAGAAGAATCATATATATGAAAAGAGGCCAACTCTCTCCATATTTTTGACATGTGGCAGTAAGTTTTTTTTTTTTTTGAATTGACCTTTCATTTTCCTCTACCGTTTAAAAGTTAATAAATTACGAATTTATTGGACGTGAAGTTATATATATGCCGTCTTTACAAATTCCGCTCTTTCTATCGTTTAATCCTCCGTAATCATAATATCAACACCACCTGCTATGAGCTTTGTCTATGGCGAGCATGGCTACAATCTGGGGCAACTGAGTCAGGTAAGATATCTTTGTTTACAATTCTTTTTCAGAGTTCGTCAAAATTGTGTCATCTAAAGGAGAATAGGCAATGATTTATTTGCGCCACAAGAGCAGCCATAGGTTTTAGTTTCTGTTGGCTCTCTTAGTCCAACTTAATAGTTCATTTCATGTGGTCGTGAGTGAGTAAACAGAGAGAGTTATACATAAAATGGGTGGTATGATGCAAAAATATATATTTGAAATTCAGTCGCTAACCAAGTAAGTTGGAACTAAAACACGAGTTTTATTGTGTTAGAATCTATAATATTACATATCATATAAAAATATTATTTATAGATGTATAACTATTTTATAGTGTTTTTAAAAATTATAACAACAGAAAAACCCGCGCGTATGCGTGAGCTGGTCTAGTGTTTATAGAAACATCGTCATCTCCACCACTAAAGAAAGGCCCATTCCGTCAGCAACCCTATCTATTGTTCTTCTAGCTAAAGCTACACTAATGGCCAACCCAAATCCCAATTGATTTACGACTCCACTTCCCATTTTTTATTATAAAAAACTCAATTTTTAAATACTCTGTAAGAAAAATTGTCTCCAAAACTGCAGCTTTCGAGGAATCGCCATGGCTACAGTGACCCTGGGTTCATGGATTCATCATCCTTCCTCTATCTCTACGCAATCCAAAACACCACCCAGATCCAGATCTTCTTCCCTCATGACTCTTAATAAACCCATCTTCCTCAATTCAAAACGCACCGTTTCATCGTCTTCCTACATCGTTTCCTCTTCCGTCGTTACGAAAGAAGACAATCGCAAATCCTCTTCTTCCTCCTCCTTCTCCTCCTTCGATTTCATGTCTTACATCATCCGCAAAGCCGAATCCGTCAACAAAGCTCTAGACTCCGCCGTGCCTCTCCGTGAGCCGCTCAAGATCCACGAAGCGATGCGTTACTCTCTCCTCGCCGGAGGCAAACGAGTCAGACCCGTTCTCTGCATCGCCGCTTGCGAGCTCGTCGGCGGCGAAGAAACCCAAGCTATGCCGGCCGCTTGCGCCGTCGAAATGATCCACACCATGTCGTTGATCCACGACGACCTCCCCTGTATGGATAACGACGATCTCCGCCGCGGAAAGCCCACGAACCACAAGGTTTACGGCGAAGACGTCGCGGTTTTAGCCGGAGACGCGCTTCTCTCCTTCGCGTTCGAGCATCTAGCGTCGGCGACGAGCTCCGAGGTTTCTCCGGTGAGAGTGGTTAGAGCTGTGGGGGAATTGGCGAAAGCCATTGGCTCAGAAGGGCTCGTGGCAGGACAAGTGGTGGACATAAGCAGTGAAGGGCTAGACTTAAACGACGTCGGATTAGAGCATTTGGAGTATATTCATTTGCACAAAACGGCGGCGTTGCTTGAAGCTTCTGCGGTTTTGGGAGGGATCGTTGGAGGAGGAAGCGACGATGAGATCGAGAGGCTGAGGAAGTTCGCGAGGTGTATTGGGCTCTTGTTTCAGGTGGTTGATGATATTTTGGATGTGACGAAATCGTCTCAGGAATTGGGGAAAACTGCTGGGAAAGATTTGATTGCTGATAAACTGACGTATCCTAAGATCATGGGATTGGAGAAATCGAGAGAGTTCGCTGAGAAGTTGAATAGGGAAGCTCGTGAACAGCTTTTAGGGTTTGATTCCGACAAGGTGGCTCCTTTGTTGGCTTTGGCTAGTTACATTGCCAATAGACAGAACTGAAACTTGTGTTTTTTGTTTTTCTTGTCGGAATTATTGAGATTTTATGTGTCTGGTCTTGTTTAATACTCATTGCTCGGTTTGATGCTTTTGTGCTGAGACCGAATTGGATTGTAGAGATCAAGCTATAACAGAATATAGAGTTGTGTATTGCTCTCTCTTCTTGTTGGTGTAATCTCTGTGGTTCCATGTACCCATAATTGGATAGTAAAGATTTTGTAGTTTCTGAAAACATTTAGTCAGATGCTTGAAGTTGATGATGATGAACAAAGTGTTAAAGTTCAAAACACTGTTGAATCTCTCATTCTGTGTATCCATTCATTTACTCAGATGAGATCTTGAAGGTGAAATGACTACGACGACGTCGTTTGGTTCGCGAAGCCACTTTAAGTCAACGGGAAAGAAAAAAAGAGTTGAGAAATTCGCACCAAAAAAAGGATTATTAAACCCAAGAAACATAAGCAATTTGACAGAGACGAATAGTTATGGATCAGTTAATTCATAATGTTTACAAATTGGGCCAAGCCTATACAATGGTTCAAGCCTATACAATGGTTCACAAATCAAAAGTTCAATCGAAATATTGGTTATTTCACTCCACCCTCATAATTAGATGAACAATGTAGCTAGACACCAACATTATTTTAAAATGTTAAAACATCATCTTCTTCTTTTTTGCCAATAAATGGGTAGATTTGAATCTAAATATGCACATAGTAGTCAACTATCCTCATGGTTTTCATATTTGTGTCGTCCATTATTCCCACTTAGTTACAACCAAAATTAATGCTTGTTTGTTCACTATATCTCTGATTTTATCCTGAAACTGCTGTACTTTCTGCCTACAACCAACAAGTCTAAAATCTCAACATTTTAACATCCACACAAAAATCTCAACTTCGGTTAATAAACTTTGTCACCAACTAAAAGGCCAACACCGTACACAATGATTTGCCAGTTCATTAAATGGAATCATATTCTATTCGATCCGAATCTTATCATACGGTTGATAAATGCATTTGCTATCTTAGCATCTGACCCATGTCCGTACGCAGTTCCCCATTTTTATTTATTTGTTTGTTTTAAATAACGTGCTCGTAAATTAAAATGATGGTGTATAATTAACGGTTAATGTCTTCCATTCTTTTTAGAATTCTTATGTCTTGTGGTGTTAGTACATGTAGCGTGAAAATTTAGGATTGTTATTCTAACTTTCTCAGAATATCTTTCTTGTTTTAAAAATTTCCTGATTGTTTATTTCAGTTTTTTTTTTTCCTATCCATATATACCATGTGCATATATTCGTCTTATGAGTTATAACTTATAAGAATATCACATTAGCAAAATTATGCCATCGTAAAATTTACAAAAAAAACTATAATAATACTATTACAGAATCTGATTTCTTTCGTTGATGTAGTGGTTTGTAAATATGAGAATATGCGTGACAGGATGATTGTATACATATTCGGTCAAAATAAAATCATGAAAGCGCGAAAAGTGTAAACTATTAATCTAAGGAAAGGAAATGAATGTATATACAAAATCACTTGATATCACTGCGAAGATTTTAACTAGGCTGATATTAGAACCATAGACTTAATAGTATGTACTATGTAGGGAGTATATCAAAAGTAGGTACTCTGCAATTGGAAACTGGCCACTTGCGCAAAGAAACAAATTACCATTTGCTTAAGTCTCCGCATTGTTTATAGAATGAGAAAGAGTGGAGAAACGAATTGCATTTAAAGTCATCAGGTCACCGGGCGAACCATCATCGTCGTATCGTAAGTCAAAATAGTCGATAGGTTTTTAAAGATATTTTATCCCAACATGTTGATCCGCTGATATTCTAATGTTTTCAAAATCTAATGTTTTAATTTTTCTTTTGTCGACAGCCTCTATACTTTTTGTAAAAATTAAAGATATAAGTAATCTTTGTTTGGGGATAAGAATAATTAATTTGAGGTTTTTAAAAAGATTAGAGCAATCCTAATGGTTTTGATCAGATTTAGGTGATATTTACAGGATTATATACATTCTAAATTCTAATTCAAGAGCTCATACTTTAGTAATTACATGTTTCTGTTCTTATATAAATAGACCAAGATAATCCAAATGTTTTGTTCTCTTTGAACATCAATCCACATGTTTAAAGGAAAAAAATCTCATCCATTCCTATCAAACTATCAATCCATCCATAATGTTCTTAGACACAAAACATATATATGTACATTCATTTGTATTTTCACTTATCATTTATACACTACATCACAAAATTATTTCCTTTCTGACTCAGATTTAGAAGATAAAACATAAAATGTAGCGACACGTAATTCTGTTCAAATTAACTGAGTTTACAACTTTCCATAGAGACACATTATATCATAAAAGTTATCTCTTTAACAATTACTAGATGTAAGATAATAACAATGAGTCATTTACACATTCTTTTTCCTTTTTTTCTAAATTTAACGAGTTAACTGGCACACACACCATTTAATTACTCGATTGTTACAAAGATAAAACAGAAATATGTGGCGACACGTTTTTTTGTTAAAATTTGTTGAGTTGCCAATTATATTTCCCAATTATAAAGTCAAAGAAGTTATGAAGATATAATATGTTTTGATCGGACGGCTACGGAGTCACCGCTAGCTATCACCACATAGATCTGACAACGTGGACGGTAGCCAGCTATCAACATCTCAAGAAAATATTCACGAAAAGGCAGCGTATTTAATTGATTTTCTCGTGATAAACCTGCTGACGTGTACGGGCCCACTTACTTAATTTTTATTGTTAAGACATGATTTACGAAAAGTAGATCAAATTGTAATAACAGAGGACTTTAGTTACCTATATAAAGCTCATTGCGTAGCTATTCAATTTTCAATGTATTCGAATTCACATGTTCTCTTTGTTTTCTGAGATTTCGTTCGTTTCCTTTTTCTTTTCTTTTTTGATTTTTTTGAAATTTGTTGGCAATGGCGATGGGGAAGCTTTTGTCGCAGCGCTTGTTCAATATCTCGAAAATGGCGTCGCAAGGTCTCATGAACTGCCGAATTTCGTCTTCTTCATTAGCCGTGCGAACTAGGGTTCCCAAAGATCCAGGAGAAGCAACAATCGATCCAGAGCCTGGCGATTTGTCGATGTCGCGGAGGTTTCTGCACAAAATCTCGATGAATCGGATAGAAACTGCTCTGAAAATGCCGATTGGGGAGAGTTTGTTGGAGACGCTTCGAGAAATGGATGTGAACAAGGACCGGATTCGATTAGACGGACTTTCACCACATCCTCCGATGAAACCCGCGGCGGAGGAGGAGACGGAGACGTTGGGGATTAGTGTGCGAGACGCGAAGAAGTTTCTAAGAGCTGCGCAGATCGAAGTCGTTAGAACGAAGCTGATGGATACCGGGAAAATCTGGATCACTTACTCTGATTTCGTTCGTCTCTGCAATGATTCTTCTCCGGATCCTTCTCAGGGACCTTGGATCGCGAAGATGCTCGATGATTCAGGAAACGTCATCGTTTTGGGCAATTCCGTTTGCTTAAGACCCGATCGGGTAACTTTCTTCTTCTTCTTTGTTTTTACCATTTGATTTTTAATTGCTCTTTGTAATTCTCTGAATTTTCACTTAGGTTCCCAAAGTTAATGTATTTGTGTTTTGTCCTGTGTGTGATCAGGTAACGAAATCCATCGAAGGTCTGCTTCCTTTACCACAGATCTTTAACCCAAATGACCCAAGAAGAAAGGAGCTAAAAGAGCTTGAAGCCATAAAGACAGTCATCGACGAGAAAGCGCATGGCTTGGTGAGAAAAGAGCTTTGGGCTGGTCTAGGTTACTTGATCATCCAGACCGCAGGGTTCATGAGGCTAACCTTTTGGGAACTTACATGGGACGTTATGGAGCCAATCTGTTTCTATGTCACATCGGTTTACTTCATGGCCGGTTATGCATTTTTCCTCAGGACATCGAAAGAGCCGTCCTTTGAAGGGTTTTACCAAAGCAGGTTTGAGGCTAAACAGAGGAAGATAATGGAATCTCAGGAGTTTGATGTTGGGAGGTACTATGAGCTGAAGAAGCTGTTTAATCCCAAACCTTCTTCAGCTGCTGTTTCCAAGATTCTTGGAACTCTACAGAGTTGAGTTTTGAATTAAGGGAATCTTGTTTTAGATTCGATGATGTTGCCGTCGTTGTCCTAACCTGAGAAAGATGAATTAACCCCTTCAAAATTGTGTAAAAAGAATAGTCAGTAAAGAGAAGAAGACAAAAATGTGGTCTAGTTTATGCGGCTTATGTAACATTTGGAAGAGTAGATAAAAGATTCAAATGTATTGTATATATGTAATAAAAAAAAATTATATTATCATGTAGTAGAAATTATCTATCATCCTCGATTATGAACTTTCGTTTCTCAAGTTTGAATTTTTGAAGTTCTAAAATTTTATTGATACAGTTATTGAGAATCTGATTATATTTTGGTGAAGTTATATTATACGGTATGATTATATTCCTCTAACCGCAATCTCAATAATGCTAATCTTAGTCTCTTATGCACAACATGATTATTTAGAAAGTCGTTTTTTTTTGTTGTTGTAATAAACAGTATGAATCCGTTTTCCGTATGCCCTTTAAAATAATTTAAAATAAAACATTGTAAATCATATGTTTAATTTTGTATGATATTGATAGAACATGTATTGCGTTGGAATAGTTGTTGTAAGTTCACCGTCAAAGTCTCTTTTCAATCTATCTACTCACGAGAAATCAATTACGACCGTGTAAATAAAAAAGTCTTAGTTTGGTAGGTCATATGTTGTCACTCAGTATCAAATGGACAAAACCAAATTACTCATTAGTGTAAAAAAGAGAGATGTATTACAGTCCTTGCCACGATAACGACGAGGACAACTAATATTCAATCCTTTGTTTGGTACGTATAATCAGATATTTTTCAAGTTTAAACTCAACAACATACTCATAATAAAAAAGAAGTAAACTGACAACTGATTCTAATTATTTTAGCTAAATATCTTTATCAAAATGTGTGAGATAATTTATCTTCGTAATTATCGCTAGTAAACTAAATTATTTTCTTCCGTCTTCAGTCTTCACACTTCACCATGAAGGCATAAGCAATACATGGACGCTTGTCTGATTTTCTCAACCCCAAACTCTCTTCCTCGTCCAGAGCTTTTTTTTTTTTTTTTGAGTTTTCCAACATGTTCATTTTATATTTTTGTATATTAATGTCAGTTAAATGATCGACCCGACGCGTACAAAGATTTTTTATTCCTTTTTGATGCCAAGATATTCAAATATGGTTATATATCCCGACAATATAGTAAAATAAAATCAATTTTAGACCAAATTCTTGAAATAGTATAACTGTTTTACAAAATTTGATCATATTAGATGTAGCTAATTTAATTTGTCACATACCGATGACATGTGTGACAAATAAATAATACTTGTCCACATCATTTTGCTTTCATGACACGACCGGCCATTTTGTGACCTATGTTTTACACCAATTATTGGAAAATGCAAATGAAGGAAAAAAAAAGAGAAGTAGAAACAGAGATTTGCATATGAAAAAGACGCACGCACACATAGTAGCAGAAGAAGAAGAGCCACCGACGGAGATCGTCTTCACCGTCCGATCTGATTCGATTAAATCAAACCATGTTAACGGCTCTGATTAACTCTTTCACCTACTACCTCTCCGAACATCCATACATCGTCGGATTCCGTTGGGGACACAGCCAATCATGGGGCTCCACGTGGTCTTTCCTCTTCACCTCAATTTCACTCTACATCGCCGTCTCTTCTTCCCTCCACATCCTCCTCTCCGCCGTCCTCCGCCGTAACCGTTCCGTTCCTTTAGGCCACATCCCCGAAATCCACAGCCTTCTCATGTCAATCATCTCCGCCACCATTTTCGCTGGAATCCTCCTCTCCGCCGCCGCAGAAATCCGCGACACACGGTGGTTCTGGCGACGGAGCAAAACCGTCACTTCTCTCCAATGGCTCCTCTGTTTTCCTCTCGGGACTCGTCCGTCGGGTCGGGTCTTCTTTTGGTCCTACGCGTTTTACCTCACACGCTTTCTCCACATGTTCCGTACGATCTTCGCCGTGCTCCGTCGCCGGAGACTCTCCGTGTCTCAGCTCTTCTGCAACTCCGTCATGGCCTTCACGTCGTTCCTCTGGCTCGAATTCTCGCAATCGTACCAGATTCTAGGCATCCTATCGACGACGCTGGTTTACTCGGTGGTTTATGGTTACAGATTTTGGACCGGGTTTGGTTTACCCGGTTCGGTTTTCCCATCTTTCGTAGTGAATTGTCAGATGGTTCTCGTGGGCTGTAATCTCGTGTCACACGCTGGGGTTCTTACGATGCACCTCATTAAAGGCGGATGCAGTGGGATCGGCGCGTGGAGTTTAAACTCTGTGCTCAACGGTGCGATTTTGTTGCTTTTTCTCAATTTTTATGTGAGAATGCATTCGCCAATACGCCGCCGTATCGGTAACACTTCGCCGGAGCTTGAATTACCAGCGAACGTAAAGCAAAATAATTAACTTTTGGTCGCCGGCCGATGAATTCATCGGAAGAGGTGGCGATTATGTTAATCATTTTATTTTCTATTAGAAAAAAAAACAAATTTAAATCTTTGTTTATCAGTTACGGGAACTTATTCTTCTTTTTTCCGTCTCGTTAATCTAGATTTGTGTTTTTTCATTTTTTGTTTCTTTCAATTTTACTCTAGATATTCATAAGTAGTCAACTGTAGTAAATTGTCCAAAAGTATATAAATATATATATGACGATTCTAAAGTTGATCATAATTATAGCATGGTCTTACTGTAGTAAATTTATGTGGCGATAAATATATTAATAGCCAGTAAGCGATCAAAATCCAATAGAATTTGAGAACTTTTTTTTCTTGGGGTCAAAGAATTGAAAACACGAGTTCAGTATCGATATACGGTATACAAACACGAGTTCAGTTGTTGTTTCTAACTATTGGATAGCCCATAGCATAACTCTTTCATCTTTTGGGTTTCATGCTTGATGCTTACGGTATTTCTTAGGGCAACGCTTTCTCTGTTTTTAATGTACCTCTCAAGTAAGCTAAAGGGTTTCCGTTTAAATGAGAAAAGGAAATTGTCTTTTTATTAGAATCCTTGTTCGTTTGGAAAAAGAAAAGAAAAACATATACTCCCACTATAAAAAGAGATATAATTTGGATCTTAATCAGATAGTTGATCTAGAGATCTGCGATGTCGGTTTGTTGTGAATTGAGATTGAGAGAGCAGTCGACGACGATGATGTCCAATTACAATAATAAAAGGAGGAAGACGACGATGGAAGAGGCGGCCTCTCCGTCATGGTCGTCGTTGCCAGACGCGGTGGCTCTGAGTTGCGTGGCCCGACTCTCGAAATCAGACCTCAAAGCCGTATCTCTCGTCTCCAGGAGACACCGCTCTCTCGTAGCCTCCCCTGAGCTCTGCCGCACGCGGACGCTGATTGGTTGCACCGAGCCATCTTTCTACGTATGTTTGCGCACCTTTCCTGACCCATTCCCACGCTGGTTCATCCTCACCGGTTCTCGGCGGCTGAGGCCGATCCCATTGAACCTTTGTCAGGCTCCAGAGTCATCCTCTTTCGTGGTGGTTGATTGGGGGATCTATGTAATCGGTGGACTCGTAGACCGCAATCCCACTTCGGATGTATGGTTCCTCGATTGTTTCTCTCATAGATGGCGTCAAGTCCCGTCAATGAAGATGGCTCGTGCTGCCGCATCGGCAAGCCTTGTCGACGGCAAGATATACGTGTTTGGAGGGTGCGGAGATGACGTTGCTGATTCCTCAAACTGGGCAGAGGTGTTCGATCCAAAGACCCAAACTTGGCGCTACTTTAAAACGCCCATGATGATGATGACTCACAGTATCCAGCAAAGTGTGGTGGTCGAGAAGAAGAAGGTTTACGCGGTGGATGAGGATGATCAGAGCTTCTACTTCTCGCCAAGTGAAAGTAGTTCCTGGACAAGGGGAAGGAGAGATGCTAAGCCAGGTAACAGAGACAATTGGTGTGCCATTGGGAAGCTCTTGTACTGTGTTGGTAGTTGCGGGAGAATACTGTGGTGTGAGCCAGATGAGTTGGATTGGAAAGAAGTCAAGGGTTTGGAAGAGCTGCAACGCTCTCTCACTGGTCGGAGATATCTGTTGGAGTGGTACCGGGCCAAGGACAACAACGTGTACCAGAAGTACAAGAAGTTCGAGGTTAAACATGATATCAGCAAACTCTGCTGCAACTCTGCTGGGAACATTGTCATCTTCTGGAACTTCCAGGGTCAAGGTCCTAAGAGTGTGGAGCTTCGGTCTGCCGAGATTTCCTTGGAGAGATGCGAGGGAGGCGAGGTTTGGGGGAGGATTGAATGGTCTGGTACGGTCTTCAAACTTGATCCCCTCTCAGAGTCATATAGCGTCAAGGTCTTATATTCTGCTCCCGTCTGTTCCTGAAATACCAAATCTTCTCAATCATCTTTGTATTTTAAAGTATTGTTGATTGAACTTCCGATCTCCTCAGTCCTTGTTTAAACTATTTACTTATATCTCTGAATCACGTTGCTTTTTTTTCTTACTTTTAGGTGTTTTAAGTATCTTTGTGTGCGTGTGTTTTTTTCTCCAAACACACAGTTATGTCTGTCTATTGGCAAGCTTAAGCCAGCAAAGGAGCCACATTGTCGGTATCAAACCCTAAAAGCTCATCTCTTTTCAATTTCTCAGCTAATTCTTACCTAATTGCCTGATGTTAACACGTTCTGTACTTGCAGTCTCCTTTTAATCTATCTGGTCAAAATGGGCTTCCAAGCAAAGGCACTTATTTCTTTGAACTCTGTTCTTGAGATATACGTGTGTTCATTTTCTTTCAACCATCCATGCCAAATCTGGTGGCAGAAGGCGGGTTTGTAGTACTTCAGAAGTAGCAAGGGTTCTTGGTGGTTCTCTTGGTGCGAAGAGACTGGTTGGTGTGACATGAATCCAAGGTTGGTTATTCGATTCTTTTGTTTAATTTTAACTATTATCTGCTACTTGAATTGCTACAAATTTTAGGCGTGCCACAATTCGGTGGCAAGTGAGCTATAATAACTAACATATAATAACTAATAGTTTTCATAGCCATACACTCTCGAATCAATACTTGAAGGCAAACAATAATCAAATTGATCGTTCTAATGCAAAGAGTGTGATTCACGAAACAAAAGTTTTGCTTGCTTCCACATAGTCTCCATGACCGTCTTCCTCTTCTTCTTCTTCCCTTTTTAAACTCTTCGTCCTGCAATACTTGTAGTAGATGTACTGCAATATGATCTGTTTTGATTTTTTTATATTAAGGTGTAGCAAAATAAAACTTACTGAGAATGTGATAAAAACAAAAAAAAAATCCATTTTGGGGTTATGAAAATGGTTAGAAAGGATACGAATAGATCGAGTGCGACGCAGACAATAGCGTCAAGCAACCAAGGGAGATTTGGTTTGATGTTTTCCCATTCAGTTGTTCGGACAAGAATACTGCCAACGTATGTTGCATTAGCTACTAACGCGAAGATGAACATTAGTGGATTTAAACCCTGCCAATTATCGAAACAAGTTTTGTTAATTTAGATGACCACATGCTACAATAACAGTTATGCTTAATTGTGTTTGATAACTTGTCTAGTTTAGATTTCTTTACCTCCACGCTTCCTCTTTTGATCTAGTTGTACGTACAGATATAATCCCGAGCCAAAATCAGATTAGTATCCAATATCAGAAACAATAAGCAAAGAGAAATTGAAAAAAGATGAGTCAAGATTTTGTGATAGAAATGGCTTACGTTGAGCCAAATCTGAGGGATTCGACCGCCCATGTAAATGGCGGCCATTAGCCATCCCAGCCATTGTCCCAAAGCGCTATGTTCTACTCTTCTTTCCTGCATCCGAAACAACAATGTTTTGAAATCATTTTCTCATATTTTCATTCATACAATAAAGCAACAAAATGTCATATAATGTCGCCACACACGTTTAGAAGCCGTCTGCTTGAAGCATGTGTGTACTTTTCCACTAGACTCTTGGCTTGAAGCGGAAGGCTTACCGATGCAGCCAAGAATGTTCCAAAACTTGCCTGAGAGAAAGAATAGTACAAATTATGTCAATCGTTGTTCTTTTAGCCTAAAGTGGTTTTTAGTTACCATGAAGAAAAATAAATCAAAGACCTGTCTTGGGATTGGCCTTGGTTGGGTAATGGTCTTAGACGTTACAACAGGAAGTGTCGACATTGTCTCGTCTTCATCCGAGGAAGAACCACTGTCTATTGTCATAGCCGAAGGGCCACTCTTAGCCACCCGAAAATAAGATGTTCTTAGAGGTGGAGTGCCGCTTCCAGCCAATGATCTCGCTGACCTGAACAAATACCATAGTGAAGTGTCACATGCTCACATCCCATCACAATATTGTGATAATCATATTAACAACATATTTACTACATATATACTCTATTGAAAAACAACTTCACAATAAATTAAAGGGAGTGTAGCTAATATTTTTTAAGAAAATAATATAAGAAAAAACAGAGTAGGCAGAAGATGGCGAAAGCTGATATATCATTCTTTTAACTTTAGTCGTAATCAGATTAGAGCAAACCCGTACGTGTAATAGAACTCTTTCTTTGGAGAAGCTTTGTAAGATTCTCCAGGGATGGAAATGGCAGATCCCATCGTCTTCGGTGGTTTCAGTGGTCTCTTCTCTTCATCTTCTTCCTCCTTAACATAATTTCACACCCCCATTTCAATAAATACAGTATAATCAATACCCAATAGTGTAATTAACATTACCAGTACCTTTTGACAGATGTTTGTACGTCCATGTGTGCAAAGTCTGTAAATATAGTCGTAGTAAATTGTCTGAATCACCAATAGTAGAGTGCTCACTGTGTAAAGCTATAACGAAAGAATTAAGAAAAAACAAAATTACGAGGCTAAAACTGAAAATATAACAAAATGAAGCGGTCGAGTCAAAATAAACACTGATATAATGAAAAATGACACGTAAGCTTTATGGCGACATATGTTTATGCGGCGAGTAGACATGTTAATATAATGTTACCAAGGCTGTGTAGAACTGAGTCGGCAACTACAATTAACAAAAAGACAAAAAATGAGAAGACAATCATCAAACTGAGAAAAGAAAATTTATAATCATAGGATATATGTTTGCGTAACTTACCGTAGCTGGTTCAAGAAGACAACCGGTGAGATTGAAGATATCGCTGCACCGATTGACAAAAGTCATCGTACAGATAACGTTAGAGAGAGTTTATTTATTAATTATTTTATTTAAATAAAGAACTGGAGACGATGAGTGAGAGTACGGACCCGGCCACCCAAGCGAGGAGGAAGGAGAGAGAGACACCGTGACTGGACTTCGTACGGAAGTTAGTAATGATCTGAGGAATCTCCGCGACGGCCCAACAGATGAGGCTAGCCATTCCAAGTGCGAACGAAACGTCGTCGTTTACGTTACACAGACAGTCGTTGAAGTATTTCTCCACCCATCTCACGCATGTCTTCTTCTCGTTCAAGCAGTAACCTGCATACACCATTTCTTTCTCACTCTCTCTCTCTCTCTCTCTATATATATATATATATGTGTGTACTCTCTCTCTCTTTCTGTGGAGTGTATATTATGATTTATGATTTGGAGAGGTGTTGATTGTTTTATAGGATTGTGGGTGAGGAAAGTGACAAACCATAAAGAGATAGGAGAGAGAGATATGTGTATACATGTATTCATATACATGATGGGACCATTTAGTTTACTTGCTGAACTATACCGGGTCTGCGGGAATGTATATTAGGTACCAAATCTAAACTTGTTACGTTACAATTGTGTTAAAGTGTCTAATAAATCTTATATTTATTGATCCTTTGATTGCTTAACTAGTGATTATATGGAAGTTCCAATCTCAGTTAATTAACAATATAAACCAAACATTGTTTTATTCTGACATCGATCAAAAGCACGATACTCTTAATTAAACTATGACCAGTGGGATTGTGGTTATGGAATAAATACGATCAGTCTAAGGAAAGACAGTAATATGCAAACAAAAATAATTTGAAAAACTTACAGGTTGACAAGAAAAACGGTCGAGGTATGATTCATGAGCATATTCTCTTTTGTAAATTTGATGCTCTGCTGAATCTCATATGTGCAGTTTTCATAGTACGGTTTATTAGGTATATTCGTTTTCATGATTCTCCAACATTTCAAAATGAGTAAACATTATTGTGAGGTAAAGCCTAATTCCCACGAAAATGTCTTACAGTTTGAACACCGTCATATATCTTAATCTCTGATTAGTTCAAAATTGTCATATGCACGCTCGATCGGATGGAAAAATCAGACTAAATTTAGCCAAATCTAATCTCTTTTGGTCTAGCTATTAGTCTATTAATTAGTATATGTTTTGTATCTTTCCCCTTATTTATTAAAATAATTACTACTTGCTCATTGGTAACCGATATTGGAAAAGTCTGATAATTTTGTAATTTTGTGGCGTAGGTACACATTCATGCGATTGGCTGCGCAAAACAACGGTCCAGGATTTTTTACTGAACCAGGAGGAAAAAACAAATTATGAAAAAAAAACAAGATGGTGCCAAGAGACTGCGTGGTGGCATCATGTTGCGATGATGATGACACCTTTCATAAGTCCTGGCTTTTCTTTTCTAATGATGTTCTTTATCAACTGTTTCTAGCTTTTAATTTTTGGTTCATTTATTTCAGTTTTAGGTTGGTTACTTCTTTTTTTCATAACAGCTTTTATTTTTCTTACCGTTACCTCATGTGTGGCAGTAAAATTTTGTATCGGAACTCTATTTTTCTTCCAAGGACGTTTCCTCGAACATATTCATATCTGAGACCAGCGAACGACATTATAGTCATGCAGACTAGTATTTAGAGTTTAGTTTTAGTTTTGTGGTATTTTGGGGAAAAATAAATCAGGTATTGTGGTATTTTAGGAAATTTAAAACCCAAATTTTTTTTGTAGTATTTTTCAAAATTACTCTAAAAATTTATAAAATTACGATATAGATTAAAGTCAGTTGGATATTAATTTCAATATTAGCTAGTGGATTAATGAAAATCGTTGGTCATGAGTTTCGAATAAAAATAAACGTTTTTTAGAAAACAAATAGGAGACTGCTGACAGAAAAAGAAAGAAACAGCGTCGTGGCGCCGCAGCAAGTTGGAAGAGAAAGTGGGGAACACGTGTGATCATATCGATCCTATCTCTTACGAGTAATGTATATCTTCATACACATCTACACATTGTTTGGTTTTGTTCCTCAATTTCTCTATTATTTGTTCATAATATCTTTCATTTTTTTATATTTGGAAAATTAGTGCTGAACAGATACGTTTTCGATTTGTTCCGAGTTCTAGAACCCTCAATTGAGAGAACTCGTCTTCACATGATACGAATGAGTTCTGTTTAACTTGTTTCGTCTATTATACTGAATCCGCTTGATATCAATCATATAGAAAACGACCTAATCACATACAATGGAATGGAGAAAATTTATAGCCATAAGCAACAATAATACTTTCCAATGTAAGAAACGAAACTTTTATGTTTTTTTTGTGGCAAATTCTTGGACTTACTGCCTACATGATGAATTGGTTTGCTTTTAACGTAACATTCTAACTTTTAACAGGTTAGTACATTAAAAAAAAGAAAAAGAGAGATGATTTTTGATAAAATTGTCTGTGTTTTAACAGATGGCAAGCATGCATACTTTAATATTTTATTTGGACAGGTCAGTTATACATTCTACGTTTTTGACTTACGTCCTCTCAGCGAATAGAAGAGCCGTAATATATGTATATACAATGTAGATATACAAGTCTATCCATTTTCCTTTTTCTTGCTTACTTTATCCATTTTGGTCCAAATATAATAAAGTCAAATTAGTGGTCGTAGAAATTTAGATTTTGAAAACCACAACCATATTTGCTATCCAAAAAATAAGAAGCCAAATAAAATTTTGCATGTAAAATTATACTTTAGAAGTGGAAACTTCATGACACTTAAATGTGTATTCAACGAACCTATACATTTTGCTTTTCTTTTTTTCTCATCAGTCTATACTCTAAAAAACTACAACAAAGCTCTTTTCATCTTTTTCTCTTTATTGTTTATAAATCCCATTTAAGGAAATGTACCAGTCAAGCGAATATGGTCGAGTGTTCTCCTCAGACCATGCGTAAGAACAGCTTGGTTACCTTGCCTGAACCCATCCCCATATGCCGATGATGAATCTGACTCTATCTGGTGCTTGAAAAACTCACCAAGTTTCTTCTCAAATTCTGACCTCTCCCCTTTCTTGGACGCTGCAATGACCGCAGCTGACGATGATGCTGCTGCAGAAGAAGACGAAGCGACATCTATTAATGCAGAGCCACCGTATGTCTCGGACTCCAACCACATGTGAGCTAAAACCTGACAGATCCCTTCTTCCACTTCTGGTCTAAGATTTGGATACCCTATAGAGCAACAAAACATCAAAGAGCAATTCTTATCACACATTTACCAAGAAGGGAGGATTCTGTAAATTACCATTTAGTCGAAGCCATGCATGCATCATCTCATGAGCAAGGATTGATCCAGTTAATAAACTGTACAAGTGTGATACAAATGATTTTTAGATATCTCATCAAGAACTATAAAAAATCGGTTTAGGAGTGTGTTGAGAAGTGTTATTCTGTTTTTACCGAGGAAGTCCATAAAGAATGAGAATTGCAGTGACTTCACAACGGCGTACGAGCCTGCAAGGCTCTGTGATCATGTCTATCAACTTGTAGCCTGCCCCAATTCTTGGTCTCCTTAACACCTAGATGATAATCTTTCTGATTTAAGCACAATTTGTGGAATTAAGCATGAATGTCACTTGTTATGAATGTGGAAGAAGTGAATACCGTGGTGACAGTTTGTTCTTCAGACAAACAGAGTCCTCTGGTTTCAGGTAAGTGATGATGTCCCTGCAGAAAAATTAGATAGAAGTAAGATGAAAGAACTGATTCAGAGAGAGAATTAAGCAAAATGGCGTAAATCTTTACGTGTTTCTCTCCTTCCATAGCTTCGTTGAGAGCTGATCTTTCGACCAAGAGCATAGGAATTTGCTGTTCCACTTTCATGTGCAAGCCTTCGTAAAACTCACGTATCTCGAGGTACAATGGTTGGCATTCATGAGTGTCCATAATGGCTGAGTCGAGACATTCAAGACACAGTTTTCGACCATCATCAAGTATCAGATACTTTGTATCTTTAGGCTGGAGAAAGAGAAACCATATGAAAAAAAACAGAACAACATATCAATTCCTCTCAAGAAACTCATTATTCAATTTTGCTTATAGTAGAATTTATGTACTGAAACTGACCTCCATACGCTCACAACTGCAGCAGCGAGGAGTTCCATCACGCTCATGTGAAGGACAATACTTTTGCATCCAGAAGGGATGTGCCCTATACTCAATGAGACCAGCTGAGTTCGTCGGAATCTAGAGGGAGTTACATCAAGCTTAGTATCACTTGAGAACATAAACCGAGACAAAAAGAGATCAAATGAAAAAGTCAAAAGTCACTCACAAAGTTATGGCAAACATCACATTTAGGATGATGATGCTCCTTGTAACATAGTTTGTGATAAGGCCTGTTTCCTGACATTGAGAACTGTAAAAGCAAACAGAATTGCACACATGTTAAGCTTCACAAGATTCAGGACAAATGTAAATATCACTTGAAGTAATGTGTTGAGAGTCTTGAGACCAAGACCTCATAATCTATGATGGGTTTATCACAGGCATGGCAGCAGAAACATTCCGGATGCCAAACGCCACCCATGCAACTCAGAAATCTCCCATGTCCAATCTCAGCTCGACAACCAGTGCATACCCTCCAAGGAATAAAGAACAAAAGAATACTCATTGCAGCAACTTTGATGATTATGAAACTATATACCATTGTTTACTTTTGAACCATTTTTACCTGTGACTAGATGGATTAAGGAAGGGGAATGGTTGAAACATACTTCCAGAGTCATAACGAGGAGGAGATCCAACATTCATACTTTCTTGAATGGCCTTGGCTAATAGCTCGTCTTCCTCCAACTGAGCTTTGGAACGCCTCATTTCCTCCTCTTCTAGTCGAGCTTTCGCAAGCAGTTTCTCTGTTTCTTCTAATTCAGCTTCAGCTCGTCGTTTTTCTTCTTCCTCGATTTGAGCCTGAGCTAACCGTTTTTCCTCTTCTTCTGCTGCTTCTAGCTGAGCTCTCGTGTATTCTTCATCATCATCCTCATCCTCGTCTTCTTCGGTTTCAGATTTGTACTCTTAACACATACAAGGTCGAGAAAACAGCTTAGCAAGATGAAGTTTCACACAACTCTCTCTTTCTTGTGTTGTTTCTCTCAATCAGTGAATAAAACAACCTTACCGATTACTTTCTTTCCTTTGTCATCTTGTGGAATGACATGTTCTTGTTCAGATAGAGAGAGTGCAATAGCACAATCAATTTCTTCCTTGTCAAAATCAGATCCATCCTGAATCAGAATTTCCAATATCTCAACTTCACAAAGACAAGAAATCATGAGAAAGAACAACATTTCAGCTTTTCATTTACCGCAGAGTAACGAGGACTCTCCAAGTTCCTATCTTCTCTATATCTTCCGTTGGTTTGTCCGTCTGAGAATTTGTGACTAGAACCCTTAAGGATTTTAGTAAGCCAACCCATTGGCACCAACAATCCTTTACCTGCAAAGAAATACATTGTTCTTAGGTACCCAAGGAAGAGATGAAACTCCATGGCTTTACTATCCAACACTTAATCAAAGCTTTAAGACATAGTTAATAACAAAGAATCAAATTTTGTGATTAAAGATCCAACAAGGAAAGTTTAAGAATATGCAAAGACATTTCAAGTAAACAAAAGCAACTGATTATTCCGGAAAACAACAATTGAAGAAAGGTATTGTATGGATTGCATCAGAACAAAAGTTATTAACTAAATTGAAATTAAGGAACCAAACTGAAATTAAGAAAGAAATGGATAAAATTAGGCCAAGGTTCATCGCAATGTTCCTCAAAACAATCGGCATAATCTAAATTCGATGTAGCTCATAGGGAAATAGAGGCATTCATGATTCTAAATACCCAAAAGAGAAAAAAAAAATGAATTTTTATGAAGCTTCTAAACAGAGACTCTAAAGTGAAGTAATAAACAGAGTATGGAGAAATCAGAAGTTACCTGAAAGAGATGGAGATTCCGACAACAGAAATTGACAAAATTAGATGACCATTTCAATTTGGATTAAATAAGAAAACCCAATAGTCATGATTCTTCAGCTTCTCTCGATGACTCTAAAAAATCAGGACTTTTCTCAGAAATGAACAGCGAAAAACAGAGGAGGAATCAAGGGGAAAAATTGGAGAGAGAGAGAAAGTGAAGGGACACTTGAATTCGAAGCAAAAAACCCCTTTAAAAGCTTTAAAGACCCCCGTGGCCGTTAATTATCTCAAAAAGCGTGAAGAAAGCTTAATAAATGAAGGGAGAGAGAGAGAGAGATGGAGTAGAGAATAAATCTCCATTAGAACACACTTAAAGGTAAGAACTTTACGGAGAAGACGATGGGAAATGGTTTCAAATGAAGTTTTTTGGTTGGGAAGGTCAAGCAAGTGGGCACTTGTAAACAAAACTCAATCACATTATTTGCGGAAGAGAAAATAAAGCTTTGAAAAATTAAGAGAGAAGAGGAACAGAGAGTTGATGTTTACTAGCAATCTTTGACTCTCTAATTACTTTCTCCAACACTCTCTCTACTGTTCCTTTTTTTCTCTCCTTTGCGTCATCTTTTTGCAACTACTAGTTGATTTTTGATTCTCACTTTACATTTTTGTATTAGAAAAATTATAAATATCAACTTGAATTTGTTAAGTAGGTGAGGTCAACTAATAGTTGTATTTAGCTCAACCTAATGCATTATTACATACGGCCAAACGAATTGGAAAAATCCAGATAATGTTACATGGGTAAAATTTAATTTCAGCATATATGTATGATTTCATTGTCATTACGAGAAAAAAATAAATTGTAACATTGCAGGTTCCAAATATCAATATATTATTTTTGTGGTTGAGATGTAATTTGGTTGGAAGGGTCAAGAGAATTCGGTAGGTTCAAATCAACAATCATATGTAGAAAAAAAACGTGTTTATTATTGTATTTACGTGTGGTATAGAAAACACTCAAAAACAGGGTGTTTAGGCATCAAATTAGTTAAACAATTGTTATACAAAGATCTGTTGTACTGATTGAAAAGATTTTGTTTTGGTTTAGTAGATTTTTATGAGTGTAGTAGTTGAACTAAGTGACGTTCTTTGTATCGTGTGAACTCACTCACTTCTTACGCAAGCAATGAGTAAAAGTAATGCAACAGACAAACATATTTGTTATAAACAACATGTCATCAAAGTTATCAATTGGCTTCCAAAAATTTCAATCTATTCACATATAAATACACACACCTGGTTGCCTAATTTAGTATATATATGTAGTAATCAGTAAGATCTTCACAAGGCCCATACTTTAATATTGGGCCGAAAATCAAGCCTATTGTTCTAGAAAATAAATTTTAATTTACACAAAATCAGACACCATTTCGGCACCGTGGGCTGAACTTATTTTGTTTGTTGTTGAATGAAAACCGATTCAATATATAGATATAAGACTTTAACATTTGTTACAACAATATTCATTTTTAATATTCATGTTGCTCTTTTTCTGCATTGTGTAGAGTTTTTTTGTGTGTTTGCATCATATTTAGTTTCTTTCAGTTTGGGTTAGGTAAAAAAAATGTTTCTCTGTTCTTTTAAAAATAAAATAATTGTTTCTGTGTAATAGAGGGAAAAAAATAATCACATCGTATTACTCTTCTCATCGACCATATCCGTTTAATAAGATTTGGGTGAATTTGGAACTAGAGTTGAGTTTATGAAACAGGCTGTCACAGTGTCACGTTTAGTGGTCAAGACAGGTGGCAAATTGATACACGTTGATCTTGACATGGACCACAGATCCCACGTGGCCATGGCCATCCCTTGCCGGGTTTTCCACGTGAACCAATCAAACTGATATGTGTTTTGCATTTCTTAAAACAAGCCATTAGAGAAAAACAATTAATTCTCTAGAATGTTAATTATCAACGACGGTGCAAGTGATTAGCTTAATTTATATTTTAGTCAAAAAAATCATAATCAATAATTCATTCGTTATAAACTAAATGACATTAGCTCTTACTTTTGTGATGGTCTATACATAAGAAAACACTTTCACAAAATGGTTACGAGATCCAAAAATCTATAAAAACAAGATGGTCCTAACTAATTATTGGTGTTATATGAATCTCGACAAGGATATCAATTATATGAATTCGTAGAGATTATTGTCTTGGTATTTATGTTTATATTATACTATTTAGATGCAAAATAAATGCAAAGATAAAACTGAAAAATGGAAAGGCTGGAGAGTGGAGACCATGAGAATGTTGGTCCCTTGGACCTTCACACATAAAAACAGTTTGCTTCTTTTGTTTATCATCGTTTGATTCCATTTTCTTGCTTTATTTAACCAACTATTGTCCAATGAGACAAACACTATAAGGTACCTTCTAATATGGGTTCATGTATATTATCAATAGTTAATACTTACTATATATTGATCAAATTGGAAGAAAGATCCGTTGACCCGACATATTAATACTCTTTATTCAGACTAAAAAGAGCGTTACATAGTGTTTTCTTCTATAGAAAAATCATGATTGCTCTGGTTTTTGTTTCTTTTTCAGAATCAGGAAACAAGAACGTAATTTCGAGCTTAACTATATTAAAGCGCAGCATATTCTCGAATATGTGATGTCAGATTCTCATACGAAATAATTTGATTTATTTCGTTTTCATATAACGTTATGTTGATACAATAATTTGTTCTATCTGGCTAAGTCAATAGTCATTTTCTGTACAGTCTTCCATACAGTAGTTACAAACTTACATGTACTCCTATTTAGTCATAGTCATGTCTGGCACATGAATCAACTCGCTGAGATGTTGAAAGTTTGTATTATCAAAACACAAAAGACGAACAAACATTTCGATCCTTTTCCCTTTTTTCATTAACTATTAACGCGTGGTGATTTGGACATATACATGGACTATTCTTATTTTACCTTTTCCATATAACTTACAATCATAGACTATATCTTTGTGGTATATCCGACTCAAAAGTCTAGGCTTAGCAAAACCAGATAAGGTTTAGTCCAACAATGGAATAGCACTTAGCAACAGATAAAAAAAACTCAAGTTGAATTTGGACTGAAGTTATTTAATTTATAAGAAAATTGTGTTGTAGTATCATATTAATCACAAGATGTCGATTGAATTTGGAGTATCTTGTAATGACTTTATGTACGCAATTCCTATATATAAATAACTAATTTACACTCACTATAATCATTAATCAGCTTTGTTTCTTTGCGACAAATATCTACACTCGTTGTCTCGGACTACCAGTGTCCAAAATTTGTAGCCGAGGAAAAGGCAGAGTATATATATAAACAATTTAAAAATAAAGAAATGCCAAATTAAATAATGAGTCGCGTTTCTCTATGCCTCTATGATGACTCTATTAATTAGTAGACACATTTATTTATTTATGGTTGCTCGCGGAAAATAATTGATCGGTTAAAGCTTAACATCATTAGGTGAGGACTGAGGATTTCCCACTTAAATATAAATTAATGAGTTCCTAGATGCAAAGTCTTTAAACTCAATGTTTGATCATTCTATATGTATTTCGTTGATTACATCAACACCGAAACTTTAATATATATTCATTTCACTCCTTCATTAGATGTGGTTGTTCTACGTAATAAAAAAATTGTTATAAAATCAACTAGATAAATTAAAAAGAGAAGATAAGAGATAATATCATAAATAAAAAGCCGAGAGGAACAATTTGATTGACACCAAAAAGACAAGAAATGGAATAAGAAGGGACCATCACTGCCATTTTCACAACTGCCTTTGTGGTCTCACTCTCCCATTACTCATGAAAAAGAAAATCAAATTTGTATTTGTATAATAGTAAAACTTCTTAGCAAGTCGAAGCATAGAGAGTTAGAAAGAAACAATTTTTTCTTCTGGTTTCCTCTTTTTATCATGTCCATTCTCAATCATTACACGATTTGGATTCCCATTTAAAAACGAAACAAGAGCAAAACGAAGAGAGGACTTCACTCCTGTTTCATGTTTAGATATGGTACTTTCCGATTTCATATTGCTTCTGTACATATATTTTGTTTTTGGCAATTTAATTTGTTTCGCTATGTAATACCACTCCGCAACTCACAAACTCATGAGTATGCTGCATTTCATATGGCGACGACTGATGGATTTGAATTCGTATGATTGATTGACATGACAATAAATCAAACCTACGAGGCTGTAAGCCTATAAGCATTACGAGTCATTGTAAAAGCTTTTAGCTAAGCACGAGCTTTCTTTTTCCTTTATACAAAGTGGTGACTTTTGTTTTCTAACTATTTGAAATTGCACACCATAATAACCAAATCAAACTTACACATCTAAGTGAGCTGGTGACTTTCAATCGTTAACATATTACATAGACATTTCTTATAAGAACGCGTAAGAAATCAAGAAAAAACAAAATCGAGATTATGACGAATGAGGTCGAGAAGCAAGAAACGTGTAGTAAAATAACTTTGAAGGTTAGAGACCATTGAAGATATTATTATAAAGCAAGAGCAATCGGAACCATTAAAAGTTGGCTTTGGTGGGTAAAGAGTATAAATGCCTAAAGATGGAGATCCTCTCCACACGTGCGAAAAAGGAAGGTTCGGCACGTAACGGATGGTTGTGCATACGTGTGAACGGAGGGTAGGATTCACGTGAGAGGTTCACCCGATCAAGAAATTTTATTTTTAAGAGAAGCATTTTTATTTCATGAAGGAATTATAGAAACGAAATAAAAAGAGAAAGATATATCGGTAGGAGGGAAGATAGTTGAGCTGTCAAGTTTGTAGTTGGAACTTAAAAAAACAAATTTAACTAAAATTAAAAATCAATTCATGAATATAATTTGATTTTCTTATGAATTTGTATGTTTAGATTCTTATTCTGGTCAACTAAACTTTATGCTAATTTTTATTTCAGTTTTTTTCCTTAATATTTTCCCGTTTAAAGGAGCTATATAATGAAATCAGATAGATCAATTTCTGTTACATAAATAATTATATTGTGAACGAAATCAACATATATAAATCAAGAAAACACCTGACAAATTTGTATATGTCACCGAGGAAAAGCCATTTCTGATTATTAAAAAAAATTATTAACTAAAAGTTAAACCAGTATTTGCGTGCTGATATGATTCTGACATAATAGATTCCAACATGGTGTCATGTCACAATAAACAAATCTCAATGTATAATAAGTGGACTTATACTTTTGCTTTCGACATTTCCATTATTTATTTATCCCGTTATAGACTTATAACCTACGTTGCGAAATCATATATTTCTCTAACCGTTTGTGGGATATCCACGACAATCCGACTTTGGGAATGTTAGTTTTTAGTAAGACATACGTGATACGAAACAAGTCTTCAGTTTAAGAAAGAAATCCCGAAATCCATAGTATTAACTAATGTACATTAAGGTTAAAAGATTTGGAGAAAGGTACATGGCAAAAATCATTTAATTGTCTATTCAATACTGTTCTCCACCTCAGACGCGATCCATGATCATGTGGAATTTAAACTAGAGCCTAGTACGAGCTATATAAAAAAACAGCCCAATCTCAATGTTGTTAAGCCAAAAAAACAGTTATGTGTCGATTTCATCGGTTTTCTAGGTTATCCCCACACTCAAACCTAATTAGCATTGTGAGCACTTGACTTCTGATCCTTCCTCCTACCCTTCACACGTGCCAAACAACAAGTCCGGGACGTGCGAACTTCCATATATCATTTGGAGACGGAGTTTCGTTACGTTATTCTCCAAGCATTCCTACTCACATCGTACTCGAACCTCAAGTAGCAAAATCTTTATGCTTTCAAAATCGATGGTCCGATAATGTAGGTTGGATATTCATTCATATATAGATGTGGTAACTTTTACATTTTCTTGCATGGTTATTATACATCTATGCGATCATTTTAAAACTTCCTAATTAATACGGAACTAACAATTGTTAGAAAAAAAAAAACGTAAACAAATTGTCATTTCAATGAAAAAGTCGATTGTAAGTGACTAGCTTTTTTATTTTATTTTGTCTTTAGAAAAGGGACTAACTTGTGGTTAGAACTTATAGAATCAACTGATTATGACACGCTCATTTGTTTTGGTAAAGTGATTACGACATTCACATAGTCACACGAAATCTTGGAATTAGGAAAGTTAATTTGATTTTAATAAAGACCAAATTAAAAGTCTGAAATAAACGAAAATTTTGCAAAGAAAATTTGTAAAAAAAAATCATACGAGGAGTGACGATTCAACAAGGACCAGCGTAATCAGAAATAATGACAGACGCGCGAGTGTAATATGGAAAATGCATATAGCTAAGCAGTATCTTCAAAATTTGTTTTGTCACTACAATTAATATTTTTGGTGGTGGTTCGTATCATTGAGATATGACCTTGTACTCACTTTATTTTTTTATTCCTTTAGCTGTTTTTTGAGTTATTTCTAAAATTAACATCTTAAGCTTGTTGATGGCAGCCGACATTTCCGTGAAAAATGACATATCGTATTAATCCTATCCCATATTTCATACCAAAATATATATATTTTTAAACTAAACTTCCACAGTATAATTTTACTAGTGCATTGATTATTTATCTATAATATATACCTTTGTGGATTATGTAAAAATCAATTAATAAATTGTTTTACCAAACAAAATGAATACTCCCTCCGTTTCAAATTAGTTGTCGTTTTGGCAAAATGTATCTACAAATTTTTGGACGTATCCGGACGTGTTTTGCATTGCAAATACATCCAAAAATTTGCAAATACATTTTGCCAAAACGACAACTAATTTGAAACGGAGGGAGTAAAAACAAACTACTACTAATAAAGAAGATTGGTGGGCTAAAACGGGAGGCGAAGAAGAAAGAAGAGTGACCTCTTTCTCTCTCTCTATCACATTTTTGTTCTCTCTTCCTTTCGCTTTGGGAGAGACTTATCAGTTTTATTTTCTTTTCTCATATATTATTTTTTAATGGATTCCTGAATAAACTCTTAGTAACAAAGAAAAACAAGAAAAGGAGAGTCCAGAAAAAGAAAGCCAGAGAGAGAGAGAAAACGATACCTAAGTTCAATTATCTTCTCTCTCTCTTTTCTCTGCAACAACTCCAAAGGTATTCTCTTCTTCTTCTCCTTCTGCTCTCTCTTGCATATAGATACGTATATATCTCTTTCTTCATCAGTTACACAAGATGTAGATAGATGAAAAAAAAAACAGCATAAGACCTAGTTGACTCTCTCTTTCTGAGTTGTGTTTTAAAGTCTAACATCATTACAGGATCCAAGAAAGAGATAAGATATTATATGATGAAGAAGAAGATTGAAGGATTGATATGGGAATAGCTACTACGATTTTCTTGAAGGCTCTTCACAATAATTCTATGTCCCAAGATTACGATCATCATCATCACCAACACCAAGGAGGAATCTACAGCTTCTCTAATGAATTCGACAGGTCAGATTCTCCCAATCTAACAGCTCACGAGAAGCAAGAACATCAAAGAGTAGAGATGGACGAGGAATCCTCAATCGCCGGAGGTGGGATTCCGGTATATGAAACTGCCGGAATGTTATCCGAGATGTTTAATTTCCCCGGAAGCAGCGTTGGCGGAGGAGATCTTGACCGAGGGCAATCTTATCGTTCAAATAGACAGTTGCTTGAGCAGCAACATCAAAATATTCCGGCGATGAATGCTACAGATTCCGCCGCCGCCATGCAGTTATTCTTGATGAATCCACCGCCGCCACCACAACAACCACCGTCTCCGGCATCAACGACCACCACAAGAAGCCAACACAATTCTTCAACTCTTCACATGTTACTACCAAACCCATCTCATCACCACCAAAGCTACACTAGTAATACCATGTCTATGCATCAGCTTCCACATCAGCATCACCAACAGCTGACGTGGCAGTCTTCTTCTTCCTCCGATCATCATCACAACAGCCAAACCGAGATCGGGACCGTCCACGTGGAAAACACCGGAGGACAAGGCTTGTCCTTATCTCTCTCGTCCTCTTTAGAAGCTGCTGCAAAAGCGGAAGAGTATAGGAACATTTACTATGGAAGCAATTCTTCAAACGCATCACCTCATCATCATCATCAATACAATCAGTTCAAGACTCTTCTTGCTAATTCCTCTCAACAACAACATCATCATCAAGTATTAAGCCAATTCCGATCACCTCAGGCGGCTTCTTCCTCTTCTTCCATTGGAGCGATCAATATCTTGAGAAACTCGAGGTACACGACGGCCGCGCAAGAGTTGTTGGAAGAGTTTTGTAGCGTTGGAAGAGGGAATTTGAAGAAAAACAAACTTAGGAATAGCTCAAACCCTAATACTAGTGGCGGCGGTGACTCTCCTTCGTCGGGTGGAGCAATCAAGGATCATCCTACTCTATCGGCGTCTGATCGGATTGAGCATCAAAGAAGGAAAGTGAAGCTACTCACCATGCTTGAAGAGGTACGTTAATGTTAATTACAATTCACCTTTTAATTTCAGTCTTGGTTTTGACCTGGTCCTTAGTGATACTAATTCATACGTTTTACGTAAAAATGTTTTCTTGAGATTTTGATAAAATTCACATATGTCAAATACTCCATTGATCCAAGAAACATCATATGATTGAAATTATAATTTATTTTCTCGATTAAACTGTCAATTGGTAATTATTTGATTATTTTGATAGAGTCTGATTACGCAATCCTACCATCAATTTTTTTTTATTAAAAAAAATGTAAACATTTTATTCGTGCGACTGTCGTATTAGAAACTTAATGAATATGTTGATGCTTAGCGTTTGGTAGAATCGACTAATCAAACAGCAATGCATAGAATAATTACACGATTATACAGAATTGGCGTTTCCTTCTCCATATAAGCTACTCTCCTTACGTCCTGATTAAAGCTAGTACTTGACGTTACTAATTGTTTACCACATAATTGAATTATTCTATGTTTTAGTTGACTTATATTTTTCTCACTATAGAAAATATTTTATTATATGCTAGAGGATATACGATAAAACATACTGTTGCTAGGAAAACGAAAACTTGGGCGTATATTCTCTCTGGTCCTAAAGTTGTCTATAATATTTTATTTTCTCTTTGAACGTAGCTAATTAATCTATTTTGTTTATAAAAAAAATATGAAATCTGAACACAAATATATGCTCCCGTGAAAAGATCTCTACACTAATATTAATCACGTGAAAATATAACAAAGACGACTTAACAAATAACATTGATTAAAAGAAAAAAAGCAAGTATCAAATACATATGGGTTGTATAATGTATAGTTTTGCTTTGTTGGCATGCAGGTGGACCGACGGTACAACCATTACTGCGAGCAAATGCAGATGGTTGTGAACTCTTTCGACATAGTAATGGGCCACGGCGCGGCGTTACCGTACACAGCTTTGGCTCAAAAGGCTATGTCGAGGCATTTTCGATGTCTTAAAGATGCGGTCGCGGCTCAGCTTAGACAGAGCTGCGAACTTCTTGGGGACAAAGATGGAGCCGGAATATCTTCTTCCGGATTAACTAAAGGCGAGACACCGCGGTTGCGTTTGCTAGAACAGAGTTTGCGTCAGCAACGTGCGTTTCATCAAATGGGTATGATGGAACAAGAAGCGTGGCGACCACAACGCGGTTTGCCTGAACGCTCCGTTAATATCCTTAGAGCTTGGCTCTTCGAGCATTTCCTCCACCCGTAAGTCAAATTTTTAATTTATTTCTCATTTACGTTTGCAAGAAACTTGATTAGAAAAAGCTGAGCAAAAGTATTGATTTTCTTGCTATTTCATCACTGCTTTCTTTAGTCTTATGTCTGTAGATTTTTGCTATTTTATTGTTAGTGAGAGTTATCGAAAAAATGGCAATAAAGCAAAAGAGAAGTGTTTTTTGTACTTTTTCCACCTCTCTGTCATTTGCTTTATAAGAAGTAAAAAAAGAAAACTAAGTTAAAGAAGAAGAAAAATACACTGGATCGATGCTATGTAATCATCAGCTTTTCTTTTGTCTCTTAGATTCTCACGCCCTTGTTAGGAAAAAGAAGGAGAAAGTCTGTACTTTTTCTTACGTCTACTTGATTGTATTGTATATAGAGAAAATATAAAGAAAAGAAATTAGATTGAATTTAGGGCAAAGTTAGAGTTATGTCATTTTCTGGTCTCTTTCTCAGGTATCCAAGCGATGCAGATAAGCACCTCTTGGCTCGACAGACTGGTTTATCCAGAAATCAGGTCAGTCTATCTATCTATATACATAAATATGGAAAATATATATAGTCACGTATATATCAACAAAATAAATCTTCATTAATCAAATACATATGCTTATGTTTAACAAAGTTGAGTTTGTTAAGATCATCAGTCTAAGTCAATATTGTGGATAGTAGCTTAGATATACGTACTTATCACTGTCTGGACGGATTACTAATAAGTTCTTTATCAACTTGTAGTAGCATGTCTTAGGACTAGTCCAAACTTCACAATAGTACGTAAATATAGAACTATATTAACAATTTATGGCCCGAATTACCTACACATGTAGTTCATTTTCATGAACACACATGCTTGGTAGAAAAATCAAGTAGTGCTTATAAGTTAACATCCCAAGATCAGCAATATCAATCAACCTAACTTATTTGATGAAGAGAGAAATTAAGAGGACACCATGTATCATCAGTACGCTAACTAGTAAGTAGTAACTAGCTTGAGATGAATATTTTGCATGGTTTTTGTTTCTTTCCTTCGTTTGGTTGGATATGGCAGAGGAACACCATGTGTTTTGCCTTCCACTCACAATTAACTTTTCTTGGGATTCGTTTTATTATTATTATATCATACATATATAGACAGACCCACACAAACATAGGAGAGAGAGTAGTATGTTTTATGTGTGGGCGAGGAGAGAGAAAGCGATCGACATTAAAGACTCAAAAGGGACCATTTTTCCTCAAGTACATCAAAGTTTGCAGCTTTCAGTTATCCCGAAGAAACCCTCAATTTCTTGCATACAATAAATGACCAAATGACAAATTGATAAAGAAAAAAAGAGAGCCCACAATTCGTTTCGATAGTAATCATTATTAACTCGGTGAAAATTTTGTCTTTTTTATTCAGGTGTCAAATTGGTTCATAAATGCTAGGGTTCGATTATGGAAACCAATGGTGGAAGAAATGTATCAACAAGAATCAAAAGAAAGAGAAAGAGAAAACGAAGAATTAGAAGAAAACGAAGAAGATCAAGAACCAAAAAACAGCATCAACGACAAGAGCACAGAATCCAACAACAATGAAAGCAACTTCACTGCCGTTCGGACCACTTCACAAACTCCAACGACAACTGCACAATCAGCTGCAACCAAACCAGACGCAGACGTGGCAGCAGCGACAGGCCACCGTCTAAGATCATCCGACATCAATGCTTACGAAAGCGACCCTTCATCGCTTCTACTCCCTACCTCCTCCTATTCCAACGCCGCCGCAGTCTCTAGCTACGGTGGTTCAGCCGCGTTTTCCGCCGCTGCCACGTGTCAACAGGGTGTTGGCGGGTTCGATGAAGCTGACATGGATGGTGTCAACGTTATAAGATTTGGGACAAACCCTACTGGTGACGTGTCTCTCACGCTTGGTTTACGCCATGCTGGCAATATACCTGACAAGGACCCTTCTTTCTGCGTTAGAGAGTTTGGGGGCTTTTAGTTTGCTTTGGTTACTCCATTTCATTAATTAATTATCACACTTAGTTACTTATTTTATTTTTATTCTTGGATGACAAATATATTTAATCTTTTGATAGAATACTTTAGTCCATTTAAAACATCTCTTTCAAAGGGAATTGATTAATTAATGATTCAAAAGAAGCAACCTCTACCTTAGATTTGTAAGAGCATATTGCAAGTCAAAAGTCAAACAAATATATCCAACTATCATTATTAGAGTTAATAATTTATGATTTATTACTATAAGAGATCTTTGAATTAATACCATACTAAAAGTATGAATTCTGGTATAGGAGCTAATTAAACAATGTTTGTTTTTTAATATATAACTATAAACAAGTCTATAAATAAACAACACTTATGACACACAAGAAAAAATCCATCAAACAACAATTCATCTATTATAATCTCCTTTTATTTTCTATAACAAAATTGTGTTAAGTAAAAAAAAAATGGTGAGTTTCATGAAGATGATGATGATCATGGTTCTTTTGGTGATAACTGTTAATGCAAAGACTATGGAAGAGTGTAAACGAACAACGTGCAAATCCTTTTGTAAAGTCGATAGTGCTGATTGTTCTGGTTGTATAAATCGATGCACTTTTCCTGGAGGTAACCAAAACTACTCTCACTTTCTCTATATAGCGAATTTATTGTATACTTCAGATCCATAGTGTTTCATAAACAATGCTTATACCTGATGATATTTCAGCTGGGAGTCTCGGGACCATCAAACCAGACGACGCACAATGTTACATAATTTGTGGAAATGCTTGTGGCACGGACGATACTTGCTTCCAAATATGTATTAGACGTTTAGGATGTCATTGATCTGAGATTTAGAGATCAATTTCTTATTCTCATGATTTAGTTATTTATATCTTGAATGTTATGGTGGGATGTAATTGACATGAAAAGATTATGATTTTAATAAACATATAAATTTTTAAAGTCTAATTAATAAAACAGTTTATAGAATAAATATTTTGGGTATATTATTAAGATTATGATTTTTTTATGTTTATGATTTTTTTTTTCCTCTAAAAGTTACTTTATTGACTTGACGAAATGTATTGTGAATTACATGCGACAGAAAATCAGGAATGTAAAAATGATAAACTGGAACAAAAAAAAAAAAAAAGAATGATAAACAAAGATTGTATGGTTTGTAAGATTTCTCGTCTCCAACAAGTCAGCAGCCTTGTTTCCTTCTCTTGGCACCCAAGTAAAAGAGATATCTTCAAATTTGGCCATCCAGCTCCAAACCTCCCTCATCCAATCGAATAATCCGAAATTTAGTGATGAATTGATTATGATTATGATTTTTATTATCACGATTGTGCAAACTAATAATTTTTACTCTGATTTTGAATATGTATAGTATTAAGAGTGTCCATCAGTTTTAATCTATTAAGAAGTAATTTTTCAAATATCAATCTAGACAATAATATTCTTTCGAACTTGAACATTACTTTTATCCAAACTTATTACGGAATCCATATTTGTTTTTGTTTGACTAAATTTGGTTACTACTAATGGAATAAATTTGGTCCTTTCTCTTGTTTCCTTAATTTGATGAGGAATGATGTTCTTAACTTAAAATCATTTTCCATAGAAAAAGGTAAGAGAAAAGATTACGTATTGACCATATGTACCAAATATTATTTATTTATGATGTAATAAATTAGAAATGAAGAAGAACTAATGTCCTTTTCATTTTTGAACTATGTTGGTCAACTTTAAAATTACTTATTTCGAAGAAAAAATTAGTTATTTTGACTATTTTCACAATAACTTTAAATATGTTGCTTAAAAGAGTTTTTTTTTTCTATGTTTCTTTCATCACATAAACTTATAAAAGCCCATTTTGTTCTAGCTCATTTTCATTATCAAAATATTCTCGAAACAAATTAAAAGCATAATCTTGTTATCGATTCATAAGTAATGGCAAAACTACTGTGTTCGTATATGTTCATCTGCATGTTTGTTCTCTCAGGTAAATATTCCTATGTCTTTCATTTCATTAAACATGTCATAAAGCTCAAAGTTTAGTTTTTTTTTTCAAATCGATGCATCTAGTTCTAACTTTTAAGCATGGTTGGGTAAGCTTTTGACCCGAGAAAAGCCTAACTAAACACAATTTTTAAAAAGATAATTACGGAAAAATGATGGAGTGCAACTTACATTGACTATATATCTAATGCGATGATCATTTAACGTATGGATATCGTAAATCACATATTTTTAGTTTTATATTTCTAGGTAAATTACACTTCTGAAATAATCACTTCCAAATGAATATATTCTATTAAATATTCTCGGTTATTTACTTAAAATGAAAAAATTGTTAAGTATTTACACAAAATTTTGTTTGTTTTTAGGCTTTTTGGGTTTGTCAAGTGGACAGGATCCTCCGGAGGTAAGACAATGTGACCAGATCATAGACCTTGGCAGGCCATGCGAGTTTATACCTTGCTTACAAAAGTGTAGGGAACTTTTCGGCGAGAGTGTGATACCCTTATGCGTCGGAAATAAACCAAATCAGCAATGCCAATGTGAATACGGTTGTCATTGACCGAAATCTCAAATAATAATAAAAACTTTTGAATATTTTATGTGATTGCCAATGCAAAACAAAACCGGGTTCCATGTGGCTTGACCCAATTTATATTCGACCGATGAAATAACGAGCTTTAAAAACCGGGCTGACCAAACCAAAACCATGATTACTTGATACATTATGGTCTTCGTTTATCTTTCCTTCGTGGTCTGCATAAGTTCTGACAGAGCTTATGCGGCCAGTTTCAATAAGGTCGTGAGTTGAACATAGAAACATTACAAAACTCTAAATCTCTCTCTGACTTAGCAAGCCGGGAAGCTAAATATCTGAAAGATCCAAAACATTGCAGATTTAGACAGCCTCTTCACCGTCATTGTCCAAGATCAAACAGTCTTTTATTTTCTCCCTGAAACATAATTTTGAAGCCAACGTTAAATATCGTTTAACCAAATGAATCGCCAAATCTATGGTTAAGTGCTATTGATTAGCAAACTACTCACCTCAGATAAGCTTGACTGTTAACCTTCTTCTGATGGGAAAGTATTTGATGTGGTAGAAATGATCCGAAACGCTCAAGAGATGATCGATCCTGCGGAAGTATCTGAAACCGGCAGCTTGAACAGCAAGCAGCGTAAAGGGCATCGGATTCATTGCATTCTTCTTCGAAAGTGTTGAAATCTGATGAGTCTGATCCGTTTAGCGGGCCGTTGCAGATAGGGCAGAACGCTTCTGTCGTCATGGAACCGTCGTATTTGAGATTGAATTTCTTTAGACGCCTCTGAGTAGCCATAGGAACGTTAGAGTCGTCTGTTTCAGGGATTTTGTTGAAGTGAAATGGTGTCAGCTTTGCCGCTGTACGCACTATTGTGCACTCCCGAGAAGGATTCTCTTCCTGCACACAAAGACATGTTTTAACAGCCAAACCACTACAAGAAAACGCAGGAGAGGAAGAAGAAGAAGAAGAATTTGCACCTGCAAGAGAGCAACAAATGTAGACACCAATTCATTGATCCCTGACTGAGGATGACGAGCCAACTCCATAGTCTTTAGACTGTCCTGCCCAAAATGTGTGTTACATGTCTCTCATTCAAGAAATACAGTGTATAGACAAAGGCAGTTGAATATTACGAACCTATCCAATTGGCAGAATCTAGTTATCTCCTGCCAAACACAATCTCGAAGTGGAAACACAATGGGAACCTTCCATCTCGCATCAACATGCTGAATATCTGCTGATAGTGAATAACCTCGTCCCTGTCTCAAGCCAAGAAATGCAATTCATCGGTTAGATCCAAAATCTCTTAAATATCTACATTCTTTCATGTTACCATTGTATTAGCTTTCAAGAATGAAAAATGTCACTCAATCTATGTAAGTAGTAACGCAACACACCTTGACAGTGGCCGTGAGAACATGGGAAGCGATTCTCGACGTGCATGATCCCACCACTAATCTGTTGTATCCATTCTCAGAAGCAACCTGAAAAGAAATTATCAAGCAACATCAAACAAAAATACATCTCTAAGGCTGGATTTTCCCCAAATACAATATATTGGACGAACCTTTTGCAGAGACAACATTCTGAGATGCAGGACAAGGTCTTCTTTACCAGTCTCATCACTCACAGACTCCAATAGCTTTACAAGCCTATCCCTTGCTTCAACAGAGTCAGAACCAAACACGCTTTCGATTGGAACAACGTGGAGATCCTTTGACAAACTCGATACAGTGGATCTAATCCAGGCAACCGCATCATCCATTTCAGTGGAAAGAGCAGGATAAGCTCCACTCTCGTCCACAAACGCAACGCCAACACCAAACACTGGTAAAGACCTATCTCTACTCGCCTCGAAATTCTTCAAAGCCTTGATCTGCAAGTCGTGCACAAACTGAAGAGCAACCCTTGAAGACGATCCACCAGAGAAAGCAACGAGGACGTTATCTGAAGGAGTGATCATGGCGTGAGAAGTGACGGCGAGACGGAACTTCCCGTAGACATTGTTCCTGAAACAGTCGGCGCAGAATCTTCCGTCGTCGGAGCCACCGTCCCCAAATGTCATTGGCTCGTTGCATTTACACTTGACGCAAACACTCTCCTGACTAACACCACCAGCTACTGCACTCTCCTCTATCTTACTCCCGTTTTCCTTCTCACGCTCAGAGCAACCGCCGGACTCACATCCTGAGGAGTTACAAGCCATGTCGAATTCGCAAGCTGATGGGATGATGAAAAGGCGGAAGATTTAGATTAGCAATTGGAAATCAGAAGAAGCAGATAACACTTTCAACATCCGATTCATGAGAGAAGAACCATTTTCCGCCATTAACGAGCTTAATCAAGAGATTGCTACTCTAAAATCAATCAGTATGTAGTCCTATTCCAGTGTAAATTGCTCACTCTTGCTAAAAACTGATGTCTAGAGTGAATACAGTGAAAATATAGAGATGTGTGCAGATTCAAAATCGAAACAAAAGCAGAAGAAAATCCCAAATCAAACGGAAGTTACAAGAGTAAAATCGATAATTTATGGTTCGAGCATCAAAGAAGCAAACAAAGGATGGATTACCAGTTTGAGAGAGTCGTCGAGATAGATGCTTTAACAGTCCCGGCCGTCTTCTAGACGAGAACGACGACGATGAGAAGCTGAGGATTTAACAAAACTTAAAGAACAAAGAACAAAGAGGTAAAACAAAAAACTTGCTGATATTAAGGAAATAAAAGGCCCAAATGTATTTAACAGGCCCAACTTTTTTCTCCATTTCAAGGCCCAAGTTACTGTATAAACAAGAGGTTGGATTTTGCCATTTTGGTCGAATATGATCCAAAACTCCATGTCGTTTTTTCCCTCCTATACCGAGGTGAGACTTTAGCTTTGTGAAATGTTTTACTTTATAGTGACTAGTGAGCGTGGGGTTTTCTACTCTCGTCTCGTCATTGTAGAAGAAAGTTGTTAATGGCTAAGTTCATATAAGGGTACTATCGGTATTAACAAAAAAGCAGACTGATGATGGATTATGATTCGTGCATATCACTTATATCAGTTATCACTTGCACTAGTTAAAGATAACTATCACTGAATCGAGTGCATTTAACTTAACCGGTTTTGGAAAGGAGGGAATTATTCCAACTTTACTAAAGTAGTTTTGTAAGTACGGCGCTCTAAGTAATTAAGAATCGTTTTAACTTTAATCAAAAATCAACTTTAGGTTCTTTAGTCACCACTCACCATCTTAACGAGATGAGTGGACAAAAAGAATGTAACGATCACTGTCGTCGAGAATATCACAAAAGAATATTGATTGAGTCCATCCATCCCATGATCATTCGAATATCTTCCGTTCTTTCATTTAAAAAGTGTAAAGATAAATAACGAACTAATAAAAAAGATTTGAGAAAATTAGTAAAGTGTACATATAATAAATTAAAAACACACTATGTTACGAAAAGGTTTTCTTTTGGAAAAGTGGGATATTTATATACACATTTAAATAATGGTCGTTTGGTAGAAAACTTTATGTAGATATATATTAGTTTCTTCCTCTTCTTTTTCCCTTTTATTTTTTGTTTTTATGTGGCTTTGTGTTTGTGTAGAGATATTAACAAAGCTAAATGATTCTGTCGAGGTCTCGTGGAGGACCAATTTGGTTACTTACAACCCTACTCTTTTCCAGAGTCGGGCCAATGCACATAGAACATTGAATACTTACATATACTGTATGTATGCAATGGAAGAATGGTAAAACACACATGGAATGGTAATGGATTCGATCTTAAATCGAGTTCGTTTGGAACAAATCGTTTCCAACGTTATTTTTCGCTATATTACTGAAATGACCACAAAATATCGATATTTGTAACAACACAAGAGAACATGAAATATTGACATATGGTTGGTTCAACCGACTAATATCAATTGCTTCAGTTATGTCGGCTCAACAAATTTGAGTTAAACACTGTAAATGTCTGTGTTTGAAATAATAAATCAATACAGTATGGCTGTATGGTGGAGTTTATACTCACTAAACTACATTGATCTTGGAAATGTTTGATCAGAAAATAAATAATGTTGGAGCCAATAAATGATGAAATCTAAATTTACGGGGTGAAGACAAGAAAACAATACTCCAGAAAGGCTTCAATTCTTTCTTAAAAAGAAACAATACAGATTCAAACAGCTGGGTTTTTAGAACAAAGAGTGTTTTGTTATTTATCACCAAAGTGTCTTTATATCTATTAATAAATGCTGAAGACAGTCGCATTAATAAACAAAATATCATAAAATGGATTGGCCAATGGCTACATCGTTGATGACTGGAAGCTCGAACAAACAGCTGGACTTTTAGAATTAAGAGGCTCTAATATCAAGGTCGTCTATAAATTTAATTATGATTTGAACCCATAGTGTTTAGATACGTGAAGATATACACATATTACTATGAATTAAGCATGCAAAAGGCTAATAAACTGGTCCCAAGCTTATCATGTGATCATGTAACTCCGTTTTCAAGTCTTTTTATGTTATCTATCTAGTAGTCATTTGAAATGATCCGTTTTATCTTATTTTGATCATACGCATAATATCGAGACAAGACGTCTTAAATGCTAACGAATTATTCACATTCTAGATTATTTGATTATAAGTAGAGTAGGGTTGCTAAATGTTTCGTGATAGAGATGTATACTTGACATGAAATATCTTTAAGAAACTAATTGTTTAGATTGTTACTAACATCATTATTTGCTGTACATTTAAAAACATGAGAAAACACATCTCTTTTTTTTTGCTCAACGTGAAAACCACATCTATACAAATGTATGTATATTCCCATTTGTTTTTGACTATTTTGTGTAACCCTATATTTTAATTTATCTTGCAATCCGATACCGCGTTACAAGATCTTTGGAACCAATCACATGTTCCTTTCTTATCATCATAACAACAATGACATAACAATACTACCAATTATTTGTAAATTCACCAAATTTTTTTGTCGCACGATGTAGATTTTAGTCTCTTCTTTGGTAAGAATAAGATTTTAATTCGATGAGAGATGACTAAACTACTAAATTCCCAAACGAGAGAACTTTCCGCACATTGCTAATGTGCAAATTGCTTTAATGACTAAAACACCCCAACATAGTTACACTATCAACAATTTTTAATACAATTCCAAAACTACCCTTCACTCCTCTATTATACTCAACTCCGCCGCGTAACATTTCCTCCTCCGGCTACTACTACTACTACCACCACCACCGTCACTGTTTCTCCCTTTCCTCCTCCCACCGCTGGAGCCAACCGTATCATCACCGGAGCCAACTCTCATTCGTAACTTATCAACGACAATAGGATCTACGCTTTTCCGGCGACTGCTTCCTCCACCGCCACCGCTTCGCATGAGCGCAGAGCTAGCTTTAACGGCCAATGCAGCCATCTCCTCCGCTTTTATTGGCTGACGAAGCCAAGAAAGAGGAAGAGCGAAGTATATCTGACCGAGCTGAAGCTCTTCGTCGGCGCTAATGGCGGAAACTGCGTCGTCGAAGTCCATATCGTCTGAGTTACAGATGAAACACATGGGGTTCTTCTGCAAAACGTATCCGACTTTAACGGGATTCGAAAACTCCATCATCCTCCCATCTTGCAAGATCAGCTTCGCCGTCGCCACTTGAGCCGACTCGCTCGAACTGCATATACCCATTTATTAATGTACGTATAATTTTCAGTGTTAAATGATGATTCTTGGTAACTCGCTTGACTTGACTCGTGAGTCGTAACTCGTTTTCCGGTGAAAGAGCCAAATAGGTTGTTAAAAGGGGTTGTAATAATGTGGGAGAGAAAGGGAAGATTTTGTTGTATAAATAGAGAGAGTTTGTGTTACGAAAAATGGATGCCACGTAGGAATTTGTCGTTTTGTAAACCAGTAGGAGTGATGACAGGCTGTATAAGTGGTGGGGGAGGATGACAGCTTTTGTGTTAGCTTAGATATTTTTACCCTTTATTTATTACCCATAATTACCATGTCAGGGACTCAGGACTGTAAATCATTCCTCTCTTCTTCGTTTACGTTTTAAAACTGTGAATGGGGCTTGTTTTCGACTTTTTATGTGTGAATGCAACCTTTAATTTAGATATTTTGTAGTCTAACAACACAATATAAATATTTCTAAGGTGATTCGCATAATTACTAAGTTTATAGCTTAGTAAATGTTGAAAGAAGATTAAAAAACTACTTGAAAACACAAATCGTAAACCTACCTGAGTTTTGTTACGTTGATGCCAACATTGAACATCCTTAAAAAATAGTGAAATTGAAAATTAAGAATATCAAAAAGTGGTTATGACTTGAGTGAAATAGAGTAGGCACTTTTGCTTTTGCGACCATGGTTTTACTTAAACCTTGCAAGTAGACTTGTTGCGGTTTTGGTTCACCAAGTTATATTTTCGCGCTTAGAAAAAATCGTTTTTTAAACTTGAAGAATATGACGATCGCGCTTTTATGGTATAAAAGTAAATTTATCGTAACAAATTTGTATAAATATGTAGACGTGGCTTTAGCGCTGAGAGTCCACGGAACATAAACGAGGGAGTGTAGCAAAGGGAAGAAAGTGGCAGGGGAGCTACGTGGCCCAAAATGCTACGGCCACGAGTCGTACTTTCGAGCCATGAGATGCCACGTACCGTTATAGAGGTCCCACAAGAATCCGACAAGTTAATTGGAGATGGCGTAAACTCGTTACGTCCCTTGTTGCCTGGTGAGACATCGCTCGTCAATGTTCTTGCTTCTTCGGATATGATTTTATATAACGAGTAATAATAAATGATTTAAATCGTTATGTATGGTTCAGATTTACGTTGTAGTATTCGAAACAGAAATTGTTTGTTAAGTGGAATGTGGATGGTTAATTGTCAACTATCACGACGATGCCAACCAGAAATGAAGTGGTAGTGTTTAGCTATTATTTTCATGTTCTTTTTGGTCAAACGACCGCTCTAAATTTAGTAATGACGATATATGCAACTTGATTATGGACCAATAATCGATCTTTACAGGCTTAAATCGGTCATCTAAACTCTCTTAGTTTATATAAACCATGTCTAGACATATGTTCTTATGTGTTATAAGACATGTGTAAGTAGTTAATATGTCACATTTGTTATAAGAAAAGTTGAAACAGTTTTATAGCTTTGAAAAACCCACCGTATGCTATAAAACAAGTTAAAATTTCACAATCTATTGGCATTGCCCTTTCTTATAATAGTTTTCCATTTTGTTTAGCTGTATCCAAATGAGATATCTCTGATTACTACTATTATTTACAGGGAATACAATTTTTTTTTCCTTACGGAGAAGGACACGAGTTATCAATTGATCAGTTTGTATAAGATATTTGTTACAGATTAGCGATTTGTTTAAGCTGCACTGTCGGAGTTATGCTTGTTAGTTGTAGCACACCCATAATCTGTGTTTTAATTTTGTTCTCCAAAATAATGTCTTGCTCTCTTATAGATAACTGTGTCGTATACGTGTGATTGTCTTATTCATTAGTGTTTGTTTTTCTAAATTTTCTTAAACAATCATTGGTTTGCGAAATTTAACACCTATTATTACTATTGGAAAGGTATGTACGTAGAAGATGAAAGAGAACGTCACATGCTCTATGCTTTTGTAAGAAGCTTCATGGATGCTCCCCTTCATGGTCTCCCCCTTATTACCTCTTTGACTCACCATCAAAAGACTGCTTTATTGGATTTATCTTATAATATCGTCTTCCAATTACACATGATCCAATAGAGAGACAATATTCTATTTGATCAGCTCTAGATTGTTACCAATCAGTTTTTACTTTCGTTGCAAAATTACATGCAAAGAAATGTTGTAAATTGTGTAGATGGATACTGTTTATTTAATATTCAATTCATTATGGTTTCTTTAGTTATGGTCGTTTTTTTGGCTGGTTGAAGAGGTGAAAGCTCCCGTTTAACATGTGCATATCTGATAGGTACTCTTTTGGTTGTATCTGTGAAGATTACAATTGATTTCTCCAATTTGTATTGATATGGAGATTACAAATTAGTGATATTTATCCCCCAAAAGAAAAACGATGGAAGCAAAAATGGATCTAACGATTTGATTATAAATCACCCAGTGTTAATATGGAGACTGCTAATATTTTCGTTGTCACAAAGCTAAAAGATATCATTCACACGATATAAAATATAATGAAATTTTGATTTTGTATATATTATAAACATGTGTTTTGATACAATAGTGGGTCTCCTTCTTTTTGTCCGATAATTTCTTGTTTTGTTCTTTAGATTCATTGAAAAAAGCTCATACTTGTCATTGCCATGAAATTTCCCATCTTATAACTTTCATATAAATTAAGAATCAAAAGTTTCATCATCATGCAAGGTTGTCTTGGGTCCCTCTATCTTTAATTAGCTATGATCGCTTAAACATTCTTCATAATTATGTGTCATACAAGTATTGTTTTGGTCTTTATTTTACGGAACATTCCATATTTTTGCATATCAATGATTCTGATATATAAAGTTTAGAGTAATATACAAAAGAATAATGGTTCATGTTAAGTTTCATACCTTTTTTGGTTGTTGCATAAAGGGATTGTTAATTTTCATACTTGCATCGCTCTTATTTATTACTTAGGTCATACTCATAGTCTCATACCTCAGGTTGATATAAGAGAATTGATATTTTTATGAATATATTTGAATATCATGCAGATTTTCTTTCCAAATGACAAAGAAAAAAAGAAAAAAAAACAGAAATCTATAGGAACTTCCGTACGGAACAGATGAATGTGTATGTGCATGTACTTGATCAAGCCGGTGCATTTAATTAATAAATTCTAACATTTTATATCCACAAATCAGTCTCATTTCTTAGAAAATAAAATAAAATTATACTATTATATTAAACTAGATTATTGGATTCATCTGTATGTATGCTAATTAATACAGATTAATACTTATCCAAATCTAGATATTTGCACACTAAATGAGTTTTTAGATCGGACACTTGAGATATTGTTTAGATCTTCATGCTTCCCATCTATTATATGAAAAGATATAATTATACAAAACACTGTTTTAATTATGTATTTGACTGGATATATCAGTGCAATTGTAAAATGGTTTTGAGGTTTAACTATAAATTGAAAGGCCCTTTAGAAAAAAGGTTTATCAACACCAAAATATCGGTTTGATATTGTACCTGATGAAAATTCACGTGAGACTTTTTGTGGAAACGTTTATCATGATGATTTATCAGACGAAACTGAATAACTAAACCTATCCCTTTTACTATAAGTCAATTAGTTATGTAGTTTTGAAGGTTTCACTTTTACTCCATTGGTTGCAGCTAAATAGCTTAAGTGTAAACATTTTCAAATGTTGAACATTGGGAAAATTTATACACGAACTTCAAATTTCAAAACTAAGTCGAATGTTGGTATTGATTCTCAGATATTTATTTTATTTTACTCCAAGAATAGAGATCATAGATAGTGTCCTTGACTAGTAATTTTGGTGTAGATTATCGTATACAAAGTTTCGTGTAGACCCATGGTATAGTGAAATGCTGCAACATCCTTACCAACTATGTACTATCTATACAAATTTCAAAATTGTTACAGTGAAAAGGTTACGAAAGTTTCCTATAAATACAGTGTACTGGGACATTTGATATGACATTTGCTGTTTGAACAAATGAAAATAGGTAATATATTGTAAACAAAGAAATATCAAAACTTGACCTATGTTTTCTTTCTTGAAAAAAAAACTAAATTCAAAAACTCGATGAAATAGATTGGTGAGTGTGATCAGATATTTTAGAACCTAGAGATAAGTGGATCCGAAGTACAGTTTTCAAATTGATGCGATTTTCGGATATCTAAAATACAGATGTGCCTTAAATAAGAGGGTTAAAATCCATTAAATAGTACTATTAAATCTAAAAACATGAAAAATCTATTCTAAAAAAAAAAAGAAAGAGTACATTTCATTATTTACAACTAAACGAATTTTGATTAACGAGAAATTAGAGAAGGAAGAAGACGAAAATTAGAGAAAGTAGAAGCAAATGAAAGAAACGAAGACAATAACGCCATTGTCGCCGATAACTTATACCGATCATAATGCTTCTCTCCGGCGCCAATCAAAAGTACGGCCACGCTCGCCGTCGAGCATGCACCTCCTAACGATAAAAATGACAAAACCTGAAAAAATCCATACATAAAAATGATATTCAAATTAGCAAATTAATCATTTTTAGCTTTATCTTTTGCTTAATGATAGGAGTGTTCAGCTAATAGAACCGTAAAGTAGTTCATGCAATGTAATCATTTTTCCAATTTCCATATTTTGACTTTTACTGTGGCATCTAAAAGATACTATCACACTTTGTTGTTTATTCCCAAAACAATCCTTGCAGATATAACTCAATATGGACCAGTTCATAATCGAAGTTGAATTTTCAAAATATTTAAAAATCAGAACTTGAAATGTCCAAAACATGGTTGGACCGCTCTTCTTCAAAGTCTGGCCTACTACAAACATCTATACACTACATTGTATACTATTACTACTTTATACTACATTGAAAACCCACCACAAACTCAATTACCAAAAATAAAAAAGTGAAGTCTAAGTTAAACAAGAAACCAAAGGAACCAACAGTTTTTGCATTCTTTACAGTGGATACTATTATTAGATAACTAAGTTGGTGTATAGACTATAGACTAAAGCTTTATCCTTATAATGGCTAATGCGATTTGGATATCCATCTTTCTCATAAGGTCCACTACAGATATTATAGTGGGAGAAGTTATTGCAGAAAAGCTAATATAAAGTTGTGGAATGTATTACAATTTGAATGGTTTATTGATTGTATTTTGATAGGAACCAATCAAAATCTAGCCTATAATATCCACTATGTCGATTACTAGCAACATTTGATTTATTTGGTAGCAACCTTTTCTTAACAGTTGGTTCGTTTTTGGAAACACGTTTTCTAATAAATGAACTAATTCTGTTAATTTCATTTTGTTTCTTTGCTTCTTACATTTATAAACCATTGACGTGTTCACATAAAACTGTAAAACGCAAACGCGAAATGTGTTAACAACAACCGGTTCAATTGTTACTACAATTGGTTAATTTGATTGAGGTAACGTTTGTACTTTGTATAATAAGGTAGATAACTTACAAAATCTCCAGAGACGATGACAGATAGGACTGTTGCTTGCAGAGGAAGGCGACGAACGTTGATGGAGTAAGCTTCAATTAGGGCTAATGTTACGCTCCATGGTGTCACTAACCCATCACTGTGACTAAATAACTGTTCCACAACATTCATAAGTGTCTGGTTTCGGAACTTTTTTTTAAATGAAAGGTTTTATTTATTTTTACCAGAAGGCAGTGTAAGCGTAGAAATCGTCGTCATCGTTGAAGCACATGAAAAAAAGTGAAGCAGAAGAGAACAGAGTTTGTCCGAGACGAAGACCAAAACTTGAGCTGGTTCCAAACGAGACCATCTCCATGAACAGAGAGCCTTGCTATCTTCTCTCTCTTCCTCGTCATTTCCACCTGCATCGATCTTCCATTTCTGGGTTCTCTTCAAATATTTAAAAGCTACCGCAAATAAGAAGACGAACCTCAAAAAACAGAGCAGGGGGTCCTCTGTTTTTCCGACTAAGAAACAGAGCAAGGAGTTCCTCTGTTTTTCAGTATAGGAAACAGAGCAAGGGGTCCTCTGTTTTTCCGACTAAGAAACAGAGCAAGGAGTTCCTCTGTTTTTCAGTATAAGAAACAGAGAAAGGGGGGTCCTCTGTTTCTCCGACTAAGAAACAGAGCAAGGGGGTCTTCTGTTTTTCCGACTTGGAAACAGAGCAAGGGGTTCCTCTGTTTTTCAGTCTAAGAAACAGAGCATGGGGGTCCTCTGTTTTTCCGACAAGGAAACAGAGCAAGGGGTTCCTCTGTTTTTCAGACCAAGAAACAGAGCAAAGGGATCCTCTGTTTTTCAGACAGGAGAGATGAAAAGACAGAATTAGATGTGACAACAATGGGGTCACAAGGAAAATGGTTTGCGTAATTATGAATCTCTTCTTGTTTCTTAGCCAGAAATCATCTTGCTGTTACAAGCAATCATCCAGATCCAGAAATATGATATCTTAATCCGCAATAATTAGTCCTTTTTCATCACAATAATTAGTTCGTGATTAAAGCCAAAAGTGCAACACCAAATGGGAACTATGAACTCGAATTAATGATTCTTTTAGAGAATAGAATCACAATCATTTACAAACAGAGAAAACAAACTCTAGATAATCTATACGTTTTTATTTCTCAAGTTGGGCATACCAGATTCCTTGGATCTTAACATCCTTAGGAGTCTTAGCTCCCAAATCAGTATCCGACGGCTGAACACTCTCGAAAACACCAATCACTTCACCGCTCTCAGGATTACTCTTTGTCACACTAAGTGTGATCATACCAAGCGAAGCAGCTGTGTCCTTGTTGTTCTCCTTGGCCAGCTCTTCGTCGTCTCCTCTAGCGGGTAACGCAACTGCATTGTCGTAGCCAGTGGATCCGCCACGACCTTTAGGATCCAAGAAAGACGAGCCTCTGTAAGATGGCACCAAGAAATCTCCTCCAAAGCTCTCTGGCTTCCCCGTTGCCACGAGCTGCTTGATCGTGAACAAGAACGGTACACGCTCTCCTCCGGGAAGTTGCACGGTTACTGCTGCGTAGTCAATACCATCTTTCTCTATAAACTTCACCGTTCCATTGGATGCTACCTAGTGAACACCAATACCAAACTAAGTTCAGGTTTTGTATTAGATTAAATTGAGTATGTGAAAGGTTTTAGCAGCGAGATTGACTTCGAAAGGGCCTTCTATTTCGTCGAGCGTGTAGGTAAGACGGGTCATGAGCTTTGTGTTTTGGAAATCGGGGGCAGAGTTCTTGCTAACTCCTTCTGATTTGACGGTGAATGAAGTTGGCTCTAAGCAGAGTTTCTTGGCGTAGTATTTGCCTGGCTTTATGGCGAATGAGTCTATGCCACCTTCAATGGTTGGACACTGATTAGCGGTTCCTGTTCCTTTCACTTCCATGTAAGTCTTGCTCTGTATCTCCTCGAAAGTTAGCCTCTTTGGCACTCCTTCTGCATTTGCCCCCTTATTCACACAAAAACAAATGTTACTTGAAATCATCACAAAAAAAAAAAAAAAAAAAAAAAATCAGAATATTTCTCTATGGATTGATCAGACTCTTAAACCTTACTTTAGCAAGCAAGATCTTTAAACAGCAAATACAAGAATTACAGTTAAAGCTTAGTCTTTAGCATCAAAGACTAAGATCGATCTTCTGATTTAGCAATCATAGGGACTAGATTTCAAAGGTTGAGTCTTTAGCATCAGTTACTGTAATTTGTTGAACACCAAGAAAGCATCACTTTCTGATACATGCTTCATATTCATCAATTCCACTGAATATTTCTCAATTTGCTAATCCCTAATTTAGCGATCATAGGAGTAACACGACTATAAAGTGTAAATGGTACTTAAAGTCTTTGGCATCAAAAGAGTTTTAACTTGTCGAACAGCAAGAAACCGTACCGAAACGAGAAGAGCAGAGGTAGCGAGTGCAAAGCCGGTGATCTTGGTAGCCTCAACGCATTTCCGAGTCAAGTTCTTAAGATCATCGTGGAGGGAGCAGGAAACACGGCTCGTCACCAGCTCGACGCCGAAGGATTTAGAGATGCTATGAGAAGGAGGCCGGAGATTTGCGATGGCGCGAGGTGCCAGAGCCGCGGTGGTAACGGCGGCTTGTAAGGAAGCAGCCATTTTGCCGTCGCAAAGTTCCTCTCAGATCAGACAAAAAGCTCTCCGATGGGATTTGAATGTTAAAAGACTATCAGGTTCTGTCTTAAGCCACGTGGAAGATAGTTATTGCTCCTCAAAAGATTCCGCATCTTGATAATAATACGAAGAACGACAAGTAGTTAGTGCTTTGATATTAAGGACGTCATGCATTATACCTCTTGATACAAAGAACGACAAGTAGTTAATGAAGGAGAGAGATGTGTTTGTGCTTTATTTATTGGTTAGTGAGCTTTCAATCTCATAAGTGAAAACATTGAACCAGAAACAAACCTTCAATTCTAAAAGCTAGAAGTAAAGACGAAAATGTTCAGGTATTCATTCAACACACCAAGCATTTTACAATACAAACCCATATATATCTTACAAGTAACAATTGAAATTTCTTTTTTTATATTCAAGATTTCCCCAACACACAAATACCATAAAACAGTTCACGCTTTAGAAATGAAAGCAAGACACAAAATGTTGCATGTGTGTCTTCGGGCCAAATGGGTCGGATCGGGTTTAGAAGATGTGGAAAAATATGGTCCAAACCGGGTAAACGAGGAGGGCAACGATCCCAAGGGTGTTGGAGATGCCATTCTTCTGAGTAAAAGAGTTCTTGATTCCACCAGAAGCCTTAATGTGTTCATGGAAAAGGTAACATGCGATTACAAGACATATCACTGCCCCAACCCAACTCTCTCTTAGTGTCCCAGCTATGAGGCTTGGTGCAACCACCAGAAGAAGAATCAATCCCGCCGGAATCTCCAACCATTCTACACGTTTACATTAATTAGAAAACAAAAAGACTTTTGTTAAAGGGAAAAGTTTACGATCAAAGTTTAGTGATTTTTGTAGGTTAACATTAGACTACCTGGAAATTCTTTAGGGAAGAAGAGCCTTATGGTGATGGCGATGAGAGCAATCCATTTCCCAAAATCTCCACTGTGAAGATTAAATCGAATAATTGAATTGGTCTTGTTACATTTTTTACAAGAATAGCATATCATATCATCATTGTAAAGTCTTTAGTACCTGAAGAAGGTGAAGACAACGACAGGAAGTGTGAAAAAGATGTATGGCACTAAAAGAGTTGTCAACATTTTGGTTCTCCAGTTGGTCCGATCCAATATCAACAAATAACTGTCATAACAAACAATAAACAAAATCATTACAACAGTTATCCCAAACAATAGAAACCAGAGAAATGAATGGGTTTGGTTTTTTCTTTTGGCTCACATGGCAGAGATTGAAGCAGCCCATTGGAGGAAAGACGTGCCAAAACCTAAGCCACCGAGCATCGCTGCGTCTTTCACGAGCTTCTTCGCGGCGTCGACGAACTCATTCAAATCTGAATTGATCAGATTCACGGTGGTTTCCTCAGTCTTCATGGCCAAATAGTCAACTCTTCCCATTTTGAATTCTCTTTTATTTGTTTGTAAATGTAATCTCTCTAGTTATAAGTTTGTAACTTGTGACAATAGCAGAGTATTTATAAACTAATCACGAACCATCTTCGCTGCGATTCTTTGAAAAATTCAAGGGGAATTATAGAAACAACTGATTTGTGTGTTAATTAGAATAATAATGATGCTAATTATAGTATATTTCAATTAGTGACAACTGTTCTGAGTTTCGATATATATAGAGCTGCTCGCCACGTAGGCCTCGCTGGTGACATTGACGGATCGTTTTCATATATACACAGCTCATGATCATATCTCCACACACATAGCGACAATATCTACTAATCAAATATTAAAAGATTTCATATTTTAATTCTACAAGTAAACCAACATTTTCAAGATAGGACTGGATGTTGTGGCAGGTATAAAATGGCGTCGTTCAAATATAAAAGAGCACTTAATTAACCAATTTTTTACCGATTGGAAAAAAAGCAAATCTCATAAGATCTCAGTTACAACACAAGAACAAGAGTCTTTGAGGATTCATAGAAAGTACCAAACGTTTTTGTCCTAATATTCTTCTGTTAAAGCTTAAGTAGTAATAGAAATCTCTGCAACTTTGTTTCACCTTCAAGAAGAGTTGCCATCTGGTTTGTCTGAAGGCTCGGGAGCTAGTTTCTTCAAAGGACTTGATTCCGCAGAGGTTGCATTCGTCAAAACTCGCTTCACTCCTCTTCCAACAACACCCAGATGAGTAACACCTGATGATGCTCCTCCTCCATCTGCTCCAGTGTGAGCGGTTGAGACTGTTGGTGACTCTAAATCTTTCCCGTTATTTGCAGTCCCCATGCGAGAAGAGCTCATTTCACCACCACCAGCGGTCGCTACCTTGTCACCAGCATCTGCCTTTGCTGATGCCATGCCCATTAGCTCTGCAAGAATTTGCTTTGGGTTCTCTGCAAGTTGTTTCAGATCCTCAAGCTGCAGGAAGAAACAAAAATAGTGTACATTATTAGAATGTGTCTTTCCTTTGTTCTTTCTAAGAACTGATTGTTTAGTTGTACTTGCCTTCTTTTCAAGATCTTCAGCAAGACCAGATAAGTCTCTGATCTCGGCTTCTTTGTCTGAAGCAGATTCATCAATGTAGGGAACATTGGATGATTGCTGGATTCCTTCGTCTACTTCAGAGACAGTCGAGGAAGCTGCTGGAGCAGATGGACCTTTGATCTCATTGGTGAGCCTGTCCACTCGCGCTTTGCAGATCAACATCGCCTTTTGACAGTATGGTATTGCTTCCTGAGGCTGACATCCAGTCTCTAGACAGATGCATATCCGGAAGTTTCTGAAATTTCGTAAGTTAAGCAATCCAACAACCAACACAATGCACAATAAAGAGAAAGAATAAGGCATAATCTGATAAATTAAGGATACAGTTCGGCTATGTGACGACTGTCTGGTTCAACGAGTCGCTCTAAGATGCACAATGCATTCTTGTAGTCACTCAAGGAAGACTCAATGTCCTCTGCATAGCAAATAGCATAGCTCAAAATCAATAGAGAAAACTGAAATGAGGAAATGGAACATTACGAAAGTTGAAAAAGGAAAGAAACACAGACCTCTCTCTAAGGAGATTTCAGCAAGTGCGCAGAGGATATCCACTTTCTCCATTGTCTCAGTGGAATGTTTATCAGTGATAGCTCTTGCGATGTCCAGCATCTTCCATGCCATATCCAAATCGGAATCCTCTTCATCAGCATCAGCATCGACATCAGCCTCGGCATCATCATCATCCTGACAATCTTCACCTTCCTCCTCTACGTCTTTACCTTCTTGCCCACTTGAACTCCCTTGCCTCTCTGGGTTAGCTGAAACAAGAGATTCACCATTCGCAGTGTTCTTAATAGCACCATCTTTACCACTGGATTCTTGCTCAACTTCAGCTTCTTTCTTAGGCATGTTACCAAGTGGATCAGCTTCCTCTTGAGCCTTTTCCAGAAGCGCTGATCCATACTTAAAGTATGCATTTACACACTCAACAGCAAGTTCACCATAATGTGCAACCCTATAACACAAACCAAGCAAACGGAGGAAAATTTCATCAGATCTTCTCTAAAGAGGACCACATTTTAAGCAATACAATTGAATCTCAGCAAAATTCCAGAACCATGATTACATCGTTCAAGCAAAAACCAGACTGTGAAAGCCCTAAACTCCTGATTGAGTTTCTACCAAATCTATTAGGCCCTTAAAAGCACTGACTTGACTACTTCCGACTGCAAATCTATAATAGAGAAAATTTCCGTAAGAAGAGGATGAGAAATGAGACCTGATCTCGAGGGCGCGGCTAAAGCAATCGACGGCCTCGTCGAAATCTTTCTCTTTCAGGAACGCAGAGCCTTTCTCGGTCAATTCCTCGGCGAACTCGAGCGTCTTCTCACGCTCCTCGTCAGGGACATCAGTGACGGCACTCTCGGCGGCGTTGTTGTTGTTGGCGTCGTTGTTGCAGGTAGACTCAGTGCCTCCTTGAACAGCGGATCCGACGGTGGCTTCGATCGAGGCTTGGTTAGTTTCTCCTAGGGTTTGCACTACCTCCGTCGTCACAGGGGTTTGTACGACTTCCACCACCGAAGCCTCCGATGCTGAAGCTGCCTCTTCAACCATTGCTAAACGAACGCTTGGGATTGGGATTGGATTTCTGAAGTGAATTCGCTTTGATTCGTCTCTCTACCCTAAAACCCTCTCTTCGCTTTTTTGGCGGAAGTTGCAGAAATAAAAGGATTTTTTCGCCCAAACAGCAAAAAATCTTTATTTTAAATGAAAATGCAAAAATGACCAAAAATAGACTCGCGGGTCATTTGATATTTTTTTACATTAATATCAGCCAATCACTGTATTTTAATTCTTCATTATTCAAATCAAATAACAGTAGAAAATGTGTGGCTCGAATTGACACAGACGAAGAAGCAATACTGATCTGATGAATTCGTTCATAGTAATCTAAATTAAGTACTGAATTGTCATCTTCGTTTCGTGTTTTCGATGGCTCGATTGGTGTTTTCATTGAACCTTGTTCCGTCTAGTCACGGATTCAATCTCAGTCCTCGAAATCATCAAACTTTATTCGTTACCCAAACAGGAGGAGCTCCTCGGTTTCGTGGTGTTCGTTGCCAAGCAAACCCAGAATCGTCTTCTGATTCCCAGGTGAAATGAAATTTCGAAACTTTTTGAAATGGGTTCGACAGAAAAATCGCTAAAGTCTGTCTATTTCGTTTTTTCTGATTCAAGGAGAAATTGGTAGTCGACGATGCCTCGAAGGAAGTGGAATCATCACAAGCTGCTGCTTCTTCTTCTTCTGGGTTTCCTGAATCACCCAATAAGGATATCAACAGAAGAGTCGCTGCTGCTTCTGTAATCGCGGCTTTGGCGTTGTTTCTATCGACAAGGCTCGATTTTGGGATTTCCTTGAAGGACTTGACCGCTGCAGCGTTGCCTTACGAGGAGGTGTTTTAGTATTTTGAATTCTCCATCTGTGTTTTAATAATCATTTAATGTACGAAATGCTTAATGATTTTTGTGAATGGATCCGATTGTTAGGCTTTGTCGAATGGGAAGCCGACAGTGGTAGAGTTCTATGCAGATTGGTGTGAGGTTTGCAGAGAACTAGCTCCTGACGTTTACAAAATCGAGCAGCAATACAAGTAAATGCTCTTTCATGTGCTTTTATGATCACAACCACTTGAAAATGAACACTCTTTATAGCTTTCTAGTTGTAGAAAGGACTTATTGATCTTGTCTATGAATGTATTTGGCTATGTAGAAGTTAAAGTTAACATTTTTGTGATTGCTTTGCTCTGTTGTGAGTTTGCAGGGACAAAGTAAACTTTGTGATGCTGAATGTGGACAATACGAAATGGGAGCAAGAGCTGGATGAGTTTGGAGTTGAGGGTATTCCTCATTTCGCCTTTCTTGATAGAGAAGGGAACGAGGAAGGTAACGTGGTAGGGAGGCTACCGAGACAGTATCTAGTTGAGAATGTGAATGCGCTTGCAGCCGGGAAGCAATCGATTCCTCATGCGCGAGCCGTGGGACAGTACACGAGCGCCGAGTCTCGAAAGGTGCATCAGGTTACTGATCCTTTGAGCCATGGATAGAAGTTTGTTTCTAACTCTATATAGTGCACAAAAGAAGTAGACATGAAGAGAAGATTTGGGAAAGTAGCAATGTTTTCAAAACTGATAAACAAAATGAAATAAAATTTGTTTGCTAAGCCTTCGATCACATAATTGAGTAAGGATAAACGTGAAATTGTTTGATATCATCTTTCAAGATACTAATATGGCAACTACAATTTGAAGAATTGATTTTTGCATAAACCTATAAGCTGAATTAATATCTTGAAAGGTAAGAAGAATCAACAAACATACAGCTGAATTAATAAATATTTTAACTAAAGGCAATGTTCTCTAGAACTCGATAATTTTAACTAAAGGCAATGTTCTCTAGAACTCGATAATTGTTTTTTTAGGAATTTCAACCGGACATATTCTTCGGAAATGTTTACTAGAGTTAGAGAAAAGGGAAATTGAATTATTGGAATGATGGAACAGAACAGCCAAGAGGAGAAGAAAGTAACAATTAATTAGATTCTTCTCTCACGTTAAATTTCATAATCAGAAGTTGTATAATAGTACTCAACGTAACATTATTTTTCTTATCCAGCATCACATATTCTGAAAATGTTTAAATCAGACATTTATACACAAAACTTGAATTGATTAGATGAATGATAGACAAAGTTCGATGGCAAATATGTTTCACACCTGATTTCATGAAATTATTTAAATTTCGTTCTCATTATCCTCATTGCTCACTATTAGCATTATTTTTCTTATCCAACATGAAGTGTCTCATTCAATCTATACGTTGATGCCTCATTTTTTATGTTAGCATATATGTGCAATCTATGAGCATATGAGGCTCATATATCTTATGTTTTCTCTCCATTAATGATAGAGATGGTTTTACCGTCCAACAACCGAGAAATGACAAATAGCGTTTCAATACTTTTTTCGCGTCAAAGAAACAGCCGAGACATTAAGGAGGAAAGCGTCGTCACAAACTTGCTCTCAGACATTGATGTTTCAATTATTCTTTACAGGTCAATGAAACAGCCAGCCGAGACATTTATTGTCAAAGAGGCTACTAATCTCACCACTGAGGTATGATATTGTAAATATGAACATGAAAGTGATCGAGTAAAGTGAGTGTTTGTGTAATTTGAGTCTATAAAAATAGGGTTTTTACTGCTGTCATTGAGTGATATAAAAAAAAAAGGACATAACTAGTTTTTTACAAGTTTCAACTGTGATTGAGTCAATATAAAAAATGACATATTATTACTCTCTAATTATTGCGAATGGAAATTTGTTAACGCTGCTATTGTGAAGAAGTCGAACATAAAATAAAATCTGTGAATTAACATAAAATGAAATAAAAATATAACTTTAAGAAAACTCTAATCTGAATCCGAAGATATCAAAAACTGAGGACTAAGCTCAGACACCATTTTTGACAGATTCTCTCTCATTTCCTGCAACTCTTCTCTCCCAAATCCCCATGACCTTACCACATCTGATCCCATAGCTCCCCATTGGATCCCAAGTCTCTCTAGATTCCCCATTCTACTCTCCAAGAACGGCAAAATCGCAGTCGACGATCTCCATCTTGCTGCAACTGGCAACGAGTGAACATCAAGCGAGCCTCTGTACAAAGACTCCGAGACCACCGGACTGCTCAAGATCTCACCTTTCCTCCCAACAAGGTTTCCAAATATAGAAGGAAACGGTAACGGCACCGGAAGAGGACAACGTGAAACAGACAGATTGCAGAACAACGGTTTCGTCTTCTTACTCTGTTCATAAGCTGCATCGACTGCATTCTTCACTTCTGAAACCGATGCTTCTTTATCTTCTGTTCTTAGAGCTCCAAGTATACACATTGACTCAATCGCTTGCTCGTCTTCTTCATCTTCGGTTACTTCCGGTGTAAGCGACTGCAAATCCGTTAAAAGCGTCTTCTCTAACTGCTTAGGAGCTGGCATTGCGGAATCCAAAATCGCCACCATGTTTTGTCTACCACGTCCCGTTAGAAGCTGCACAAGTGTGTTAACATCCATGGCATTAGACACTTCACTTGAATCCGAGCTTGAGCTTGATGGTTGCATTCTGAAAGGGATCGTGCTTGAATGTAGAGCAGCAGCATACACTGCACTGCTTCGATAAGGCTTCTCATCTCCAAAGTTAAGAAATTTCGATGCTTTACCTTAAAAAAGAACCAAATTCATCAGTTTCCATTAAGAGAAGAGAATCAAAAGATTTAAGCTTTCAAAGAAGTTTGAATGTTGCTTACTTCCGCTCAAATATGGTAAACCGATCGGAGTGAAGAGTTTACAAAAGGACGAGAGGCGAGAGAACGATATAGCGTCGTGAAGCTTGTTTGAAACCGTCTTCTTCGAGCTGCTAGCACTCATCTGAGACATTGGAGTCCTCACGGAGTAAAGCAAGACAGGAATGTTGGTGTAATCATCAGCAATGGTCTCTAGGAAATCTGCTGCAACAGCCGAAAATCCTCCAGAATCATCCACAAGGAACTTGATACCCTGAATATGATCACATTCCTCAACGAAGAAGCGGAGCCTGTCGCATATTTCCTCTCCACGTGAAGCCTCAGAGAAGACGTCTTTGCCAATTCCGTAGTTGTTGAAGTCCTGAGAGTCTGTCCATAATCCGCTAAGCTCGTATAGACTTTGAGGATGGTAATGGGATTTGGAGAAGTCAGTCCAACATTCAACTTCTTCGTCTAAGCATCCAACAATGTCTTTGTCCTCAATCTCTGTGGCCTTTTCTTTCCCTACTTTAACAACTTCTTCCTCGTACAGACTTTGCAGAAACAAGTTCTTCTTTCGAGGTTCAGATCTCTGAGTATCCACATCACCAAACCTACAAGACACATAACAGAGATTCGACCATATTACACGAGTGAAAGAACAAAGCTTTTAACTTATATGCACTAAGATTTGAGCTTATCTAAACACCATGTTACATCTACTAAACCAGACAGAATTTAGCAGTTCTGACCAGGTTTTAGAAGAATCTGATCTTGATGAAGAACCTTCGTTGTAGAGAGTACCGCGTGAGCTCATAGAGCCTAGTGACCCTGAAAGACGAAGAAATTTCATATGAACTTATATGCATACATAAAACCACCATTTTATATGATCAAATCTAAAACCTTTCTTCTTCTAAGTAACTCTATCATCGGAGCTCAGTAACCGTAAAGCTAAGCTAACCTAAGCTCAGAGGATATTTTAAAAAGTTCTTCATTCAAGCTAGTAAGAAACTGGACAAAATCTAATTAACAAATGTAATTTCTTCTGCAAGAGCTAGATTGATTACCTTTAAAGTTGACTGAAAGCAGACGAGGAGTGTATGTAGAGACTCCCTGTGTAAATTTCCAACACATGAATGGGGATTTAGAAACGCAATTGATTCAAACTACAAAGTCAACGAAATCTCTAAACTCACCTGTTGGGTCTCACCGGACCGGTAGAGAACGTCCATGTCGAGATTCTGATTTCGGAAGATTGGATCGCTTTCTGGGTCACTCGCCAATCCGAGCAATTCATCCTAAATTCAAAGCAAAAGTCCTCAACTTTAGCAAACCAAAGATAAATCTATCCTCCAAAAGCAAAAAAAGAGCAAGACTTTTTGTAATGAACTCAGAGGCAAACGAAACCCAGAATCCAGTTTAACGGTAGCTGAAAATCGACCGAGCAGGAAGAGCATGTAGTGTATTTGCTTTCTAACCTGGAAATTCCAGAAGTGGGAGCCAATGAAGTTTGCGAAGTCTCCAACTTGAATCGTCACGATTTCTCTCATGGTTCTCTGAATCGGAAACTTGAAAGAAACTAGCAGAAAGTCAGTTCTTAGCTCACAGCAAATGAGCTCCGGTGGTTGATTGCTTAAACCCTTTCAATGTCGCTGAGCTTAGCTTTGTAAAATGACCACAAAAATGTCAATTTTGATGAAAGTGGGAGTTGTGGCCCGCAAGGCCCATCTCATTTATTCAAGAGATTGAAGAAAATAACCGGGTGGCTAAACCGGTTAGGAAGAGATGTATACAATAGTAGTATTCAAAGTATTTTGTTTCTTCCCAATTTTCCCATTCTTCAATAACAAAAATCTAAAAATCGTTAGCTTGTCGTTTTAAGATGAAAAAATCTTATCTTTTCGTACGATTTTATGCAATCTGATTTCTTTCCATTATTATTCTCAGATTAGGTAGATAATTGAAGAAAACGATGTCTTACAATGACATATACTCTGTTTTGATTCTTATTGTGAAATTTCTTCTTCATCCTCTGTTTTCTAAAGTAAAAACTACTGGTAACGAGAAAGCATAACCATAAGGAACGTCATTCACATAACTGAAACTATAATAAAATGACAGAAAAAAACAAAATTTTGATTTATCAGTTTCCCTTTCTTTGAAGTAAAAGAAAAAGAACACAAACCTGAGGATTTTGATCTCTCCTTTCTCTCTCTATCTATTCCCTCTTGCAAAAACTCTGTTTTTTTTTTTTGGGTTTCTGCTCAAAATCCTCTCCTTATTCTCTCTCTCATGTTTACATCTACAAAAACTCCCGAACAAACTTCAAGTTTCGAGCATATATAACATAAGTTGGTGGTAAACTTTTATCGTATCACTATGGTTTATTCAGAGCTCAAGATCCAACCCTTGTGTCATCTTCTTTGATTCACTTTTCCAGCTACGTCCATCAGATTTCTCCTCCTCTTCTTCTTCCTCCTCCTCCTCATCTGCTTCCTCTGAGCTATGCCCACCATTATTATTACTAAACAACCCTCTTCCAACAAGAGGGCTTTGTGGAGAATCCGACCTCGACAGACTTATTAAGCTCTGTGGTTCTCTATCTAACAAACCAGGCTGATCCGAGGATGACAAAGTCTTTGTCGGATGCAGCGGATGCTTCCGGATATGCATTCTATATTTCTGCAATACATATTCACAAAATGTCAAATCATTCATTCACTCATTCACACATTCAAAGTTTATGAATTGGTTAAAAAAAAGATGAGAGCTTTTACCTGTAAATGACTCTTCACTTCATCATTGGTTAAACCATCAACATTCATCATTTCTCTAATCTGCTTTGGTGTAGCCACTGGTCTCACAACAACAACATCACATAATCTCAGTATAACCAAATCAAAATTGGATATAAAGCAAAGTTGGTTCCTTTTTCGGTTTAAGGACTAACCTTGTGGCCCTCCAATCCTGTGAAGCGCATCAACGAATTTGCGGTGAAGCTCCTGTGACCATCTCCTTCTCTGCTCTTTCTTCTGAATGTGGTGGTGACTCTGTAACGGTTTGTTGTTGAATTGAAGATGATGATGATGATTCTGCTCAATTCTGCTACAATCCATCACCATCTCTGATGTTGGAGTCATGAGAGACAGAGGAGCTGGTGGAGGCACAGGAGGTGATTGAGTAAATGGCAGAAATGCCCCTCCCTGATTAGGGTAATTACAGGTCTGGATTGGGCTCTGAGTCACACACCGATCTTCTTCTTCGTTTGTCTGTCAGAATTTAATTGAAAAATGATCAATTGGAGGAGGATCACAAAGCAAAAACATAAAAAAAGGTTTGATTTTTAAATTACCGATTGGAATTGGGAATTAGGGTTGGAGATCCATAACTGGGCAGAGCTCATCCAGTTCTTCTTATTATCAGTTTCCAGTTTTGCCCTCTCACCAACACCGAATTTCCCATTTGATGCCATCATCACTGATGACGAGCCTTTCCTAGCCTCTTCCTGCAACGCTCCAATCGCTACACACAGAGAAACCCATTTCCAACACATCAAAAAACACCAATCGATTGTAAAAACGGAAAAACCAGAGGATCGAGAAATCTGTGGTACCTTCGTTCAATAAGAGCATGCATAAAGGGAGCTCTCGTTTGAAAACATCGATCTTTTTCCTCTCTTCCTCTAATTTCCCGACATACCCATCGATTTCAGACAGTTTCGAATGATTGTCTTTGATCCTCGACACTTCGTCGAGAAATTGAGATAAGGGTTTTGATAAAGAGTAGATTGATAAATTCAAATTAAGCCCCATCCTCCGATCTGTATCTGTTTGCACCATCGAGAAATAAACACACACGACGAGATAAAGACAAAGAAGCTAACGAAGACGTGTTATATATAGAAGAAGGAAATGAAGAAGCTGTAGAAGAAGAAAATGAGATTGGGGGAAGAAGAAGAAGGACGCGGTGAATCGTAGCCGCTGTAAATAAGTGGAGACTCGGGGGCGTTTTTGTAAACTTTTTAATTAGATTATCTTTAAATGGAACAAAGAATCTTTTTGTGATGCCCGTACACACGCGGCGAATCGTTACACTCACTTGTATATTTTGTTTTCCCTTTTTTTGTTTGTTTTTGATTCGTTTCCTTTTATTTTTTTTATTTTTTGACTGAGTAATAAAATAGATTGTTTTTCAGTTTTGGGAAGCTTGTTATTGTTTGTTACAGTGCTTCCAATCCAAGATTCTCATATTCCATCTATCCTGTATTTAATGAGAAAAGTTTTCCAAATTAGAAAAATATTAAGATACTCAACACTATTTTATGCTTTATCAAAAAATAAAATACACTATTTTATGCATATGCAATGGTTCAGGGCCTTCAGGCTGAGCAAATCTGATTCTTAAAGTGAAGTTTTGGCATAAAAAACTATAATTGGGTTTAGAATATACCATCTTGAAATTATATGATTTATAAACAATTTTTGAAATTATATGTATTATATATATATCAGAAATTTATATAAGTTTATGTATTTCTGTTAAATAACCTTACTTAGAGATATGTACTAGTAATGTATATAAGAAATAATATGTGATAAAATTATATATACATGTGTTTAAATGCTAGAAAATCTTCTGTTTCTTTCTTTTTCTTGTAGACCAAGGAGATATAATAAGCTAAATCTACAGCTTTCTTACATTTGGATTATCTTATTAGGTGAGTATCTAATTCATCTATTTCTGGACGTTCGAATTTGGAAAGTAATTAATTCACGAATAGACTTCTGATTCATCCAGCTGACTATTGACAACACAGTCTTATCTTCATCTTTTTTTGTAATTGTATCTTTATCTCTATGTTTGCATTTATGCTGATATGCTATAACTTTAAACATAACTTAAAATGGTATAAATGATTTACTAAATTAAACCACAAATATACAAGCAAACTGAAAGAAAATTAATCACTTGTTTTGAAACGATTTTCTTAGATTGGCAAAACGCACTATGTACGTCCGACGATACATTGATTCGTGCATTTTAGTTTGCACTGTTATATTTTATAACCAGACTCGACAACTTCATAAATATTCTTTACTAGTATGGCATCTTGTTTATATGAAATATTTCGTTTCGTTTTATTGAATACAAGATTATATTAATTTATGCAAACACGAAATACTTGCTGTACTAGAGATAGACACATATTGGCGTATGTGATTGTGAAAAAGTAAAGTGGTCAAAAGAACTCAGGATAGTCTTTGTAACCACACGCAACGTCCATTTACATTCACATTTAATTATAGTTTAAGGAAATCACGTAACCATTGTGTTTATACTTGAAACTTTCTAGTGCTTTTCCATGGTGTAGTTGCTTATCTTTATCGTATATTACAAACAAGTTCCACATTTCAACCCGGATATTGTTTTTTAAAGTAGGTTTTGTATTCCAGTGTCACACCATTAGTCCATGCTATGCAATTAAACACACTCTTCATGAATAATACGTCACACCACATATAATAAGATCTTTATAAAAAAAAAACCACATATAATAAGATAATTTTGGAAAACGAAAAACTAGAAAAAAATGAGAAAATGAAGAATGAAAGAGTTTTAAAAATTATTAATTAGATTGAATAAAATCGATGAAGCTATTTGAAAATTACCTGAGATTTATAGGGGGGGGGGAAAGGTTAAAAGTAATTTTAAAAACTAGAACATGCACTAGCATTGAGCAAAAAGGATCTTTCGCATAATCCAATGTAAAAGATTCCACAACGCAAAGCTACTTTACCGGACGCTTTTTCCCGCTAGCCAAATAGAAACTCTTTTCAATTTATAGCACTAAATTTTTCGAAATATTATTTGATTCCTATAACAATAAAACATAAATATTCCGTAACGCCCGTAGTCTAATACTGTATCTATACACAATAAAAACCACAAGGAATCTAACGGACGGACAAAAAGAAACGGCTGCTATAGCCAACTAATGCACGACACGTGTCCACCTCATAAGGACGTCGAGATTTTTATACCGTTTGATTGATAAGATCCTCTCTCGTTGGTTCATCGACACGTGGCCCTAACATTTTTGTTTGTTTTTGTTTCTTACTCCACTCTTTTTTTTATTGTTCTTACAAAGTTGTAACAAACGATAGCTTTTGCTCTGTCTATCTAATTTGAGGATAAGGTTCGTCGTTTCTATCTGAGAGAATCCAATGACATCTTTGGTGAATAAGCAAGAATCCTATGATTGGATTATCAGTTTTCGTTTCAATCTTCTACTTTGGAAAATTACAAACTTATAGCTTATACTCTTAATATTTATCATCAACCAATTGAATAAGTACAAACACAATCGATGCCAGAAAAATAAAGTACAAGCACAATCCAATTACATATAAGAAACGTCCTAAACTCGAAGAAGTTGTTTATTGGAATATTTTATGAACTGAATCCAATATCACTAATTAAAAGTTGTGAACGATTCCACATAAGTTCTAATAAGTTATATAATCTGAAGATATTTATTGGTAGATAGTGAACCAACCGATGCTTATAGTTTCAAAGATTCTTTCATTCTCTACAACAAACAAAGTTAAATGTTTTGGATGGTCTTAGTTTAATCTTGTAAAGATGAACGACAAATAAGATGCTGTTTTCTCGTGACAAACAAGGAACAAAGTTAAAAGAGTGATTCCATTTTTATAGAACCAAAACAAAAAGTGATTCCATTTCAGCATGGGTGATGAGTAAAAGATACCGTAGTTTTGAGTTTAGATATTTTTTTTGTTCATAATGAGCATCAAAATCCGATGTCGTCCAGCGGTTAGGATATCTGGCTTTCACCCAGGGGACCCGGGTTCGATTCCCGGCATCGGAGCTTATTTAATTTTGAATATAGAGTTCAAACCTTCTAAATCATCTAGAGTGTTTTCTTTTGCTGTTATGTTGACGGCGCCAAAATATTTAGAAGTCTGGATTTTGGAATTACTCTCTGCTTTTTTTGGTGTTCTTCGTAAAGATGAATCATTCAAATGCGAGAAAGCTAAGTAATTTATTCAAGATAAATGTATCCTCTTCTAATGCCTCACAGCGATTTCCTGAGAAAAAGTTCTTCAAATCGAACCAAGAGGACGTTGGTGTTGTCGAGCGATTATGCAGAGCTAAGAGATTTGGTGAAGCGATTGATGTTTTGTGTGGGAAGAATCTTTTGGGAGAAGCTTTTCAACTCCTGGGTCGAGCAAAAAAGCCACTTGCTTCTACTTACTGCAATCTCATCCAAATCTGCAGCCAAAAACGAGAGCTTGAAGAAGGTAGAAAGGTCCACGAACACATTAAGAACTCTGGGTTCGTACCTGGAGTCGTTATATGTAACCGTCTTCTCCGAATGTATGCGAAATGTGGCAGCTTGGTTGATGCACGGAAGGTGTTCGACGAAATGCCGAAGAGAGATGTGTGTTCTTGGAATGTAATGGTGAATGGTTACGCGGAGGTGGGTTTGCTTGATGAAGCGAGGAAGGTGTTTGACGAAATGCCTGAAAGAGATAGCTATTCGTGGACGGCTATGGTTACCGGATATGCTAAGAAAGATCAGCCTGAAGAGGCGTTGCTGCTGTATAGTCTGATGCAAAAGGCACCGAATTCGAAAGCTAACATCTTTACGGTTTCGAGCGCGGTAGCTGCTGCTGCTGCGATTCCGTGTATCCGTAGAGGGAAAGAGATTCATGCGCATGTTGTGCGAGCTGGTTTGGATTCAGATGAGGTGTTGTGGAGTTCGTTGATGGATATGTATGGGAAATGTGGATGTGTTGATGAAGCGAGAAGCATCTTTGATAAGATCGTTGAGAAAGATGTTGTCTCGTGGACGTCGATGATTGATAGGTATTTCAAGTGTCGGAGATGGAGAGAAGGGTTTGCTTTGTTTTCTGAGCTGGTTGGTTCTTGTGAACGTCCCAATGAGTACACTTTTGCTGGAGTTTTGAATGCTTGCACTGATCTCACAACAGAGGAGGTAGGGAAGCAAGTTCATGGATACATAACGAGAATTGGGTATGATCCTTACTCTTTTGCGTCAAGCTCTCTTGTAGACATGTACACGAAATGTGGAAACATGGAGAGCGCGAAGCGAGTCTTCGATGGATGTCCTAAACCGGATTTGTTTTCTTGGACTTCTTTGATCGGTGGGTATGCTCAGAACGGAGAGCCTGACAAAGCCTTGGAATACTTCGATTTGCTACTTAAATCTGGCACTAAACCTGATCGTATCACCTTTGTAAGTGTCCTCTCTGCTTGTACTCATGCGGGATTGGTGGAAAAAGCACTTGAGTACTTCCATTCGATAACAGAGAAGCACGGCTTATCGCATACAGATGATCACTACACTTGTCTTGTTGATCTATTAGCTCGTTCTGGAAGATTTGAACAGTTGAGAAGCATCGTTAGTGAAATGCCGATGAAACCGAGTAAGTTTCTGTGGGCTTCGGTGCTTGGTGGATGCAGCATTCACGGAAACGTTGAGCTAGCAGAGGAAGCAGCTCAAGAACTGTTCAAGATAGAACCTGAAAATCCGGTGACTTACGTTACAATGGCTAACATCTATGCTGCAGCAGGAAAATGGGAGGAAGAAGGAAGAATGAGGAAGAGAATGCGAGAACTCGGAGTCACCAAGAGGCCAGGCTCAAGCTGGACCGAGGTGAAGCGGAAACGGCATGTATTTGTAGCAGGGGATACTTCGCATCCAATGTATGATCAAATAGTTGAGTTCTTGAGTGAATTGAGGAAGAAGATGAAAGAAGAAGGGTATGTTCCTGCTACGAGTCTTGTGTTGCATGACGTAGAAGATGAGCAGAAAGAAGAGAATCTTGTGTACCATAGCGAGAAGCTCGCTGTTGCGTTTGCGATTTTATCTACACCAGAAGGTACAGCGATTAAGGTGTTTAAGAACTTGAGGTCTTGTGTGGACTGTCACAGTGCTATTAAGTTCATATCGAAGATCACAAAGAGGAAGATTACGGTTAGAGACTCTGCTCGGTTTCATTGCTTTGAGAATGGACATTGTTCTTGTAGAGACTATTGGTAACGGAAAGAAAAACTAAGATTTCTACTACTATTGCAATTTGGATCAGAGAGTCATAGAAATTGTATAGAGTACTCTGTTTAAGATTCATGTTTTGTAGAAGCTTAATACAATCAACGTTACAGAGATTAAGGCAGAAGCATGAAACTTCCTAAATTCCGTAAAAAGAGGATTGAGTCCATTTATAACATCTGCTAGTCTCAAGACAAGTTTCGTAAGAGGAGGACTGAGGAAGCATATGCGGTCTCATGTGGTTCCGACTCATTAGCATTTGCCATTGCATTTGTCAGATAAAAGCACACTCTTATGTTTTAATTAGAGTTTAGGATGTGCTCGTGATTCGTTGACTTTCTTAATTCAAGAATCTGAATATAAATACTAAAATACATCAACTTAAAAGTCAACCCGTTTAATTTAACCATTTTATGCTGGAGGGAACAAAGAATTTAATCACAGAGCAAGATCTACTTTCTCGGTTGTTTGTTTTATTTTTATTTTCTTATGGTTAATCTGTAAGTTCCAAAGTCAAAGCTCAAAACACAGTTTCTCTGATTTCCTAAAAATTTGTATACACCTCTACTAAATCATTCGCTACATTAGAAAGTCACATTTAAGCATCTTTACAAACGTTTAAATTTGTATAAAGAAGATAGTTTTGATTTAAAAAGAAAACTCAAAACTTGAATTGCATTAGTGTGTAGGTCAACTACTTGATCGGTAGCAGCACTTCTGCCATGTTATTTTCTGTCACACAAATATGATATTTCTAAAAAGGGAAAAATTGCAAATCTCAATATATGTAGCGTGTAAAATCTAAATTTACAAGTTTTCAAGGCAAGCATTTTGCATAAAGTACGCCGCAAAAGAGCTAGCTTATGGAGGCTTTTTCGTGTGATGATGCATGGGAATTCACGTCGTCCACGCTGACAAAACTTAATAAAATACTAGTAACTTAATTAGGCTCTCTCCAACTTGGTATATGTATTTAAGATTGCCCGTAGGTGGGAAACCTCAAATATAGTCTCACAAATCCAGACATCTTCTTGATCTTGAATCTTACAAAATGAAACAGACCAATCTCCTGCTATGTAAAATAGTCATAGGAACCTTACTATTTTGGTTGGCCTCTGTGTTTGTTAACGCAGAAGATCCATATTTGTTCTACACTTGGAATGTTACTTATGGAACAAGATCTCCTTTAGGTGTTCCTCAACAGGTAATACATGCGTATATGCACTCTTTGATCCTACTTAATTAGATTTAATGTTGTTATGAGAAACTAACATTAATTAATCCATGCCTTTCTATGTTTTTGGTACGATTTAGGTTATTCTTATCAATGGACAGTTCCCTGGTCCAGCGATTGAAGCTGTCACAAACAACAACATTGTTGTCAATCTCATAAACAATCTCGACGAACCATTCCTCATCACCTGGTATATAAATTTATAACCGATTGAGCTAACTGCGAATAGACAAGAAAACTTTAACTTCGGGTTTGTAAAATTTTTAGGAACGGTGTGAAGCAGAGGAGGACATCGTGGCAAGATGGAGTATTAGGAACAAACTGTCCGATCCAACCGAACTCAAACTGGACTTACCAGTTTCAACTTAAAGATCAAATCGGTACTTTCACTTACTTTGCTTCCACGTCGATGCACCGAGCCAGTGGTGCTTTTGGTGCTTTCAACATTAACCAGAGAGCCGTCATTACCACTCCTTACACTCAACCCGATGGCGATTTCACCCTCCTCGTCTCTGACTGGTTCAATATGAGCCACAAGGTATATATATATATATACACTCAAAATGGTTTCAAACTATTTGAAAGTCATGTGCAAAATTTTATATTATACACTAATTAACGTTAATTTATTTTAAACTATTATTGTGATCACTAGGATCTGCAAAAACGGCTTGACGCAGGCTATGCTCTTCCTCTTCCTGATGCTCTCCTCATCAATGGTGTTTCTAGCGGTTTAATATTCACCGGTCAACAAGGTAGTGTCATCACATAAAACCATCAACAATATCCGTTTTTTATTTTACATTACTAGTCTTTGATGTCTTCATTTTCACATCTATATACAGGCAAAACATATAAGTTTCGTGTATCGAATGTGGGGATAGAGACCTCGATAAATTTTAGGATTCAAAATCACACAATGACACTCATTGAAGTAGAAGGCGCTCACACTCTTCAGGAGAGCTACGAGTCGCTTGACGTCCACGTTGGTCAGTCCGTGACCGTCCTTGTCACTTTAAAAGCTTCCGTGAGGGACTACTACATCGTGGCCTCGACCCGGTTTACTAAACCGATACTAAACACAACCGCGAGTCTCCGTTACGTAGGCTCCAAAAACGCAGCTTCTGGTCCCCTCCCCATTGGTCCTACTTACCATATTCATTGGTCCATGAAACAAGCAAGAACCATCAGGTATTAATACCGAACCGAACCGAACCGGACATTTATATATGGGTTTTGTTTAATTAATTTGATTTAATTTGGTGGTTTTTAGGATGAATTTGACGGCAAATGCTGCAAGGCCAAACCCACAAGGATCATTTCATTACGGTACCATACCGATAAACCGAACTATAATTTTGGCCAATGCGGCTACGATGATCTACGGGAAGCTTCGGTACACAGTAAACCGGATATCGCACATAAACCCAACAACACCATTGAAACTCGCTGATTGGTACAACATTTCGGGCGTGTTCGATTTCACTACGATCATTAGCACTCCTACAATCGGACCGGCTCATTTTGGTACGTCGGTTATCAACGTTGAGCTTCATGAGTTCGTCGAAATCATTTTCCAAAACGACGAGAGATCAATTCAATCTTGGCACATGGATGGTACTAGCGCCTATCTTGTCGGGTAAGACCCTGCTCTCTGCTATCTAAACCGGGTCCGGTTATTCATTATTTAAACCGTAATTGAATTTGTTTTTTCAGATACGGGTCAGGGACATGGAATGCGACTATGAGGGAACGTTACAACTTGGTTGATGCTGTTCCAAGACACACTTTTCAGGTAATATAATTTGTTTCCATAACGATATCTAAAGTAAAATGATTGTAATATTGTACCTAATATAATATTCAACGATGCATGATTGGGTGTGTGTAGGTGTATCCGTTATCGTGGACAAGCATATTGGTGTCGTTGGATAACAAAGGGATGTGGAATCTAAGGTCACAGATATGGTCAAGGAGGTATTTAGGACAAGAGCTCTATGTTCGTGTTTGGAACGACGAGAAGTCTCTCTACACTGAAGCTGAACCGCCTCTTAACGCTCTTTATTGCGGTCTAGCCAAACGCCCCCGTTAGATATATGTTCACAGAAAAATCTTGTTATCTTTTCTAATTGAACTAGGTCACAATTATAAGGGTTTTGAGTGGAGAAAAACACAACACGTAGTCCAAACGAAAACCTCATTGATATATTCGATTATTTAATAAACAAACAAAAGGAGAAAGAAACAAACTTTCTTTTGTCTTATGTTTTTTTTTTCTTTCTTCTTTTGCTCCCTTAAAATTTCGACTGTGCTCATGCATCTAAACCAGAGTAGAGTAAGAGAGTTGTTGATACTTGGTACATTGAACTTAGGAGTTCGAACGAAGTTCGGTCTGGCCGAATTCAACAAATTAACCAAACCTAACTATATTTTTTGTGCGGTTTATAACTTTTTATACTTGTAGTAATACTTAATACCAAACTGAGATTTAAACAAATGCAAAGCATAATAATGTATTATAGAACAATTTCAGATCTAGATGGATATTTGTACTTTTTATCTGTGTTAAACCGAAGAATACTAAAGCGAGAATTGGTAATACTTAAAATGCTTTAAAAAAATATCAACATAACAATTCACTAATTAATATCCGCAAACGCAAGCTCTAAAATATGCATTTATGTTGATATCTAACACAATTCCATTACGATACTATCACAACTGTATCACATTCCATCATTCAATGTATCAAATAAATATCATCTTTTTAATCAATCGATCTGTGTATATAATCGGTTGAGTAATTAAATTCGCCAAGACAACACAAACAAGTTCCCTTTTTTATTTTTCTTTTCTCCTCGAATTTAGACACGGGGTAGTTATGTGTTATCTCGAGCGAAACAATGTGTCAAGATAATCATTGGACTTTCGAAAGTGACAGTTCAATGAGAAACTGTGTAGCTCCAACCATAAGTGAAGAGCCACACAACCACAACAACAGAAGAAAGCAAAGAAACAAAAATCAATATCAGATTTTGTCAAAAAATTGAGATAAACAAAATAAAGCAATATGTGCTTGTTCACGGGAGTGGCCACGGGGCGTGGTGCTGGTACAAGATCAAACCGGTGCTGGAAGCTTCAGGCCACCGAGTGACCGTTGTTGATCTCATGGCCTCTGGTGTCAACATGAGCAAAGTGGAAGAGATTCAGTCGCTTGAGGATTACTCCAAGCCGTTGCTTGAGGTTATTGAGTCTTTTGGGTCAGAGGATAAGGCGATCCTCGTCGGTCATAGCCTCGGAGGGATATCAGTTGCTCTTGCAGCCGACATGTTTCCTAGCAAGATCTCTGCCGCTGTTTTTGTAACGTCTTTCATGCCCGACATAACGAATCCTCCTTCTTACGTTTTCCAAAAGGTAAAATCCAAAAACGATACTTAAGCTCTATTGATTTGATCTTGATATCACTAGAAAATGGCAGTTTCTCGGGAGCCTTTCAGAAGAACAAGTGTTGGATTTCGAGCTTGGGACTTACGGGACAAAAGATCCTCCTCTCATGACAGCTTATCTTGGACCTAAGTACTTAAAGAACTTGTATCGACTCTCTCCTATCGAAGTAAGACTCAACATATATGTTCTTTTGTTCTACAAGGCCTTTCTTTGATGAATCTTTTTGCTAATGGTTAGGATTATGAATTGGCCAAAACCTTGGTGAGAGTTGGACCCGCGGTTAACAATGATCTGGCGGGGACGAAGAGCTTTACGGAGGAAGGATATGGATCGGTTACTCGTGTGTATATCATATGTGGAGAAGATAAGGGTTTAAGTGTAGATTTCCAGCGATGGATTATCGAAAACTTTCCGGTTAAAGAAGTGATGGAGATCGAAGATGCAGATCACATGCCAATGTTCTCAAAGCCACAAGAACTATGCGATTGTCTCGTCAAGATTGCTGATAAATATGCATGAACATGCAAGAATGTGATTATCTTTATGAATAATTTTCATGCGTAATGATTATGGAGAGAAACAATAAGAACTCCTATTTCTACAATACTAACATCGTCCAAAATGTTGATGAGATGAATGATTAATCATATTAGTAAGATTCCAGAGATGAAAGAAATATATTAAAATCTATTTCTACAACAATAGCATTTGTTCTAAGAAGATAAACTTTTGATACAAACTGATGCATATGAGTATGGGGGAGAATCTGTTTTCGACTTTCACCAAACTAAACACCACCAAGTAAGAAAACGATGAACACAAGGCACGTAACGATGCATGGTCAGGCTTGAGAGATGGAACTTGAGAAGAATCCTGTTGCTAACGGCGTGCAGTTCTTGATTTTGGCCTTGAAGATTTCTGCAAATGAAAGAGAGAAAAAAAGTTCAGTTTCAGACAATTTTACTGGTGGTTGAATGAAGTCGTAATATTGAAGCATAGTGATGCAACAAATATCTAATGAACAAAAACTACTTACATTCATAGAACCGAAGCTGGCTCCTGAACCGGGTGTAATACCTAAGGGGAAACAGATACCAAAACTCGAGATTACAACAAGAACAAATCCTGATACCAACTCCACCGTACATATCATATAAGAGTCTGAGAAAGTGATAATGTCTGTGTACCAGCAAACTGTGAAGGCGTAGCACCAACTGATGGAGTTGTCTGGCCAAACAAAGATGGAGCAGAACCAAACGTAGAAGCCGGTGTAGAAGAGCCAAAGAGTGATTGCTGCACGGGAGTAGTGGATTGTCCAAACAAAGACGAGGTGGGAGCAGCAGAAGCTGGTGTAGCAAAGAGAGAAGACGAAGGTGCAGAAGCAGGTGTGTTAAGAAACGAAAAGCCAGCTCCTGAAGAAGGGTTTGGTGTTTGAGCAGCTCCAGACGTTTGTTGAGTCGCTGAGCTTGTAATCAACCCAGCAACTTGGCTTGAGGTTTGTTGTGTACCTGTAGTGGTACCAGCAGGTAGATGAAGAGTCGGATGGACCCTTTTAGCAGCAGCTTCCTGTTTTGCTGTTTCTCTTCGATCAGCTTCAAGAAAAGGATCGTTGTATTCTCCTCTCCGTCTCTGGTCAGCAAGATACGCTGTTCTCATCGATTCAATGTATTGATGAATGTTCTCTACCTGAACACAACAAACTCAAACCAATTACAAAAGATTTCAAAAGCGTTTCTACATAGAAGGTTCAGCAGATTAGAAGTTACCTTAGCAGCCACATGGACAAAGAAGTCATGCACATTAGACATGACTTTTGGAAGAGATTCCAAAAGGGAAGCGTTTCGACTGTACTTGTCAGAATCCATGGCAAGCAACTGCTCCAGCTCTTCAACCAATTGTCTACACTCGCCGAGATACTTCTCAAACCTCGCAACAGTCTGCTGCAGAAACACTGTGGGTTTCTTTGGTACCCCACGGTAAAAGTCAGAAACTTGAGCCATGGAAGCAACTGCTTGTTGTTGACCAGAGGAAGCTTGAGCCTGATTTGCTCCCTGAGGTTGAGATGACTGAGAACCACCACCACCACCGCCACTAAGAGCTCCTCCTGGTTTTGAATGAGGGAATCTTGGCTGTAGCATCATGAAAGATCTAACCGCAATCTCAGCATTACGCAGCATATCTTTAGCACCCACCATAAGCTCATGAAGAACAGCTTTCTGTCTATCCATGGTTGTGTTAATCCCACCAAGCTCCTACATATAATAATTCAATCAATTCCTATATACAGCAATAGATTAGGAATCAGCCACAAACCTGCACAATTCGGCTTGCATCAAACTCGAACCCTTCACTGGATACAGAAGAATCATAGAGTCGACTGCATTGATCTAACCTCTGACTTTCACTTCTGTATTCCAATATCTTCTCTCTACGGATTACACAAACAAAGATTAAATCACAAACTGAATCCTAATTTCATCACGATTTCACAATCGAACAAGGAAAAGCCTAAAGCAAGCCTAAAGGAAGAAACAGAAGACGAATATCAAGGGAATTTGAAAAGCGTACTCAATCTGAAGAAGGAGTTTCTGAGAATCGGGATGAAGATCGGCCCATTTAGTACTGTAACTCGCCGGCGCTTTATCGTTCGTGAACAGATACAGCTGCTGTACTTGCTGTTGCAGCTGCTGATTCTGTTGTTGTTGTTGTTGCTGTTGCTGCTGCAGCTGGAATTGTTGCGGCTGAAACGACGGAGCTTGCTGCTGCGGTTGCGGCGAGAAGAAGGAGTTGCTCTGAGGCTGAGGCTGAAACATCGGTTGCTGCTGAGACGGAAACAGCGACTGAGGAGTCTGCTGCTGCTGCTGCTGCGGCTGTTGCTGTGGGGTAGAGAAAAGGTTGAACGACATGGACGACGGTGGATCGATTAGGGCTTGAATCGCCGGCGAGGATTTGGAGACGAGGAAAAAGATTTCAAAAGCCCTCTTTAAAACTTTAAAATCTAAAATCTCGAATAAGTGGAGAGAACAGATAGAAATTACTGTTTAATACCTATATTTCACTTTTTTAATAAACTAAAGGGCTCGTTTGTAAATATTCACAAACATCCTTCGTAAAACAGCCACGTGTCCACTACGTGTACTGCGCAGATTTAACTTCTTCTTACAGGTGCTGTAAAGAAAAATAACTTTTCATTTTTCCATCCAATCAAAACACTAATTAAACGTTTTGAATTTCGAAAGAGTAAATTTAAGAACTGACCGTTGCTCTGTTCATCTTCACACTTCACTTCACTCACTAAAATAAAAATCTGACATTTCTTCTTCTTATCCAGAACAAAGAGAAAAAACCAGAGAGAACTCACGAATTTGAGAAACCAAATCAGTCAATCGCAATGCCTACGATGAGAACGAGGGGGAAATGTTCAGTACCCGCCACGAACCCTAATCCAACAGTCGGAGGAGACTCAAACGTCTCGATCTACGAGAAATGCAGGCAAGAGAGGATCAAGGAGAATCTCCAGAGGATGCAGAATCTCGGCATCTTGGATCTCTCCCTCAAACTCAAATCCGATACCCGACCCGTTAAACGGCAATACCGTAAAGCTAATTCGGATCCGGATCGAGATACGTCTCCTCTTCAGCTTTCCGTCTCCACCAGACGATCCTCTAGGTAAATCTCGTCGCTTTTACTCTCTGGGTTCTCCGAATTGGCTTTCCCCAAAAATTAGGGGTTTTGGGAAATTAGGGTTTATCATTTTGTTCTTCTATATCATTTGTCAGATTGAAGAAGGAAACGCCAGTTGCTCGACGATCCTCAAGGTAATTTCTGGATTCTATTACCGTTGAATCGATTTTGCTCAAAATCAACAAGAGTAGAGAGTTAAAGTTTACAAATTTCCTTTTCTGAATCGTCGCCTTTCAGATTGAAGAACGCAACGCCAGTTACATACTTCGAGGGAGCTGAAAAAAAGAAGGGGAAAGCACCTAAAGAAGAGATTTTGTGGCTCGGAGAAGGCGAAAGGCCAGAGATTTACACTGATGAGCATGAGAAGCTTCTAGGTAACACTGACCGAGTCTGGGAGCTTTTTGTAGATGGTTATGACAAAGATGGGAAACGTATCTATGATCCTGTTACAGGAAAGAGCTGCCACCAGTGCAGGTTAGTGAAATGAGCTTGCTTTAACTCATGGATTAGGTATTCAGGTCTAATGGTAATTGTGGGATCTTACAGGCAGAAAACGCTTGGCTATCGTACACAATGCAGCGAGTGTCACCCATCGGTTGCTGGTCAGTTCTGTGGAGACTGTTTGTACATGAGGTACATTAGCGTTTTCATGCCACTGACGTTATCTGTTTCTGTGTGTGTTTTGAGTATTGGTGTTGAATGTTTTGGAATTGTGTTTGTGGTGTTTGAAACAGATATGGAGAACATGTGCTTGAAGCTCTGGAGAATCCGGACTGGATTTGTCCTCGCTGTCGCGGGATCTGCAACTGCAGCTTCTGTCGTAAACACAAAGGGTGGTTGCCTACAGGCGCAGCTTACAGAAAGGTAGGAGTTTTGATTAGTATCCGTTTTTAGCAGATTCTCTCTTGTTTATCGGATAGGATCAACATTTTAAGAGGCTTTTTGGTTTGATGTTTCTGTATTCAGATATGTAAGCTAGGGTACAAGTCTGTTGCACATTATCTGATTCAAACCAACAAGCAGTCAGAAACAAGTGAGGATGGGGAAACTGATGATCCATCTCCATCCCAAGCTTCTACAAAGGCATCTTCATCAGAAGAAGATGATCTTCATCTCGAGATCACTGATGGGCTTGAGGACCATGGCATTGATGATGAAGAAGGCGCAAACAAGAATCCGGATTCAGATAGGGAGAAACAAACTTCAATGATTGATGATGTTGTTGTAGGTGATGTCAAGGCATTAGAGATGGATCCAGCAACTCCTGTGATCGTTGATGTTGAGGAATATTACGCAAAGAAAGAGAAGAAGGGAGAGACGAGCAGGAGCAAGAGAAAGATGTCTGTTGAGCCAAACCCAAATAGTATTGGTGGAAGACTGAGGCAGCGTCGTAAGAGTCAAGCTTCTTGAATGAGATAAGTTTCAGCAATGGAAACTCTTTCAGCTCTCAATGTTAAGAGTTCTCTCTCATATGCTTTTGCTTACCGCAGTTTCATGCAAGTCGGAATGTAATCTCTTTTTCCTTTTTTTCTGACGGAGTAAACATGGATATGTAACATCTGTCATGGCATGTTAGTCAAATTCGACAATATATGAATGTTGTCGACTAGATGTATTAAACTATCAAGTGTTAAATGTTTTGGAGTTGCAATTGCAGTGTGTGAGAGTTTAGGCTTTGTTCTTTGGTTAGCTCTGATGGGCCAGAGTTTTATTAGATTGGGCTTGTAGTTAGTCGTGAGCTAATTCCGAGAGCAAAACTCTCCGATCTTGTTTATCTCCGGCGGTTTTGCGGATGATTGTGGATTGGTCTCAGACTCTCAGGTAGTGTGTGATCCCGTCGATACCTTTAAGGGAACTTCGTTGGCATTATTAAGTTGTTGTGGCCATCAAGATTAATAAAGGTCACATAAGGTTTAAGTGAAGCATGTGCAATGTACAGTTGATCACTTTTTGTTACCGTCATTTAATTTCAAAGCTCCTTTAACTATACTCCGGAATCACTAATTAATGCTTAATTGAATCTAATATCTTTGCATTCGATTATTCTATTCCCAAAGCATTGTTCCAATTCTTGCTAAATTTAGTTTACCTACAATTCAAATTTGAAATTTTTGAAGCTACAACTTTATGAATGGGTCTGGTACGGTACCACTGTACCACGTTGATATAATTCGACTCGGAGTCTTCAAATTAAATTATTTATTGTATTTCAAATTGAAAAGTTAATTTATTCGTTTGGACTTGGGAGTACCTTTAATACACTGGAATATATACACTATAACTCTACAACATCCCTCAAATAAACACAAAAAGGAGAATGAAAGCAATTATACGTGTTTTGTCTCACTGAAAATGACATAATTTGAAACCAAGCAAATAACTAATTATTTTAATCTCTAGAATAAATAGTCAAAGACAGAAGGCCTTTTTATTTTATCAATAGCACATTGTGTTCCATGCATAATAAGACGAGATCAATAATCTATTTGTCCTTTCTTTTGGAAGACAAGTCTTTATTATCTCTTGACTCTATCGATGACCTCAAGATCTCTTAATTTCGTGATAGAACAAAATCAATATTTACCCTGATATCAATTGCTACGCAGCTCAACTTTTCACCAATGTTTGTGGTTGATCAATTATTGGTCTAGTGGTGTCTACACTAACAGTCTAACAACCAACCTGTTTTTTTTTTCAATTTAAGTAATAAATATTAGCACATTTCTTCAACTTTAGTAATAAACCTGCTAGATAACTGCTAAAAATGGATATTTATATTAGACCCTTTAACAAAAAAAAATGGATATCTATATTCCTTTTGTTGTACGACTACAAGTGACTGATCAATTTTGTTTTAAACATCCAAAAACTGTTATCTTTATATAACAGTGAAACTTGAACTTGATATATACTCCTTTCGTTTTTTTAGGATAAATTTTATAGAGTTATCACACATATTAAGGAAAAGTTGATTTTCAATCATTAGTGCATAGATTTTTGTAATAAAACAACTTTTTATAATTTTCAACCAATAAAACTCCAACAAACACAATTAATGTTTCTTGAAAACTGAAAAAGTGCATCAAAAAGTAAGAAATTTTATCTTTGTGAAACAACAAATAATGTCTAGAAAATTCATCTTAAAAAAACGGAGGGAATATATAATTGGCCATTGCCTATTTTGATAAAGATTCAATGGTGTAACCCTTACGTTTTAGGCTTTCATGTATCTTATTAGAATTACTAGGAAATAAAAGAAAAGGTTACTAGAATAAAATATGTTATCGTATGGAGTCCAAAGTAGGCAAAAGCATCCCCCACCCCCAACTTCACATTCATAATACGTATATCTATATTTCGTCTGTTTCAACCAACATATTTTTATTTAGGGTATACGATGTACATTCATATAGTAATCATAAATTAAAAGATACGACTTATTACTACAATCTGTACATTTTTATATCAATGAAAAGTTTTCGAATTATTATTTTCGTGCAAGTTGCTACTTGCTAGCTAAATATAGTCAGGGCCGTCCTTGACTTTAGGTGGGCCACAAGCTTGGAAAATAAAATAGATCAATTTATTATATTAAAAATCATTAAAAGACAAAAATTCACGTTTTGCGGTTAAATAGAGTCGAATTACCGAGGGTTTGGATGACAGACACTCACGTAAACCACTGGACTAAAGACAACTTTTGGAAAATCAGAACCGAAATATAACTATATTAAAATAGGGCCGCAAGCTTTAGCTTGCTTTGCTTGCCCTTAGGGACGGCTCTGAATATTGTTATTTTTTTTTATCCATAATGTGGACATCATTTTTTTCTTCCTTTGCTCATCATTTGTTTGAGAAGATAAAGCTAAGAGAGAAATGGTATATATTTCTTTAATAATCACGCAATTGCAAGAGAGTTGACGTTAGATGCGTTTCTTTCGGGGACGATAAAGAAGACAAAATTTTGTGTTTTCCTGAGTCAGTTTTTGTCTTGTTTTTCAGATTTTTAAATGTACTAACAAATCTAAACAAATGTCAAATAGCATATTCTATACTGATATTCCCACTAAATAGTCCTTTCTGTGTTATTTGACTAATAGAAAATAAGTCATTTTTGTGTTATTTGACTTGAAACCTTAGCCTTGCAAATCTTGGATTTATAAGATAATGATTAGAGGAATTGAATAATTGCTTCCACCATACACATTATTATTATAATCTAGCTCACGAACCACCAACTTTGCTTCTGGTTATTGTGAAAGTCAATGCCTTTTCTTTAACACTGTGTAAAGCAGAGAGAGAGAGAGTCTTTGTAGTAAATGAAATGAGAGATTGGTGGTGAAAGGGGTCACCTTTGCTTTTATATTCAAAGACACTTCCTTTAAGTCATTGTTGAATGTTTTCTCCCACAAATTTTTCTTCTTTTTTGTTTCATTTGAAAAAAATGGATTGTTCATAAGAGAGAGTTTCTGATTTTCTACACAAAATTTTGGGATCTGTTTCCTTTATTTTTGTTTTGCTTTATCATTTTAATTAATTAATTTTCCTCCTTCTCTCCTGAGAGTGAGAGAGACTGGTCCTAGGGTTTGAGCCCTTTTGACTCTACTCCTCTCTTTCTTGGATTCCTTCTTCCCTTATGGTTTTTCTTTCTCGTACTTTTGTTCGTTGAAATTGTGCTCTTTTACTTTCTCCTTCTTCTTCCGTCAATTCCGTTTCCTCAAACTCTTTTGCTTAATTCTCATTTCAGCTCAAATTTCCATTTTTTATTTCTGGGTTTCTCTAAAAGTTTCCATTTTTGAAGCTTCTTCAAGATCTTTCCTTTCTTCCTCCCTAATTCGTCATTTATAGGGTTTTACAATGGGCTAGAAAAGAGCACAAAACCCTTTCTTTTCCTCTTTAGCCAAATCTCCTCTGTTTTCAAACACCAATTTCACCAAAATGCATTTCTCTCTGTGGAAGCAAATCCACCACTGTGCTACTCTAATCCTAGACAAGAGCAAGAGCAGGAGAAGAAGAAAAGACGGTTCCGACTCCTCCGTCAATGCCAGGAAAAAAGCTTCATTGCTCCGGAAATTGTACGAAGACAAGCTCAGAGAAGCTCTAGAAGAAGCCTCAGAGAATGGTTCGCTCTTCAAATCCCAAGACATGGACACAGACAATCAAGACGGAGCCTTGGGCCGGTCCAGATCCTTAGCCAGACTCCACGCGCAGCGCGAGTTCCTACGCGCCACTGCTTTAGCAGCTGAGCACATAATCGAATCAGACGACTCAATCCCCGAGCTCCGTGAAGCTTTCAACAAGTTCCTCGCCATGTATCCAAAGTACCAAGCTTCAGAGAAAATCGACCAGCTGAGATCTGACGAGTACAGCCACTTATCAGGCGCAAAGGTATGCCTCGATTACTGCGGATTCGGTCTCTTCTCTTATGTTCAGACTCTTCACTATTGGGACTCTTGTACGTTTAGCCTCTCTGAGATCACTGCGAATTTGAGCAACCACGCTCTCTACGGTGGAGCTGAGAGTGGCACTGTGGAGCATGATATCAAAACTAGGATCATGGACTATTTGAACATCCCTGAGAACGAGTATGGTCTTGTGTTCACTGTAAGCAGAGGCTCTGCTTTTAGGTTGCTAGCGGAGTCTTACCCTTTCCAGACGAACAAGCGTCTCTTGTCAATGTTCGACCACGAGAGCCAGTCTGTGAACTGGATGGCGCAGACGGCGAAGGAGAAAGGCGCAAAGGCGTACAACGCTTGGTTTAAATGGCCAACGTTGAAGCTTTGTTCGACTGATTTGAAGAAACGTTTGTCTTATAAGAAGAGGAAGAAGAAAGATTCAGCTGTTGGTTTGTTTGTGTTTCCTGCGCAGTCTCGTGTCACAGGTGCTAAGTATTCATATCAGTGGATGGCTTTAGCTCAGCAGAATCATTGGCATGTGTTGCTTGATGCTGGCTCTTTAGGTCCCAAAGATATGGACTCGCTTGGTTTGTCGTTGTTTAGGCCTGAGTTTATCATTACTTCGTTCTATCGAGTGTTTGGGCATGATCCTACAGGGTTTGGTTGTTTGTTGATTAAGAAGTCAGTGATGGGGAGTCTTCAGAGTCAGTCAGGGAAGACAGGATCAGGGATAGTGAAGATCACGCCTGAGTATCCGTTGTATCTGAGTGATTCAGTAGATGGTCTTGATGGATTGGTTGGTTTTGAAGATCATGATGATGATGATAATAAGCTCAAAGAAGGTCATCGTCCAGGGACTCAGATGCCTGCTTTCTCTGGGGCATACACTTCAGCTCAAGTGAGGGATGTGTTTGAAACAGATGTTCTTGAAGATAACGTCTCTTCTGATAGAGATGGAACTACTAGCACCACGATCTTTGAAGAAACGGAGAGTGTTTCGGTTGGAGAAGTGATGAGAAGTCCGGTGTTTAGCGAAGATGAGTCGTCTGACAATTCGTTTTGGATTGATTTGGGGCATAGTCCTCTTGGCTCCGATCAGCATAACAAGATTGCATCTCCTTTGCCGCCGATTTGGTTTAAGAGGAACCAGAAACAACGTCACTCTCCTAAACCAGTACATAAGAGTTACAGTAGTCCGATGTATGATGGTAAAGACGTCCTCTCGTTTGATGCTGCTGTTATGTCAGTTACAGAGCAGGGGACAAACACGAACAGGAGGGATTCTGGTAACAATCTCCATGTTGGAGAGATAGAGGAAGAGAGCTTCGGTCATAGCTTGGCAAATGGCTCCAACATTTCATCAGAGATCAAAGAGAGTGCTATTAGACGAGAGACAGAGAGAGAATTCAGGTTGTTAGGGAGGAGAGATGGCGGGAGAAGCAGGCTATTGGGAGTGGAGGATGAACATACGAGTAATGGAAGACGGGTTTCGTTTAACATGGAACGTGTTAGTCATAGTGTAGTAGAGCCCGGTGAAGCTTCTCTAGCTAGCGTTTACGATGAAGAGTATCATAACAACACGAGTGATGTTGAGAATGGAGATGATGAAGGTGCAGATGATGAATGGGATAGGAGAGAAACCGAGACAGAGATTGTTTGCAAGCATATCGATCATGTGAACATGTTAGGTCTTAATAGAACCACGACGAGACTCAGGTTTCTGATTAACTGGCTTGTGATCTCGTTGCTGCAGCTGCAAGTTCCTGAACCAGGAGGAGGAAGAAACATGAGTCTTGTGCAGATTTATGGACCGAAGATCAAGTATGAAAGAGGAGCTGCGGTTGCATTTAATGTTAGAGATAAAAGCAAAGGCTTTGTGAGTCCGGAGATTGTTCAGAGGCTTGGTGAAAGAGAAGGCATATCTCTCGGCATTGGTATATTGAGTCACATACGGATAGTGGATGATAAACCGAGGAACCATAGAGGTCGGAGTAAAGAAGATAGTGCTTTGCATTTGCAGAACGAAGTTGGGAAAAACGGGTTTATAAGATTTGAGGTTGTGACAGCGTCTCTTAGCTTCTTGTCAAACTTTGAAGATGTTTACAAGCTTTGGGGTTTCGTCGCCAAGTTCTTGAACCCTGGTTTCAGCAGAGAAGGTTCGCTTCCTACTGTTGAAGAAGAAGAAGCAGAGGATTCAGAGACGTGAGTTTGTTAGTAGTGAAACCACACAAAGCTTGTAACTTTTAGGAGGCTGACATAACCGAGAATCGATGAGGTTCACTCGCCTGCAGCATTATACGGTTTTTGGTCGCTCTCTTGGAGATGGAAAGAGGGTTAAAGAACTCTGAATTGAGAGATTTGGTATAGCTTGTAATCTGAAAGCAGAACATATTGATCCAATCATTCCACTTTACCTTTTTGGCAACTCTGCTTTGCTTTTGTTTGTGTTTTTGTTTTGTGAGTACTTGTAGCATTTGTTCTAAATTTCTACAAAACTGATTGAGAACAGTATAATGATATATATACACTTAGATTATATGGATTCTTCATCTCTCGAATCTTCTTCGACAAAATGCTTACAAAAAAATTCTTTTGTGAGTTTTGTACTGGAACATTTTTAAGCCTCTCTTCCTCTTATTATGTATGCTCCAAGAACTTCAAAACTTGTGATATTCGTATGATTCTTTTTAATCTTAGTAAGAGGGATTAAGCAATCTTGTAATAAATATCGAATACATTTAGTATTAGTAGCAAAAGAGGCTCACATAATGTAACAAACAAAAATGTAAATGGAATTGCCCACAAGGATTTTGGATCTTGAGTTTCATTTTCTCTGTCGCTGCTTCTTGGCTGAAGCAGCAGCACCAGTAACAAGTCTAAGAGCTTGGCCGGAGTTCTTCAGGATAGAAGACGATCTAGGGACTTGAGACTTCCTCTTCTTCAAGAAAGCTAATCCAGTTTTCAAGCATTTCGGTGGTGGAATGTCCTTGTAGATAACCGTTTCGATCCTGCACAAACGAGAGAGACAGAGAGAGAGAGAGAGATGTCATCAGATAAAAACAGAGAGCGATTACATAGTAAGTAAGCCGAAGGAGATGAACATACCCTGAGCTCTTTTGCTTCTTCTTTCTTGGCCTTTCTTCGTTGGCCTCCTCTTCTTCAGAATCCGGCCCGCTGTTTAGTCTGCGAAATGAGAGAAGTTTCCAACGTTAAAGACATTATCTCATGTTGAAATTGACTATGCATAAAGAATAAAGGATATAAAGTTGAATACTTTTCTCGCTGTGCAAGAAAGTCTATGATGTCTTTGGAAAGGAATCCCTTATTTGCAAGAGATTCAGCTGCTTCTTCTTCCTCTTCATCTTCTTCTTCGAAAGTTTCAATCTTTTTTGACTTCCGTGGTGTTATTTTCTCTGCCAAAAGCCTGCGACTCTCTTTCTTCTCGCGGGCAATCCTAAAACAGAGTAAAGCAAATCTCATTAGATCAAAGAAGAAGACACACTTGTAAAGGATTTAAAAGGTAAAAATGTTAAAGAGTGAAAACATATGGATTACACATGGCTAAAAGCCCTTAGATCAAAGTGATGAGATACACAAAGAAGTCCCCACCAAGGAGAAATCGTTATCTAACTACTCCTAATTCACATGGCTTCATAAAAACTAATTTTTGATAGTCAAAGCAACTCCTTAATAATCTAACTCCGAAGCAACTAACCATAAAGATATTGAGCTAGAAAGCGAGCTAGAGAGAGGGAATGAGTGAGAATACAAACCTATCAGTGTTTTCTCTTTGTAATTTCCACAAAGCTACATCTTGCAGCTTAGCCTGAAACAAAAAGAAGTAGAAACTCATTAGACGCTGAGCAAATGCAATTCGATCGACTGTTTCAGCTAATCCAATGAAGAAGGAAAATTACCTGCTCTTGGGTGAATTCCTCGGGTGCATCGTCGGAATCGGAATCGGAGTTGTGGTCTTTCCTATTCGACATCGGAATCAGATTTTTCTCCCTCACCGGTCTAGGTTTTACTTCTCCGTCAGTCAGGCGAGACACTAACTAGGGTTTAACGGCTCTGCAAATTCCCAAAACACCACAATCGATTTCGACACTTGTTTTCTTCTCTTTTCTCATCAGAGAGTTGTTTTCTACTTTATGATGGGTTTCGTTTGGGCCTTCCTTACACCCTTTTCTATAAGCCCATTAACCGTGGAAACGACCCATAACTGTTTTATAATTACTATTAGAATATCTAACATTTTATATTATCATCAAAAGCTGGAATAGCTCAGTTGGTTAGAGCGTGTGGCTGTTAACCACAAGGTCGGAGGTTCGACCCCTCCTTCTAGCGTTTTTTGTTGTTCTGCAGATTCTAGTTACCATTTTTAGATCAAATTTTCCTTAGCATCAACAAATTCTTGAAAACGAATAAAGTAGAACAAGACAAGAATGCCGACCAAAAAAATTAGTGAGAGACAAGAAAAAAACAAATAAGACAAAACTATACTCAAAACAAAACAGAAAATGACGTCCACATATACAACAGAGAAAATCAATTGAATAACTTGCATTGCTTTTGATAATGTTTAACTTTTTATAGTAAAGAAGACAAACATATCTATATATACTCTCATCCAACCAAAAAACCAATAACGCATGCTCTAACTTTACCCTCCCCAACCCAAATCTATACAATGTTTTACTTTCACATTATATTCATCACCAAACCTTTTTCTTTTTCATTGTTGCAAAAGCAACCTGAAACTGAAGTCATATGGTACTACTTGTACCAACTCCATGAGTGATTCTTTGTTCTTTCTGTCCGTACACTTGACCGCTTCTTCTCTTAGTTTATCAGGCAGCTGAAGGCAAACCCAATCCAGCAACGATTCCAAATCCTTGGCAAAGTCTAGTAAATACCAATCTAATACCTTTGGAAGCATTAGTTTGTTCTTCTTTGAGATCCCAACTGATGCTTGAAGATAATCTCTCTTTGCAGCTTCTAGCTCTTCCTCTACATTAGCTGCTGTGTAAACCCTCACCTGAACAGACAAAAAAAGGTTGATGCTTTAGTTCTGAAACTACTTGAAAGTTTTCATCTTTCGGTGCCAAATTGAATGTGTATATGATTCTAAGGACAACTTACAGCGGGAGAGGACCAGCTTCCACAGGCGAGAGCGAAAGTGACCAAAGGCTCTGACCATTCCAGTCCAAATGTGCTATGAGCTCTCATCTCTTCATGTGTTGCAGTTTTGGGACATGTCTTTTTTCAAAAACAAGAAGCAGAAGAAAAAAGTTGAAAGAACCAAACTTTGATTATTTGTTATAATTCAAAGTAAAGAAGATTACAAAGGAGCTTACGAATTTCAAGTGATATGGAAGTCTCAAGATGAAATGTTCAATTGTGATTGCATTTAGCGAGTGTCCTCCTACAATTATTGTTGCCTGATACAACAAAGAGAGAAGATGAATATATCAAACCGGAAATTAAACATGTTTAAAGCGCAATGATGTTAAATGTTGGTTTGAGTCTAAACCTTTTGCATCAGGGCTACAACCATTTCAGGTGTCCCAGGAATTCCGTGCTCCAAGAATGCCTACAAAGATATTTTGGAAAACAAGAAATCAGATTTTTAACATTTTTACAGACAATTCTTTATCACACAAAGAAACCACAAAAGTCTCACATTCATCACACAAGAATTGTAAGTATTGATCCAGAATGCAAGCTTCTGCTGGTGGCTAAGACCCTCTAGATTTACAACGGAAAGCTTATTAAGCAAGAACCTGTATATAGATAACCATGAGTTTAGCATTACAATCATTCTAAGAGATTTCATATGATTTGCTTAAAATGAGAAACTTACTTGAGACGATGGATCAGAAAGGAAGCATTGATTCTTCTTCCAAGATCAATCGAAGATGCATCGACAGAGGAAAGATTCTTATACGCACCAAGCTCTCTTGTTTTCCATTCTGAACAGTTACTATATGGATCCAACACAGTCTCCTTGGAAGAGCTAATCCTCAAGATAATACTCACTAAACATTTCAGTAAATCCTCTGAAACTCTGTTTGCTGCATTCCCACTTTGCACTGATTTGTCTTCTGAAGATGATCCAGACACACTCTCCTGTGCTTTGTCCTGATCTCCTAATCTATCACTGATTGATTCTGAGCATTTCTCCTCTGCTGCATCCGGCTTATCCAAAGGTTTCTTCTTCTTTACAGATGTCAAGAACCTGCCAAGCTTCCTCTCAGGTGACTCTTTATCCTTCTTATCTTTGAAACCATTACTAGATGTCTGATTCTCTTTACCCCTCACATCTACTGTCTTAGTAGTAACACTGCTGAGATTCGATTTAGGCGACGCTTGTTTGCCATTTACAACTCTCTGTCCACTTTTCTCATTAACTGTTTGGTCAGAGGAGGAGAAGAGTTTCCTACTTGAGATGCTTCTGCTAAGACTAAGACTCTGTTGATGCTTCTTAGGAGGAGTGATCAGAGAATTGAACTCGTGCTGCGACATTGATTTCGATCTCTGGTGTTTACTGCTTCTAACCGGAGAATTCTCGCTCACACCATTGCTATTAGGACTCTCAAGATTCCTCTTTGAAGAAATGTAAACAGCTTCTTGGTATAGACCTTGTCTAAAGCTTACAACCTGCTCTTCTAACCGAACAACTTCCTCTTCAAGAACAGCTACTTCAGCAAGAAGCTCCAATGTCTGATCAAGAATCAACAAAATTAAACACAAAGAACAACACTTTTGACAATATCAGAGTATCAGACTTCGATTCAGTGTCTTACATATCGAGGGAGGTAAGAAGGAAGACGAGGCAAAGCTCCTAAAGGTCTAGTGAAAGCTCTCTCCAATGCTCTATGCACATTCTCTTCCTGTCTCAGCTTCCTCTTTAGCTTATCAACCTAATCACAACAACAACTTTGTTTTAGCCTCAAACTCATCACTCAATCTCAAGAATTTGTCATCATCATACATACATCTTGTAGCAAATCTGTTTTCCTTTCTCTGTTAGCTCGGCGACGATTAGCCAGAGACTTTCCTGAATTAGCAACAGCTCCATTGCCTTGAGACTCCATCTTCTTCTTCTTCTCCTCCTTTGCAGATTTCAGAATTCCACGAAACATTACTCAAACAGACCAATAAAAAACAAAACACTCAAGAGATGATGGAAGGAAGCCAAATTGGAGTTTGTGAGGAAAGGAGACTATTGATCTCAGCCTTTGATAGTGGAAAACAACACATTACTAGATTGAGGAAAGATATTGAGTATCGATCACTTTCACCGTGACCAGTAATTTCACTAAAGAATATATCTTTAAAGAAAAACAGAAAAAAGCAAAGATTCGGTTGTTAAATAGTCCAATGTGGAAGCCAAGAATCTTAAGAAATATCTGGAAATCCAATAACAAACAAGAGAAATTCTAATCAGATTTTGTTCATCTAAAGGAAGAAACTTTTTCACAAACTAAGCAAAACCCACCAAGAAAAAGCAATCAAAATTTGGTTAACAAAAGTGAAAAAGTGACAGAGAGAGAGAGAGAGAAAGAAAAGTTACTTGGTTATGATTAGTGTCATGCTTTGAAGGAGCTTTCATGGAAGAAAGAGCAGCTCGAACACTTGTGTTCATTGCTTCTCTCTCTCTTTCTCTCTTTCTCTCTTTCTCTCTTTCTCTCTTTCTCTCTATCTCTTCAGCTTTTGCTTTCTCTCCACTCTTTAACTGATATAAACCCAAGAGAGAGAGACACAAGACAGAAGTAAAAAGAAAGATACATTTAAATGTTTAAGTACAAAAACAATTAAGAAAACTGGGGGAAACAAGAAAAAACAAAAACTTTTAACTTATCTGAGATATAATTAATGAATGCGATGGAAATTTAGTAGTACCTTGTTGATTTTATGAACACAGAGCGGGAAAACTTGAAGATAAAGCGACGCGGAAGCAGAGAAAGAGAAAGGCTGTCATGTGTTTTAATGGAAGCTTATGTTTCCCAAAGATCCACAATTTGATGATATTTAATCCTTATTAATATGTGTAAACCACTTTGGTCAGATAATCTCGAACAGAGCGATGAAGAAAAAACTACAGAATCTCTTATTGGAGGTGAAGAAGTAGGCAGAAAACGACGAGATATCAGCGTTTAATCTCCATTTCTGCTTTCAAGTTAATTAGAAAAGTTACAATTTTTATATATAAGAAAAAATGAAACGACTTTTCTCGGAGAAGAAGAAGATGTGAGATCTGAGTGACGAGCTCTGTTTAGCTCTTGAGGCTGGTGGGAAATTGTGTGAGATGAGGACAACCAGAAAGAGAGCGACTTTATCTCATTTTTTTCTCTGTTTATTAATTAAAATTTGGTATTTAGTGGCTTGGTGCTTTCATTTTCTCTCAATCTTTTCACTTCTTTCATTTTAAGAAATCATACTCGAAACTTTAAAAATTAGTTTTTTTTTAAAAGTAGTCCTAAATTGAAAGAAAGTTTGTTAATATGTTGTCAGTATTATAGTGTGATATATTAAATGAAACGATTTCTGATAACTTGTTTATATTAAAAATGTAAGTCGAATGGTTTTGCAAAATTTGAACGTGTTTCAAACAACAAAATAAGTAGAGTTTGTTAGGTGGTTTCCAGCTTTTTCATTGCGAGTGATAATTTCTCGTGCAAATTATTAGATGGAAACTCCAACATTTGGTCCACTAGTCACTGTTATTCTAATAATAGTAGTTATAAAGCTGTCACTAATTAACTTCTCTACTTGCATCTCTAAATCACTCATGAGAGTTTGTATGCAAATACCTCATATGAAGTAAATCTTACGTTTTCTTGATTAGTTTAGTTGAGAGGCTTATAGACAACATATTGATTAGAGAATTGATTAGGGATTATATTAAACGAAATCAGTAATTGTTCTGTAATCAATTATGCAGGTTGTACTTAAACACAGTTGTTTTGCAGGGTTAAATTCTGATACCTTTTGGAGAAAGCAAACACAACGTGCTTATTAATTATGATGCTAAAAGAAATTTAGAAAAAGAAGAAGTTAAAACTCGAAAAGATGCTGACATCTCACTAACATAACCTTTTTAGCATTTGATTTACATTTCTCCTTTTTTTCTGTCAAATCGGGTTGATCCACACACACACACAAAAGGAAGTAATTAAGAAAATGTTAAACTATATACTCCTTCCGTTTCAAATTAGTTGTCGTTTTGGCAAAATGTATCTGTAAATATTTAGACGTATCTAGACATGTTTTACATTGCAGATACATCCAAATATTTGCAGATACATTTTTGTCAAAACGACAACTAATTTGAAACGGAGGGAGTACTGATATGTTTTTTACCCTAATTATCGTAAAATGTATTCAAGTCTGTTTTAATACCCTCTTAAAAAATGTTGTTTGTAATTTTTAAAAAGAACAACTTATGAGTTAACTCATAGTCTTTCTAACTCTTTGTTAAAAAAGAACCTCATAAAACACAAATCATGAAAAAAAAACAGAAACTGATGGAACATGTTGGGTCCTGAGGTTAAAAGGTAAACTCATGAAAAGTGGTAAATGTCACACTACAGAAAAAGGAAAAGATTTAAAAGTGATGACAATTATTATTTCAAAGTGAGAATATTTTTAGATATGACATTGCATTAACCAAGGCTAAGCGTGATAATTTTGTACCATACGATAATTTGATTATTTTAATCAACTAACATGGCTTTTATAGTAGTAGTATTAAATAGTGACGAGAAAAGAAACGGTGGATTAGGTGTAAATTATGAATGGAATTAAATGATACTTTGGCAGATTCTAGTAAGCATTAGCACGTGACAAAGCTTAGCAAAACTTTGCTTTTTAACTCATGCTTCCATTTCTATAGTGGACCCAATTAATCATGCTCTATGTATGATAGTAGTAGTACACGATTACGGAATTCAACTTTCTTCCCATGTTATTACACTCTAGTGAAACAAATTTATATTTCATGTTAAATGAATTTATGAATATTTTTTTTTTTGTAATTATTTAGATGAAAACAAAACCACAAAAAAAAAAAAAAACTCTTCGAACGTGCACCATTTAAAGTTTTACACCTAGAGAGGTGATAATACGATGCAAGGCATGCGTATGGCTTCCAAAATTCCAAATCATTACTTCCTCCCCTTTATTTACTTACGGTTAACTTTTATTTACCCAAACGCAGAATTAAATGACTATTATGTTTCGTCCTATTGGATTATAAAATTTTCGTCTCATCAACAAAATTGTAACTTCAAATCAGTCGGACTAGTCACACTATTATGATGATTAGGAATTTCATTTTTTTTTTTTGATAAAGCGATTTGGAATTTCATGATAAACAAATTACAGAGATACATCTCTGATACTCCAATTACAATATTAAGGCTCTTTTAGTGTCAACAGTGATACTGAAAACTTAGACTAATAAATAATTGGTAGTATATTTTATTTAAAGTCTATGATCTATTGCATCATTAATCATAACTTTGAACATTCCATCTGGCATAGAATATGTAAATAAGTGCAAAATTAATAGTAGAATCGTCACAAATCACAATAGGATCTCTCAATTCACAAACAGAAACGAAGATAATGCATCAAACTAAAGTTACTAACTTACTATACCAATAAATAACCCATAAATAAATGGTCCAAAGCTGAACGTAATTTACTTTTGCTTTTCTTTTTCGTTTTTTTTACTTTGCTCTGCTTTTGGGCTGGACCCAGATACTATGGTCCCGCATAAATAGGGCCTATATTAGGCCTCAAATTAATCCGATGATCATAGAGGTAAACATCAATTATAGTAGATTTAGAAAACTTGGCATTTCTTAATTATTACTATACGATATGTAGCCTATATAAATATGTTTATATTTTTTGTTCATCCTCTTCGAACTGAAAAGATAATGATCAGAATTTATGTTCGCATTTACACCACAAAAGGTCGACGTCATTTATTTCCAATAGGTATATCAAACCGGAAAATTTTGGGAATTCTGACAAACATTTTAAACAAATTCTCTTTTGTCAATTTCCTTCTCGATGGACCATTCGCAGCTGCAAATGAATTTCTACAAATTCATAAATTCCAAAGGAATAGATTTGTTTCGAATATTATTTCGTAAGTGACAAAATATTAACCATTAGTTTTTGTTTTTTTTTTTTTTTTTGGATTATCAAACGCATCAATTTTTCGCTGCGATCTCAAAATAATAATATCTAGGTTGGTTTCAAGTCATATCAAAACCTTAGAAACCGCACATATTTTCACATGAAATTCGACTGTAGACAAAGTTAGGCTGGTGACACTGGACTACTGGAGTATGCAAAGTTAACCATCAGTTTCTATCATATTGTACTATAGAAATTTAACATTAAATGATAGCATTAACATATATATGTATGAAATATAAATCAAAGAAACTGATTGTTTACTTCAATGCTGGCTAACGTCAACCTTGTTAATTTTTTGCCCAGACAAAAAAGTATATATTGACCCAAAATTAGTGTATATATATAAATTAACTTCTGAATACAGTATATCATTCTACAATATCTCCAAAACTCTTATAGCATGATCATAACATGCTACATATCTATAGACGTAATAAATATATTAGATAACACATAATTGTCGCCTCTGTTCGTCTGTAGCCTTCTTCCCATCACATGCCATTAATGGACCTATGTGGTGCTGATAGTAACGTACAACCATGACGTCTCAGAAAATCTTACTCTTAACACAATCAAAACATAAAACCTGTTCTTGTGAATGTGTAATTTCATATAAGGTAACATTTTGTTTTTGCTTTCTCTGTATTCTTGCCACATTTATACACATAAAATTAGTTCATATCCATCGATCGGTCCCCAGTTTTTCAATGATTGGTCAATTTTTTCTTACTTTTTGATAACCATTGTGGTCCAATAAGACAAGTGAATAGGGTCCATTTAGGGCTCGCGTACGTGGTATATCGCATTTCACTGTCACTTTTTAGCGCATGCAAGTGAAACTACATGTCAAAAACCTTACGACATGTATATGGACTCACCCTATTTTTTTTTGTCAACGACTCAATATATATCGCTATACAAAACAAATAGTCAATTTACTGAACACATATTTTGTCAAAACCTATTTGTTTTGTATCATTAGACCCAAAGAATGTTTTTGTGTCAGTTACATTACATCACGATATATAGTTGTATTAAAAATATATTTAACACGCAAGTGGTATTAAGCAACTTAGCATACATATATATCTACAATTTCGATTTTATATTATTTTTAATTTCAACAATTTACGAAAAGAATATAGTAGAATTTCGCAATTTTAACAAAATACCATTAATAGGAAAAGAATGTATAATATTTTAGTTCCCCTTCAAACATTTATGTTATTTGTAAACTATGGCATGATGGATAAGAACTAAACGAATGAAGCTTTATAAAAAAAAAAAAAAAAACTAAACGAATGAAGAAATGGCTAGAAGCTATTGGGAAATAAATGAATGAAGGAAAGTTACATCTTTTTCATAAAGCTGGACTGTCTCGGTGTGATAGAACAACCAAAGTCCAAAGATAAGAAAAGTGTGTACTGTGGTCATTAATGTTCAACGTCTACATCCCTTAAATCCGAAAGTGTCAATCACTAACTATCTCTAGTCCTTTTTACAGTTTAAACGAAGTAATTAGCAAACGGAAATTACAAAATAATCGATCAAGATGGCGCGTGCGTCATGCATACTTTAAGATCCATTGGGCCTCAAGAGGCCTAACTGATGATGAAGCCCAAATGTTTGAATTGGGAAATTAAAGATAACCGGCCCTCCAAACAGACAATGTTTATAGGTCGAACCGGATATGAACCAGATGGTCTACTAGGTGCTTGGTTCGAATCCGTATGACTTAAGATCATTTTGATTATTCATTGTTTCTTTGTCACCAAAACAGAAGTTTCTTTGACCACGTATATCACTAAATAAAGCTACGAAACCCTGAAGCAACCCAATTAAATCGTGTACATTTCTAAGTCTAACCAAAATTGGTTAGAAAATTAGTTTATACGTAATCGATATGATACAACATAACCTGATCCTGAAATTAACTCCATATTTTATGACAGGTACGTATAGTTAGAACAAGTCTGAATAGAGAGGGAGAAGTGTCCTAGCAAATCAAGAAAAATCAAACTCAATTATTTTAAAACTTCAAAATAATTGAGTTGAATCTTCGATTCAGATCTCGTTAGCTATTGGTAAGTCCACGGAAAATATTTATTTCTTACTTATCATTATCTATTACAATATTTTCTCGTAGATTAAGCTTATGACAGCTCAGACTCGACAATGGATTTGTCTATAAATAACTAACAATAATACAGCTACAAAGAATAATGTATAAACTTAAAATCATGATTGGCACGAAATGTTCGAACAGAAGTCTGGCCAACTAAATATCTCTTAAAATATCGATCCCACATGTGAAATTGTGTATATATATTGGACATACGATAAAATATATCGCATCACTGCATTAATCTTGCACACCAAACTTTTATATTCCAATATATAATCTTCTCAACGCAGAGAAAAAAACTAAAGAGAAACTACCATGGAGGAGGACATGAGCACGAAAAACAAACCACCGGCGTACGGAAAACTCGTGACGATCCTCAGCCTCGATGGCGGTGGAGTCAGAGGAATCATCGCCGGAGTCGTTCTTGCTTATCTCGAAAAACAACTTCAGGTTTGTTATATACATCAATCATTTTAAAAGTTCAGTAGAAAGATCGACTAATGTGATAATCTGTTTGGTAACAATTTTTTTTTCTTCTTCAACGTCGAATCATTCCTTATTACTTTTGGGATACTTATGCATAATCATACAAACAATAATTTGTTTAGGGAATTTGATCTATTCTACGATCTTGAATCCATTTTTCGTTTTTAACAAGATCGTAATTTAATTTGGACTAATTTTATCATATATAGGAGCTAGATGGAGAAGACGTGAGGCTAGCAGATTACTTCGACGTGGTAGCCGGAACTAGCACCGGTGGCCTCGTGACGGCCATGTTGACTGCACCGGGCAAGAATGGGCGACCTTATTTCGCGGCCAAAGACATTGTTCCGTTTTACCATGAACATTCTCCCAAGATATTTCCACAGCCCAAGTAAGAAATTAATAGTTACTCAGACATTATAATAATCCGTATGTTTCTTAGCCTATATATGATATACACATTTGTAAAGGAAGCTATAATTTTCCCATAAATTAATGGTAGATGTAATAAAATTTAATTACGTAGTCAGTCCAACTTCAGATATTGATTAGCTCATAACTTTTTTTAAAAACTTCGTCAAACTAACAATATATAGATGAATGTTTTATAAGACGTGTACACATGAACCTTAATTTTCTGTTTAGATGAGCAAGTAATGGACATGGTAGATATATACATAAAATTAATTCCACGTGGCAATTAAACACAGTTGCTATACTGAAAATTGCAGAGGCATGGCTGCTCTATTGCCCAAGCTTCCAAAGCTTCTGTCTGGTCCGAAGTACGACGGAAAATATCTAAGAAAGTTACTAAATGATCTTCTTGGAGAGACAAAACTTCACCAGACACTCACAAACGTTGTCATACCTACCTTCGACATCAAGAAACTTCAACCCATACTCTTCTCCTCTTACCAGGTAATTTTTCCTCGCCATCTCTCTTCTAAACACAGCACACAGACTATAATTATAAAATCTACAGTTCTTGTTTTCATCTTGATCAATCTAACAGTCAGTAATATTTAACTTTGTTTGTAACGTGTTGTTGAAGGCCTTGGTTGACCCTAGCTTGGATGTCAAGATTGCAGACATATGCATCGGTACATCGGCTGCTCCTACGTTCTTTCCTCCTTATTACTTTTCCAATGTAGATAGTGAAGACAAAACGACTGAGTTTAACCTGGTTGATGGTGCGGTTACTGCTAATAACCCGGTATATAAGCACATCCCTCTTAAATGCTATATTTATGTGTGAGCTCTTTAATAAGATTAATTAACCGACTCCATTTTCCGGTTATATTGTGTCTGGTTTCGTTATAGACGCTGGTGGCCATGACTGCCGTGTCCAAGCAGATTGTGAAGAAAAATCCTGATATGGGTGAGCTCAAGCCGTTAGGTTTCAACAGGTTCCTGGTTATATCCTTAGGGACGGGATCTGCCAAAAAGGAGGAGAAGTACAACGCAAAAAAGTCGGCGAAATGGGGAATCATATCTTGGTTATATGACAGTGGATCTACTCCAATACTAGACATTATATCGGAATCAAGCCGCGACATTGTTCATTTCCACAGCTCTGTTTTGTTCTCAGCCCTACATTCTGAGGACATGTATCTTAGAATTGACGTACGTACACACGCACATTATTATGTCAATATTTGTTGCTGTTGATCATTTTACCGTATGTGTGAATTCAGGATGATACATTGGAAGGAGATACAAACACTATGGATCTGGCGACAAAGTCTAACTTAGAGAATCTTGAAAAGTTTGGAGAGAAGATGCTGAATAACAGAGTCGTGCAAATGAACATCGACACGGGTGTATATGAGCCTGTTCCTAGGAATGTCACCAATGATCAAGAACTCCAGAGGTGATTATACGTTTCAAATCTTTGTAGTTTGTTTTTTCTTTTTTACCGCAAGAAATTTCATAGTTTCGGTTTCTTGGATCACAAGCAATGTCATTGTTTGATCATTTTAAAAAAAAACTACCCGCAGGTTTGCTAAAATTCTCTCGGATGAGAGAAAATCAAGGAAATTGAAAAGCGACACAATGACCAAAGAGTCATCAAACTGAACATCGAAAGATAGAAGGAAAGAAATAGTGATCAGGATGATCACTCGCGTGTTGTTGTCGTCTTTAATTGGCTGAAAGAATCTTACTGTAATTTTTGTGTGTTTTGCTCATTTTTCACCTTCATGATTTTTGTTCCTTCTGTAATTCTTTTCGGAAACGCAAAAACTAAAAATAAAAGAACAACTTTCTTACTTTGTAGTCTTATTGATTTATCATTTATGTTACCTCACTCGTTTAGGAAAATTCTATATTAGTCATGTCAAATCTGAGTTGACCAAATTAATAACAGACCGAAATCCAGTCTAACTTATCAAAACATGGAGTAACTATGTTTTTAGTAGAAATCGAATTCAATAAATAAATAAATAAATCCAATACTCTTTTCCTAAGAAAATTCGCCACTAGACCAAGAAAATCTTGCTTAAAAAATGGGAAATCAACGAAAGCAGATACTGAGATCATCTTCTCGATGAATTGACAGATGTCTTTAGAACAAGCCTGAATAGTAGACAGCGAGGGGAGATGTGTCGTAGCAAATCCAAAAATTCCAAACTCAATTTTTGTAATGTCTTGTATGTAACTCAGTTTTGAACATTTGGACGCAGACTTCGTTGCATGTTTCATAAATGCAAACTGCAAAGTCCACGAAAATAAATAGTTGAATTCTATTTTAATTTATCTGTTGCAATTTCTTTTGTGTGTGTAAAATTAGCTTATGACAGCTCAAGCTCGACGACATTGATATTGTTCCTTTCTATAAATTATCATATTCTAATGAAAAATATATGAAGTTACTTTCCTGATTAGCACTAAATGTATGAAGAAAAGTCTGACCAAATAAATTTGTTTTATTTTTGAATCCTCGACAAGTACAATTGTTAAAGACTATATTTCTGGACTCTGGTTTAATGTTGGTTTAGTCACTTGTATAGTTCGGTTATTATGCTGGTTTAGAGTCTTGTATTTAAGCTTTGTAGACATTTTACGTTTAAAGAAGGGTGATCAGGTGTTGCAAAAAACATCGCATCATTCCATCGATATTTTACAATTCGTAATTTTCACCAACCTTCGAATTATACCTGCATTTTCTCAAAAAAGAAAACCTTCGATTTATAATAATCTAAAGTCAAAAGAAGACCGATCAACAATCATGGAGAACAACTCGTCCTCTTGCAAGACGAACAAACCGCCATCATGCGGATCGCTCGTAACCATCCTGAGCCTTGACGGTGGTGGAGTCAGAGGAATCATCACCGGAGTGATCCTTGATTTTCTCGAAAAACAACTTCAGGTTTGTGTTATATAGGTTTAACCGACATTCAAAAAGAAACTCGTATTACATATAGATACCATGTGAATTTTGTAGCTCTTGCTCAGAGACGTGCCTATCTGAAACTTAAAAAAGGTTGTTTCAGACTTCCAGAAATTATATGTAGTTCTTGTAATTCCCCTTACAACTCCGTGCATTTAGGCACGATAAGCGTGTGCATCGTAATCTCGAATTTCTTTTTCTGGACCGTTACATCATTAAATAGTTAATTCTTATTTTGTTTCATTTTAAAAAATGTTTCAGCCAAAAGCACCACTTTTTTTTTTTTTTTTTTTAATTTTTTAAACTATGTATTTTTCTACAATAGAACCTTATTTCTTAGTTCGATCAATAATAAAAATGTTGGAAATCGAATTAATGAAAAAAAAACATCTAGAAAATCTGTTAAAACGTAACGGAGAAAGTATTTTTATGTTGTTTAATTTTGTCGGTACATAAATAGGAGCTAGATGGAGAAGATGTGAGGCTAGTAGATTACTTCGACGTGGTAGCCGGAACTAGCACCGGTGGCCTCATGACGGCCATGTTGACTGCACCGGACGAGACTGGACGACCTCTCTTCGCGGCCAAAGACATTGTTCCGTTTTACTTTCAACACTCTCCCAAAATATTTCCACAGCCCGGGTAAGGAACATACAGTACAAACTTACAATAATTAGGACTTGATTTTTGTTTCTACTGAACAATATACAAATAAAACTCCACGTGGAATTTAAAAAGACATTCTAGTGAAAAATGCAGACGCTTCTTTGGTAAGTTACCAAGGCTTCCAAAGCTTCTGTCTGGTCCAAAATACGACGGAACATATCTACGAGGTATAATAGATATGTTTCTTGGAGAGACAAGACTTCACCAGACACTCACAAACGTTGTAATACCTACCTTCGACATCAAGAAACTCCAACCCACCATCTTCTCCTCTTACCAGGTCATTTCCTCTCCTTCTCTCTTCTTAACATAACAATTAACACTTAGACTAAAATCCAAAAGTTTCCTGTTTCATGTTGATCAATGTAACAGTCAGTAATAGTGAACTTTTGTTTGTAACGTGTTGTTGAAGGCGTTGGTTGACCCTAGCTTGAACGTCAATATATCAGACATATGCATTGGCACATCGGCTGCTCCAACTTTCTTCCCTCCTCACTATTTTACCAATGTAGATAGCCAAGGCAAGACGACTGAGTTTCACCTCGTTGATGGTGGAGTTACTGCTAACAACCCGGTAAAAAACGCAACCCTCTTTAACATTTTCTCCACAATAGGTAACATTTAATAGCGCAAAATTATAATTGTCTTGTCTGCTTTATTGTGTTTCGTGTTTCTGTATAGACTTTGGTGGCCATGACTACTGTGTCTAACCAGATTATGAAGAAGAGTTCTGATATGGGTGAGCTCACGCCGTTAGGTTACAACCGGTTTCTCGTTATATCGGTAGGAACAGGGACTGCAAATAAGGAGGAGAAGTATAACGCTAAAAAGGCTGCGAAATGGGGAATCATATCTTGGTTATACGACGATGGATCTACTCCTTTATTAGAAATCATCAACGAATCAAGCCGCGACTTAGTTCATTTCCACAGCTCTGTTGTGTTCTCAGCCCTAAAATCCGAGGACAAGTATCTCAGAATCGACGTACGTAAGAGCGATACATGAACTGATGAACATAACCTAAAAAATTGTGATTGATCGTTTGATTTTATGTGTGTGAAACTGATTGCAGGATGATACATTGGACAAAGATGAAAGCTATATGGATCTAGCGACAGAGACTAATTTAGAGAATCTTGTGAGAATCGGAGAGAAGATGCTGAAAAATAGAGTCGCACATATGAACATCGACACTGGCGATTATGAACCTGTTCCTGACAATGTCACCAATGGTCAAGAACTCAAGAAGTGAGAATTAAGATTTTTTCAAATTCTGTTAGTCGGTTTCTTGGATCATAAGCAATCGCATTGTTTGATAACTGGTTAATGCAGGTTTGCGAAAATTCTCTCTGATGAAAGGAAACTAAGGATAATGAAAAGCGACGCAATGAATAAAGATTCATCAAAGTGATGAGAAGAGATAAAAAAACAAAGAGTTCTACAGCTCGGTGATTGCTCGTGCTTTTGTGTTTACTTATATGAAATAATTTACTGTGCAAATAAAAGCAATAAGAATGATTTACTGTGAAAGTCGATTGTACTTAAGTTTAAGATGATGATCCTGTGTGTGTTTTCTTTTTCGATAATGAAGTTACATTCCTTTCATATTAATATATCACTATTTTCAATCGGTAAAATGAAGCATCAAATTAAGTGGACAATCTCTATGACTTTTTGCCATTAAACAAATGAAACTTTCTTAAGAGGATATTCAACAAGCACTTGACCTAGTCAAGGACAAGACCCGTGAATAAAAAATAAACGTTTCACAAGAAAACTCATATCAATGTTTGTCACACGCCAAAAAGTATTACACAAATATTTTCATAGATGATTAGGTAACGAATTACAAAATAGCAAAAGGTCAAGCAAACGAAACAAGATACGTGAAGAACTAGCATAAGAGGCTGTGACGGGGTATAAGATAATATTGAATGATTAAATTTGTTTATTTTTCTAATCAACACGACAAACATTTGATGACCGGATATTGTAATCTCGAAAACGTGTTCCATGGATACATTTTGTACTACTTGTCACGGCATGGACTCGAACTTAAAAACTAAATTTATTTCCTATATCTAAAAGTTGGTTGAAATTTAACATTAGCAAGAAAATTACACTTTCAGGTATATATAAAACATCTATTTATACTTGAGCACTAAGGAATAAAAAAATTGACACAAAGATGAAAATGTTCAAAAGTAGCTGGTATTATCTTCTACCATTTATTTATTTTGATATAAAGATTTGAAATATATATGTCCAGGTGACTTTTGCTCCTAATTTGTGTGCATGTATGTCAATTACTTGTTTTTTTGGGAAAAAACAGCTGTCATGTAGACTTTTTTCAATATAGAAGTATGTGTGTAACATGACATGCTACAAAGTAACCATAAGTTCACTTATGGGGGTGAGAGTGATGGACACGACATCCAAATCAAGAAACTTCCCATTAGATTCTTGAAAAATGTAATCCAACAGTAAGTGATGTATGTGTTTGTGTACATAAACTAGCTTATCCACATATACATATTTTCTATATATATGGGGGTGTCAGGTGTGTTTACAAGTACAACAAGTAACGGTAGTTGTAAGGGTTTCATCACATTTATCACCATCTCTGTTTTCAAAAGGCACGAGAAAATAACCACTAACCAAAAGACATAATAAGCTTTAATTTGTTTGAGATTAATAGTAGGAGAACTTTTTTAAAGGTATATGGATTCGAAGGGAAGATCAAGAAACTCATCAGAGACATGCGTAAATGATCATGATCTGCAAGAGAGAAGAGTCGGTTGTCTTCCTCCTTCGTACGGACAACTTGTCACGATCCTTAGCATCGACGGTGGTGGGATCCGTGGGATCATTCCCGGTACAATCTTGGCCTACCTCGAATCACAACTCCAGGTATATATATTTATTATATTACCCGAATCATAATAAGAATTGTTAGTTAGGTCGTTTTTTCACCTTTGATGTTGAATTCCTAACAGAATCAAGGTTATATTATGTCACAATGTCGTTTAAAAAAAAAACTGAATATTTTGGTCATGAAATAAATAAATAAAATCGGTCTGGTTGTTTATTTTGAAAATGTATAGGAATTTGATGGTGAAGAGGCAAGGCTTGTGGACTATTTCGATGTCATCTCAGGGACGAGCACCGGAGGTTTAATAGCGGCGATGTTAACCGCGCAAGGCAAAAAGGATGGAGACGGTGGCCACAGCCTCAGCCGCCACCATCCTTTGTTTGAGGCCAAAGATATCGTCCCTTTTTACCTCAAACATTCTCCTAAAATCTTCCCACAATCTCGGTATGCAGTGTTTGTATTTATTCTGAATTCAGATATTTAAAATGCCAGTTTTCAGAGACACTTTTAAATATGCAGAGGGATGTTTGCTTGGGTTAAAACCATGGTGACACTTGTAAGAGGACCAAAGTACAACGGGAAATACCTTCAAAACCTAATTGAAGGTTTCTTGGGTGACACGAAACTGACCCAATCTTTGACAAACGTTGTCATACCTTGCTTCGACATCAAGAAACTCCAACCAGTCATCTTCTCTTCTTACCAGGTAATTAAACACCAAGACTAATCTGTTTCAACTGCATCGTGTTGTGTACTGATTCAACGTCACAAATATAGGCGGTGAATCATCGAGTTATCGACGCAAAACTATCGGACATATGCATAAGCACATCAGCCGCACCAACTTATTTCCCTGCTCATCGATTCACCAACGAAGACAACCAAGGAAATAAACACGAATTCAACCTTATTGATGGTGGTATCGCTGCCAATAACCCGGTAAATTCCAAACCCTAGATGTTGTAAAACCTAATCTATATCATCATTGGTCCGTCATGTGATATTTTTTTCTCTATTTTTGCAGACTTTATGTGCGATTGCAGAAGTGACAAAGCAAATAATGAATAAGAACCCATCAATGGGAGACATAAGCCCATTGGACTATACAAGGTTTATCGTGATATCGCTTGGGACAGGTTCGATAAGGAATCAAGAGAAATATGATGCGAAAATGGCATCCAAATGGGGATTACTAGGTTGGATCTTTGAAAACGGCTCGACTCCGATTCTTGATTGTTACAGTGAAGGCATTCACGACATGGTTGATTACCAAAGCTCTGTTGTCTTTCAAGCTCTCCGTTCCGAGAAGAATTATTTACGTATCGAAGTGAGTTTCTTCTTCATTAGTTAGGCTTAGTTTCATTTATTCTTCTAACGAAACAATTACTAATTAAAAAAGATTACCCAGTGAAGGGTCAATCAAATAACCTATTAATTAATTTTCTGATATTATTATTTCAGGATGATACGTTGAAGGGTGACTTAGGATCAGTGGACTTATCGACACAAGAGAACATGGAAGGTCTTGTTGAAGTTGGTGAAGCTTTATTGAAGAAAAGAGTTTCTCGTGTCAATCTTGAAACCGGCCATTACGAACCCATCTCTGATCACGTAACCAATGAATTAGCTCTCAAAAGGTAAATAATCTCTTACTAAATCTACTGTTTACTAATTATAGAAAGTGGCTTTTATTTTCATCTATAAAACACTGATTTAACCAATTACAGGTTTGCAAAGGCTCTTTCAGACGAAAGGAAACTCAGAGAATCAAGATCTCCTAAACCCAAGATTTGATTTTTGCTTTGTAAAATCTGTAAAAGCTCAATTGTTTGTATATATATGTGTGAGTGTGACTAAAGATTTTAACTTTACTTTGTGACCTGTGAACAAAAGAATATTTGTATATAAATATGATTCTTACATTATGGATTTGGGTCTCATTCCAATAAGATCAAATAATTTAGACAAATTTGGGAACCATTTTTTAACAGTCGGTTAGGATCTCAGCTCCATCTTTGGTTATAAGAATGGTATGCTCGAATTGTGCAGAGAGGCTTGCATCTTCCGTTACCACAGTCCAATTATCATCCCACATTATAGGGTTTCTGCTTCCTATCGTAAGCATCGGTTCTACGGTGAAGGTTTGATTCAACACCATATGTCCAGCTTCATTGTTCCCTGTGATGAAAAAGAAGTTCAGAAACTAAGCTTAATGGCGGTGACAAAGCAAATTCGAGAAAACAAAACTTACTGAAGTGTAGAACAACTGGATCGGCGTGGAAGACACGTCCAACACCATGGCCTACAAACTGTCTAACAACTCCATATTTATGTTTATCTGCATGATCACTTCACAGACGATATGATCTTTTCAACTTTTCTGGATGAGAAGAAAAGCCAATGAAATTAAAAAGATTACGTTCTTGGTTTCTTTGGTCTCTTACTGAATGATTTTGCCGATCTTCTTGTATTCAACACCAGGTCCACATATTGATATGGCTTTCTCTAAAGACTCTTTCGTCACCTTAACCACATTCAAAGTATAAAAAGCTCATCAAAACTAAAGACAGAGACATGACTTTTCTTCATAGAACTGGTTTAGGCGGTAAAGTTATGTACCTGGACTAGCTTTTTAGCTTTCTCGTCGACATCTCCACAGAAGAAAGTTGCTGAAGTATCACCGTGATAACCCTGCAAATCTGACATAAGCATTCTAAGAGAACAGAGCAAACCCAATTTTACTTGACTAGAGAAGAGAAGCTTACGTTTAAATAAACTGTGACATCAATATTGATTATATCTCCATCCTTCAAAAGAAGAGACATCATATATATACATTTAGGATTTGAGACGAGTAAAGACACAAAAAGAAGTGTTTTTTTTTTTACGTTTTAGCCTCATAAAAACACACCTCAAGTGGTCGTGAATCTGGGATTCCATGGCAGATGCATTCATTAACAGAAGTGCAAACACTTTTAGGGAAACCTCCATAGCCAAGAGGAGAAGGATAAGCTCCATTCTCTATAATCATGTTGTGGACTGCTTCATCGATTTCATCTGTGGTTATCCCTCGCTGCCAAATAAGAAGGAAACAAAACAAAAACATGACGATGATTCATTGATAAGAAGAGAGAGTATTACAAAACTTTTCTTTGCGGCTACCTTAACCAAAGTCCCAGCGTATTCTCGAACTCTAGCTGCAAGTCTCCCAGAAGCTCTCATGCTCTCTATACCTTTCTTGTCATGGATTTCAAGTCCACTTGAGATTCCGGGAGCTTTAAACGAATCCACATACGGAGGTTTCGTTATATGAGCAGGGACAGGACGACGAGGAGATAGTTTTCCAGGTTTCAAACGTTTTCTCTTGCCATCAACAACATCTTCATCTACATTCCTTTATAACCAGCAACAAAAAAAAGTGAAAGAGTTAAAATTTAATAGAGTGCTAAACATAGACTGTGTCCTTTCTATCCAAACTCTCAGTGGCTAGATTTTAAGAAACTACCAAATGTTCATAATACCTTCTATTGAAGAGGAGATTGGTTAATCCCGAAAAGGTTCTTGATAATTGCATCGAAACATGTCTTCTTCCTGTTACAAAGATAGCCCCAATTGAGAAAAACAGAGCACTGATGGAAGCATCATTTCGTTTCAATTAAACACTCATTGAGGAATCAAACTAGCAATCTAGGCACTCGAAAGTGTTAATCTTTTTTTGCTTGCTCGAGTAAAAGTATTTCATAAAAAAAAAACAAGTAGTAGAAGGAGGAAGAAGAAGAGTAGACGAACCGAAATCGAAACGAAAGAGATGGAGAAGAGGCTGCGTTGATCGAATAGAGTTGTCGCCGAGAAAGGAAGAGATGATTCTAGGTTGCAGACATTTCGCCGTCGCCATTTTCTTTTGATTCTCGGCGAGCTTTGCTTATCCGTCCACCGTCGCTTTCACGCTCTACTATTGAATTTTGATTACCACAAGCTCTTCGTTATCGTTCGTGGGCTTTTAATGGGCCTGAAAACCTGCTTAAATGTACAATTTGGTAATGCTTATTGTAGCAAATGATACAAAGCCATAAACATAAAGTATTGGAGGGTCTGAATCTGAGCTATTAATTAATCAATCAGTCGCATCATATACAAAAAAAAAAAGTCGAAAATAAAACCGAAACTTGATCAGTCTAAAGCCTAATAACAATGGTGGAAGAGTAAAAGCTAGAGCACGATACGGAAGGATCGTTCTTGACTTCTTGTTTCTAGAAGGTGTTGCAAAAGTGAATGTGTTCGTTTGCACTTTACAGACAGGGTTTATACTCAAGACAAACGTTCTATCGCCAGTTTTAGACGGTGGGATGCGAAGCATTACAACATAACTACAAAACAAAATCCACAGAAAAACAGAGCAAAGGAATGTGGATGTAGTATACTATAGGGATATGTCGTTTTAGTTAGTCAAACAAAGCTGAAAAGTTCATAGACAAAGTTTTAAAGCCATTACAAGCGGAAGATAAAGTGGGAACATAATACAAGAATAAGGCAAAGCAAGAGACGAAAGAGAGTGTTGATATCAGAGATGGAGGGATAGAGAATGCAGGATTTTACAGTGTTGCAGATGATGCTTGGGATGGAGCGTCATGACAGCGTCGGACCACAAAACGCTGCCCGAAATCTGGCCTGTGTCCTTGCACCTGCGTAGAGAGATCTCGGCGCAGAAAATCTCCAATTTCTGAGGACCAAGCACGTCCCAGAAGAGTAACAGGTTGGGGCCAAGGTTGCTCAGTTTGTGGCCTGGATATGCATCGTCGATGTGTGTTGTGAGAAATATCTGACCTTCCCTATGCATATCCCTTTTGTAAGACTCCCACTGATCCAACATTCCACAACCATAGTTGACCAGTTTGGAGGCACGGAGGGAGTCCCTAAGATGCTCCAAGCCCATCACCTCTCTCCACTCCATCCCCTCCGGTCGGCGCCGCTCCAGTTCACTCGCCTCACACCACATTATTCTCCCACGCGTTACACTAGAGTAGATTACATTCCCTATCACATGCCAACCCCTTTTAGCTCCACTCTTTTCCCGATTCCCTATTTCCCATTTGCCTTGACTCGGAACGTAGAACAAACCTTTCCCTATCCCATTCAAACCGAAAACCTTCTTCTCCTCCTCCTCCTCCTTCATCACCACCACCGCGCTTTCGCACATGAAGTGATGTCGTACACGATCCTCATACGGCGGCACTGGCAGGACGTCCCAAGTCTGCGTCTTCGGATCGAAAACCTCACCGTATTCACGGGAATTCTCATCCTCGCACCCGCCCAACACGTATATCTTCCCGTCCACCTCGGCCGCCGACGCATCAGCTCGAGCTTGCCTCATGGAAGGGAGATTGGTCCACGTGTGAGTTCGACCATCCAGGAAAAAGACCTTGGACGATCTCCTCCCGCCAATCATCCCACCGATGATGTAGATCCCGCAACCATGTGCCACCACGGCGGCGGATTCTTCCCGACGCTGACTCAAGTGTGGCCGGATTGGGACCAGCCTACCCGGATGATTTAGGGCTTTCGGGGTGAAGACGAACCACCTCACAAGCGGATCTGAAGGGATGCTTAGACAGAGAAAGATGAACTTTTCGGTGAGACCCATTCGGGATCGGACGTCGTAGAGCTCAGGGGAACGCAGCAGAGAGCGGTGCGACTTGGAGACGAGAGATAACGAAGCGTGGTCCGATCTCGATACGCGTGCCAAGCAATTCAGAACAACATCATCTGGCAGCGAAGTCATCAACCCAGAAGAAGACGGCTCCGACATCGTGTTTTCTTCTGTTTTGTCTAGTCTGTGTCTTTTATGTGGTAGCTCTTTGCCGGAATTCCACATCGTGTTTTGTCTTTTTCGTTTTGTTTTTGTTTAAGAGATAAATAGGAATGAAGGAGGACTTGCACTTCCACCACCTCTTTATATATAAAAGGGATTTAACAAGTCGGTTTTGTTTATGCTAATTCGATCTGAAGAAGGATATTTGCTCGTTTTACTTCTTCGATCCGAATAAGGAACTGTAGTTTCCTTTTTGTTTTTTTCTTTTGTTCTGAGAAATCATATTTCTAATGCGTATCTGACGGGTGAGATTGCAGACACCAAATCCTACGGCTGTTCCCTGCGGTTGGTTAAAAATTTATCAAACAATGACATTTCCTGTGAACCAAGAAACCAAAACTATGAGTTAATCTTAATAAAGAGCTCACATAAAATTAAAAAAAAAAAATTATTCTATCATATATAAAGAGAGAATCATAGAGGTACTGACCATTTCGTTCACTACGTTAGTAGAGCCTTAACCACATACCCAATTATTCTCTCTCATGCAAACTCCAATACAAGCTAGCTTGATTTGTCTGTTGAGACCATTCACCATTATCAGAGAGAGGGAGAGAGAGACGAGATCAAAGTTAAATATACTTTTGAAATCAGAGATCAAGTGATAGAGAATACAGAAGTTTACAGTGTTGCTGATGCTGATGATGAGGAGGATCGAGCGTCATGACAACCTCTGACCACTCAACGTTGCCCCCGATCTGGCCTGTGTCCTTGCGCCTCTGTAAAGAGATCTCGGCACAGAAAATCTCCAGTTTATGAGGACCAAGCACGTCCCAGAAGAGTAACAAGTTGGGACCAGAGCTGCTCAGTTTGTGGCCTGGATACACATCGTCGACGTGTGCTTTGAGCAGCCCTTGGCTGGCCCTTTCCCTTTTGAAATACTCCCAATGATCCGACAGTCCCCAACCATAGCTGACCAGTTTGGAGGCACAGAGTGTCTTCCTTAGATCCTCCAAGCCCATCACCTCTCCCCACTCCATCCCCTTGTGTGTGAGCCGCTCCATTTCAGTTGCCTCACACCACAGAATCCTCCCACCCGTTTCACAAGAGTATATCACATTCTCTATCACTTGCCAACCCCTTCTCTTTCCGCATAAGTCCCAGTTCCCTCTTTTCAATGTCCCTTCACTCGGATTGTACAGCAACCCTTCCGCCGCCCCACTCAAAGCCAAAACCTTCTTGTTCTCCTCCATCGTCATCACCACCGCGCTTTCGTACACCATGGGAAAGCGCAGACATTTCTCATCCAGCCCAGGCATTGGCAGGACGTCCCAAGTCTGCGTCTCCCGATCGAAAACCTCACCATATATGCGGGCTTTCCCTTCCTCGCACCCTCCCAACACGTATATTTTCCCGTCCACCACGCCCGCCGCCGCAGAAGCTCTAGCTTCCAACATGGAAGGGAGATTGGTCCACGTGTGAGTTCGTCCATCCAGGAAAAAGACCTTGGACGATCTCCTCCCGCCAATCACCCCTCCGATGATGTAGATCCCGCAACCATGTGCCACCACCGCGGATACTTCCGAAGGCTGATACAAGTGTGGCCGGATTGGGACCAGCCTACCGGGATGGTTTAGGGCTTTCGGGGTGAAGGCGAACCACCTCACAAATGGATCTGAAGGGATGCTTAGACATAGAAAGATGCACTTTTCGGTGCGACCCGTTCGGGACCGGACGCCGTAGAGCTCAAGGGAACGCAGTAGAGAGCGGTGCGACTTGGAGACGAGAGATAACGAAGTGTGGTCCGATATTGATACGCGGGCCAAGCATTCCAGAACCATATCATATGGCAACGAAGTCAACGCAGAAGAAGACGGCTCCGACATCGTGTTTTCTTCTGTTTTGTCTAGTCTCTGTCTTTTTTGCGGTCGCTCTTTGCCGGAATCCCACATCGTGTTTTTTTGTGCGTGTTTCTTTTTGAGAGAGAAACAGGAAGGTCTGACTTCTACTACACGTCTTTATAAGGGATTTTATTTATGCTCTCATTCTACTAGTTTGATCCGAATAAGGAAAGTTCATATCTCGTTTTTCCTTTTCCTAAATTTTTCCTTTTTACAGTACTGAATCGAAATTGCTAACTAACTTCAATACAACAACAACAACAACATTACAACAACAAAGACTCTAAAAATATATACAACAAAAAATAAAGCAAACAACTCTGGCTCCACAGGTTAGACGTCTTCAATGAAATCTCCGAAACTCATGGAACCGGTTCGATTCAAGCCTTGTTTCTCTAACCAATACGTTATTAGAGCCTTAACCACTTTCCTGAACCTTCTCCTATACGTCGGAAGCTTAGATACGCTCCTTACCATTCCCATCATTCTGCAACACCCAAGATCAAAATCCATACTGAGATTAATTACTATCAACACACACAGCTCTTTGCCTTGCATCTCAAACCACCCCATCATATGCTCCCAAATTTGTTAATAAAGTATTTCAAATGATGAATGTAAAAAAAAAAAACGTAACTTGTGAGATACGGAACTAGGATTGCAGCTTTTGACATATACCTGAACCATTCTCACTTCTTTTATCGCCTCTCTAACCGATACAGAGTGAACTAGGCTCGGTACTAGCATCGCTGGAGCTTCTACAGAACCGGAACTGTTGTCTCTGCTCATATCTGAAGGATGAAATGTTGAAAAAGAGACATACTTTGGGAAGATAGTTCCTTCTCTAAGGTAAAGCCAATCATTTGTGTACTCATCAAATTCCCCAACTACTGCAATCACATAAGACACTCCTCTTGTAAATGACCTTTCCTGCAAAACAGAGTTTTCCAAAATTGTAAAAACAAGCCCGAAAAACTTGTCTCAGACCATTTGGTTTCATATTATGTACCTGAAATACAGCAACTGCTCCATACAACCCGATGAAGATGCTGGAGAAGATGGTCATCAGAACAAATCCAATGACGATAATAGGCCAAAACAGTATTGTCAAACCAGTAACTGGGATGCAAGCTATTTCAAGGAATGGTCCTTCTCTGTTAATGGCGTCTTGAGCTAGACGGTACCATGCTTTGAAGAGAAGGTAAGGGCTTTTAATAACGGCAATTGCAGTGAAGAGAGGGATATCGATGAATAATCCTATAATCCCTACAATTATGCATCCAAGAACATGAATCAACCTGCAAGAAAGAGACAACACACATCAGCAAAAAACTCTACTGCAATCATTTTGGACAAAAAACGTTTTGACTTTACCTAAGAGTTTGAAGCTCATCTGAGGCCGAGGATTCACGCAACTCCTTTAAAGTAGAGAGGATATGGTAACAAAGATCTGCGAAATCTGTAACCACAGTACAACTTCCTTTGATAGTTCCCCAAGTTCCATCCTAATTAGTATAAAATAAACAGAGTCAAAGAGAGATATATGACTTCACTAAAAAATGCTTAAGAAAAAGAAGGTTATCTTAAGTACCACAAGACAGTGGAAGAACTTGTTGGATCCAGTGTCTTGTCTGAATGCTTCAAAAGCAGAGATCCAAGGAGTGAAGAATCCATAGCCAACACCAACAAGAACGCTAATTGCTATACTCAGACCTAACCATATCCCAAACAATGCAGGAAGAGCCACTGAGATTGCTAGTTTCAGAGGAATGTCAAATCTATTTGTCCTGCAGTTTATAGAGAAACACAAGAAGAATGATTCTCTTTAGAGAAAGAAATTACAGAGGAAAATGTTGAGAAACAGAGTTGATTTTTGGTTATCATAGACAAAGTTTTAAGCCATTACAAACGGAAGATAAACTGGCAACATAATACAAGAATAAGGCAAAGCAAGAGACGAAAGAGAGTTTTGATATCAGAGATGGAGGGATAGAGAATGCACAATTTTACAGTGTTGCAGATACTTGCGATGGACCGTCATGACAGCGTCGTACCACAAAACGCTGCCCCAAATCTGGCCTGTGTCCTTGCGCCTGTGTAGAGAGATCTCGGCACAGAAAATCTCCAATTTCCGAGGACCAAGCACGTCCCAGTAGAGTAACAGGTTGGGACCAAGGTTGCTCAGTTTGTGGCCTGGATATACATAGTCGATCTCTGATGTGAGACATGTCGGACCTTTACAAAACATATCACTTAGGTAATACTCCCACTTATCCAACATTCCACAACCAAAGCTGACCAGTTTGGAGCCATGGAGGGTGCGCCTTAGATGCTCCAAGCCCATCACCTCTCTCCACTCCATCCCCCCCGGTTGGCGCCGCTCCAGTTCACTTGCCTCACACCACATTATTCTCCCACGCGTTGCACTAGTGTAGATTACATTCCCTATCACATGCCAACCCCTTTTAGCTCCACTCTTTGCCCGATTCCCTATTTCCCATTTGCCTTGACTCGGAATGTAGAACAAACCTTTCCCTATCCCATTCAAACCAAAAACCTTCTTCTCCTCCTCCTTGATCACCACCGCGCTTTCGCACATAAAGGTATGTCGTACACAATCCTCATACGGCGGCACTGGCAGGACGTCCCAAGTCTGCGTCTTCGGATCGAAAACCTCACCGTATTCACGGGAATTCTCATCCTCGCACCCGCCCAACACGTATATCTTCCCGTCCACCTCGGCCGCCGACGCATCAGCTCGAGCTTGCCTCATGGAAGGGAGATTGGTCCACGTGTGAGTTCGACCATCCAGGAAAAAGACCTTGGACGATCTCCTCCCGCCAATCATCCCACCGATGATGTAGATCCCGCAACCATGGGCCACCACGGCGGCGGATACTTCCCGCCGCTGACTCAAGTGTGGCCGGATTGGGACCAGCCTACCCGGATTATTTACGGCTTTCGGGTTGAAGACGAACCACCTCGCAAACGGATCTGAAGGGATGCTTAGACACAGAAAGATGCACTTTTCGGTGAGACCCATTCGGGATCGGACGCCGTAGAGCTCAGGGGAACGCAGCAGAGAGCGGTGCGACTTGGAGACGAGAGATAACGAAGCGTGGTCCGATCTCGATACGCGTGCCAAGCAATTCAGAACAACATCATCTGGCAACGAAGTAAACGCAGAAGAAGACGGCTCCGACATCGTGTTTTCTTCTGTTTTGTCTAGTCTCTTTCTTTTTTGCGGTCGCTCTTTGCCGGAATTCCACATCGTGTTTTGTTTTTTCGTGACTTCTACTACACGTCTGCTCTCTCTATATATAAGCGATTTAACAACTCTGTTTTGTTTATGCTCTCATTCTACTAATTTGATCCGAATAAGGAAAGTGTATATGTCCTTTTTCCTTTTTTCCTTTTCCTTTCCTTAATCAATTTCAATACAACAACAACAACAACAACAAAGACTCTAAAAATATATACAACAAAAAAAAAAAGGCAAATAATTCTGGCTCCATAGGTTAGACCTCTTCAATGAAATCGAAACGAAAGAGATGGAGAAGAGGCTGCGTTGATCGGATAGAGTTGTCGCCGAGAAAGGAAGAGATGATTCTAGGTTGCAGATATTTCGCCGTCGCCATTTTTTTGGTTTTTGGCTGCTCGGCGAGCTTTGATTATCCGTTCACCTTCGCTTTCACGCTCTACTGATTACCACAAACTCTTAGTTATCGTTGTGGGCTTTTAATGGGCCTGAAAACCTGCTAAAATATACGAAATGGACAATATGGTAATGCTTATTGTAACGGAGTATTTTTGACATAGTATTGGTCTTTACACATGTACGAGCTAAACTATACATTGCATCAGTTATGTTGGAAGTGTGTATAAATATAGTTAATCATCATTATACTATCTTGAAGAATTATTTATTAAATAACATATTTTCAAAACGTTAACTCCATATAACTCGACCAAAAATAATTTTAACAACTGATTCGAAAACATATACTAAATATATTTCTTAATTTATATTTTTTAACTCTAATGAAACCACCTAAAACTCTAATGTCATTAAAATAAATATCACTAAGCTAGATAATCTCATATATATGCAAATGTTGTACAATATTGGTTTTTGTTATGTTTAATTTATAAAATCATAAACATATTAAATTGATTACACATTAATAATGACCTTTTTACTTTTAGGGTTGTTCGTGGAGAAACTTCATCCGTTAGCAACCTGACAGGTTGAAGGCTTACATTGAAGGCTTACATTGTTTACTGTGAGTCGCTTGTAAACGCATGTAGAAAAAAAGTGAGATGTTGGAGAAAATGTGCATTAATTCCTATTAGTCCATAGTTGGTTTTTAGTTCATAACTAAATCTATTATTATCGTTGGTTTGTATTTGACTGTTTTACACCTTGTTGATTTTTTTTTCTGTAATTCTTTCCGAAAACGCAAAAAAAAATTCAAAAAGACTAATTAGGCAATTTCAGTAAAACACACAAAAGATTACACTTACTGTAAAAAGATGACAATGGCTCTTTGATCATTGTTTCGCTTCTCATTCTCCTTAATTTTTAGCAAACCTGCGGTTGGTTGGCTAAAAACTTATCAAACAATGAAATTTCTTGTGATCCAAGAAACCAAAACTATGAGATTGCTATCGATCTAATTAAGAAACTATAAAGATTAAGAACCTATAATCACCTCTTGAGTTCTTGATCATTGGTGACAGTTTCAAGAACCGGCTCATATAAACCTGTGTTGATGTTCATTTGCACGACTCTGTTTTTCAGCATCTTGTCTCCAATCTTACAAGATTCTTTAAGGTTATCTTATTAAAAAGCTCACATAGAATTAAAAAAAATGTTATTCTATCATATATAAAGAGAGAATCATAGAGGTATTGACCATTTCATTCACTACGTTAACCACATACCCAATTATTCTCTCTTATGCAAACTCCAATGCAAGCTAGCTTGGTTTCTCTGTTGACACCATTCACCAATATCAGAGAGAGGGAGAGACGAGATCAAAGTTAAATAGACTTTTGAAATCAGAGATCGAGTGATAGAGAATACAGAATTTTACAGTGTTGCTGATGCTGAGTATGAGGAGGATCGAGCGTCATGACAACCTCGGACCACTCAACGTTGCCCAAGATCTGGCCTGTCTCCTTGCGCCTCTGTAAAGAGATCTCGGCACAGAAAATCTCCAGTTTATGAGGACCAAGCACGTCCCAGAAGAGTAACATGTTGGGACCAGAGCTGCTAAGTTTGTGGCCAACATATAAATCGTCGAGGGGTGTTGTGGTCAGCCCTTCCATGGTCCTTTCCCTTTTGAAAGACTCATAATGCTCCAACACTCCCCAACCATAGCTAACCACTTTGGAGGCACAGAGAGTGTCCCTAAGATCCTCCAAGCCCATCACCTCTCTCCACTCCATCACCTCCGGTTGTTGTCGCCACTCCAATTCACTTGCCTCACACCACATTATCCTCCCACCCGTTTCACAAGAGTAGATAACATTCCCTATCACATGCCAACCCCATCTTTTGTTGCAGACTTCCGAATGTCCTTTCTTCAATATGCCTTCACTCGGAATGTAGAGCAAACCATCCCCCGACCCGTTCATAGCCAAAACCTTCTTCCCCTCCATCATCACCAACGCGCTTTCGTACACCGTGGAAAAGCGTTTAAGATTCCAATCCGGCGGCGGCATTGGCAGGGCGTCCCAAGTCTGCGTCCGGATCGAAAACCTCACCATATATACGGGCTTTCCCTTTCTCGCACCCTCCCAAGACGTATATTTTCCCGTCCACCACGCCCGCCGCCGCAGAAGCTCTAGCTTCCAACATGGAAGGGAGATTGGTCCACGTGTGAGTTCGTCCATCCAGGAAAAATACCCTCGACGATCTCCTCCCGCCAAACACCCCACCGATGATATAGATCCCGCAGCCATGTGCCACCACGGCGGATACTTCCGAAGGCTGATACAAGTGCGGCCGGATTGGGACCAGCCTGTTTAGGGCTTTTGGGGTGAAGGCGAACCACCGTACAAACGGGTCTGAAGGGATGCTTAGACATAGAAAGATGCACTTTTCGGTGAGACCCATTCGGGATCGGACGCCGTAGAGCTCAGGGGAACGCAGTAGAGAGCGGTGCGACTTGGAGACGAGAGATAACGAAGCGTGGTCCGATCTCGATACGCGTGCCAAGCAATTCAGAACAACATCATCTGGCAACGAAGTGAACGCAGAAGAAGACGGCTTCGACATCGTCTTTTCTTCTGTTTTGTCTAGTCTCTGTCTTCTTTGCGGTCGCTCTTTGCCGGAATCCCACATCGTGTTTTGTTTTTCTGTGACTTCTACTACACGTCTGCTCTCTCTATATATAAGCGATTTAACAACTCTGTTTTTTATGCTCCATTCTACTAATTTGATCCGAATAAGGAAAGTGTATATGTCCTTTTTCCTTTTCCTTTTTTTTTTTGCTTTTTACAGAACTGAATCGAAATTTTTAAAATGCTAAAGCAACTTCAATACAACAACAACAAAACTCTAAAATATATACAAAAAGGGTAAACAATTCTGGCTCCATAGTTATACGTCTTCAATGAAATCTCCGGAACTCATGGAACCGGTTCGATTCAAGCCTTGCTTCTCTAACCAGTACGTTATTAGAGCCTTGACCACTTTCCTGAACCTTCTCCTATACGTCGGAAGCTTAGATACGCTCCTTACCATTCCCATCATTCTGCAACACCCAAGATCAGAGAGTATTATCAAAGAGACTATGTCAATAAGTTTGAATCTTTACCTTCTGCTGATTCCTTGGATTTGAGCAGTTCGAAGGTTTTCTTGAGGCGGGGCACTGCGATTATCCCAAGCTTCAATCCTTTGTTCATGGTCTCCAAAGAGAACAGTTTTCTCCAAGTACCTAACTTCACTTTCTCCAAGTTTGATCACTTGAATCTGATCTTTCAACACCATGATTGGATTAAAGATCCAGTCCAAGAACTTGTCCTGCGGTCTATTCAAATGTGTCACTTCCGAGCCATCAAGCAAGAGCACACCATGAGCACCAGCTTTAATAGAGATTAGCAACGTCTGCAGCAAAGCGTAAGAAGGAAGCCCGACATTGATAATCGATGATTCGTTTCCGTGTCTTCCTTTTAAAGACTCATATAGATCAGCTGGTGTTATCACTCCTTTGTCTAGTAGCTCTTTGCCTTGCATCTCAAACCACCCCATCATATGCTCCCAAATCTGTTAATACAAGGAATCTCAAGTTAAAAAAACGTTACGTGTGAAATACGGAATCAAGATTGAGAGTTTTGAGATATACCTGAACCATTCTCACTTCTTGTATCGCCTCTCTAACAGATACAGAGTGAACAAGACTCGGTACTAGCATCGCTGGAGCTTCTACAGAACCGGAACTATTGTCTCTGCTAACATCCGAAGGATGAACAATCACAGATACTTCACTTGAAAATGATGCTTTTCTCATCCGATATCTTGGCCTGTGTGTAACGCAAAATTAGGAGTATTGAGGCATAAGAAAGGGAATGTAAAAGTGTTGAAAAAGAGACGTACTTTGGGAAGATAGTTCCTTCTCTAAGGTAAAGCCAATCATTTGTGTACTCATCAAATTCCCCAACTACTGCAATCACATAAGACACTCCTCTTGTAAATGACCTTTCCTGCAAAACAGAGTTTCCAACAGAGTTAAAAAGAAGCCCTAAAATGAGTCTCAGATCAGATCATTCGGTTCCATATTGTGTACCTGAAATACAACAACTGCTCCATACAACCCCACAAAGATGCTGGAGAAGATGGTCATCAGAACAAATCCAATGACAATGATAGGCCATAACAGTATTGTCAAACCAGCAACTGGGATGCAAGCTATTTCAAGAAATGGTCCTTCTCGGTTAATCGCATCTTGCGCTAGACGGTACCATCCTTTGAACAGAAGGTAAGGGCTTTTAATAACAGCAATTGCAGTGAAGAGAGGGATATCGATGACTAATCCTATAATCCCTACAATTATGCATCCAGGAACATGAATCAACCTACAAGAATAGACCACACAAGAATCAGCAAAAGCTTTTACCAAAAAAAAATAGAATCAGCAAAAGCTCGATGAAATCATTTTGGACAAATTTGTTTACTTTACCTAAGAGTTTGAAGCTCATCTGAGGCTGGGGATTCACGCAATTCCTTTAAGTAGAGAGGATAAGAATGGTAACAGAGATCTGCAAAATCTGTAACCACAGTACAACTTCCTTTGATTGTTCCCCAAGTTCCATCCTAAGTAGTACAAAATAAAAAGAGTCAAAGAGATATGACTTCACTAAAAACTGCTTAAGAAAAAGAAGGTTATCTTAAGTACCACAAGACAGTGGAAGAACTTGTTGGATCCAGTGTTTTGTCTGAATGCCTCAAAAGCAGAGATCCAAGGAGTGAAGAATCCATAGCCAACACCAACAAGAACGCTAATTGATATACTCAGACCTAACCATATCCCAAACAATGCAGGAAGAGCCACTGAGATTGCTAGTTTCAGAGGAATGTCAAATCTATTTGTCCTGCAGTTTAGAGAAACACAAAGATGAGTGATCCTCTTTCGAGAAAGAGATTACAGAGGGAAATGTTGAGAAACAGAGTTCATTCTTGTTTATTACTTTGCAACAGCGTAGATAGTCCAAGTAACATGTGCAGGGAACAAACCAAGGATCACTCCGACATTCCCTGCTATTAATGTTAAACCAGCTATTGGACCTACGATCAAACCTGCATATGAGAGAGAAAAATTCAAACTTTGAAGAACTCATCAATCATGGAAACAGAGAAAGAGAGAGAAAAGAAAAGGAGAAGAAGAAGAAGAAGAAGAAGAAGAGAAATTGAAACCTTTAAGAGCGCCGAGAAAGAAAGCAGAACAAAAGGCAAATATGACATAAGAAATCTTCAGACAGCTTCCGAGGATAGTGACGACAGCCATAGTTTTCTTGAAAGAAGGAACAAAAGCTCAGATTTTTTTGTGTGTCAATTTTTACAAATTTTATAGCTGTGGAATCAGAGAGAGAGAAAGGCGTGTTGGACAAGTCTGCGAAAGAGAGATGAAATGAGAAAAAGACAAAGGAGCGAGGTCAAGAGACGGGAAGACTCAAACCCCGAGAACAGCCATCAGAGAAATGTTCAGAGAAAGTTTAATAGTAATAATTTATTTGGATATTTACATGAATATTAAATTTGGGTGATGGTAGATATTGTTGGAGGAAAAGTGGGCATACGTGTGTAAATACGCCATTGGAGTTTTGGATTATTTGGTTGCAGGTATTTCACATGGCGTGGCAACCAAACTATTGTGATTTTGACATCCATTACGTTTTTAAAAAGAATGGTTTATTAAACATTAATACATTATGTTGATAGTAGTTTTCTGTTACTGTATATGACGAACAATAATATGAAGGCTATTGGAATATGACAAACTCATTGTCAGAGTCAAAACTAAGGAATGTTCAGGGAGCTCTTATATTACTATCGTTATATAATTATCAGCTAAAGTATATGTCAAAGGTTCTTCCTTCTGACATTCTAAAAGAAAAGTATGAAAATCGTCGCAAAATTGAAAACGATAAATCATAAAGGATTTCGAAAGACTCCAACGCCAATTACATAGAAAAATGTTGCAAAACTTGACTTTCTCTCTGTAGAATTTTTTAAAGAAACAAGTCATTTAAGACGAAAACGAAAGTTATCAGTACAATGATGATAATTCGTAGTTTTTCTTAGTCAATCTAGTATAAAACAACATTTGATTTGGTGAAATTCATATCGAAATTTCTATAACTGAATAATTCATATATAAAATGTAAAACAACTTGAAAGGCAAAAGTGCAGCAGAGACAGTTTCTCTGGCTTAACACAAACTAAGGGTACTTAACATACAATTTCAAGCTTAATAGCCATCAAACCTGCGTAGACAGTATCCACTCAGATCGTTATAAAATTTCAGAAATCTGCAAAAGGTAAAGCCCATTCGAAGCCACTATTAGTTGAAGATAAAAACAACATAAAGTTTCTTGCTTTTTTAATTGATTGATTGATTCTACAACATACATTGATTGGCATCTCTGCAATGACAACGCTGCTGCTTTCTTCAAGACTTTTGAGAGTCGTCACTTCACCTCCAACAACCATGTTTATGACAATCCCACCTTAAGACAAATTCTCAAAATGTTTTAAAAAAACCACCATTGTTGATGAACAAAAAAAGAGTTTTGTTGTGAAGAAACAAACCTGAAGCTAAGCAAGTTGTTATACGCCTTGTATACGTTTCCTGAAAAAAAACAACAAGAGAATGAATGAGAGAAGTGTATTTCAAAGTTTTGGATTTGATTAAACAAAATCTACCAACCTTCTTTGTAGGAAGCTCGTAGTTGATGAGAACTCTAGCGGAAAGACAAGACTCTCCAGATGAAAGCAGAGGAAGACAAACATCGGTTACAACTACCAAATGAGATTTCTTTTCATCTTTTCCAGTCTCACTCTCCTCCAAACCTTCTTCTACCGCAGAGTTAAGTTTCTGGTTCCAGTTGGTTGTTGCTTGCCGGAATTTCTCTAAAACCATACTTCTTTCTCTCTCTGCCACATCGCTATACTGCATACACAATACACCAAGCAAGTGAGTCAACAAGAAGGTTTCTTTTGAATCAAGAACATTAAATCTCCAAGGATACATAACTCTAAGAATCTGAAACTGATCAAACAATCGAAAAGTGTGGAAATGTGAAAGGTAAGAGATGAAGAAATACCAAAGCGGCTAAGGAAATGTAAGGAAGAGTGGATAAGGAAGAACAGACGGCGTCGAGTTCGTCGCGAGAGCTGCAACAAACTACAATCGGAAGCCATTGACGACGACCTAGAACGCCTAATAACTCCACTACAGTCTCCTGTGCCACCCAACCCCAAATTTCCAAAATTTCAATTCGGTATGTTCTTACAGTGAAATTAGAAGGGAGATTTGTGGAAATTTTCACATACCATTTTGAATTGGGGCCGATCCACGGCGAGGTAGAAATGCAGTTGTTGGCTGCGAAAGAAAACAAAAAAACTGGGTTTTGGATGGTTTTGAGAGAAGGTATGAACATAAACCTCAAATATCTGTGAAATTGAGAAGCTAAACCTGGAACGAGAGGGAGATTGAAAAGGTGGAGAAGGAGCTTCTATTGAATCCATAACCGCGCGAATAGGCCTGTTTATCAATTGAATTCAACGCTCTGAAGATAACTCGCCGGACGAACAATGATCACCGGCGAAAGTTGTTCACCTCCGAAATCAAGGTTACGGCTCAAACGGAAAATGAATAGATTGGGAAAGCACAGAACCGGCGTCGTTTTGGACTTGATTGCCTAACGGCGTCGTTTTGGTCTTTATTAAGCTTGCTTACGGCGTCGTTTTTAGTCTTTTGGAAAAAACACCAACTTGTTCAGGAAGAAAAAGGAATTTCTGATGCAAACAACTAGGTTTAATGGATTAAAAAACACCAAAAGATTCTTTGATGATTGTGTACAACACACGGGATTATAATGACATGAATCATGATGTCACATGATGCATCTAAAGAACACCGAAAGCTTCTTTGATGACGTGTAAAACACGTGACGAAACTTCTTCCCCAAACAGTATCGGAAACTGGAAATCCAAATCGTCTTCTATGTTCTTCAACCTGAAGCTTTTATCTCTTCTCTCCAACTCCATTCTCTCTTCTTCTCCCATCACTCTCTTCTCCTCATCATCTTCCCTCGCGCAACGCTCAAACCAAACCCCGAGAATCTCCTTAGCAGCTGGACCCACATGATCTCTCCATATCTCCTCCAACTGTTCCTCTTCCTCCACGTCGATCTTAAGAACCGAGGCAGCAGGAGAGACAACACAACGAACAAAGAGAGAAGGCGAAACGTAAGGTTTAACTCCAGGAAGCTTGAGTAAAGATTGACGATAAGAATCAAGATTAGTGTCTTGGTAATATTCCTTGATATAGTCAGGGTTAAGAACAAGGTCCGTGCGGTGGGGGAGGTCGAGAATGAGAATGAGTGACGTGGGACTGGTCTGTATGACTTCGAGCGTAAAGTTTGGAGCGTTCGTTGAGGATTTTAAGAAGGCAGAGACGGTTGTTATGTTGAGAGTTACACCTGTTGGGATCTTTCCGTGTACCCAACTTCCTATAAAGAAATCAATCTGAAAAAAAAAAAAAAAAAAAAAAAAAAGTGGAGCTTGTAAATAAATCATCACTAGGTTAAATTTTAAGATGAGAGAAATGAATGCGTACCGGGGAGGATTTCTCGCCGGATCTGATATATATAGATGCTTCGGCGGAACCGTTAGGGTTCTTGAAGTTTCTTACATCCGGAGGAAGACTACAAGGTAGGAGTAGCGGCTGGAAGTGATCCTCCACCGTCGAAATTATGTCAACCATGAGCTGCTTGCGCGTGGCTGTCACGTACGGGAACTCCATGAATTTCTGCCGGAGAGGATCGTCGTGAATGTGATCCTCCATTGACTGGGACTGAGCTCGAGCTATGAGATTCTTTGAGGATCGGGACGGTTTTGTTTGAGTCGAAGTTAATGGAGAGAGAAGCGGAGGAGAAGAGAAGAGAGTGTTGCAAAATATCATAGCCATCTTTTTGTGTAGCTTAGAGTAAATTTGAGCCTTCTTTTATATTACTCTTGACATTAATTTTTTTCCAATTATTGGTCCTATCAATAAGTGATGTAGAGCCTTGAATAGGACAAGGTAAGTCATGTCGAGACTGGGTGCTATGTTTGGGAGGTTGTTGAAGGGTGGTTGCAAGTTCCAAATTCTTCGTTTCAATCTTTATGATCAGCTAAACAAAATTGATGATTGCATTTACGTATTCGCAATAATACACATGGTTACACTATCACATATACAACCCTACATCTTGATGTTTGTAATTATAACCAGATGAAAGAAATAAACGTGCGTGTGGACTGTGTAGTAGTTGGGCTAGTGGCCCTCCTACAGTCTTGCTCAATAAGTGATGTCGAGCCTTGACAAGACTCAGGAGTCAAGAGCGACTTGATTGGGTATCAACAAATATAATATTCAAATGTCCTACTCAATAAGTGATGTCGAGTCTTGGCAAGACTCAAGAGCGACTAAATTGGAAATCAGCAAAAGAAAAGGGCCTCCTTTTTTGATCTTTGGTTCACTTTGTTACATATAAATATATAATGATGATTGTTACATAAACATGGCGACATGGCGTAATGGCGTAAAACAGATATGTGTATCCAAAGCCTTATGTATATATATTCATAATGGTAGATGTTTTGTAGCTACATTATTATATAGTTTTACATTACTATGCGACCAAATTACAAATTGCAACTTTTTTATTATTACAGGAATCGAAGTGATAAACTTATCTTCCATAAGGCTCAATATTTTTGTTACTTCTCGTAGGCGTAAGAAGTTCTCCTCATCATTTTCATGAACTCTTCCAGATTAACTTCTCCGTCTTCTGCGTAGGTTAAAACAAAAACAATTATTAGAACATACTGTATTCATCGGTGTTTAAAGGAAATGCATAGATAATCGCAAAACTTAAAACAGAAATGTAAACAAGTCAACAATCTTCTAGCAGTTTATTGGCATTTTATCACGAGGAAAATAGCCAATCAAGATAACTCTATCAAATCGAGGACAAAGATAACAAATATGATAATCTGTTAGCGTATAAGTTTTAGAGACGTACGAAAGAAGTATTACGTAATTGTTCTTAATCATTCGATTATAATTTCTCTTAAACAATGTAATGGTTGTATTTGTAAATTTCACTGACAATAATGTAATATCCGTTTTAATTTAATGAAATGACGTAAACAAGATGTAAATGATTACTCTTGAAACTATAGTATATATACATATGCTTTCACTTACTGTCACGATCTGCTTCTTCGATCATTTCTTCTATATCATTATCTGTGAAATTTTCTCCCAACTCCTTTGCAATTACTTTTATATCACGCTGTGAAATCTTCCCCTAAAATATTCCAAATTTTGAAAAGTCAAACACCATGGAAATACTCCAAACAAACAAATAAAAGAAATATTTTAGGTTTGGATTGAACGTTGTTGTCGTGATCAAGGATTTTAAATGCTTTAGACAATTCATCAGTAGAGTCTCTTTCTCCAAATTTAGTCGTCATCATATGCACAAATTCGTCGAAATCAATTGCTCCACTTTGGTCTTTATCTACTTCTGCCATCAATTCGTTTATTTGCTGCACCAATCACAACAAAGCATATATTGTTGTCAAACTAAAATGTTAACAAAAATATTACAAACTAAACTAACCAGGAGCATAACCAAACTAATTTGTGTTTCAGGTCGGTTCAACATCCGATAATTTTGACCAGAAACCAGTGAAAACAAAATATATGATTTTCATGAAACACAAACCTCGTTATTCATCTCAAATCCGAGAGACCTGTAATCAGATGATAATCTTTTTAGTGCTAACTAAAACTTGAAGGAAATTAACTTTTTTTTTTAAAACAAGAAATTGCCACTGACCTCATGGCAACGTTGAGCTCGCGAGCATCGATGCTACCTACATATGAAACGATGGACTAAACTATGTGATTCTGATTTAGACCGATGTAAACCGTAGACATTTGAAACCAGTTTAATAGCTACCTGAACCGTCTATGTCGAAGAGATCAAAGACTTCTCTGATCTCTCGTCTCTTCTGATTGGTCAACCCATAAGTCTTCCCTTTAGGTTTCAGACCTCTTCTCAGCTGTACTACTTCGGAAATGAAATTCGCCTACCCGAAAAACAAAAAAAAATAGAACCGATGAACAGAGTAAAGAGAGAAAGTCTTAACTATATCTGTGTTTCAAGATGAAAAACTAATTAAGAGAGATAATCGAGAGAGAAGAAAAAATACAAACCATTTCTTGTACGGGAAGAAAGGATGATCTGATGATCAGACAAATAGATGAGAAAATTAAGATGATTTTGTCGATTTGATGAGATGGAGATGACTAGATTAGTTGGCGATGATGCGTCTCTTTTTGTTTGATTATTAACTCTTTTGAAAGCGATTAGCTCTTAAGACTTTTTAGTTTTGCACGTTATTGTTCCTTCCACTATATTTGAAAATATTGGCGCTAAAATACAAACTCTTGTTTATTTTGTAAATCTCTTCGAAACAGAAACTCCAACTAATATTTGCCGGATTACATTATGCTAAAAACTTTATTAACGTTTAGTGTTAATACTTACTATCACACTAAAACACGTTAATCTCTAATGACATGATTCATCTAGAGAACACCGAAAGCTTCTTTGATGGCGTGTATGACACGGGAGGAAACTTCTTCTCCAAAGAGTCTCGGAAACTGTAAATCCAAATCTTCCTCTATGCTCTTCTTTCTGAAGCTTTTATCTCTTCTCTCCAACTCCATTCTCTCTTCTTCTCCCACCACTCTCTTCTCCTCATCATCTTCACTCGCGCAAAGCTCCAGCCAAACCTCTAATACTTCCTTAGCAGCTGGACTCACATGATCTCTCAAGATCTCCTCCAATTTTCCTTCTTCCTCCACATCGATCTTAAGCATCGAAGCAGCGGGAGAGAAAGCAGAGCGGACAAAGAGAGAAGGCGAGACATAAGGTTTGATTTCAGGAAGCTTAAGGAGAGACTGGCGATGAGAATCAAGATTAGTGTCTTGGTAGTATTCTTTGAGATAGTCCGGGTGAAGAACGACGTCTTTACGGTGTGGAATGTCGAGGATGAGAACGAGAGACGTGGCACTGCTCTGTATGAGTTCGACCACAAAGTTTGGAGCTTTCGTTGAGGAGTTTAAGAATGCAGAGATGCTTGTGATGTTGAGAGATACGCCATTTGGAATCTTGCAGTGTATCCAACTTCCTATAATAAAATCAATCTGAAAAAAAGAAAAAAAAATTGGAACTTTAAAAGATATATAATCACTGAAATCAATAAAGGATTGATTTTTAAGATTCTGTTTCAGCTTAAAAGCTACATTCAATCTCAATTACTCCAATTCTCCCAAATTGAAGTCTGATTCTACTTAAATTCACGCAATTGAGCTCTAAATTCAACATGCAGAACAGCAAAATTTCGAATTTGCGTAATTCAAAAACAGAGCAATCGTCGCAAATTCACGGCCAAGAGAATTGCGTACCGGAGATGATTTATCGCCGGATCTGATATGAATAGATGCTTCGGCGGAACCGTTTGGGTTCTTGAAGTTCCGTGCTTCCGGCGGGAGGCTACAGGGGAGGAGTTGTGGCTGGAGGCGATGCTCTAACGTCGACATGAGATCAACCATGAGCTGCTTGCGCGTGGCCGAAACGTACGGGAACTCCATGAATTTCCGCCGGAAATGGTCGTCGTGATCCTCCATTGAGCGGAATTGAGCTCGAGCTCTGAGTTTCGTTGAGAATCGCGTCGGTTTCGTTCGAAACGAGGTTAACGGCGAGAGGGACGGAGAAGTAGCGTAGAGAGTGTTGCAAAGTATCATATCCATCGTATATTAATATATTATGTGTGGCTATAAATACTGTATCAGCCTTCTTTATATATTACCGTACAAATTATTTTCACCTTTTAAAAAAATATTTACATCATAAAAGTGAGGAAAGCAAGTTTTGTTCCTTCTTCCTCCTTCAAGTTTCAACTTAAGTACATGAAATTGGACCAATTCTAATCCCAATGCTTTTTACATTAGGAATCTTAAAAAATACAATAAGTAAAAAGTAAAAACACACATCACTAAAAATCTGAAATTCCAACGCCTGTCTTATTATTTTTTTCCATAAACTAATTAATTATAATACATTGAAAATTCTTATGACTCTTTTGACATAAAAATATTTGTTCCTTACGGAAATTTTTAAATTATAAAGGTCCAGGTTTCATTTTCTTTGTCGATGACGTGTCACAACACGCTAGTTTTGAACAGTCTCTAGAAGTAGAAGTCTTGGTTCAGTTGCAGACTTTGCTGCTCTTCCACAACGGCGCGTGAAAGTCCACGTTCTTTATTTCCGTCATATGGGACCCACCCACCACGAAATTCTTCTCATCCCGGCCCCTCTTCTTTCTCTCTCCTTTCAACCACACCCCAAACAATTTCAATCCTTCACCTACCCCCTCCTCCTCCTCTCCGGCGCCGCAGCCTTCACAGTCACTCTCTTCCTCCGTCGAGGAATCTCTGGAAGCAATCGGTTTGATCTTGAATTTCCCTCCTTTGATCATTTGATCGATTTGATCCGGTTCGACTTTCAATTGCTCCGTCAAGAAAGCCACCAGCTCATCGCGCTGCTTCTTCGCCGCCGCCAGCTCCGAGCTCAGACTGCTGTTCTCTCGTTTCAGCTTCTCGTTCTCTCCTGACAAATCGGCGACCATATTTTCCACTGATCCCGGGTTCTTTGAACCGGGTGATGACGTGGAGCTCGAACCGTGATCGTCACCCGCCGAATTGTTCGACTCGGACGGCGAACCAGCAACAACGCATTTCCCCGCCGCCGCGATCACCGATTTACGCCGTCGTATCTCCGACAGCAGATCCTCTTGTCCTCTCCGGAAATTGTCGTTTGCGAATTCCCATTTGTCCGGTACGGTTTTCCGAAATCCCTACAGTGTCCAAACCAAACCAAACCAAACCAATTATTTCCTCTGCTTCTAGAAGCTTTTCACCAACTCCCAAATTTTTTTCAAAAAAAAATTGTTCCAACTACCGAAGAATGGTTCAATTCACCAAACGATTTAATGGAAGCAATAAATGAGAGAAAATGTTTTCATGAAAATGACAAATTTGTTGTGAAACTCACGTAAGTGTTGAGCTGACGAATGAAGCTTGAGAAGTTGTTATGCTTGAAGTATTGAGGAAGAAGATCTTTCGCGAACTCTGCTGTCTTCCAGACGACGAAAGCTGTTCCGTCTTCGTTCCATGAAACGACGTCGTCTGTGTTCCGATCATCCACTAGCTGATATGTTTTGCTCAGAAACGGCGCCGGAACTGACCTCTGCGCCGCCCACACCGCCGTCATCTCCGGCGAGTTATTTTCAAAAAAAAAATACCAAAGATATAAAAAAAAAAACAACTACAAATAATCTAAGACAGAGAGAGAAGAAAAATTTCGAAACTGAAAATCGGTGGAGAAGGATTTAGCAACTAAAAAGCAAGAGAGCGGTGAGGAATTCCCAATCCCAGCAATAGAAGCCAGAGAGGAAAACACGAGAACGGAGAAGATCGGAGTTTCGTTTGGTTTCTTCCATTTAAGGAATTATCTGGTGGAGGAGGATGATGGAGACGACGACCATAATTCGCCGGAGCAAATCCGTGAGATTGTAATCAAACCTGTTACTTCTTCTTCTTTGACAAGAAAAACAGAACAGAACTAGTTACAAAGTGTTGTGTTTTTGGAGGGGGTCAATAATAAAACGCATAAAGCTTTATAGATCCTTAAGTGGGTCCTACCTTTGAAAGAAAATAAAGAAAACGGAGGATGCTGTGTTCTAGAAATTCTCAGAAACATCTCTTCTTTTATCAAAAACAAATTCAAAAAGTCTTATCTTTCCAATTATGTTTTCCATTTTCTCTCCCTTGAATATTTCTGTATCAGAGAATTCCAGGAGTGCCTCTCAAATTGATGCTACAAGTCTACAACATATATAATTTGTACTATAATTTATCCAAAAAAATAAACATATATAATTTGTATAATGTTACTCAAAATGATTAGACCAAAAACAGAATTAATTTAACTACAAAATCGCAGAACAGTATTTTTTGTCGTTAAACTTACCAAGTAACAAAATTAGAGGATTAATAAACATAGATAAAGATTATGGAGAATTTTATAATTGCTAAAACATGTCGAAAAGCCAGTCAGAAATTTTATATTTTAAAACAAGCACGCTCAAAAAAAGAATTTATATACAGAATCTATTATTCTAGAAAGTTTTAAATAGTAAAGTAATGTTTTTTTTCAAATATGACGGGAGACAACAAGATATTTTTACAATAGAAAACGCGACTTTGTATATTTGCTTGTTTCTAATACTTTTCTTTTGAATATTTTAATGTGTTCACCTAACACATTTCTGTTTCAATTCACATTTGGGGTACCAATGAGCTTTATTTATCTTTTCTTTTCATTATGTATCTTTAGACTAAAAAATTAGGATAATGTATTTTAACGTACGAGTCGTGACAAATTCAAGTTCTTAAAAAACCCGTCGACATCTACGTCTTCGTTCTTGGATTTACTTACAACACATTTCGCTTTTACTCGCATTTTGTTATCAGTGATTCCATGGCTACCTAATAGTATTCATCAAAGGCGGTAAATCTTATTCTTAGATAGTCGCACGGTTGCTACTTGCTAAAAATGGTTTTAAGAAAGATTTTATTATTACAAACAAAAAAATCGAGTCTCGGTTAGCCGGAGAAAAATGGCATGCATACCAAATACTTCGGAACAAAGATGATAATTCTTTAGTCAAAAAAGGCGATAATCAACTTGCTGCATGTACATTTCCATTTGGACGTTAATAACACAACGTCTGATTAGTAATTTGTGAAACGATATAACTACCTAATCATCTCATATAAAAGACAAGATCGTCTTTAAAAGAACCTTTCGTGTGATACAATGATTTATGATCTCTTGTTTTGGATTTAACTCAGTGTCAAACCATCTTTAAATTTCCAATGTTTAGCATCTCTTCGTGGGTATGGCTAATCCGGGTTCAGTACTCAGTAGACTTATCTCGAAAGTTTTGATATTCATCAGTGTCAAACCATCTTAAAACGTGTGCAACTGTTTTCTCACATTCTTATAGAATTTTAGTTTCCATTTTTTTACTCAACTTGAGGTATTTCATTTTAGACTTTTAAACTCTTTCACGTTTAGTTCCTAGGCTTCCTTCTTTTTAATTTAATAAAGAACATTTTTTTCTCGGAATGAAACAATTTTGAGTTTGAGAAATACTATCCAATTTGACAGTAAGAATGAAACTTCTTTTAGACATGTATTAAAAATAGTAGTACACAAATGTCCTCTTTTTACCATTTTATTTAGCTATTCTACGGAAAGTTCGAACTCATTTCTAGGTTTGGCGACGTGATAAAAAGAGGACCACTTGGCCAAATCAATTCAAGTCAAACCAGTGGTTAGATTTGTATATAAAATAAAAAAGTGAAAGAAAAATTCAAAATACAGTGAGAACTGAGAACTGTTGACAAGTGTCAAGAAACTTCGCTTTGAAACGTAACTCTCTTTTCTTCCACGAATCTTTTTGATGGAACCTGAAAGATGAGTCTGGTTATTGTATAATTGTGTTTGTTGAGCATTACTGGAATGTTTGAGTTCCACTATTTTGTAATCTGCTTTTCCATATCCGCATCTTAACTTTTGAGTCGACAAAAACTGTTCACGAACACATCCAAAACTAGATAACATCATAAATGTACATATAAGTCAACAAAAACTATACTGTATCAACAACGTCGTTTTGGGGTTATAAAAACAGCAAATGCAAATACACATGGAATTAAATCCTATATTCAACCAAGCACTAGATCTATCCATATCCAAGTAGGATTGGAGTCAAAGCTAAGCCATCCGATTATCCGAAGCTAAATGTCTATGTTTCTTGCCAATTATATATATCTTCTCCATATAACCTCGAAGAAAGTGGTCCAAGAAAAGAATACACTATAAAATTGCAATCCGATCTTTATGATTAGGTTCAATAATGTAATTATTGTGTATGCCATATGTTAACGTCATACGTTGCCACTACACTCACCTCAAATAAAAGTGATCGATCCCAGGTTCCATAATTTTGTTGGACACACCACTTATTTTTATTTTTATTACAACTTGTAGTAGTTTTATAAAAACCATGACGTTTTAATTCGTGACACCACTCTTTCAACAACCGATTTAAAGTTGCTCTTAAAACTTCAAAAGCTTTTCCTCTTCAATCTCGCCGTCCTCTTCAATCTCGCCGTTTGTAATAATAAGATGACATTTCATTCGAACTCGGGTCCGGCCCATCTAAACTTGGGTTTTTCTCTTAGAAAGAACCCCATTTTGTAACTCGAAACTAGAAACCCTCTGCGACAGCCAGAAGGTTCGTTTGAAGTGCATATCTTATTTCATCTCTGCATCGGACGGTTCACAATGTTGCCAAACTCGGTGGTCGGAAATGAACAACTTATCGCCTGAGAAATGTCCCAATCGGAGATCCGGTGAGAACAAGATCGGTTTAACTGGTTGAACTTCTGTTATTTTTTTTTATTATTTTTTTTGTTTGTTGAACTTCTGTTATTAAACACACCTTGTTATTACTTATTACTACATTTGGTTATATAATTCCAAAATATCTTTATTATCTTCTCACGTTCATTAATAAATTGTTTTTCTTTTATTCCATTTGCTCTGCGCGTTTCTGTGTGTCCTACACTCCTACTTAGTCGTCTCTTTGAGTCAACTTGAAATATTAGCTACAAAAAAATCCCAACCATCAGACCACAAAGAATCTAAATCTTCAAAACATCTTTCATCTACAATCATTCCGACAAAAGATCAAAATCTCTTAAAACTCATCAAATGGATCACGACGGTGGAAGAAGAAACTGTTGTAGCTGCTTGATGAGCTTCATCTTCACAGCTGGTCTCACCTCTCTCTTCCTATGGCTCAGCCTCCGTCCCGACAAACCAAAATGCACCATCGAACAGTTTTACGTCCCTGCCCTCAACAAGACCCTCAATTCACGGACCAACACCACTCTCAACTTCATGGTTCGTCTCGCGAACCCCAACAGAGACCAAGGAATCTACTACGACGACGTCCACGTTTCTCTGTCCAACGCCAATTCCTCTGTCGCTAACTACACGGTGCCGAGATTCTACCAAGGACACAAGAAGAAGGCCAAGAAGTGGGGCCAGGCTCTGCCTTTTGACAGCCGGGCGGTTTTACGAGCGGTTTTGCCTAATGGATCGGCGGTTTTCCGGTTGGATCTGAAGACGCAGGTGAGGTTCAAGATCATTTTCTGGAAAACTAAGAGGTATGGAATCGAGGTTGGTGCTAATGTTGAAGTCAACGGAGATGGAGTTAAAGCTAATAAGAAAGGGATTAAGATGAGGAAATCTGATTCTTCTACGAGATTGAGAAGCTATTTCCCTGTTTGTGTTTTGATGAATCTGCTCGTCTTCTTCGCTATTCGTTAAATCATCTTAGGTGATTTAGATTTTTCAGTTGATTTTATTCACTCTGTTTTCATGAGTTTTGTTGTGTGTTAGTTCCATTTTCTTTTTCTTCTTCTTCATAGTTTCTAAAATTCGACCAAGTAATCATTGAGTAATTTATTATTCCATTTTTTGTTTTTGTTTCAACTATGTATTAGTTTCTCTATCAAGAAAATTCTATTTGAATTATATCTTCGGCTTGAAATGAAGGAGCAAATAATCAACAACCACAATGAAAATAAAATACATAAGTGAATCTACCGTTAGATACGAAGAAAAGGAACTATTGAAATCCATTAAACCAAAAAGAAATTCGAGTATATGAATAACCATTGATACATTTTTATAAAATTGATGGAAAACTAAATCGAACAAAATTGACATAACCCATACAACAATAATTTTGGGGTTGTTATCTTACCTTTTCTTGTTGTACGACAATAATATCTTAACTTTTAGCTCGAAATTAACCAATCGCGTATTGTATTGTAACTTGTCATATTGAATTTTAAGTAAGACTTTTGCCTTATGAGTCTGTCAGGTTTATTATAAACAAAGACGCGGTTCTTTTTTCATAATTTTTAAAAAGTTGTCTGTTGTCATCGATAACTCGAAAAGTTACCAGCAATGATAATTTCCTAAATCCCATCATTTTATTAATCCTCTAAGATAAAAACAAAATTAATGCAAGAAAATATATATAATAAATTCAAAAGTAGTAAACCTCTGCGACAGCATCGGACGGTTCACATTGTTGCAAACTTGGTTGGTCGGAAGTAAACAACAATCGCCTGAGAAAATTTCCCCAATCGGAGAGAGTTTAATTAGGGCTTCTGAGCTTTCTTCAGTCGACACAGAGAGAAGGAGGGAAAACCCGGTGAGCACAAAGATGTGGCACGAAGCGAGAAGATCGGAGAAGAAAGTGCACGACATGATGGACGCCGCTCGGAAAAGAGCTCAGCGACGAGCTATCTACTTGGCTAAACGCCGTGGAGATCCAATTCAATCGATCCAAGCCGTTGGATCCCGCTACCGAATCTTCCGAGACGATGGTCTTTACCAAGCCACCGAGGATCAACAGGGCCTGTAATTCCTTAATCGAATTCTCCTACTTCCAATTTTCCGATTCGGCTTGATTGCTTTGTTGACGATGAATGGATGTTTGTTTCAGGATTCCTTGGAATGGGAAGCAAGATGTTATGATTGATAGGTATTGAATTAGTTTAATTCGATTTCAATTTGGATTTTCCTGCTCGTTCTGGAATTTGTTAGTTGATATGCTAATTTTTCTACTTGTAGATTCGACGGTCGTGCGCTTCTGGATTTTGTGCGTGAGGCTGGTTCGAGAAGCATACGGCCACATAAGAAGACGGAGGAGGAGGAGGAAGTGGAAGAGTTTGTTAATTTTGAGCGTTATCGGGATTTAATTAAGCATCGCCGGAGAGGATGTCGGTACCTTTTTTCTACAAATTTTTCTGCTTCTTCCGATCAAAATTTGTTTCCTCTTTTGGTCTTTGGAAATCGAAATCTGAGTTTCAAAGAGAATTGAGATAAGAGTCACTGGGATAATGGCTTCATACTGTCAACAGTTTCTGATGAGGAGGGTTTGCTTCATGTCAATCAAGAGCTCGAGGCCAAACTTGCTGCACCTTTCTTAGAGATAAGGTACACTCTTTGTTGCTATGATCACCAGCTGATGTAAACTTGAGCTTCAATAAGTTTTGTTGTGTGACTCTGTGCAGATCACAAGCAGCTCAACCGCCTGCAAACAAAGGCACATATTCAAAAGTTGGGTTTTCGTATGGTGGAAACGGAAAAGAGGAGTCGGTGGATGTGGATGGTGATGATGATGAGGACGAGGATGATGAAGATGAGGAGGAGGAAGAGTTTGACAGTAATGACAGTGATGATGAAGGAATGGAAACAATTGCGAAACAGTTTGGGGTGAAGAGATATGGGTGGCTTGTTTATATGGACAAGAAGGCGAAAGAGGAAGAGAAGAGGCAAAAGGAACTTATCAAAGGCGATCCTTCCATTGTAAGTTGCAAAGCTTATGTCTTTTCTTTTCTTTGCTTATCTACTGATGAATGAATCGAAATTCATGAAAATGTAGAAGAAGCTAAGTCGTAAGGAAAGAAGAAAGGTTTCTAGAGTAGAGAGGGATAGGGAAAGAGAGACTTCAAGAAGTGGTGGAAGGCAAATGATTCATCATGATCCCTACAGGTAAGTTAGTGTAGCACATAAGCAATCAAAAGTCAGTGAATATTTCAGCTCACTTGACATGGTGTTTCTGAATTCATAGGGAGTCTCGAAGGAGTCCTACTTATGAGGCTTATCCGCGTTCGAGAAGGTTTTGCTCTTATTAGTCTGTTGTTATTATTATGTCATACATTGGGAAAGTGATTTCTTATCTCTTCTTGCTCGTAACCACAGATCAAGATCCAGATCCCGGTCATATTCTCCGTCATACTCGAGGCGGAGTGGTCGTGGAGACCCGTCTGACGAAGTTAGCATGCCCAAAATCGAGTATATTACAGAATTTGGAGGCTCAGGAGATGTGGGAAGTCCAAAACTTGGAGGATATTCCCCACCACGTTCACCACCATCTCACACTGATTTATTAACCCGGTCGGAGCACTCAGACTGATACTTTTGCTGTTGTAGAATAAGTCTGCACTAGATTGGTTACATGTAGGATGTAGCTACGAGGGAGAGAAAGAGGCTTCCACGTTTAAATGTGAATGAGATTTGCTTATAGTATTTAATTTTCCTGCAGACCATCGTCGGGCCATATTCTTGAGGCGCTGCATGTTGATCCTGCAACTGGTATATCCCTTGAGAAAGACAAGATTGCTAAACCAGCTAAACTGGCAGTGAGGTATGGTCATTATTGCATATATTACAAGTTTCTCTTGGTGGTTTCTGTCTTATCCATTGGAATCTTGATTCCTTCTCTCTATTTACAGTACTTCCACAGCACTGGCGAAGCTTTCAAAAGCAGGGACCTCCTCGGGAGGATCTTCAAAGCAGACACCAGCGGAGAAGAAAGAAACTCCGCAAGAACGGCTGAAGAGAATTATGAACAGCCAGCTAACGAAACAGAGTAAGATTTTAAGTGCTGTTGTGTTCTTTGCATTTGAGCTTGATCCCATTTGCTATTACAAACTGAGGATGGTGAATGAATCATATTTGCACAGTTAAGAAGGATTCTGCAACAGAGACAGCTAAGAAACGAGAACAGGAGCAGCAAAGGCTGAAGAAACTAGCGGAAACAAGCCGGTTAAGTCGGAATAGACACCGCAGCCGTAGTAGGAGTTATAGTCGATCACCACCACCGAGGTTGTTAATAAAGTTATCATTTTTGCTTCGTGATTAGAGTGCCGATTTGTGAAGATGAGAAGGGAGTTACAAAAGAGTTTCAGACTATATCGGTTCTTAGAGCTCTGTTTGGATCTGCTCTCTCTGGAGTCCCACCTACACTGACTTCATCATCTCCTCCTCGTTCCATTTGATGTTCTTAACTGCTAAAATGTTTTATCTGCAGAAGATACAGAAGAAGCAGAAGTAGAAGCAGAAGCCGGAGCAGAAGCAGGAGATCACGCAGGCACAGTTCAAGGTCACGGTCTAGGTCCCTATCACGCTCTCCTAAACGCTCTCGCAGACGCTCTTCCTCGTATTCAAGGTCTCCCAGGTGATGAATAATAAGCAAATGCAAGCTTTACATGTTTGTGCATAGTGGTGGCTTTGCCTCTAACACAGTGAGTGTTTATGCAGGCGAAGAAGCAGGTCAAGGCACTGAACCAGAAAGAACAGATAACGAGGAATTTCGTATTGCTGAAGCTCAACAAAAGTTTGTGTTTTTCCTGTATTTATATATTTGTTGTGTGTTTTCTGAATAAAGTTTAAACTGGAAATTTGTGTCAGACTTATAAAATGTTATCCAGGAAAAATAATCAAAATAAAGTTTTCGATTTTTTTTTTTTTTGAGAAATTATAAAAATGTTATAATTGTAACAAATGACGAGTTTATAGAATATTTCTCCAAAAAGACAAAGATGTGTAATCTTGGTCAGTCGTTTGATAGACAGAGATATAAACGTGATCTTAGTTGAAAACTTTATCTGCTTTTTGTTTCCATACGGATATTCTTTGAATGGTTTGAACTTTGAATGATGGGAAAAAGAAATTCAACGTTGAATGTGGTAGGAGAAGACTCAGAAGAGTCATTATTATTTTACCTGCGCTCAATGATGCATGGATATTTCGATTGACCTATTACAGATTTTTTGTACTTAAATTAAATTTATGGTTGGCTTTGTTTTGTTCGAAAAAATCAATGCTAGATTGAATAACAAGGTAGTGTGTTTTGTCGTCTGTGCCTTTACCATCCCCATGTGTTTCATTTTGTGTGTGAAAGCGGTTTTTGTAGACATAACGTGATAACACCTCCGTATTATTTTAAACCTTCTACAAATTTTTAAACTCCATCGATAATCCACAATCTTGATTGTGGATTTTTCTGCTCTTAAGTGCAAAAAGACGAAAGTCTTGCTCTTTTAAAAAGAACGAAGCTTGTTATAAGAGAGATTTACATATATAGTCTTAGCTACATTTATAAAACATAATTGTGGATGGTCCCGTTAAAGCAACTTGCTTTATGCACAATGTTATTCTCGAACGGCTTCTTCTCATCTCCGTATATTATATTTCTACCTTTCACTCGATTCAAGTAAGAGCATCACGAGTCTCAAAGCTTGAAACTTAACTGTAGTACCTAAACACAATTTTGTTTAGCTACTTACAATATAAACAATAACTTGATAATTCTGTAATATTAGTTTATAGCATAAATGTATTTTAGAAACAGAAATAAAAAGTAGACATCTAGTTAAAGTCGTGAATGGCAAATCGATTTGGAAGCATAAAAACATGAAGTGATCCTAGATGAAAAATATGTTTCTCTGATTTGATCTCCATAAATTTAATTTTTCCATTCTCCTTTGGTGACAAATACTAGTAGATAAGAACGATTTGAATGAAGAAGAATAAAAATCAACGTCGAACGTGGTAGGAGCGGAGTCACTATACACCATGCGTCAATATGATACACCATACATGGGTTTTATTAATTGGACCCATTCTCAGATATTTGTTTGGTACTGAATCAAATACATGGACTACCTATTATTTATCAATATTGCTAATAATTGATGGCTTTCTTCTGTTTGGAAAATCAATGTTACATTAAATAAAAACGAGCCTAGTGTGTGTTGTGTCGTGTGTGCGCTTGACCATGCCCATGCGTTAAATACATTAATAATCCACAATTTGATGAGGGTTTTTTCAGCTCTTTGTTATAAAGGATTTGAACGTAATGTGTTAAATCAGTTTTACCCTTTTTATTTCAGGTTATTAACTGGAGAAGGAAACAGTAAACTTATAAAGTGTGTCAATGAAAGCATAACAAAGGTACATAACTTATTTTAACGTCTTAAAAATATTGAAATTGCTAATTTTGGACGGCCAAAGGCAAAACCTACAAATTACAATGCAATGACTCTGATTGATAACAATGTATAGCGGCAGAATTGAAAAAGAACAAAATATGACCTGTAAGCCTGTAATGACAAAAATCATCCGCGCCAAAAAAATAAGTAAAAAAAAATACAATGAAAATGTGCTTCAATTCCTTACAATTTCTTCGATTAATAATAATGTATGAACTCAATGAATTAGTTCTCTCTGCCAAATGAGAATTCAAAGCAGTAACTTTTTAATATTGACTGCTAAGTTTTAGTGGCTACGATCCTGCTTTATAGGTTTGCAGGAGCTACAGTTACAATTATAGCTAACTGTAAAAAAAAAAGGGGGAAAAAATAAATAAAAGCGGGAAGCTTGTTAATGGAAACGACAAAAGAGTCTGAAATTTATCGAAACTACAAAAAAAGGAGCAGAAAATGTCACATGGAGGAGTTGTGGCTTTGTGTAAACGGTACAGAGTATCGAAGAAACAGAAGCAGATGATATATAACCAAACAATGCTCTATCGTCAGTTATATCTGTCCAAAACCTGTTTCTTTTTCTCCCAAAATGTTTTTTTTCTTGTTGGTGATTCCTCCCATTTTCGTACAAAAAGAAAAAAATTTACACAACGGTGATGAATGTTATTGGAAAGAGTGTAACAAGAAAAGAGTAAATTGCATTATCCCAAAAGAAGTCAATTTCAAATTGATTTTAAAAGTTTTTAAATTGGCTTTTTTCATCTCATTTTTCTTTTTTTGTGTTGGCTATATGATCGGACCGGCCACGACACTTGTCTTAATGCCAACAAACAAACTTTATCTCTCCTCTCTCTACAACTCTATTATCATCTCTCTCTCTACTCCTCAAGTTCTCACCTTTTGAGATTACAAAGAACACAAAAGTACCTTTTTTTTATTCTCTCTTTTTCAGTTTACATCACTCTCTTTATCACTCTCCCAATCTCCGGTCAATAAAAATGATTTCAATTTCTTAGAAAGTTTCAGTTTTTTTTCTCTCAAATCTGAAGAAATCGATCGAAGAGAAAGAAATGAGGAAGACATCTGTCTCTTCTAATAGCTTTGGTGGTTTTCTAAGTCCCGGAGCTCCGAATTACAGCGACAACAAAGGATGGAGCTCCGATAGAGTTCCACATCCTTCTTCGTCGACTACTTCCTCCGCCGCCGCAATTAATGGTGGCCGTCGTCACATCGGCTCAGCTTCCGCTTTAACGACGCCGTTCTACAGCGGCAGAGCGATACCGTCGAAATGGGAAGACGCAGAGCGGTGGATTTGTAGCCCCGTCGCGACATACCCACCAGGTGTTTGTCAAAATCCCTCAGTGAGCTCTCAGTTCTCCGAGCAGAGACGGCAGAAATCCAAAAGCGGTCCGATTGTTCCTCCCACGCTGCCGCATCCTCCGACCTCTTCCTCATCGGGGATTGGGTGTTATCACTATTCTCCGAGGATGACGATGCGGGCGATGGAAGCTAATCAAGGGAACATGAAGGGTTTGATGGTGGTTGGCTCTCCGTTCTCGACTGGTGTTTTGGAGGCGGATAGGGTTTTCAGAGGAGGTGTCGGTGGTGGTTGTGACGGCTATAGACGTGGCCATGGACATAGCCGGAGCTGGGTTGATTTGATGAGTGAAGAAACTTCATCACTTGGCTCCAAAACTGATACAGGTAACTGTAGCTTCTCTCTCTTCACAATGCAATGAATCTGAAACTTTGAAATCTTCAATCTTGCATCAGAAATTGCAAAAAGACTCTCACTTTGACAAATCAAATCAGATAATCTTGTAAAAGACTAAGTTTTGTACACAAGATCTAAGCTTTGTGGATTTTGTAACAATGGAAATTGGTGCAGAGGAGAAAGCAGAGGACACAAAGGAAGAAGAGATGAAGACGGCTATGCAATCTCCGGTGGTTTCAAGAAGAGATATAGCTACACAGATGAGCCCAGAGGAGATGAGTCCTGATCATAATGATCACCAGTCTACTCAAGAGCCAAACTGCTCATCTCCACCGTTGGTTGTCTCTGTGATTGATGAGCCTCCTATGAAGGAGAATCCTTGTAGAGGTGAAGTGAGAGAAGTGAAGATGGATAAAGGAGCAAGGATGATTAAGCGTCCAAAAAGACGAGTGATGTCTTCTAGGATTACTAGGAGAGAGCAACCTGAGGTTGAAGACAACTCTGAAGCTTCTGCTTCTTCTTCTTCTTGGGATATCTCAGAACCAGCCATGAATCTTTCAAAGTAATCAAAACATTAAGATGATTGTGGCATCGGTTTCTTCTTGGTCAGCCATTTAATGTTGTGAATATGTCGCAGGTTGCAAAGAGAGGAAGCGAAGATAGCAGCTTGGGAGAATCTGCAGAAGGCGAAAGCAGAAGCCGCCATTAGAAAGCTTGAGGTACTCTCCTTCACTTATATAAGCTCTTCACAAACCAACCAGATCATGACACTGAAATCTGTTTTTGCTTGAAATCACAGGTGAAGCTGGAGAAGAAGAAATCAGCATCAATGGATAAGATCTTGAACAAGCTTCAAACAGCTAAACTGAAAGCACAAGAGATGAGGAGAAGTTCAGTATCCATTGAGCAAGAACCGCCACAACAACGACAAGAGAATCATCAAATCTCCAAACACTCTGTGAAGATCACCCATCTTGTCCGAAGACATACTTTCATGACCCCTTTCATGACTTGCTTTGCTCCTCGTGTTGATTGCAGAAAGTCTTCCTCTGCTCTCTGAATCTTTATTTTTTTTGTACAAGACAAATTTGAACAAAAGAAGAAAACAAAATGTACACTGCAAATTTTTTCTTGTAAAGCTTTCTCAGTTCCAAATTTTACTTCTCAGCTTAATACCATTACAAAGCAGGTTCCCTTGTCCAAATGCAAAACATAAAAGCTTCCAATTAAATAGAACAAGAGGATTCTGAAGTTATACAAATGACAATGCCAAAGCTTAAATGATACGTCTGTCTGGTGCATTAGTATGGGCGGTATCTCCAGTCTGATGATCTTGGTGGTCTTGCGTTCGGCATTCCATATCCCCACTAGCAGATTCATTAGAAAAACGACGAAATGAATCAGAATCAAGTTGTATATAAAGAATCTTTGATTAGTGTATTTCGGTTATGAAATGATTATTACTCACATCGTCCAAACTCATGCCTCCACCATACATTCGACCAAAAGTGCGCATAGGACCTCCATAGCCGCCAAAATATTCAGGACGAGAAGAACTTAACATGGAACTTCCACCGGCGCTAGGCCCAGCTTCATCAAGAGGTGTTGCTGAATCTATTGCTACCTAATCATCCGAAAAATCAAAACAATGTAGTTTATATAATCATCTTAGAAAGATTCTTGCACTAAGCCTAATAAGCAAAACTTTCAACTATACCTCTTGTCCACAGATCTCGTGAGATCTACGGGCTACACGATCTGCAACACCATTTTCAGCAAAGGTAACGAATCCGAAACCTCTATGTCCACTTCTCTTGGGGTCCTATACAAAAACAGGAGGGTGTGTTTATATGTTTATAAACGTTTTCTGTGAATGTTCTCACTGTGACTTATAACACTCACCTTTGGAATATAAGCATCTTGAATACGCCCAAATCTACCAAAATAGTCACGAAGATCGTCAACTGATGCTTCTTGAGGAAGTCGTCCAACAAAGATCTTATTACCTATTCCCCTTGTTGGTGGTTCGCTTCCTAAGAAGGAGTAAAAGTTCAATTTAACGATTTGAAAACATATTTTGCTTCTGATCAGTACTTTTGGTATTTACAGAGTGAGTCTTACTTCCATAGAACGAGGCCGGAGGATTATCATACAAAGTAGGAGCACCAAGTGCTGCATATCTTGTAGCTGCAGAAATGTAGGCATCATAAGCTCCATAACCACCACCTGGAGCTCCAAACCCAGCTGCACTAGCCGCGGGTGGGCGTGGCATTCTAGCAAGTGGTGCTGGCCTAGGAGGGGGATGATGATGATCGTCTTCCTTTGGTGTTGCCCGATCAACAGCTACCGTCGTACCTCCCAGATCATGAGTGTCTTCCATCAAATCCTCCACTGAATCTGAAAAATCACAAAAATACAAGGTTCCTTGTGAATCCAAGCCGTCTAACAAAGATCTTCTCATGAAGGTTTTATCATGATATATAAAAACGATTAAGCAGAAACTAACCAGCAGTAGCGAATGTGATAAACCCAATTCCTCGGTGTTGCTTCGAGTTGTGGTCCTTAGGCATGTATAAGTCTGTTATTTCCCCATACTTCTCAAAATGGCTGCATAAGAAAAGATAAAGGAATGCTTACATTTTCCAGAGAGATTTAAATATGAGTTACCAAACACTTTAAAGCAAATTGGATTACCTTCGGAAATCTGATTCAGAGACTGAAGAAGGGATTCGAGCAACAAAGATCCTCGTAACTTTTTTTGCAGGCTGTCTCATCTCTTCCTGGCACAATATAACACAAAACCTCTTGAGTAAATATTAAAGGAGAACAAAAAAAACTAGTTTTCGTATCAGAGATTTACAAAATTCATGTAACCTACCTTTGGTGTAGCCACTTTTACTTCTAAGATTCTGTTCCCTAAATAGTGTTCGCCTTTCAAAGCGTTCTACAAGTACTCAATAATAACAGACAGTAAGCCAAAGAGAAAGCATCTAGCGACCAAATGAAACAAAAAATGCAAGTAGTAATCTTTACCTTTGCATCTTCAGCTGAAGCAAAAGTGACATATCCAAAGCCACGAGATCTTCCAGTTGATCGATCCTAGACAAAAAAAAAACATCTTCAGATGATCGTATCGAAGCATTTTGTGACATTTCTTAATCAATGTTTGAGGTTTTTCAGCTGCACAAAACTGATAATGAAGAATGAAGATTCAAATGCAAACCTTCATGACAATACAATCCTCCAAGTCTCCGAATTTTGACATGTATTCCTTAAGTCCATCGGAATCAATGTCCCACGGGATACCCAAAACCTACAAAAATCAATCAAAAATTCAAGTAAAACCATCGATTCATACCAAATTGAGCTCAATGAGAAGCAAGCGAGTGAAATCCCAATTACCACAAGCTTCCGTTCCATCAGATGAACAAAGAGAAGAAAGTAATGTAGATCTGGATAGGGATCGAAACTCTAACACACTCAGAAAATCTCTATCTCTCGCTCTCTCTACCTCTCTGCGACCACTCTTCTCTCCCTCTTAATCTCTCACACTAACACTAGTCTCTTCCTCCTCCTGCAAACCACAATCACACATCTCTTTCTCACACATAAGTATCATCAAACACGAAATCATCATTTTTGGCATACGGATTCTCTCCGATAAGAAACAAAAGAAACTTAATCATCCTTAGATTCATTTGCCACAAACCGGGAGATTCGAAACTCACACACGCACACTGACCTTTGAAACTTCTCTCGCTCTCTCCCTCTCTCCCTCAGTGATTTTCTTAGAAAAGGCCGGAGACCCTTTGCCTTGATTTGGTTTCGAAATTGAAACAATGGCTCTAATCTAGCAAGAATTGGGAATATTCCGGCGATAGAACGTTCACCGTCCATCGCAGCTCCGCGATTGGTGACACGTGTTAACCCCCAGCATTCACTTTACATTTGCTAGTAAAGCCCATTTTGTTAGGCTTTAGTTAGGCCCATCTTGTTAGATTTGAATTTCTAATCATATTTGTTGAAGGTTGTTGGTGCATCAAATAATGGTAAACGATCGACTTTTTAGTAATAAAACGTAGAAGTCGCCATGCAAATATGCAATTGCTGTCAGTATTAAATCATTGACCAATACTTCGGTGTGGAAATATCAAATAGCCACGTCAAAGCTATACAATGCCCGTGTGAAGAAACTTGACGCATTCCAATCGTCTACGAGTCTTTCTTTATTATACACGACATTTTATTATTGTGTTGTTTTGTTATTATAACAAAGTACGAATATCATTTCTTTTGGTTTTTAGTTCACACCAGTCTGACCATATAAATATGTTCGCATCTGTTGTTGGATTAACAGTGTTGTTTAATTTTCATCTTAGTTTTGTTGGCAAGTCACGAAGCCTTTAACTACAAGGCATAAGGAAAGTGCTAGCTGCATTAATTGAGTTTTCTGGTACTTTAATTAAATGTTAACATGTCTTTTAAAAGTTTATCATACTATAATCACGGATGTGGACTTTTCTCTTAAAAGGGTTTATAGGTTTGCTAATTATTGTCAAGTCACATTTCTTTCCATCGAAGTGATGTATTTCGAGATCATACCCTATGTGGTTAGTTTCTCTACCAACCAAGAGAATTAGAAACATTTGTAATTACTTTGATGAAGATTCCTTTTATCTTTTGGTTTTGTTTAAGCGAATATTCCTTTATCTTTGGTATATAATAGGGAAATCAAACTAATTATACTCTGCATTTGGATAACATCTAACTTGGAAATTAACTAAACTACACTTAGCTCAAGAACATTTAAATTGGGAAACACAGTAATATGAATTTATGAAATCTTTAACATGCACATGTTGTTAATCGTATATGTGGATGAGATTTTCACATTTCTTTTAGTATCAAATAAAACACAGTTTCTAATTTCTACGAGAGAAACTCATCACCACATCATTCACAGCCATAGAAATGCTTCAAGATGGGAAAATATAAAATCTCAAAAGAAAATTTGATAGGATCTTCCATCCGATATTTACGCTACATAAGAAAAACGCGCATCACATGGTAGATCCTGAAACAAACGTGTACAACTATGAATCTAAATTTCACTTTAACAACAACAACAACAAAAGCTACAAATCTCAGTATTCAAATATTTATATTGTAAAAATCACTAAGACAAAATTACCAACATTTTCGAATGTCACAAACTACCAATATTATTTTAATCAATTCAGCCATAACTTGTAGTATTCTTATTTTAAGTTTTTAACTACAATACGATAAACAAAAGCGCGTGATGGGCACGGCAAAGAAGAAATATCTAGAGTAGGCAACAAGAGTCTTCGTTCTCTCACACCACCCACGTTTTCTTTATGGGCCGCTATTTGTTCTCCTGGCCAATACTTATGTCACGTGCAGTAATTACACAATACAGTGTTCACAACAAACTCTCTCTTCATATATTTTCTTCCTCAAAAAAAAAAGGAAAAATATAAATTTGGGTGAGTGTATAAAAACAGAAGTAGGGTTGCAGAAGAAGAAAGCTGAGAGAAACTGTTTCATAGATTTTTCTTCCTTCTTTTGCTTGAGCTCTAATTAAATTCAATGGAGTGGATTCGTCGAGAAACAATCGGTCACGGGAGCTTCTCCACCGTTAGTTTAGCCACTACCTCCGGAAGCTCGACGGCGTTTCCAACGTTGATCGCTGTGAAATCGTCTGGAGTGGTTTGCTCCGCCGCGTTACGGAGCGAGAGAGACGTGTTGGATGATCTCGGCGACTGTTCGGAGATCGTTCGGTGTTTCGGGGAAGGAAGGACGGTGGAGAACGGAGAGGAGATTTACAATCTGTTTCTGGAGTACGCTTCCGGTGGGAATTTGGGTGACAGGGTTAAGAAATCCGGTGAAGCGTTGCCGGAATTCGAAGTGCGTCGATTCACGAGGTCGATTGTGAAAGGATTGCGTCACATCCACGATAATGGATTTTGTCATTGCGATGTGAAGCTGGAGAATGTTTTGGTTTTCGGTGACGGAGATGTGAAAATCTCCGATTTCGGGCTAGCGAAACGGAGAAGTGAGATTGGGGAGGAAATTAGGGTTGAGATCAGAGGAACTCCTCTGTACATGGCGCCGGAATCGGTGAATCGCGGCGAGTTCGAATCTCCGGCGGATATTTGGGCGCTAGGATGCTCTGTAGTGGAGATGTCGAGTGGCAAAACGGCATGGTGTTTGGAGGAAGGAGGAATCACGAATGCAATGTCGCTAATGGTTCGTATTGGTTCTGGTGAGGAAGTTCCTAGGATTCCGGTGGAATTGTCGGAGGAAGGGAAAGATTTCGTGAGGAAATGTTTCGTGAAAAACCCGGCGGAGAGATGGACGGCTCAGATGCTTTTGGATCATCCATTCTTAGCCGTTGATGATGAGAGGAGGAGTAGTAGTAGTAGTAGTAGTGGTCCATTGGTGTGTGGCGACGAAGACGAGGCTTCGGTTTCACCGAGAGATCCTTTTGATTTCCCGGGTTGGAATTCGGTTCAGTCTCCGGTTAATGATTCTATTACGGTCTGTTCACCGGTTAGTTATTCGCCGTTTAGTTATTTGGTACGTTCGCCGGAGGAGAGAATTAGGGAATTAGTAACCGAGAATGTACCTGATTGGTCGGTTTCGTGTGATTGGGTCAACGTCAGGTGACGGGTAGTATTTTTGTGGAGAAAGACGAAGTCATAGGTCGTAGGAGATTATTATGGGTTTATTGGATTGACGGTCCTAATTAATTAACTCGTTTTGTTAATTAACCCGTTGACTGTTGTAAATTATATGACGAGTAATATTTTTGGAAGAAGCAGAGAATTTTTGCCATTTTTCACTCTATATTTCACTGTCACACGAATCAAAGTCTACAATTTGTCGGTTAATTATTGTTAAAGATGAACTTATCAGACGTGAAGGATTACAAGATTTTGTTGGCCACCGGACTAAAGTCAAGTTTAGATTAAAAATTGAGTTTGCAGCCAACCGAACCAGTGGAATAGTAAGAAGTAGGGCCTTCCAGTTCATCTTGTGTGTATAGAATAATTGGGCTGGAGATTGGGTTGGGCCTGAAATGACCTGATCACGGTGGTTGAGTAGTAAATGAACTAGTCACGGGGTAGAAGCTGAGAAGTAATAATTTTATTTCGTGAAATGTGAAAAACTATCAACAAAAATATGGGTAATTAAGAAATGCAACAAGATTCATCAAACCATATCCATCCATTAGACTATTTCCAACGTTGTAAAAAAAAAAAAAAAAAAAAAGACTATTTCTAACATGTGTTATACTTTTGTTTTTATCCTATAGTTTATCTCGACGTGGAGATTCATTCTAATGCACCTTATTATCTGTACAAGAAGAAAGGTCAACGAGGGAGGAGTCGGTCTAATTTCAGAACAGGTAATGCATGACATTTCTACGCTCATATAATTCCACATGGTGGTAGAATATTTTAAAACAAAAGTAAATGATCAAAGATATACTTGGTACTAGTTAATTAGATAAGCATTACTTTCAAACGACCAGCAGAATCCAAATAATTAAAAATTATCAAATCAAAGTAACACCTGTCAACCAAACGCCGCGTTTTAATTAATACTACCATTAATCTCATCTTTCTTCGCATTTTCGCGAGCTTCACCGTCTCTCTGTTTCTTCCTTTCTCCAAACGGAAGAAAATAAACGTCAAAAATGGAGGTTCGTCTATCAGTTCCTTCTTCGTTCTTCCATAAACCTTAGTTATAACCTTCGCGTCACATCAATCTACTCTGTTGTTACTTGTTGTTTCCAAATGCAGGGCTCCAATGTCTTCCGCAATTGCTTATGGAATCTGATGATCATAGGCTTCTGTTTATCATCCTTCGTTCACAGTGTAGAGGTTTGTACGCCTTTCTCTTATAACTTTTACGAATCTCTTTAAAAGTTTTAGTAACAGAGAGGATCTGTTTCACTCTGCGATCTACAGATGGGAGAAACATGTAGTTCGAGTAGCCGATGCGACGCCGGATTGAGTTGCCAGAGCTGCCCGGTAAACGGAAACACCGGGTCTACTTGTACCCGGATCCAACCTCTCAACCCGACTTCCAAGGTTCCATTTCATTTCAATCTCTGGATTTTCTTTTGCATTTTTTAAATTTCAAAAAACAAAAGCTTTTGATATTATTCTTGGGAGGCTGATGGAATGCATGTGGTTTTGATGATGGGTAGGTGAATGGTTTGCCGTTTAACAAGTACTCGTGGCTAACGACACACAATTCGTATGCAATCACGGGGGCAAATTCGGCAACCGGCTCCATCCTCATCTCCCCAAGGAATCAAGAAGACTCCATCACTAATCAGCTTAAGGTCTCTCATACTTTTACAAAAGTTTGTCGATTTCGTGTTGGAATGTTTCTTTCTAAATCTGGGAAATTGACTTAACTTGAAAGTGTCGTTACCTTTAGGTTTCAATAAAAGACAATGCCAGCTTTAGTTGGTAGATTTGAATGAAAAGTAAAAAACCATCTTTTTAAAAAAAGTTGCACTTTTTATTCTTTTCCACGTGTAATTCATTTACTTTATTGTCTTTTGTTCCCCAATATGAATTTGTGAACTTTGTTTTGTTGTTTGCAGAATGGTGTGAGAGGGATAATGCTGGATACATATGATTTTCAGAACGATGTTTGGTTGTGTCATTCAACAGGAGGGACTTGCTTTAATTTCACTGCCTTTGTAAGTTAGCTATTGTGTGTCTTTGACTTTTGAATACATATGAGTAAAAACAGAAACTGATTTTAAGTTTGCAGCAACCAGCCATAAACGTGCTCAAAGAGATCAATGACTTTCTTGAATCAAACTTATCCGAGATTGTCACAATCATCCTTGAAGACTATGTCAAATCTCCAGGGGGCTTGACTAGAGTGTTTAAAGCATCAGGACTGACTAAATTCCAGTTTCCGGTATCGAGAATGCCGAAAGACGGCAAGGACTGGCCAACAGTGGATGACATGGTGAAGCAAAACCAAAGACTTGTGGTGTTCACTTCCAAGAAAGATAAGGAAGCTTCTGAAGGTTTTGCTTATCAGTGGGATCACATGGTTGAAAACCAATGTAGGTTTCTTGAATCAAACATGAATCTCGATAAAGACTAATCAAACTTAACAAGATATGATGTTTTGTATGTAGATGGTGATGAGGGATTGAAGTCATGCTTTAATAGAAATGAGTCTTCTCCATTGGATACAACCTCTCGGTCTCTGGTTTTGCAAAACTACTTTGGAACCAATCCTAATTCAACGCAGGCGTGTGGGGATAATTCGTCTCTGTTGATCAGTATGATGACAACTTGCCATGAAGCTGCTGGTCAAAGATGGCCTAACTTCATCGCTGTTGACTTTTACCAGGTGTGTGACTCTTTGACCAAATCTTCTCTAAAAGCATCTTCCTTTTAGCAACCGGATTTTTTTCAATATGTTGTGGTTTATTCGCAGAGGAGTGACGGTGGAGGAGCAGCAGAAGCTGTAGATGATGCAAACGGTCGTCTCACTTGTGGTTGTGACAGTTTAGTCTATTGCAAGGTACGTTACTTTTAACACACTACACAGAGCAGAGTCTTTTGTCTCATTCTTAGTTTCTTGAGCTAATGATGAATGTGTTTGTTTACAGTCAAACGCACCATTTGGCACGTGCGATGCTCCTCCTCCGAAGTCGGCACCATCACCAGTTTCCGGTGGGACAGGTTCAGAGAATCCGAGAGAAACTCCGAGGGATAATGCTGCTTCTACAGCAACTGGATTGTCAATTCTCGGTATGATCTCTGCGGCGGCTTTCTTGGTGTGGTGGTGATAGTTCTTCAATGAGCTAAGTTTGCTTTGATATGACACAAATTGATTTGATTTACCCGTTTGCACATTTCCACGTAATGAAACAGACAAAATCTTTGTAAGTTTATTCTGAGGAATGTTTGATGAGTAGAAGAAGTTATTTGAGACAATAATGTTCTGAATAAGAGTAAGAGAACTCAGAAAGTGGCAAAGCTGATGCTATCACACACCGAAGCAGACGACGCATATATGTAAATATCTCAATGCAGTTCACCGACAGGAGCTTCGTTGAGCCAGAGGAAGTGGATAAAGTCATACAACTTGGCGCTGACACTAACCTGCAAGTGTAAGTAAAAACAACAATTAGGTTTTTAGTCTCAGAGAGCTCTAGATACAAAACAGGTTTTCTCTTTGTAGGATTATTTTTTTATACCTTATAAGGAGTAGGGTTTAATCTTCTCATATGATCGGGTCGCATGTTTTCAAGCTGTTTGATACAACGGTTTCTTATCTCTTTCAACGGCTCTAGCTCTTCCCTAGCATCATCTTCATCGCACACAGAGTCACAGAGAGAACGAAACAAAACATAATCAGTACTCATGAGCATTCGTCAAGAAATCATCATTTAACTACGCATGAGAGCTCTGTTTTTAAACCTGCATTTCCACGCCAGTAACATTTCAGAAGCTCTTCAACACGTTGTGGCACCACATAAGCCCTTTTCGATTCATTAAACGGATGGCGACAAAGCAACCTCTCACCAACCTGAAAAACAAACAAAAGATTCAAAAAGGCAATAAATTTTGTGAATATCTTTTCAAGAAAGCTAAAGCCTTTTTGTTTTTTACCTTTGGAGATGGTTCGTTCTCTCCAGTCATTATATCAACCAGAGGATAACCCTCTTTTCCAAATAATCTGTAAGTACGTTTTTTACAAGGTATCGATACCTGAAGACAACACACGAGTGAGGTTTTTTACATCAAGAAGAACAACAAAAGCTTGAAGCAAACATTCTCAATGGGGACAGACCTTTGTAACGTCTTCAGAAAGTTTGATCCGAGGCTGATTGTTTATCTCCACGAGTTTGAATACACAGCCTAACGCGGCTTGTGCATAGCAAGTCACTAAGTTGGTTCCAATCCCAAATGCATCTACTTCATGACCCTTTTCAAGATGAAAAAATGATTCTGAGGCCTAAAATAGAAAATAGAAATTCTTGGTTAAGATGAGATTTGTACCTGTTTGTTTAAAGCATCGACTGTCTCTTCGTTTAGGTCGTTGCTCGCGGTAATGATCATCTCCCCAAAGTCAGGAAGTTTAAGCTCTCTCTCTATGGCGCAAAAGAATTTTCTGGCCTCAGTTGAAAGATAAGCTAAGTCACCTGAATCAAGTCTAATGCCTACTGCTTTGTATCTGCATAAACATCACAAAGTCAAGAATCTTCAAAATGTCTGCATTAGCGAATCAAAGACAGATTATGATGAATGGAAGGTTTCTTACGCACCCGAGTTCGTGAAGCGCTAAAGCAACAGCACAGAAGTTAGGAATTCCACTCTTTATCACCTGTAAAGCAATTCGAGAAAGTATTGCTTTTTAGTTTTTACTAACTCCATGGACGAGAGGTAAGAAAACAAAATGTAATCACTCACATCGTAAGTATCTACAAGAGCAAGAAAGGCGCTAGGGAATGCTAATGCGTAGGATGTGAATGCCGCAAGCTCGCTTTTGTTTGTCTCAGCGAAATTCCCACTTAATGAAGATGAATTCTGTAATCCACCAGCAAGAAAGATTATACAGAAATGAATCAAAACAAAAACAATACTACACTGAGCCAAGCAAAAACCTGAATCTTGGTTAGGCATGTTTGGACCAAACTAACAAAATCTTCACAAGTGCGTTTCCCATCAGAACTTTGAAGCTTTTTGTCAACAATCTCATCAAGGCTCTGCCATAAATACCAAAGTAAAGGATCAATCTTTTTACTCCTGTTCTCCATCAAATCTCTGTACACAAATTTCTGCAGAAGTGGATCTTACCATGAAAGAGCTAACAAAAGCATGCGAATGTGTACCGCGGAGGGGAATTCCAAACAATTTTCCCGCTGCAACATTGCTGCCGTCAAAACAAAGCAAGAAAGCAATCAAATCATATTCTCTCTTCTCTTTAGATCTTTCCATAAACAGAATATAATCACTCAAGTAAGACTGAGACATGCCTTGTTCCATCAAAACCTCCAAGGTAGCAATATTTTGATGCGCTTATTGCGCCATCAGGTCCCTATAACAACAATATATCAAAGATGAAACAAACAACTAACCTCAACATCTAAAGCTAAAGCTAAAAAATAAAAACAAGTTTTTAGTGGAAACCTGAGCTCTCCGAGCACCAAACTCAAGCAAAAGCTTAGACTTTCCGGCTACAAACCGATGCCTTGCTGCATTTGTAGCAACCAAAGATGCGTAATTGATGAGATTGAGAAACGGAGTCTCCAACAATTGAACAACCTTAAACAAACACAAGGAATCAGTTGTTTAGTAAAGCTTGATCATTCCAGTTATGAGAGTAGAGATGATAAGTAAACTCACAGCAACAGGGCCTTCGATTCTAAGCAGAGGCACTTTGGGGAAAACAACAGATCCTTCCGAAATAGCATACACTTCAATGTCAGAACAGTCAAGTCCTCGCAGATAATCACAAAAAGCTTCCTGTTTTTTTGGAAATTCCCAAAACGGTAAAAATCGATTTTTTATGGAAATTGGCAAAGAGAGAGGTTTTGGTTATACCTCACAACCAGGCAACGAATCACGAACGAAATCGATCTCTTCATCAGTTAGTTTGAAATTAGCGAGGAATTTGATGCATTCTTCTAATCCAGCGAAAATGGTGTATTCTCCACCAAATGGGTTCTTACGAAAATACAAATCAAACCTGACAATCGAAACAAAAACGAAGAAAAATGGAAACTTTCAGATTTTGTGGATTGAAAAGGATTGAGATTTATCTAACTGAGAGAAAGAGAGACGAACTAACACGGATCGTTCGGATTGTTTGCCGGCTTTCCAGTAAGCATAAGCCATGGTGAATTGGTAGAGATCGTTGAGCAGAGGCGTGACCATCGGGTTAGTGGGTCCGTCGACGACCCGACCCGGTTTCTTCCCATTCTCTTTCTTCTCCATTTTTCAAAACCCTGTGTGTGTTTTCTGTCTTCCGGCGACTTTAAGGAATTTGTGGGTTGTGTTAAAGAGAGAGTGGTCACTGATTCTGTAGCAAAAAGGCGAGCTTGAGGATGAGGATGAGGACAACTTATTTTCAACTCCAGTCGACTTCAACCAAATATCCTCCGAAATTTCCGTCCCAATTTACTTTTCGTTTTTTTTTTTCAGGATGATTGTAGAGTATATTTTTAATTATTGTATTTTGAAAACTTATCTTAAAAAACAAAAATTAAGGAGAAGTTATAATATAATAGATTGTTAATGTTCCCGCCGTAAAAATTATTATGAACTCAGTGCCAGTGATAAACAGAAGATACCAAAAAATGTGATTAAACTTGACAAACCAAGTTAAAGTAGAATTTGATGCTTAGAGAACTTCACTAGAAGCTTATCTGTAATTTACAAACCCGATTCAACTAGTTTCCATACAATTCGAAGATGATCTAGAAAAATATACATCCCACCATAAACATGCATAAGACCTAACAATAACTTGGTAATAAAAGACCGATCTTTTTATATATAGCTAGTAGATCCAAAGACTAGTCACTAGAATTTGTGTTAACAACCATTTATATTAAAATAAATAGAACCTTAGAAAAAAAAATTAAAGACCGTTAAATTAGGTAGCTATGTTGCTTGCGTCCAAAGAAACAAGAACTTTAGAAACCCAAAGTTGAGATAGTTTTCAAGTAAGTCGATCTTTTATGTCACGTTGTTGTCCATTGAACCCAGCTTGTTCCCCTGCAAAACCCCCAAATACTGTTTCAACATTTATTCATTTTCAGTGTCTTGAAACTTGTCAAGGATGCTAAAAGAAGAAGACTTTACCGGTTAAGTTTGTGTTGGAATGGCCAATGTTCAATCTTTGGTGAGCGAACCCGCCTTCTCGGTTCATCTCCTTCAGTAATGAAAAATTTATAGTAAGCAATGAAGAATCTAGGGTTTATAAAGAGAGAGAAATGTGCTATTACCACAGGTGAAGTAAGGACAGGGAAAGGTGCAAAGTGACCGCGAATGGAAGGTTCCAAAGCGTAAGAAGAAGGCGCGGTGTTGATCATCTCCGGCGCATTAGATGTCGAAGCAAACTGATTGGTGTGATTAAGCATTGGATCATTCGTTGCTTCTGGAGGCATCACAGGTCGGAGCTGAGAGAGTTGTAATGGGTGTAATGTGGTTCCAGGTAAGCATAGAGGGTGCAAGTTTATCCCATTCCTCATTGTCAACATCTGCAAAGATCAGAGAAATTTCATTGATTGATTCTGAAAAACAGTGAACATGCTGATGAATTGGAGAGGGGTTTTGTTACCTGAACTTGAAGCTGAAGCTGTTTCAGATACTCTATAGCTTCATCAAGCATTGAAGCCTTATCCGTCTTCCCCAAATAAACAAATGGACATTATAATCAGACACAATAAGATGTAAAGAGATAAAAGAATGATTCATGTGTATGTGTCTCTAAGTTACCTTGTTTGAATTAGGGATGAGACTCTGTAAAGCTTTCATTTTTTCATTGATTCTACTTCTCCTCCTCTGTCATGAACAAGATAACAAACATAAATCTCAAGTAAGAGTCTGATTGTGTCTGAACAACAACAAAAACGAACCTTTTCAGACAAATTATGAACTTCAGCAGCTCTGCATCTCTTAGATGAGCTACGAGAAGGACCAGACTTGGAGGGCATTTCATCAACCACTGCTTCTACTCCTTCCTGCTTTTTCATTCACAGCAATTGAACAAACACTCTCTGTGCATTAGTACTTACATTTTACATTCATGCTCAAAATCACACCAACAACAAAAAACAGCAAATTTAATTGTTCTTTAAAAGGGTTAAAAAAGGACAGATCCGTTAAAGAACATTCACTGTAGAACATTTTCTCGGGAAACAGACAAAGATGGAACTTTTAGAACATGCAGAGAGATAGACAGAGAAAGATAGAGATATCTATGTCAAGTACCTCGCTTTCACAATCATACTCGTCGGTTTCGTTCCCGCTAGCTCCAACGGAAGAAGACGATACTCGAGTACCGGAGCTGTTTCCTTGAGCATTATTATTCCCGCCGGAGAAACCATAACCCCCGGCGGAGCCTGATCCAACGCCGACAGAACCGATTAACATCTCCGAGAAATCAGCGCCGCGCTTCGACGGTAACGCAGAATCTGACGGTGGCGGAGGAGAGACAAAACATCTCGAGCTACCTGCATGTGGCTCTCCGCCACCGTGCACCCCGATCGTGGCCGTCGTCGTCGTCGTCGCCGGGGAATAGTAAGAAGGGAGAGGAGAAGAACGGTCGAAAATATGCCGGAGAAACTGAGAGATTTCGTCGGAAGAAGACGGTGGATGATGATTGTTGTTATTAGCACGAGTGTCGTAAATCGAGGTGCCCGAAGAAGACGATGAAATCAATTTCTTATCTCCCATCACTACTCTCTTCTCTTTCTCTTCTCTTTCTTCTCTCTGTGATTATTAGATGAAGAAAGAAAAAAAAAAAAAAAAAAGCAGTTAAAGCAACAAATGAACAAAAAACAGAGTTTTTGATTTTATGGGCATGGAGAGAGAGAGAGAGAGAGAGAGAGTGACTGTCACGCGCCAGCTAGAGGTCAGAGGTTAAAATGATTGGTCTGTCATGTAGCTAAAAGTGACGGTAGCTGTTACTGTAGCGAAAGCAATGAGCTTGTGTCAGCTCACGGTTTTTCAAACAAGGTAAGTAAAAAAATAAGTAAACAATTAAATTTCCTTCTCCCAAAACTTTTCCTCGTCGCACGTGAGACACACTAAACTAGTAGTACAAGTAGTTACTATTTTATTTATGTTTATTTTTTAAAATTTATGTTTGGTAACAAATGATACAACCTTTTATCTGCTTCCTCATAGTCCATTATTTAAAATAGAAATCTGTTAAGATGCATATGTATATTCTTCGTGCTACGGCATGAAACTCAATAAAATATCCCAAATTTAGAGAAAGAAAATGGATTAAATATCCCAAATTTGTTGATGGATAAATATTGAAGAATTCCATTAATCTATAGAAAAGGAACCTACACGTCTCTGAGTGTTTGACAAAACTATTTCTACTTTTAGTAACATGGACGACAATTCTAATTCTTGCTCGTTAGGAAACAAACAACTGATAATGTTCAATATATATGATTATCGTGTTAATTTTTATAATCAATATTAATCGTTTTGATTCGCCGCGTGGTATAAACAATACTAATACATTAGTTGCTTGTTTGCTGTTTTTATTCAATTGATAAAGCCCATGCCACTGACATGCGTTTTAGTTACGTGCGATTTTCAAATCAGCTCTCGTATTGCATGATTATATAGTTTTCATGGTGTCTTTGTTTTCAACGATACAACTCGTGTAGTAAGCCTTTCAGTTAGAAGATAGTGAATGCACCAAAGTCTCCAATTGCGTCCATGGACTGCACAACATACTAGACAATGCACATCTATGTAAGTATAACTATGAGAAGCAATTTCTTAGCCTGAAGCAGATTATGAAAACCAGTAGCTGACAATTAATTACACATGACCGTCCAATGATTTAACTGTGTTTGTTTGTTTTTTTTTCTTGTAGCACTGAAAACGTCAATCGTACTTGTTCTCTTGATGAATGCGCACTAACTGCATCATTTGTTTCACTGCAACATTCAAAACATAAATACTTATTTGTCCTCGTATTTATAAGTTCTGAAACGAGGGAAAAGGGAGACAATTACTAAAAGCCTGCAGCATTTTTCAGCATCTGCTTTTCAATTACTTTATTTAGGTTGTTTTTCTGGTATTATTTATCGGATACTGTTTTAATTTGTATCTGAGAACAAAGCACAACATATGCAACATACAAAAACTGAATGGTAATTTGAAAATGGATATAATATTGGAAAATTTCAACTAGTTTTTTTTTGTAAATCCTTGAGTATATGCCTTCACATCTCAACATGCATGTCTCAAGTCATTTGAATATCGTGTTCAATTTCAACATGATGACATGAAAAAAAGACAAGATTTACGGCTTCTAGAATTGTCAAAGTTATTAATGAAAGGATGGTTGAGATCTTGAAAATCTGTTCAAAATCGACATGATACACTACACTCCTTTATATTTTGTCTAGATTCTAACAAAATAGTTGAATGTTTTCTCCCCTTGTTTTTTTTGGTGGTTCGATGGATTTTCAAGTGGAGTCTCTGTATGTTAAAAGACCCATACCTTGTTGTCTTGTCTGATTTGAAAGTCAGTAAAAAAAAAAAAAATCAACAGAAAAAACAAAGATGATCATCCTAAACTTCCTTTTCACGTTTTATCCTCGTTTCCCTCTTTTCTCCATATGCAAAAATCATTGTCATGATATTAGATTGAACGATTGATCCATATGCAACATTACCATGACTAAAGAATCTGTAATATATATATATGATACAACAAGGTTAATATAACCCAAACTCGCGATTTTCATAAATTTTATGTTTTTACTTGTTTGTTGAAAGTTTTTGGAATCAACCAGTATTCCCACAACTCCCTAAATCAATGATAACATTCCAATAGTACTTTAGCAATAAAGAAAACACAATAATACTTTAAAGAACTCTTCGTATGAAGAATTATCTTCTCTCCTTTTATGCAAGCAAGTAGAAGAGTATAGTTATATTTCCGTCTTCATAAATTTTGGTTCCAAACACAACATATTAATTCAGCATATATGCTGTATCACACGGTGAATTATGTTTTCTTCTGATTTTTTTGCATTACAACGAGTGCTAAAATACCTAAAGCGTGTTTTGAGTTTTGGATTCTCATTATCAATCGCATTTACATAACATGAAATTATATACTGGATGGTTATATTATATATACCCTGCGAGAGGGACCACGAGATCATTAGGATCTCTATCGCAAATTCAACATCACACGTCAAATGAGTCTCCCGAGACAACTCCTCCCACTTGGAACTTAATTATCAATAGTAAACCATATATCTATTATTACAATGTATAATTAAAAGATAGGGATTTCCAATATTTAGAAGTCTCAACTGTTTTGTTGACGATTGATTTCACACAAAAAAATCTTCACAAAACAACGTAAAGGTAAATTAAAGTGGTTTAATGACTATAGTCCGATCGTACTAAACAACACAATCATGACACGAAAGTTGATTTTATTACCAAAGAGTAAAGAGAGTACGCGAATCCTTTTCAAGCGTCGTTTTTTCATTACAATCATATTGCTAATAATCATATTGCCAATAACTTAACATTAATATTGATAAAAAAGTGTTCAGTCCTGTCAAATTGAATTAGAGCTGTGTCGAGATAAATTAATCTACCACCCAACTAAAAAAAAATTATCCAATTAATAATCATTATACAAAGACAGTGAAGCGGAAATAAACATTGGAATCCATTTTTTTTTTAAGTAACTAAAACAAAATCTGTTCAAAAATTATAGTATTAGTCGTTATATTCAAATGATCGATATAAAATATTTTATCCAAAAATAATGATCGATAGAAAATAGTATTTATGAACGTTAATCTTAGTACCGATCATATAAATCACGAGGATGGACCGTAAAATGAAATCTATAACTATTTGAAACCAACAAATTTTTTTTTGTAAATTCGTCCACAAAAAAGGGTGAAAAAAAAAAAGAGATCGGACGGTTGGATAAGCAAGTGGATAGAGAGGATCTAGAGATGCGCAACAAATAAGCTTACGTCACAAACCTAGCATGATCCGACGGTGAGAAATTCACGAGAGATTTTTACAAATAATAAAGGGAAAAGGTGGTGGAGGGTGCTGTGATCTGGTGTGACGTCGTCCTTTTAGAGTGTTCTCAAGAAGACTCTATAGCACACGTGTTGCGGTTTCATTAGCTGATTAGTACAACTGTTTTAGTAGGATCGGACGGTCTAAATAAAGGTGAGTTGTACTTTGTTGATACGCACTCTAAAAAGTAATACTTCCTCAGTACAACAATCCTATCACTTTGACTCTACGAGTTCCACGCGCGCGTTTACGAGCGTTATCACACGCGTTCAGACAGTCGAAGAATTTTTTACTTGTCAGAAGAATCTTGCTAAAAGATATGAATAACGTACCCAAAAAAGTGAAATATCATACGTTAACCACAAAAGGGAGTAATTCGAATCCCAACGAATTGAATTTTGAAACTCGTTCGCTCTCTATACTAGAAAATCATCCAAACGTTTTCATTTTCATGTATTTATAAACATGTGCATTTATATATATATATATAAATTAAATTTTTATTTGGTGCTATTATAATGGTTGACAGATCAAAAATCGAACTCCAAATTTGGTAAAACTTTCATTAGTAAAGGCCAATATAAATTTGTCAAAACTATATTGTGCGTTAGGTCCATTATGCTGGAGATTCAAGGTAAAAACAATATTTTGCAAATGGGTTAGGTCCAGTGTGTTGTATAGGCCCAACAAGCTCATAATTTATGTAACAAATAAAGCCTTAACTAATAGGCTCATTCTGTTCAAACAGAAAGGCTGAAACTTTCGTTTGACTCTCACGGCTATCTACGATTTGGGCATAGATTCTAGTGTTCTGTTTAAAGTAAGTAAATCAGAAGCACGTAACGTTCAATCTCACTTGTAAATCTTGTGGGTTTCTGATTTTTTTTTCTCGTATCCACTAAGTTTAAATTGATAAAAAAAAAAAACAAAAAAAAACAACTCTAGCTTCTTCAATCAGAGATTTTGCGATAACCAGATCAGGCCAAATTGGTCCTAAGAGCCAATAGTTCTACAAGTCGATCATATTAAGCATATAGTTCAGGTTTAGTCATGTTTGGCTTGGTCATTTTGGAATTGGACTGGTCAAAATTTGCCAGAGTTACACTGATCGATATGGGAGTATTTAATTTATTTCACCACGACATCTATTGATGATTCCACACATTGGGTCATTTACACCGCTTTCTCTAACTAGCTAAACTAATTTATGATATTTGGACCAAGTTGGGTTGCTTTTTATAGGAAAGCTGTATAAACCCTAAGGCATGGCTTGTGATTGTATAATACGAAATGATCAACATCATGTTCCGGATTTGGATATTTCGTAGTTAGTATTTTGATACTATAGTCTATAGCTCTTACTATGTCAAACGCAACATAGAATTCTGAAATGAGGTGAGGAAAATTATGAAAAGGATTGAATATGGAGAGAAAAGTAGGTACGAGTCACAATTTGTACCCTAATTCGGGTGGTTCCCATGCTTATCACGACATTTTTATATGGACCACGAGAGTTTCTACTTTTATGAAATTTATAAAGTTGTCAAAATAAGCAAAGGCACGAAATAAAATGCTTTTGCCCGAATTAGAAACTCGTGAGAGTCTTTACTCTTTCATAACATGAAATTGTGTTCTAAAACATTTTGGGATGTGAAAACACCTTTCATTCTTTAAGACTTTGGAGGTCAATTCAGAGAGCAAAATCGTTATACTAATCAACACTCTTTAAGACTTTCAAATTTAGTTTCTTCTTTTTTTCCCGTACTTATTGGTTTATGAAATGTAAAACGAAACTTCAGATTTGAAAAAAGATTAAAACAGAACATTTCTGTTGGGATCCGGTCACCTTCAAATATGGTTTGCTGATACGAAGAAACAAATTTCTTGATTTTGTTTTCAAATCAGTTTTTCGATATTAATATAGCACTCTATTATACGTATATACGAGTAGTCAATGTTTTATAACGTGATTCCAATTCATGGAATTCCCCTCTTTTTTTTAAAGAGAGTTGATAAAATGTATTCAAAATAATACAAGTCCGATGGAAGTTTACTATAAAAGGAAAATGCGTTGAAAGCGATGGGACAAAACAAAGGCAATAAGGTAAGAAGATTGTCGGTGAAGGACAACAATATATGATGAAGCTGTGTGTGCTAAATTGATTCTTCTCCACTTTCAGCTAAGAAAAGAGATTCTTCAAGAACAAACAAACAAGAAATATAATCTGATAACTATAATTAATTTCGATAAATACTGTATACAAAATGATAATATACCTTTATTTGATCAATACTTATTTCATGAATTTCTCTTGAAAAATAAATAAATGGTGACTGCACTGCATCGAACTAATATTCTAAATATGGAAACTGACATCTTGAATGGCAATACATAATTAAAGGAAACAAAGCCGAAAAGAAAAGAAAATGGCAGACAGTGAATAATAGTTTTCTTTTTAACTTGCAGGGTAAAATCACTTTTAACAGCAACGGAAATGTTATTTGTTTCAGAGAGTTTTCTACTCTCGTGAAAAGAGGTCGAATCTATCGTCTACGTGTCTCTGCAGAATAGACAGTGCTTCGTAGATACGATGGAAAAGAAGAGATCTTTAAGTATAAAAAAAACTCAAAAGTAAATATTATAACTTTCTGGGTTTACTAAAGTTGCTGCAGAACATGAGTTCGCTCATCGCTGGTAATACTAATAATAATCATTATTTTAGTCTAATGTTTTAGAGTTTTCTCGACAAAGCATGAGAGACACCTGTCCTCTTTTGGGACCACTCTAATTTTATTTCTCAATGAAATGAACTTTTATATATAAGGAGTAATGTCTAAAAAAATAATGGATGTATTCTGAGTATGATCCTTATTTTATTACTAGTTTTTGACAATATCTTAATTATGATTCGGTACCAAGTGGATATATATTTGATATTTTCCTTTGCTTACACGGTATAGTGGATATATATTTTATTTTGTCTTTTTAAGGTAAGAGGCTGAAAAGTGTGTGTCGACGAAACAAAAGGGGTCAATAAACTAAGAAAACGCAAAAGAGAAAGAAGGTTAAAAACTCATCCATCTTGCAATGTTTTTTCAACATATTGGCAACGTTGATGATGCTATCTACTGTATAAGTTAAAAGTGCTCAATCGGACTAACTTGCATCCGTTAGTTCCGATCAAATTTTTATTTTATAAAAAACATACATCTAATAATCGGAGCATGCATGCGATTACAGATTAGATGAGAAACCTAGTCAAGATCACATTCGAAATCGATGAACAAAAATGCATATAACCATTTTCACAACCACATACATAAAGTTTTATTCCTTTAGGATTGATGTTATAATATTCGGATGGGAAACTATAGATTACAATTATTGTCCAATGTACTAACAGATCGTAGTTACAAAAGTGAATTTGTATTATAAAAATGATAGTATCGGTTTTGAGATTCTAGGTATTGCTTGCAAGTTGTTTGTTTGCTAGGAGACTCCATAAGCAAAAAAGCATATCCACTAATTATTTAACTATATACATTTTTAATTGATAACTTAAAGTTTTTCGATTTGACGAATTTTAAATTGAAGCACTAAGAACAATCAAGAAGTGTACTAGCAAGTTGGGTAATACGATTATCCTCGTGAGACTACAAATCTTGCCACTTATAGAAATGGATTAAATTAAAATACTGGCCCTCATGGCAATATCTTATTTTGAAAGTGACGACTTCAGTGACGAAATTAGGTTCATCTTAGATTTAATATTCGATATAACTCGTACTTAAGAACTTATATTAATTTTTAAAACTTTCTCCAGACAATTTCTATTCATAGACCCGACTGATTCCTTATCGTATGATTAAAAATATTATTTGACTAAACTAATTATAAAGTTTCGAAATTCCCCATGAAGTCTGCTTTCATTGGTCCATCGTACCGCTTCCTCGTACACTAATCTCCACTTGCCTTCAAACCCTAGACATTTTTTCTTAACATGTTAAACAAATTACATGTACAAATATGTGTATCAGAATATATACTAGTATATGCTATATATACATGTGTTTGTACACGTGACTGGTTTTATTTTGTCTCTGGAAATACTTCAAAGGTTTTTGTTATTCATGATATGTGTTACTTATAAGTTTTGATCGTGTTTTTTTTCAAAAAAGATTGGTTGTTTTAGCTACATATAATCTCAGGGTGATTTGTTCGGTTGATCATATTTCGAAGTTGAACTTTGAGATGATATTTTAAAAAAAAATTCGATATCTTGTTGGTTTGTTACATTACCAATGGAAGTCATAACTATTCTAGAAAACTATAATATCAGCCATCAGGTAGTCATGTAGGAGCCAACTATTCATGAATAATGTTCAGTGTTGTAGTTGCAAAGTTATAAAATATTTGAGTTGTTGATTTTGACTGGTAGTTCATAAAGAAAATAGATATAATTGTTTTGTTTGATTAATGTTTATGTCGTGTGGTACTGAACATTGGTTGTTGATTAAGTATTTTAGTAATGTTCATAAAGCAATCATAGTAACCCATTAGAAAACCCAAAGTTACATTGGTTATAGATTAAGTTTACGTGAGGTTAAAAACCCAAAGGAGTAGTGTACAGTATTTTACTACGCAGCCAAATAGATGAACCAAGAATTTAAGGTGGAACAAATTATACAGAATAAAAAGTGAAATCTAGGAAAGGTTTCATGAATAAGTGTAAGAGTAGGAAACAAAAACATTTAATAAATTGTTAACTTTTTACTAAAAGAGAATTAAAAGAGGAGAAAGGAAGTGAAGCCGAGAAGTCTCTCTCCCCATTATAACAATGTCTGACTTCTTTTGGGTTTCTGTGAGAGATAGAGAGAGAAACTGATTCAAAGGACACATTACTTGAAAATGACCACTCATCCCTAATAATCCCCAATTTTTATTTGCCTCTTTTCTCTATATAACTAGATTTATATTTCCAAGATTTATTTGTTTTCGTAGTAATTTAGTTAGTCTTTGAATATTGGGTATACTATTACTGTTTACTTTTTTAACTAATGGTCTGTCTCATAGCCTTGTAGGCCATATGACTTATATTTAGCGGTTGTAAAGATGAAAAAAAAAAGAACGAAGAGATCTCGCGGTTGATATTCTTTTTAACTTTTGTTGAGATCGTAAAATAACTGTGAGAATTTTTTTTCTTACTCCATTAGGGAAACATCAGTACCAATCTACTTCTGATTCTCTCTCTCGTCTCACCATTAATGCTGTGAAAATAAATATCACTGTCTATTCTTCTGTCGGTAAAATATCTACATATTGGACAAAACCAAAAACATTATCGTTGCTTCCATGAGTATCGCTACTTATACTATAATTTTTTAAAGTTTTGATGGAAAAAATTGTTTGTCTAACGAAAGTCCAAAAACATATTTTGTATACCATAATATTTTTTAAAATATGATCTAAGGAATAGTTTATTCACCTTTACTCTTAGTAAACTACTTAGAACTTTTCTTTTATCAATCGTGCGAGCATAATTGTTTGTTGTAAACTCGTAATTACACCTCTTTTCAAGTAAAATAGTTTAACCTTTTCCGTTTGGCAGGCATTTATAAGAGGTGAATCCAATTGAACGTGCTCAAATTATAAATTTTGATTGTTGATATTGTAAACTTAAAAGTATTTTAGGATTCGATTTCTGCTCAGTCCAACTTTACCAAACCAATGCAGCAAAAGGAAAACCCACCAACCAAGTTTTCTATAGAATGTAAGAACAAAAAAGTGTATATATCTAAAATAACTAACAATGTTGGGAATTATATCACACTTGGATGTTATTGGGTGAGAAGATACGAAAATAATTATTAAATAAAATAAAAACCTATTAAATGAAATAAGGGTGAGGGATAGATATTAATTGAATATTGATATGAGAGAGGAATAACAAATCAAGTTAGGACTGAGCATATATGTAGATAGGTGCAGGTAACATATAAAGCAGTAATGTTTTTAAATCTTTAATAAATGTATCGAGAAGAAACAACAAAAGACAACTCATTGACAAATCTCATCTCAACCTTTTTAGTCAGAACATCTCAAATCACACACTTATCCAATTTCCCATATATCCAACAATTTTATATTATATAAATTTTTAACCGCTTGAGGGAAAAATATGTTCATTAATTTTCCAGAGAAAATTTCTTGGCCGAATTAACCAGAGGTTTTAACTTTGAAGAGAAACAAACGAAAGAAGAGAAGATAATTTAATTTAATGACCAAGAACATACGAGGCTTTAAACATCAAAGGATCATTTCTTCCCCGAAATTGTTTTCTTATATATTAAAAAAGATTAGAATATTAAAGATTCAAGAAGGTCTCATGAGAGGAGGTTGGAAGCCATTGGTCTGCAGCCAATTTTGATGAGAAGTAGAAGTTGAATTAAAAATCTGATTGTGATGATGAGGAGAGAATCCTGATGATGCTGCAGCATTTGCCAACACTTGGTTCGTCGTGGTCCGACCATCAAACCGGTGGTTCTCGATCACCGGAAACAGGGAGAAACTTCCGCCGCCAATGTTGCTGCTGCCCGGAAACTAATTTACCGAAGAAAAAAAATTACAATGTTGTGATTAAAATGTCACTAAATGAGTTTTTTTTTTTCTTTTTCATTTGTTGTTTTTTTACTCACTTGGTGATTTGAATTGGGGATATGGTTAGGCATTCCGGTTTGACCTAATCCAAGACTCTCATTAGAGTGGAGAGAATCTTGTTGTTGGTTCATCTGAAGGCAAAACAAATGTTTATCACAAAGTAACACTTTAATAAAGGTATAAAAACACACATTTAAGGTACAAAATTGTTGTTAATAATGAATTAATAAACCCTACCTTGAGCCGCATATCTTGACTCTTTGCCTTAGAATTAGCAGAATTTCCCAAACTCAAATCGAGGTTATGATCTTGTTGTTGAGTTGGATTCCCTGAAGACTCTAGACAAATTCAAAAATCTTTTAATCCAAGTCCTAACATCTAACCCAAAAATAAATAAAATTAGCCGATGTAAAGAAAATGAAAAAATTACCGGCATTGAGTTCATCGTCGTATATACTCGGGTCAAAGTTCGTTACTGCGTCTTTGCCATTACATTTGATGGCAGCTTTATCGTAAGCCCTGTGTTTATTAAATATTTTTGTTAAAAAAGAGAAATTAATTAGAACAAAAAAACCTAAGATTTAATTTCTTAACAATGTGTTTAATAGATTTATACACAAAGAGTCAAAGACATTACCTAGCAGCTTCAACCTCTGTGTCGAACAAACCCAAATAAACATACCTAATTTTGAAGAGTTCAAGAATCAGAAGACATGGATAAAATAACAAAGCTAAAACGGATTACTATAAGTAAAAGAAATTACTTTTTGCCTAAGAATTGACCCATCCGAGCCTCCCAACGACCACACTTGTGCAAAGTGACACCTCTATACTTTGAACTTCCTCGAGGAAAGCCTGTGCTTTGTCGCCTAAGTACGTGCACGAACTCTTCCTTCGTTAAATTCGTCATCTACATATCAAAGTTAACCATCAGTATTAGTCTCCCAATTATTGTTAATCCAAAATTAAACCATTAGTAGTTTACCTGCTTCAAATCATCATCGTAATCTTCGATGTTGAAATTAATATCAGCTTCAACTCCACGGAATTTAATTGCAGCTCTATCATATGCGCTACAAAGGTTGAAATTTTTATAACTTTAATTTTTTGTATTTTTTTAATTAAATATTATTATAGAGAGAGTCAAAGAGAGAAACATACCGAGCGGCTGCATGAGCAGTGTCAAATCCACCTATTCAGAGATTTAAATAGAAAAAACAATAATTTTTATGATGACATTTTTCAACACCAGAATCCAAAAATAAAAATTGAAAAAAAATCTGGAAAAATAAAACTTACCTAAGTAAACCTGTTTCCCACAGTCCCTGAATTTCAGAGAAAAAAAAACAAAACTTTTTATTTATATCTTTACCAATAACAAGTACGATCGTGTTAATCAAATTAAAGGATGAGATTTTTTAAATTACCAAATATGAGATTCCCATCTTCCTGTTCGCCGGTAAAACGTAACGCCTCTATACTGAGAACTCCTTGACCTCGGTCCACGCCGGCTCTTTTTCAACGGCTGCGCTGGCTCCACCACGGCGGCGACGCTGGCTGCTTTACCCGCTGATGATCCGGTCGTTAGATCCGACTGACAAAACTTCACTCCAAACCAGTGAGCCCGAGGAAAACCTGACCCGAGACCACCACCGTCTCCTCCGGTAGATTCCATCTCCGGGAAGAACTGATGTGTGACAAGTGGGTTATTGGGTCTGACCCGGTTTTGTTCGTCGTCATCGGATCCATCTTCGATGACCACAGCTGAAGAACTTGAATTCGAGAAAGATCCGACCCGTTTACCCGGTGAAGAATAACACAACTCTTCGGATTCTTCTTCTCTAAGTGTCTGGTGCGGTGAGTCATTTAGATCCCACATTTTTTTGTCTATATTTGTTTTTTTGATCTTTGAGGTTTCAAAACTTCAATCCTCTGGTTTGATTCTCCTCAAGGTTAGAAGCTAAATAAGAGAAAACCAAAGGAAGAGAGAGCTTTGGTTGGTAGAAAAAGAAAAAAAAAGAAAAAAAAAGAGAGTAAGAGCTAGAGAGAGAGAGAGAGAGGAAAAATGAAATTTTTTTCAATTTTCAGAGTTTGCTTCTACGAAAGCTTTCATTTTTATCCTTTCCTTTATATTTACTTCCAGTGCCCTTTCTCTCTCTCTTCACTGGTTTTTTTTTTTAATAATATTATTCTCTCTCTAACCACTTGCTTTCTTTGGAAAAAAGATTATATTCGAAACAATTCCTCGTATTGGAGTTTCTTTATTTTTCTCCTCTTTTTTTGTAATTTCCACTTTTATTATTATCAATGTATACAAACATCTTCTTTGATTAATCCAAAGATTCCATTAATATGTAATTTCATGTTTTAAGAAAGTAAAGTCCACGGCTTGGTTCGGTAAGCAATCTATAAAAGGCATTCTTTGCAAGAAAATGAACAAAGAGTAGATTACTGAAAAACCCCACAATTTTGCCAAAACTTATATACTTTAGCTCTTGGAACAAAGCTTTTTGTTTGTTTTTTTCCTTTTTCTGTATGAATAAAAGGTAATAGGATACAAATACAAATAGCTCACGCATGGATCCATTTTTGTTAAAGATACATATTTATGTACAATAAATAGGTGTTTTCATGATCGGGCAAATTAAAGTAGATGGGATACTAAATATATTGTTTATATGTTTATTTAAAGCCGAGTTCCTACCAAAAACAGCAATTTCTTGAATACAAGTAAGTAATAGGATTCTCACTATGTAAGAAGTTACATATTGGGAATAACTTGTTTCAAGCTTTTATTTATTGCTTAATGCTGTATTGGTGCAAGTTTTCTGTTTATATTAAGATACCTTGCCCAAACTTTTACTGTGTGTGAAATCATAAATCAATTGATGATCGTAAACTATCTGTTTTCTTCATAGGCTGTTCCAACCAAAGGCTTGGCAGATATATATTAAGGGAAACAAAAATTAATCAAAGTCCAACGCTTTTAAAACTCATTTATCAAACTATATTAATTGCTTACTTGGTTACTTGTTTCTGTGTTCACGAAACAACACATCCAATAGTCTATTAGGATTGTTTTAAACCGTAGAATTCAACGATCTAGAATTCTTTGGTTTCTAAATGAATGATAATACCCATAGACTTGCAGACCATTTTCTAATCTTGTCAATTTAATCTGACTGCTGCGTTTGGTTTACAGGCCCAATATTAACATTAGCACTTTAAGTTTTAACAGGTTCTATTATAACTGGTGACAATTATTTGAATTTGATAAGTAACATATTTTAAAATTAAGCACCAAGCCAAAAGCTTATATGATCGATAGAAACACAAAATGTTGTAATGTGAAGTCTGTATAAGGATTTCCCAAAAAAAGAAAACACAGTTGTACATGTAGAACATGTGAACATGTGACATTAAGATTTTGAACCTAATCAAAGATTAAATACACCCAAAACATTCAAGACAACGAAACCATAGTCGAACTAGCTTGCTTGCTTGCAACAAGTTGCTTTATCAAATTGGCCATGCTTTTTCGCAAATATTCAGATCAACTTGTTGGAAACTACCCTTCTTTAGATCTCATGCGTTAATTAGCAAAACACCTTAGTTAAACATTCGATCTTTGTAAACTAATCTACTCGGTTTTGTTCAGTGTAATTTTAATACATAACAGTCAGTTTATACAAAATTATTGCTAATTTGGATACTTCGATTTTGAAACTTATTCGGACTTAATCGGTGTAAAACTGTAAACATTTGATTTTTTTTGACATACAAAAGTGGAGATAACATAGATCGAGTGGTTCATATTAATCTGTTGGGCTGATTTGAAAATACGAGGCGAATAGAAGGACACAAACGGAAATATAGGAAAACGATTACATTTTGTATAAATAAATAAAAGAAAGCAAAGGGTTTTTTGGTTATAGAGAGGTATCAAAAAAAGGAAAAAGGAATTATGAGAAGAAAAGGAAAATGTTACCAGAAAAGATCAATCCATTAGTACGGACAAACTGTGGGGTCCACTTTTTCCCTCTTCCATCCACCAATGCCCTTTCGTTTCTCTCTACCTCGTATTTTCGTCTCACGCGGTCTCCGTCGTCCGTGTCACTCACGCCATCGCTGTGTCCCCGCGCGTGTTTCGCATTACCTACGACCCGAGATGCCGTTTCGTTTCTGACCACAATGCTGGAGCCAACTATACATTTTGGTATTATAATAAGATTTGGATCGTTAGATTCGTATACTTGTGAGAAAAATCGTCATTCTTGACATCACCTCCATGATTTTCTATTCTTAATTTTTTTCTAGAATCTGTTGTTTGTATAACCTTTTTGGAAAAACTTCCAAAAATCCAATAAAGTATTCAAATCAATTTACATGATAGAAAAATGAATAAGTGAAAGCTTTCAGAAAAAAGAGAGAAAATAAAAAGAAGACGATGGAGAAGGACTTGTGTCGGAAAGGGAAACATACAATTTTATTTTGTGTTTATGTTGGGTCCATCGGAAAGACACGTAAATTGAAAATCACCAATTTTTGAGGTTGCCACGTCACTACCCACTTTGTGAATTTACCCACCGAGTTATTATCATGGATGTGTGTATACTATTTCTTTTTAAGGATGAGGAATCAAAGAATTTTGGTGTTCTCGGTGTATTTCCAAACTTATCAAAACGCTTCTGTGAATCTTTGTAAATATATTAGTACAAAAATATCGGATGCTATTAAGAAAAGTAAAACAAAAGGGGAGTACGATATGAATGTTATAAACAGAAATCAGTAGACTTTCAGGCAAATCTAAAAATCTAAGTTCCTAAAAAGCAATTTACATGACACGTTGTACATATTTTGAGTGGGATGCAATAACAAACATTCCAATAATGGCTTTCGTTGAACATGTTGCTTTCCTCAAGTGGAAACTACTGCTCTTCTCTCTCTATGTCCCACTCTCTCTCTCTCTCTATCTATATATGTATATTAATTACACACATGTATATATTATCTCTATGATTTATAATTGCATTTTGGTGATATATAAAAGCTTGATATTTAGAGATGTGATATACAAAGTACAGTATTGTATATGCGTTTGTATTATGTCAATAATTACTAAAGCCCACGGCCCACTTTACAGAGAGATACTCTGTCTCTTATTTCTCTTTCCAATAAAAGAGGCCCACAAAAACTATTATTATTCCCAATTACCCCCGTGAATTTCTTTTTCTTTTTTAACTGATTCAACAAAAGTGTGCCAATAAAACAAAACCAAAGAAAACAAAAATATAAAATTCCTAATTTCGGCTGAGTTTATTAGACCTTTATACTCCCTCGTTATACGACATATATGATATGACAAAAATGTACTAAAGGAACAGGTATTATTGAATGAAAATTTAAGTAAAGGTACAATAGATACCGTAGGGGATCATTTATACAATCTATTTATGTATAAGTTAAATAAAGATCACATCCCCACAAGCCACAACGATGTCACATGTAGTTGTTAATATGCCTAGTACATTAACCACGACATAAATAAAAAGAATGATCAATGCCTGTATCTACCACAATCTACTTGCCTATGTGTTCACATAGTGTGGGCGAGTAACAATAAATTCAATTTATCATCAGCTCAGTAAATTTCATCGAATTTCAGTTACTTTAAACGTATAATGAATTACTCCGAAATAAAGTCATAAATGAAATACATATTTCCAGCTACTTGGACTAAAATGTTAACACCTAGACTGTCACAGATACGTGTATTAATGATCATATCGAATAAGTAATTTGGACTCAATAGTTTAAGTTTGAATGCAGATCAAAACTGTAGATCTTGTTGGGTAATGGTTAAATATCATGGACCCTATAATCATCACTGACATAAAATGAGTAAATATCAAATACAACGTTATTGTTTATTTAAGAGATAGTGATATATTATATATACAAAGACAACTAAGCTCATATCTAAAGGTTTTGTTCGTAAAGAATCCAATCTTGGAATCGCAATCAAGTCCGAGATTAACGAACGTGGAAAACATCGGACGGCATCAACAGAATCTCGATTTGTGAAGTTGTCCAAATCTTGTTAGACTTCTAAATACAATCCTCAAGTAGGATCCACTTTTTTAACATGCGTATGTGGCCTTAAATTATTCGTTCAAATGTGGGGGCCATGTGAGCGAGCTGATAGTGAGATATTGCCTCGATGTTGCATTTGTTTCGATTTGGTAATATACTATTGGATCCGACTCTAAATATGAAATATACGACCGCTACAAAAGATTAATATATAATTATACTATAAAGTATAAAGAAACCGGGGCTTGTAGCCCAGTGGTAAAGGACCCTCAGCTGAGATACCCGCCACCTGGGTTCGAGTTCCGGCCACAATGGATTTAACATCCCTTCCGTTGGGGCGTTGGACTCCACTTGTGGGGATAGTGGGAAATGTGGCTGCCCGAATACCAGAGTTATCAAAAAAAAAAAAAAAAAGTATAAAGAGCTCAAGGAACAAAAGAAATGCATGTGTTGAAACTTGAAACAAATGCAGGAGAATTCAAATTATCTGAGTGTATTTTCTATTATCAAACGTAATTTAGCCGAACATCTTGTCTTTTTGTTCTCTTTCACTGTAGGTTCACTTTTGCTGATTCATTTTCACACCGATCCGGCCAAATTTAGTTTTCAACACTATATTCGTTGAAGGTCACTCTTTTGTACTCCGAGACGAAATGTGTGTTTGTTTTCTTGTTGCTCATTTGCTTTATACACATAAAGTGCAAACTAGCTACTTGTCTACGTAATTAACATTTTAGAAGGTGTTGGACTACCTAATTTTTTGAACGACAAGAATGGTTGATAGCAAAAGCATAACATGTAGTCTAAAAAATGTCAAATTAGAATCATATGTTAAGAACTTGAATGATACTACATGTGTTCGCAAAAATTAAACATTTTGTAGGAGTGAATGGAAAATAAAAAAAACGAAGGGTAAATCAAGGAATAGGTTTGGGACAGATTAAAAGTTAGGGTTAAATTATTGAGAAGGAGCAAAAAAATCTTAAAGGAGACGACAAAAAAAGGGACAAAGGGAAACACGTTAATGTACAAATATAGTAAGGAGTCAGGAACTTAGGTACGATGTCCATACGTTTTGCGGTCCAAAGACTTTCCATTTTTGTAAATCTTTGAAATTAACCCCACTTGGTTCCCAAACATCCTTAGACACCGACGACACACACACACACACAATTTATTTCTTTTCAATTAAGCTTTCAATTTTAGTTTTTACTTTTTATTTTCTTTGGTACTATATCGAAACCACACCCAAATGTTAGTACGGTCCCATTTGCAATAATTCACGTTAGTTAATGGAGGGACCAACGAATCATTCCTACTTTACAAGTTTTCATGAAAATGGGAATCATTTCCTTTTATCACTTTTATTTTTGCTTTTGATTTGTTTCGATGTTTCAGACAAAATAAATAACAAGATGATTGATGATAGGTCGGGCCTAACTGAGGCTTAGGTAAGAGATGCATTATGATTCTTTCGTTTTTAAGTCTGAAGAAAATATCTCATTAAGGGTTGTTGACCAGAACATTTAAAACGACAACGTTTAACATGCAATAAAAACTGTTGAGTTTCATTAAAGTAGCACATTTCAATATTTCATATGCTAAGAACAAACGAACGGACGTGGAAAAACGTGCTTAGTCTCACAGTTAATTAATCTAATGATTAAAAGTAGTTTTTGCAATAAAACTTAGTCGTTGAAACTGTAAACTCAAAAGCTCTGGAGTAGTATTATTTTTTCTTAGTGTCGTGGAAATAGATAGCAATTTTTTGGGCAAAACAAAATAAAATGAAAAACGCAAACAACTTGGTGATTTAACAAAAACAACAAGTTCAGAGTCATTAAAGACAATTTCCTTTCACTACAATGAAAGGCTTTAACAGTTTAACAGAAGATTAAGGTTTAGTTTCTCGAAAAAATCATTTTTTCACGTGTATGCCAGATTATTCTTTGCATATGTGATAATCAAAGGAGTATAAAAAAACGAATAGTAGAATAATAACCTTGGTTAAAGTTGTTGTTCTATGTCTCTGAAAGTGATAACAACTTTTTGGGAAAAAAACAAACTGAAATGAAAAACGCAAATAACTTGAGCGATTAAACAAACAACAAATTGAGAGTCGTTAAAGGCAATTTCATTCGAATACAATGAAAGGCATCATTGAAATGAATTAAAAAATTCAAGATCGGTTAAGTTCTTATCCATTTTTTGCTTGGTTCGAGATATAAACCGGTTCGGTTTATAGGAACTAAACGGATGATGAAACAAAAAGGAAAGTCACATTTCGCTTTTCCCAATACAAACAATCTTTTGAGCGGTGACGCATATATCTCCTCCATTACTTCCGGCGATCTCTCTCACGACGGCCAATGGACGCCGTCTTCCACGCTAGTCCTCTCTCCATCACGCGCTTAGGCGCATCATCCTCTTCTTCTCCGTCTCTACTTCCGTCGAGATTATTCGCCGTCCAGCTCGGCCACCAATTCACTTTCTCTCTCATCTTCCCTTCCAAATCCCGAAGTCCTTCAGCTTCTTCCGCCACGTTGACGGCGAAATCCTCTTCGGTATGCTCACTCGTATCGACGTTTAGCCTCAAATTCGCGTTTGGATTTTTGGGAATTTTGAAAATGCATGTGATCTTTTACGACTTAGTGTTTTGGGAATTTTGATAGATCAGGTGTTTCCGACTCTTTACAACGATTGAATGTATACTTAGCTAATAGCTTAGATCAGAAATGGTGAAATTCCACATGTGAGATTCGAAATGCATTCTTAGAGTTATAGGATTTGAAGAAGCAAAGTCGCTCGAGTAATGAGATAGTGACAACTTTCTGAATTGATTCGAGCGATTGGGAATTCAAATTGGTCACTATTGTTGTAGATATCCTGCATTTTGGGTTTGATACTCGAATTATGTTGACTAAGTGTTGAACAAGTAACCAAGGATGTGTGTTGACTGTTACTGTAGCCAAGAAGCGGAGTGTACACTGTTGGTGAGTTCATGACGAAGAAGGAGGACTTGCACGTGGTGAAACCTACGACTACTGTGGACGAAGGTAGGTGTTTGTTATCCTCTACAGTCCATCAAATTGCTGGTAACATTTCGATTTATGAGTGTTTTTTGAAAACTTGTGATTTCTCTTTCTCTTAACAACAGCTCTGGAAATCCTTGTGGAGAACAGAATCACAGGATTTCCTGTGATAGACGAAGACTGGAAATTGGTAAGCATGCACTATTTTGTATTCAGTTTTTACGTTTGGATAGGGAAATGAACCTTAACCTCTTCATGGGGTTTGACTTGAGGAGTGTACTTATGAGGGAATCTCTGTTGCTGCAGGTTGGGCTTGTTTCGGATTATGACTTGTTGGCTTTGGACTCCATATCTGGTAATTGGGCCAACTTCACCACTTAATGTACTGTATTTGGTTTCCTTTGTTTTTCAAGATATTTTGATTTTGAGTTCTCCCTTTGAAGTGGAGAAAGAAGAAAGCTACTTGATCACATGGCGGTAATAAAGCCATAAATTATCAATGTTATGATGACCTACTGTCTCATTCGTTGCGAGAGATAGCACGCTTACTGTGAAAATGATCAAAGCTTCTTCCCTCACACCTGAATTCTTATTGTTTGGGTTTGTTGCTTTGCTAATAGGTAGTGGAAGAACAGAAAATTCCATGTTCCCTGAGGTTGACAGCACCTGGAAAGTATGTGGCCCTTTTCTTTTCCTGTTAACATTTGAACCTGAATGCTTTTCAAACTACTCATTCATACTATTATTTTTCCACACTGTGCTCGTTTGCCTGTTTCACATGATTAGCAGTATCTAGTTTGAATTGAACTTGTTTTTGGTTTCAGCTAGTTGCTGCAAACCTGCTACAGGATCTTGTGACTGTTGTTATATTCAGTTCCCTAGTTTAGATAGGCGAAACTCTGTATAGAGATTTCAAGTCTGACATGATAAACCTTCTTTCTCATTTGTTCTTGATCGAATGAGAACATTTACAGACTTTCAACGCAGTGCAAAGGCTACTCAGCAAAACCAATGGGAAGCTTGTTGGAGACCTAATGACACCAGCTCCAGTAGTTGTTGAGGAAAATACAAACCTAGAAGATGCTGCTAAGTTATTGTCTTACACTTTTTTTCAGTGCAGTCATTTCTTTTTCTTTTAATCTCTCTTATCTAACTTAAGCTTCTTTTTCCACTAGAATATTACTGGAGACAAAATATCGGCGGCTCCCTGTGGTAGATTCCGATGGCAAATTGGTAAGAGAGATTTTAACATTTAACCCATCTCACACTTTATTTGTGAATTACACCATCGCTTATCCTTTTACATTTCCTTGTGAAAAAAGGTTGGTATTATCACAAGAGGAAACGTGGTTAGAGCTGCGCTTCAAATAAAACGCACTGGTGATTGGAATGCTTGAATAAGATAGAAACCAAAAGATCAATAAACATTCTCCAGAGAATAAACAGTGTACTACTGTGTATTTAAATATATGATCGCGTCTTAACTATAAGCATAGTACAATATATGAAGGATCAAAGATCTTATACTGGTCGGTGCAAGCAAGTCAGGTAAGTGGTAAGTGCACTACTTACTTTCTTTTTCTGCAGAATCAGCTTCTTGTTTGTTTGATGGGTTAGGTTATCAGATGCTTTGGGTATTTGATTCTCATCCAAATTATGCTTTTCTTTTTTTTTTTTTTTTTTTTTTTAAATAAAAATGTTTTCCATCTTTCTACATTTGGTTAACCACCAAAGTAACAAACCTTTTTAAAGGTAAATTTAATTGATTTTGGTTCAACCAAAAATATATTTCCGTACAAATGTAACTGACTAACTAACTGTGCATCGTTTTCGGTTGAGCAACCTTTTCGAAGTTTTTGAGTTTTGTTTTTTTAACATGAGACTGTAGAATTCGTTGAAAAAAAACCCAGCTAATAAAAATATAAATAAGTTGCAAAGACAAAAGAGTTGGTTGCGAGGTCATGATCATCGTTGGCTGTCCAAGGAAACAACAAAATAATCAAGCTTTCGTTGGGTTAGTATTTACAAAAGAAAAAGCACCATCGTATCTGAATTACAGAAAGTCAGAAACAGTTTATTTTAGTAGTTGGTCAAGCTTCAAGTTTTCGCTCTCATTGATGAGAAAGAAACACGCCCGTTTCCGACCAGTCTTTTCAAAACAAGACCATTAACAAGAAAATGAGCAATTCTTGATACGAGTTTTTGCTGACTTCGTACCACACAAAAAAGAAAGGATTATGTAAAAGAAGAGAAAGAAACAAATAAAAACCCAAAATGACTGTAGTAGTTACGATAATAGAGATGGAGAGAGCTTTAGTTGTTAAGATCGGACAAGTTAAGAAACAAGACCCACTTACCATATTTGTTTTGTAGGACACTCTTTGTCTCTCCCATCTCTCGACTCAGTACACTCACTTCTTCTATTTCCCCCCTCGCTTCTGCTGCTATTCACTCGCCGACGAGTTTCTATCCAGATTTCTTATCTATAATATCCAACTAATACAACTGTACTTGATTCTCATTTATTCCATATCAGAAAAAACTGAAAAAGACCAAATTGATCAAATACTAGATAGGCCGACAAAAAAAGAGATCAATACTAGATTAGACTTTTTAACCAAGGAAAAAAAAAAACACCGGATAATGGTTTATGTTGTTTCTTACATCCAATCAAACATTGAACAGTTTAATTCTGAGTTTGAGAACTGACGTTAAGGAGTGAGTGAAAAGTGAAAGCTATATATAGAAAAATATGATTACACTGCTAAGTAAACTAGTAATCACAAACTCAGAGAGGAAGTGCATGTTAACAACAACCTCGCATAATAAAGAAAAACAATCTCTAATCTTCCTTTGGTGGAGGAAGAAAGAAAGAAAGTTGGAAACTGAGAACATAAAGATATTCGATCTTTCTACTTCCTCTCCTTAATCGTCATCTGAAGTTTCCGGATCGGGTAATTTGTTCAAATCAACCCGTTCCCACTCGTTACACTTCTTAAACTCTTCCTTACTACTACACTCGATATGGTCACCATCATTAAGACGATAATCACTGTGATTAACGTTATGATCATCATCGACGTAATCATGATTAACACGTTGATGATGATGATGGTGATGACGATTCCCTCCCGCCGCTTCTAACGCATCCACTTGAGCTCCAACCTCCGCCGCTTTTCTCCTTATATACGCCGCCGACATATCCCCACCACCGTGTCCTCCTCCTCCCGCCACCGTAACGCCGGCTAAAAGCTCCGGGAAGTTAAGCCGAGCTGATGGACCTCGGAGATAGAACACCGCCGTGTCGTAAGCTCTAGCCGCCGCCTCAGGAGTTGAGTAAGAGCCAAGCCAGATCCTTGACCGTTTATTAGGCTCTCTAATCTCCGCCACCCACTTCCCCCACTTCCTCATCCTTATCCCTTTATACGGCTTCTCTCTCTTCCTCGTCGCCGCCGACCCAACCGCAGTCGCCGGAGAAGAAACAACCGCCGCTACTTCCGTCGCCGTCTCCATATGGGTTTTCACCGGAGATTTCAAAAATCCACGAAAGAATCAGAACCTTTCCCCGATCTTGTGATAAAGAGAAGGAGAGGTTGGAGAAGAAGAAGAAGATGTGAAATTGACGGCGAAGCGATTACATGCGGAGGGAGATTGATGAACACGTGGGCCAAGAAGAGATGAGAGGAACACGAAACCGCAAAAGAGAAGTTCAAAAAATTCACCGACACTAATCTCTTAATAACTTTCTCGTATATTTTTTTTTTTCTTTTTCTTTCGTTTCTCTCTATGTATATTCTTAAGACAGAGACAACAATCTCATCTTCCCTGACATTATATATACACATATAGATAAAATCGTATTTATTAAATTTTGTCTTTATTATTTGGACGGAATTAAAATATTAGTGTTAAATACGCTCATGCACCTTATTTTAGTGAAGCTCGTCGGCTCTTTCCATTGGCTGAGTTGATTACGATATACTATCCAAATAAACATATTTTAATTCAAGATTAGATATTTCACAATTTGTTTTTATAATAGCCTGATTCGCTCTAATTGATAACTATAGTTGGTAACCACAATTGTAAATATGTAATGGAGTATTTAAAACTGTTTCTAAGCACGTTAAATTGATGATATAGCTGTAAACAAATTATAAAAAACTCAAAAAACCTAATCTGATATATACACTTTGAGTTATACATTGGACTATATATATAACATTTGTAGTTGAAATAGTCAACTCGTCAATAAATTTGAAAGACTCTTAACGAAATAAAAATAAACTGAAAATACAAGTAAACAGAGGATATTTATTGGTTGCATGGAATAAGAATAGTGTTGACGTAGGGAAGTGGGTCGTTGTTGTAGAATTTGGGAAACAATAATAAATAGGTTTTAATTAAAATTGATTATGTTTTAAAAATTATAGAGAAATGTTCAAGTAATAATGCGATTAATTTAACTATCTATTGCTTTGTTGCATTAACAGATTTAATAGGGAAGAGGCGGTGATGACACGCGTGTCTCCTTCTGTTCTGGGGACAAGTTAGTGGGATTTCTGAGGAGCTTTGTCTCTTCTTATTTCCTATGTTTTCGTAATTGTTTTCTTATTTTGTTCTGTCAATCAAATAATAAATTTCAAATGTTTCTGAGGAGTAATATTTTCACTTTTTTCCTGACTTGTATATTTTAATCTCACAAACTTGAAAAAAAAAATGTATTCCACGCATTTTGATGTTATCACTACTAATCGATGTAACTATAATGTTTTTTTGGATTTGCCGACAAAAATCCATAAAACATTTTGTGAATTGTACGAGTGATTTTTTGAAAAGAAGTTGAAATGTATTATTGTTTGAACATTTTTGTATAATGTTTTCAGGGATCCATCTACAATTTAAAAAATATAAAGAGATGAAAACTTTTCTATAATTGCTTTACCCTGTAGATGTTACAGCCAATTTCTACCGCTCTTTTCAAATACATCCTTACTTTTGGGTTTTGGCTACAATAAGAAACTAACTAAATCTCTCAAAATTTTCTTAAATTGTGGTTATGATTAAGTTTCGAAACTTCGTGCGGTGATAGGTAATCCAACCTTAAAGCGTTAATCAGTTCAATTGAAAAAGTCGTAATCAGAATTCCTCTTGTGAGCATTATCTATATAATTGCAAACAACAAATGTCATTAGTCACAATAAACTCTCTAATTTGTTGTTATAAGAATAGAATATGTATATTTAAAAAACAAACAATCAAATAAAAAAGGTTTAGGTCGGTGGTCGGTGGACATTGTATGGCGTCGGGAACTAGACGTTCCATCCACGCAATAGCGATTACTTTATTTTACCGTAATACCCTTCTTTGTCATCCTTCTATGCGGGGGATCCTAAGGCCGAAACTGTAATTCCGAATCTGTATTTACTCTTCACAACCACGGAAGGTAATTTTGTAAATAATTTCGAATGAGAACAGTGAAAGTGGCTTTGGAGTCTATTGCTTGAGCGGTTGAGCCACACCACGGAATAAGAAAAATCATGTCTTAGAAAAATCAGAAATTCTGAAACAGATTCAGTTTTCTCTAGTTCGATTTTTTTTTGTTAAGCAGTCTTTCCTCTATATATAATTTGTTTAGCCAATACGTACGTCATAAATAGCGTTTTTTACGTGTGAGTATGTCATAGGAGAGCTTGGATTCCTGTCTAAAAAATCCAATAATAAGAAAACTTTAAATATGATACGTACACGTAGGTCCATATTGTACGTAAATATTATGTGACCGACATTGAGGTCATGACAAAACGTAAATCGTATGGTTTTAGTTTGGATATATAAAGCCATTATGTACACCACAAGATCTTACTTTTGCTAGTTCATAACAGTGACCAAAGGTGTCCAATAGCGAAACAATTTCAGTAGAATAATTGTATTTGTTGACAAAAAGTTTTGGATCTTTAAGCAGCCCACAAAACTTTTTAAATCCACAGCAAATTTTGTTGATCATTTTTACATACGTAACTTGAATTTGGATCGGACAAATCTTACATTAAACAATTTATAGATTAATTTGCCACTTGTTACTTGTTTATTGCCGGAAAGAAATGAGGCATGACATTCTTATATACTCCAATGACTCTTTGTCTTTTTTTTATTTTTCTCATTTCTTTCGTTATTTTAATTCTCCTACTTTCAAGGATGTAGACACCCAATCACATCCTATACAATTACGCATTCAGATTAAGAATTTGTGTTATAGATATTTGTACGAATAACTTTGTTTGGGTTGGTGTAGCATCCGACTACTTCTGAAATAAGATAAAACCATTCAATAATTTGTTGGACCAAACTATATGTTACAAGTAGCTCGAATGCAAAACCGTTCGTACATAATAAATTATCAAACTCTATCTTTTAAAAGACCAGACTTGAAAAACGCAGGGTTTAACCGTTTAACTTGTTGCACGAATTGCTAATGTCTTCCTCAGTTCCTCTACACCGTTACCGCACTAATTAATCACCGTTATCGCAATACGGTTAATATCTCGACATCATTTTTCATTTTCTTATTTTGGATGCTAGTGAATAGTCAACATTTGTTTTCATATCATAATTCTTGCTAGAATTAAGCGTATATCTTAAATAATTATGCAGTGCGGGTTAGCTGTGAACTGGTTGGCACATGAACGTGCCAATTACCCAATTACCCAAAATTCAAACTTTATTTATCTGTTGGGAGGAAATACAATGGAAGCAAACCCTTGAATCAATAAAGGGACCACAGTCATAATTTACGTACCTTATCGATCTTCACAATTTTGTATTATAGCATGATAAGTTTTCTATATATGTGGATCCATAAATTTAGAGTGATTGATTTAGAAAGTCTAGAGGACACTTGTGCCTTCGTCCAGTTTTATTCGTTTCATGAAAGCTATATCCCACACAAACTTACACACACTCACACACATTTTAACCTAATCCAGATCAAAATATCTGAAAAAATCTTCGGCTTTATTGCCAGTCTTTGTATCTAAGATATAATGTTGACAATACATCATAAATTCATACATGTGATGATTCTATAGAAAAGTATTTAATTTGTTTTTTTTTCAGTTTTCATTATTCAAAACTAGCCGGGGTTTAATTTTATTTTCGAAAAGTAAAATTGTTGTGGCAGATTTGTTTAGCATGCGGAAACTAACAACAATAGATTTGTCACGATTTACTCGTTGCACGTCATGAGTAAAAATGATAATTCGTTTTGTAGAAACGTGATGTTGTGAACCAAAAGCTTGCAAGTATTCCAGCCAAGGCAAAATGTATTTCAATTTTTATTAGTTTATAGTATATATTTAGATGCGTCGGTCGCAAATTATGAAAAGGAAAGGTTACGATTTCCATACGCTGGCTGCTCCTAGTGAGTGTCTCCACAAATGCCATTATAACTTTTACTATCTTATAGTTATGCTTTCTACTATTAGAGAGTTAGTGTTCATGATAATATTCTAATAAAAATATAGAAGAAAAAGGAAAGTCGATCTTTCATTTTTCACGCAGAACGTTCGTTTTTGGTCGATGAAAAACCTACGTATACTCTATTTATGTATAGTCGATCGTATGTGAAAATGTAAGTGACTTTCTAGTTTCTATCAGTAACAAAATTAAACATGACAAATTGCAAAACAAAAATATAGAAAAATAGTTAACGATAGATCGATGCCCGGGGTTTCATTTATGATTTATAACTAGTTTTATCATCCTAATTACTTAATTGATTACTGGGGGAAACAAAGCACAGCAAAAGTTTTGACTTTATTAAAGCCGAAAAGAGGCAAATATGATGTGATGTGCAGGGTAAAAACGTCATAAAACTGTAGAAAGCAATGCACCTGAAGGTCAAAGTGCACATGTTAAAATGAATATGTACTCGTGAGTTGCTAGAGGTAGAGGGAGGTGTGGGATTGTTTTTATTTTTAATTTTTTTTAAAACAATTATTGGAGCTGCAATGGTCAATATCGTAGGTAAAGTACATTTATATTGTCCAAAAATCTGGCTATTCGGCGTTTTACTACTTAACTTATTACATGCGACAACTGCATTATTGAAATTAAATTATTGACTTGTTGTACACCGGCATCGTATTACTATAATAAGATATAAATATAATAAAACTCAATACCATTTCTAACTTCAAATTTTAAACAAGTTTATCTTTTTGCATGTCCCTTTGGAAACATATGATAAAATAAGATTATCTTTCTCATTTGGTCCGGTTTCTAAAGTCATGTTTCTTATTTGGCCCAATAAAATCTCGATAACATTTGAATGTAAATGGGCTTCAACCATATATTACATATACATATGCGTAGTGTATATACATACAGATATACACTTTGGTGTCACAGAGTTATCATGTTCTGATGCTTCGTGTGCAAGTGAAAACGAATTGATATCATTATCAATCTTAAAATCTTCCCCACCAAACCGGTTTATCAAACCGATATCAATCTCAATACCAACAACATCCTCCAAACCGTGTCATTATTCTATGTCTATGACATGGCGAGGGTAATGTCGTTATCATGGGCCTTACCTACTGGCCCACTAAAGACACCCTAATCAATCATTTGGTTAGTTTCTTTTCCCAAATTCGTGTATATCCCTCGATAATCACTTTTAAAAATCATTAATTAAAACAACACTATTATGTATTTTTGAAAAAAAAACAAAACACCATACGCATTAGGTGGCATTTAATAAAATGTTTAGCAACCCGAAACTCCCACAAAATTATTACCATAAACAAAAACCGACTTCAATAGACATAAACATACATGGACAAAGAAAGTAAAAAACAGACCCTAATTTTACTCAATTTGGAGACTAAACGAAGATTTGACGACCCAATAAAGAACCGCCACGTGTACATCGTTGTCGTTTTCGTCTGCTTTCTTTGTGCTTCGATGGCGTTGCATCGAAGCGTCGTCAGAGATGGTATGGTGAGGGAACAAGAGAGGAAAGCGATAATCGAACTGATTAAGGTCGTGAAATCCAAGTAATCTCTGTTGCTTAATCAGATCCTTTTTGTTCAGCTGATAAGGAGAGGGACGAAGTTGAAAAAACAGGAAGAAGAAGAAAGAGGTCAACGAAGTTGGAGATGAAGCTCTCTGCTTTACATCAGAGCTACTTAAATCGCCGGAACAACAGCTTCAGATCTCCGTCGTCGCTCGAGTCTTCCGTCGACGGCTCCGGGAAGTCTCTAGTCGCCGTGTTTTGGCTCGTTCTGCACTGTCTCTGCTGCTTGATTAGTCTAGTCCTCGGATTCCGATTCTCGCGATTGGTCTTCTTCTTCCTCTTCTCCACTTCCTCCACCAATCTCTACTCCGCTCCGTTCCGCCCAGACTTACCTCTGAAGCACCTCGATGTCCGCGCAATCGGCCGCAATCTAGATCCCTCTCCGGTAATCGGAGGCAACGCGACTGTATCGACGAGGAGCTCGAGGGTCGTCGTCGGGAGACACGGGATCCGGATCCGGCCGTGGCCGCACCCGAATCCGGCGGAGGTGATGAGAGCGCATCGGATAATCGAGAGGGTGCAGAAGGAGCAGAAGACGGTCTTCGGGACGAAGAGCAGCAAGACGGTCATCGCCGTGACTCCGACTTACGTCAGGACTTTTCAGGCGCTGCATTTGACCGGCGTGATGCATTCGCTGATGCTTGCTCCTTACGATCTGGTTTGGATCGTGGTTGAAGCTGGTGGCGCCACTAACGAGACGAGCTCCATCATCGCCAAATCAGGTCTCAGGACGATTCACGTTGGGGTTAACCAGAGAATGCCTAATACTTGGGAGGATCGTAGCAAATTAGAAGTCTTTATGAGACTTGAAGCTTTGAGGTTAGTCAAATTGCTTTGATCTGTGTTTGTTTGCTTAGTTGATCTGAAAGTGATGATCTTTGGCATACAGAGTGGTGAGGGAGGAGAAGCTTGAAGGGGTTGTGATGTTTGCGGATGATAGTAACATGCATAGTATGGAGTTGTTTGATGAGATTCAGAATGTGAAGTGGTTTGGTTCTGTTTCCGTTGGGATATTGGCGCATTCTGGAAACGCAGAGGAGATGGTTATGTCAATGGAGAGGAGAGAAGAGAAGGAGGAGGAGGAGATGGAGAGGTCTTCGTTACCGGTGCAAGGACCTGCTTGTAATGCAACGGATGAGTTGGTTGGTTGGCATGTTTTCAATACGTTGCCGTATGCGGGGAAGAGTGCGGTTTACATAGACGATGTTGCTGCGGTTTTGCCTCAGAAGCTGGAGTGGTCTGGGTTTGTGTTGAATGCGAGGTTGCTTTGGGAGGAAGGTGAGAGTAAACCGGAGTGGGTTAAGGACTTTGGGTTGTTGTTGATGAATGAGAACCGTGAAGGTGTTGTGGAGAGTCCTTTGTCTCTGTTGAGTGATGTTTCTATGGTTGAGCCTTTAGGAAGCTGTGGAAGACAGGTTTTGCTGTGGTGGCTTCGTGTTGAAGCTCGCGCTGATAGCAAATTCCCTCCCGGGTATGATGCCTTCTTGCTTACTTGCTTACGGACTAGTTCTTGAATCTGTTTGAGAGTTAGATCTTTTTGGTGTCATGTTGTTTGAATGGTTTTTGTGAGTGCAGATGGATAATGGATCCTCCGTTAGAGATCACAGTGGGGGCTAAACGAACACCATGGCCAGATGTTCCTCCTGAGCCGCCTACTAAAAATAAAGACCAGATGCAGCAATTGTCTAAAGGCAAAACTGGTGTGGTGATACCGAAGCAGCAGCAGCAGCAGCAGCAACAATCCGGAAAAGTCAGAAAACCGAAACGCAGAAGTAAGAGGAATAAGCACGAGCCTAAACCGACCGATACAACGACGCAAGTTTCATTTTCATCGTCTAAGCATCAAGAAAGAAACTGAGAGAAGAAGACGAAGAAGCAGCTTCAGAGATGAAGAAGATTTGTTACCAAAGTCTTAGAGAAATCTCAGATTCTCAGAGATCATCTTCTCCTCGAGATACCGCAAATATTACAGACTAACAGAGAGGAGAAAAAGAAGCGGGAAAGTTAGATTATTGATCCCAAAGAAGGTATACGGATTTTTCGGGGGAATGATGATCATTCGTTTTTTCAGTATCGTTTCTTTTTGGGGTCTTATAAAACTTATCTTTTTTAGTAACAAAGATTGTTTGTTTCAATGTTCTTGAGGTGACCAAAAAAAAAATGTAGAAACAAAATTTGGGTTGTATAGTTTTTGTAAGCATTTTTTTTTTCAATTCATTTCTGTTTTCTCACCAATGACCCAAAAGTTCAATTTTTTTCTTATACAAATCCAGTTCTTTAGAAGCCAAACGTATATGTAATTATGTTGATTCGTCATATGGAAAGAACAAAAAAAAAAAAACACACTACTTGATTTGGGGACTGTAAGCACACAGCAATATGACACCACAATTTCCATTTCAGCTGCTTCTTTCTTTCAACCGAAATATCATCACACCAAACAAAGCAAGTCGGTTAAGTTCAAACTAGGAGATTATTAGTTAATGAGTTTTGAGTCTTTCGACTAATACCATATTTTAGTTGGGAGCGTGTAAACCTAATCATACCATCCATTTGCGCTAGGCCGCCCGAGTTTTATCATAGTTGATGTTTGACAATATATCCTGAATTTGGATAACGTGACTCATGTTGAATTGACTTGTTCACTCTTCTTTTGTGTTTTATGAGACGTTCTTAAGTCTCATTTAGTCTGGATGACTCTGGTCCTAACTGGTAACAACATATTTGTGGAATGTTGAGGAATTCCACTGAAAAAAATTAATCTGTTACCAGTTACATAATTTGCAGAATTGTGGAATGGTCACAAGAAGACAAAACTCACAGATTTTATTCTTTTTCTTTTACATGAGTAATTATAAATTTTATTAATGAATTGATCAAAGAAAAATATAATAATTCTAAAATGTATATTTTTCTTTGATGTTTAATAGATTATTATGAATCTAAATTATTATTGTTATATATATTTTAAACAATTTATTTTCTTCAAATATTATTAAGAAAATTTTAGAAATATTTTCTTGGGGTGTCCAATTTAAAAACTACATCTCTATGATGTTAATTTCTAAAAATAAATTTAAAAATTTAACATATATGTTCGGGTTAACTAATCGTAGATTAAAGTTTAGATTTTGTGGTTTATGGTTTATATTTAGAGAGAGTAGTGTTTATTTTAGAGAGTAAAACCTTTGCCTAGTATGTAGTCATGAATTGTGTTTAATTTGTTTTGTTCACTACTACCGAGTATGTAGTAGTATTTGCCTTCTTTTTGAGGTATTGTATGTACAAGTGTTTTGCTAATGAGTGAAACTTTTATATCATTTTGGTTAAAGAGTAAAACCTTTATACCTTTTTGTCTGCATATTTTGTACAGAAGAAATGGTTGGTAAACTATGGATTGGTATTTCTACACAGAAAGAAATGGTCTACATACTCGGTTAAAACATTCAATATAAAAAATATGTAGACAAAAAGGTATAAAGGTTTTACTCTTTAACCAAAATGGTAGTATAAAAGAAAACATTATATTATTGTAGAGAATATAGTGTTTACAATAATAATTCTCTTTTATTATTGTAGAGAATATAGTGTTTTGTTCACTATATTCACCAAAAGAAAACATTCAATATAAAAAAAAATGGCTGTAGATAACTACATTCACTAAATAATCCTTCATATATTTCAACTTCAAAGAATACTATTATGCTAACTTCCATGTGAACTCAACAAATTTCAGGACATAAATTAATATGAGACAAGACTTAGAAGTACCTATGTAACAAAATATTTAGTTTTAAAATTATGAAAATTTGGTGTGTTCATATAAGAAAATATATTAAAATCAAAATTGTCTCGTGCGTATGCACCGGGAGGTCATATTAGTCTTTCTTTATAAACCACATCCTATTCTGCAATAGTTTCTTCTTCTTCCCGATTCTTTTTTCTCTGCGATTGATTTTCTCTGCGATTTTCACCATGAAATTAGATTTCGCGAAACTTGCGAAACTTGCTAAAATGGCGGGAAGAATCGAAGACATCGTCGACATTGTACAAGATTCTTCACCAGAGAGCTTTACAGCGGCGGAGGAGAGGGAGCTACTCAAGTTGGCATACACCACGGCGGTTCAAATCCGCCGGGATTCGATCGAGAATCTGCTCCGATCCACCTTCAACGTCTATCACGGCCGTGAATTCTTCAATAGGTACATTGCCAAAATCAAGTCCGAGATAATTAAGATCTGCGAAGAGGTCTTACGGAAGATTGCAAGTATTCCGACTACTGATGATGAATCGAAGGATTTTTATGCAAACATGGAAGTGGAGTTTCAGGGTTATCTGCTAGAGTATCAAGACGGAGAAGTAAGTTCTCGTTTCTTCGAAGTTGTCAATGAAGAAGACGAAGAAGCACCCAAGGTAATCTGATGATTTAATTTCTCTTGATAAATCTAGTCCGTTTCCTTGGAAAATGAAACTAATCACATCTTTTTTAGGGTTTATTCGAATATGTCACTGAAGAAGACGAAGAATCAACGAAGATTGAGTCGCAGAACAAGGTAATCTGATGATTTAATTTCTCTTGCTAAATCTAGTCCGTTTCTTGGAAGATGAAACTAATCACATCTTTCTCTAGGGTGTGTTGGCTAATCTCTCTCCAGTTATACTCCAAGATACCACTGAGAGGATGACTCGAGCTCTACACTTGGAGGAGCTGCTAGCAAATCTGCCTGGACAAATGGTGGTGGAAACTGTGGATAGAACAACGTTTCTCTTCAGCGTCCTACAATACGACTTTTGCCTGACACTACCCGAAACCTATCCAACGAATGATGCCAGAATCAAATGCCTATCAGGAGTTGACGTTTGTTCGGAGGAGCCTGTGGTGGATGAAGAAGGATACGTGATCCTTGATGAGGGACTGACTATTCTGTCTGCTGTTAGAGAAGTGTTCATGATTTTCTGTTCTCTGGATTCGTCTTCAGATGATTCTGAGAAGAATCGAGACCTGTATAACTGATTCAGTCAGGTATGAAGAACTGGATTAAGATGCTTAAATCTGTCTAGAATTGTTTGTTTGATTGGATGTGAGAAGAACTGGATTAATTGTTAGTTGTCTTTCCGCTCGACATTGTAGTGCAATGGCAGAGCTCAATTAGTCTAGTGTTTCGAAGTTGTAGGCTAACAACAGATTAGGTGAAGCCAAAGACGTGTGTTTCCTGAAAAAAAACTGTTCTTGAAACAAATAGGGTATAGATACATGGCGTATTTTATGGAATCAAATGTTTCTACACCTTGGTTCCTGTCTTTCTGACTTTACTATCGGCACTGAAATGCTTATTGTTTCACTTCTTTGTCCTTCATCTCTGCAGCAATCCTGTGAGTGACTGATCATTCATAGAATATCAGTTTGAGCCTTAGAATATCAATTTTTTTCCTTCTGATGTGTTCATCGTTACAGATAATCTTGTCACCTGCTTATGTTGTTGTCTTTCCGCTTGACATTGTAATGAAATGGCAGCTCAATTGGTCTAGTTTTTCGATGTTGTAGGCTAACAAAAGATTAGATGAAGCCAAATATGTATTGCTTGCTTGTTAATGACTACGTTTGTGTCAATTTGCAGGTTAGTGTGTGTGTCTTTGACTTGAAACAGCACCAATCTCAGCAGCTAGGACAACAATACTCATCTGCCTAACCAAGTAAAAGGAAAAAACAACAGCAACAGTACAGTCTTCTACAATAAAGTTGCTCAGAGCAACAGTATAGTCTTCTTCTTACGCTGTTATACTATGATATGCGCTTTTTGTTGTGACACCATGAGCTCTATATGAGTCTCACATTGAAACTGATGAACACAGAAGCGTATCAGTTCAATGTGTCGCTTATCTTTTTTTTTTTTTGGTCAACAGTGTACAATGCTGATGAACACAGAAGAAACTCAAACAACTTATTAGTAGGCAAATTAACAACAATATTCATAAATAGTTAAAAACAGGTTGTTGACAAAAAAAAAAAAAGTTAAAAACAAGTATGAGTCGAGTTCAATATATCATATTACAACAACATAGGCGAGTTCATAGAGTAACAGAAGCAGTATACATAACCTTGTAGTGATCTACGAAAGGATCAAGGGTCATGACAGCATTAGACCACTCGACACTGCCCCAAATCTCGCCTTCTTGGGGTCGTCTCTGCAATGAGATCTCAGCACACCAAATCTCAAGACGATCCCCCTCGACCACGTCCCAGAAGAGCAAAAGGTTCCGACCAGAGTTGGTGAGCCTGGCCCCGGGAAGCAAATCCACCAGCTTTTTGGTTTTACCAAGCCTGATCTTAGCTGAGTCCCACAGAGCCGAACTCTGCTCATCAAGGTGAACGAGTCTGGAACGAGAGAGACTCTTCTTCAGAGACCCCAAACCGTTGACCTCTTTCGAACACATGACCCTCTCTGTATCACGCCGATCCAACTCCTCAGGCTCATACCAAAGTAGAGCCCCTTTTGCACTAATACAGTAGAGCACATTATCAACCATACACCAATGCCTCGCCCCTATCCTTTCACCACGATTGCCTCTTCCCCATTTCCCTTCCCTCGGCGAGTAGTAAAAGACAGACTCTTTCCCGTCCACCGCGTACACCTTATCATCCCTCACCACACTGTCGTGGATATACACAGCGTCTTCCTCCCGGGGCAAACACTCCCAAGTTTGAGTCTTTGGGTCGAAAACCTCTCCCCATTTCGAGTGACAAAAGAAGAGAAAGCCTCCCAGAACGTAGATCTTACCGTCCACGACTCCCGCAGCCGCGTTAGCTCGAGGCAGTTTCATGGGAGGGAGGCTGCGCCACGTGTGAGTCCTGCAATCCAAAACCCAGACATCGGAAGTGGACTTCCCATTCCTCAGACCGCCGATTACATAGATCCCCCAATCAAGCACCACCACGGAGGATGCTTCCAGAGTCCCGCAGGGGGGTGGCGAAGGGATCGGGCTCAGAAGCCGCCGATTCACAGACTTACCGCGGCTGAGGATGAACCAGCGTGGGATTGGGGTGAGCAAGCATACGTATTGGCAATTCTCGGCGCAACCCAATAGCGATCTCATCCTGTACAGCTCAGGCGAAGCCACCAGAGAGCGATGACGCTTGGAGACCAGAGACAAGGACGCATGGTCCGATCTCGACATCCGAGCCACGCAGCTCAGAACCATGTCGTCTGGCAGCATCGACGACATCGGTGAATCTGAATTCGACATCTTCCTCTTTTTATACGGTGGAACTTCTTCGCCGGCCGCTGAATTCGACAACATCAGAGGTTGCTTTTTTTTTTTTTTTATCTTTCGGTGGTTTGTGAGAGACGAGGACACGAAGAGATCTCGATCTCAATTACCATATCCATTTTTTTTATAGTTTCAGTTTTTTTTAATTCAAAAGAGAAAAGGAATTTTCATCCTTTTCTCAAAAGGAAATGTAAAAAATAAGTAAAATCTTTCAACTCTCTATCTAGAATTCTACGGAGCGTTTCGCGGGTGATTTGTTGAAACTTGCCACTTTTGCTTTTATGGAATTTTATTTACTGTAACTTAACATTTCCCATAATTCCATTTATGATTGCGAGTCTGTGACTTTGAAAATAATAAACTAACATTCTTCTTTTGCTTTTTCGGATTTTCGACTTGATTCGGGTTGTGTTAGTGTCAACTTCCGTTTTGCTTTGGTGAGGTTTTCTCTAGTCCTTTCTGATTAGCTCGATTTATTTTCATTAGAGTTCATGACCAAACCAATCGAATTTAGAAGGAATTCGTGGATTTAATGAAATTTTCACCCTTTGAGCATTACTGTTTAACTTTATGGAGTTGGGCAATATAATAAATAATCCTTGGGTTGACAGAAAATAAGAGTAAATAGAAGAAAAAGGTACATGGCCCAGCCCAATTGTTTTTACAAACTCCCACGCTAATGGGCTTAACTTCTGTTACAGAAGGGGAGTGTGTCTTTTTCATCGTTTCTTCTCAAAACAGATCAAATTATTTGGTCATTGATTGCGTCACATCAATTTAGCCGCCAAGTTTGTTTTTAAAGAAAAGAAAAACTGTTGAACGAATAAGTAAGTTCACGTAGAGCTACAGTGACGTTATTTAGTTTTGTATTTTGTAAAAGATAAAATCTTTGAGATGAAGACATTGAAAAAGATACCTTGGTGAGAACGTAAAAACAAAAACAGAATCAATTCCTTTTTTTTTGTAGAAATAATAAGAGAATAAAAGAAAGGGAGACAAAGACTGCAAACAGATTCATAACTGAAATAATGGAGGCGAAAGCGGTTTTGTCAGAAGATCACATGTCTTCTTCATTATTTCTGGTCGTTTGGCTTGAATCGTAGCAATGGGTGCGTGTTCTTTTGAGACCATTTTGTTATTATTTATCAGTCGGTTTCTTCGGACTTGGGTTTTTTTACTTCTACCCATATCAAAATAAACCAAACGCAGCCAATTCAAGCAAAAAAATGTTAAGCCCCGCATGTGAAAATATTATGTTTATTGAATTTCCTTAGTTTTCACAGAAAAAAAAAAAAAAAAAAAAAAAAAAAAAAAAAAAAAACTGTTCTCTTTGCGTAGCATCTTACGTCTAACAGAATTGGTCAGTCTATTTCTTACGCAAGTTTCAAAACAAGTCGGTGAGACTTCCATGCTTCATAAGTAGCTTCCCATACAAAATGATATCCATCCAATTGAACAGAATTATTAAACAGAAACGGTCACCTTTAGTTGTCACATGTCAGAAACACGAGCGATACACTTTGTTTCTTAAACCTTATCAAAAGCCAACTCCGTTTGAAACTTGGTTAAAGACATCTCTTTGCCTCCCATTTCCTCCAATCACACCTTTTTCTTCTGTTTTTTGTGTAGCTAAAATATACTTGCAATATGCATATATGAAAAAGAGGGATAAGATCTAACGGTCGTGATGGGGCGCCGCCTCGTGACAAGAGAATCTGCCGTGAAATGGGAACATCACATCCACCCATATTCTAGATTCCCTTCCCTTTCTTTTTCCTTCTACGATGAATCTTCTGTATTTACTTTCTTATTCTTTATAATAGACCTCTGCATCTTTATATATATTATTGTGAAATAGAGACCCAACTTGGAAGCCACGAGAAAAAATAAAAAAATCACATGACTAGCAAAATTCAGACGTCAAAGACTAGAGAGAGATAAACTATACATCTAAATCATTTTATAGTAAATTTGTATACATCTAAATCATTTTAGCTTCTATCAAATATACATGATTATTTTAAAATTTTGTTATTTTACAAAGGAAAAAAGAACATTATGAAAAAGTTTAGTTAAAAAAAGTGCAAGTTCGTTCCTCAAGTGACATCATTCTGTTTCGAAGTAAATTTAATGGTATTAAATGTTCACATGTGTCCGGATGGACCGGAACTGAAAAAGCTCACTATTTGTGACTCTGATATGGTCGGTAGCCAATAACTGGTGCGGTGAGAAGCCAATAGTTTTCTCCTTTTTGGTGTTTTACTTCCATTCCAAGGGTAGAAAAGAAAAGTAAACTATTTGAATTACAGGCGAATAGTTTGACCTCATAGATCTCTGAAGTTCAAATTTTGGTAAAATACATATGTCGCAAGGGGATGGAGAATTGTGTTCCCAAAATATGTTACTTGGTCGGCTGTATCACAACTTTTCTGCTTGGTAATATGCTTCATTATATTATTATAATTTAGTTTGTATTCCTTAATCCATATAAACAGAAAGGTTGGTACTTGGTATAAGTTTAAGTTTCTATACAATTTTGTTTTTCCTACGTTTCTTTATGTTTTGCCACTAATCCGCTTCTCAATTTGTTTTTCGGTTATACGCGAGTTTGAACAAAAACCGTGAACTCGATAAAGGAACTAAAACTCGTTATAACATACAGAAGAAGATTTTCTTTTATACAGAGTCTTTGACTAAAAAACGCATCTTTCTTTCATCCCAATTTCAGTTAGCTTCAATAAACCAAAGACCTTCGATTGTAGCTCGAGAGACAGAGAGCAACTTTCAAGAGTTTTTGACGGTGAGATCAAGAAGCAAAGTTTTTTCCGAGTAAAACTAGCGTAGAAAGGAAAATTAGTATAAAAGTATATGACTAAAGTTATAATTGTCCATTAACAGTCACTAATAATCCAACTTAACTAAGACTTGGTTCTTTTTCCGGGGACACGCACAAGTAGAAGAAAATGGCATTTGTTCTTTGGTAAACAAGAAAAATATATGAAAGTATTGATCCATTAAACGTAAGAGTACTACGATATTGTATTTGAAAAAACAATTCACACTTTGCAAATAGGTTTATTTCTTTTCATCTTGAAATACCATCATATTAAAAAAAATATTTATAAAATAATAAAAATGTACATAAATATCTACCGGCCTTCTTACTACACACATAACGTCCTTAAATGAAAGTTTTGGAGATATTATAAATTAGGAGGGAAAAAAACAGAATTCCTTACATATTTGATATTTCAGATTAAAAAAACCCATTCAAATCGTCCACCATCTTGCATGCCCATTATTACATCTTTATATTATTAATTGAGAAGTACATTCTAATGTTTGGATACAAGAATTAGAGAAACATCTATTTGGATAGAAGAATAAATGGAAACAAAAGTTGTTTGGATATAAGAATAAGAGAAAAATCTATTTGGATAGAAGAATAAATGGAAAAAATTGTTTGGATACAAGAATAATAACTTAAAATAAACCGATGGTTTAGAAAACTTCCGTTTTCCATCTCTTAAAAATCTGCAAAAAAAAAACTTAACATAATCTAACGATAATTCCAAATCAATAGAATATGCTTTTTGGATTTTCGGGTTTTTATAGACAAGTTCGGGTTTGGGTGAAAATCTGAGACATAATTTTATAGAGATATATATAGAGATATAGAAATTGTTCGGGTTTCTTTGAAAATTTCTGTTCGGGTTAGGTTCAATTTTTTTTTTCAGTTTAGGGTTTTCCGGATTTTTTAGATTTCTGGTTTTCGGGTTTAGATATATTAAAAAAATTGAGTATTTTAAAATTTTGATTAGGTATTGGGGTCGGGTTCCGGGTGAAAAAGTTTCCAGATTTTTTTTGTTCAGTCAGGGTTTTCGGGATTTTTTTGATTTCGGATTTTCATGTTTAGACCTATTAAAAAAGTTTGGGTTTTTAAATTTTTTGATTAGGGTTTTTTGTCGGGTTCGGATTTAGGGTTTAAATTTTCTACACAAAACAACAACGTCACACCGCACAAACGTGCGGGTACTCTACTAGTTTTATTATAATAGAAAAGTATACCAACTTGAAATATTAAAATCCCAAAAGTTTGGTTATAAATAGGAACATAGTTTTCTCATCCCTCCAAAAAAATCAAGCCATTCCAACTATCAAAACAAGAAAACCAAACAACAAACAAAATGGCTTCCTCATCAACAATCCTCTCACTACTTCTCTTATACGTCATCGTTTCACTAGCCTCCGGTGATGAGTCCATCATCAACAACCATCTCCAGCTTCCATCTGACGCCTGGTGGAGAACCGATGAAGAAGTGAGGTCCATCTACTTACAATGGTCCGCCGAGCACGGGAAAACTAACAACAACATCAACAACGGTATCATTAACCAAGAAGACAAAAGATTCAATATTTTCAAAGACAACCTCAAATTCATCGATCTACACAACGACAACAACAAGAACGCTACTTACAAGCTTGGTCTCACCAAATTCGCTGATCTCACTAACGATGAGTACAGGAGTTTATACCTCGGAGCAAAAACCGAGCCCATCCGTCGCATCGCTAAGGCCAAGAACGTTAACCAGAAATACTCGGCCACCGTAAAGGGCGAGGAGTTGCCGGAGACAGTTGATTGGAGACAGAAAGGAGCCGTTAATCCCATTAAAGACCAAGGGAGTTGCGGTAATAACTTATTATGCTCTCTTAATCTCTTTTCTTTACACTAAAGATGTTATTGTTTCATCTAAAAGTAAACACACTTAACACGTAAAAACATGAAGTTGTGTATTGAGCCTTATAGATGTTATGTTTGTGTATTGATGCACACAGGAAGTTGTTGGGCGTTTTCGACAGCTGCAGCAGTAGAAGGTATAAACAAGATCGTAACAGGAGAACTCTTATCTCTGTCCGAACAAGAACTTGTCGACTGCGACAAATCCTACAACCAAGGTTGTAACGGCGGTTTAATGGACTACGCTTTTCAATTCATCATGAAAAACGGCGGCTTAAACACCGAGATTGATTATCCTTACCGTGGATCCGACGGCCAATGCAATTCTAACCTTGTAAGGGAAACAAAACAAAAAACAGAGTAAACAGAGCCACTCTGTTTTTTCACTTTTTTTAACATTTCAAGGAACTGCAAAACTGATAAAGACTGATTCTTTGTGTTTTCAGAAGAACTCGAAAGTCGTGAGTATTGATGGGTACGAAGATGTGCCTACAGAAAACGAGACGGCGTTGAAGAAAGCAGTTTCATACCAGCCTGTGAGTGTCGCTATTGAAGCTGGTGGAAGAGTTTTCCAGCATTACCAATCGGTAAGCGAACCGAATTTAAAACCGGGTGATTGATTTGTATCAATTTAGGTAATAAACCGGTAAATTCTGGATTTTTAATAACCGGTTTGGTTTTTGTTTGGCAGGGAATCTTCAACGGAAAGTGTGGTACGAACATGGATCACGCGGTGGTGGCCGTCGGGTACGGGTCAGAGAACGGCGTTGACTATTGGATTGTAAGGAACTCGTGGGGTCCACGTTGGGGCGAGGATGGTTACATTAGGATGGAGAGAAACTTGGCTCACTCGAAATCCGGTAAGTGTGGGATTGCGATCGAAGCCTCGTACCCGGTCAAGCACAGTCCAAACCCGGTTCGTGGAACCAGCAGTGTTTGAAGTTAAAATTTAAGGAAAGAAAAAAACAGTAAAAACTATTGGGATTTTCAAAAATTGAACTATCTCGTTTTATTGTTTGTTTGTAAAGTATCTAAAAGGATTTGATTCACCATAAGGATGATTTAATCTATATAAATCCTTATGTCGGTCAATTTTTTTTCATTTTTAAAAAATTGCTTCGATTGTAATGTATTGAAAAAAATATAATAAAAATGATATATTTCTTAAGAGCATTTGGCTTTGCTAATTTGTTTTCTCTTTCCTCAGTAATTTCACTAGTGTCACCAGGATTTGTCTTGTCAACAAGTCATTCACTCCTATAGCTTTTGCATTTTTCAAAACCTCGGATGCTAACGCCAAATCGGTTGACAAAGCATGAATGATTTAATAATTATTAATAGATGATCGGAGTGGAAAAATAAGTAAAATTTGGGTCTTGATTCTCTTTGGAAGAAAATATAAGTTGTACCAGTTTGGAGATTCGAAATCCAAGTACATTTTTTGTGTGGTATGAACTATGAAAGATCTTTACGTTGTAGTTTTGATTTTTTCGATTAATATTCTTTTTCAATAGTAAAAACATTAAAATTGGCTAACATAGCACCTCTAAAATTGGCTAATTCATAAACTTTTCTAATTATTAGTTAATTATATTTACAAAACAGTGTATTAAATAAGAGTTATGTCATCAGCATCGCAACGTGATGCCACCCCGCAATCTTTGGCACTATCATTTGTTATTTAGATAATAATACAGTATGTTTTGTTCTGGTTTAATACAAAAGACATGCGGCAGCCAATCAGGAATGTAGTTACGGCACACATTTACAAATTTATAAACTTATCAGGCTTTTCCAAAATCTATTATTACCAATCCTTTTTTTTTAAGGCTTTTTTATCTGTTACCAGTTACCGGCAAGTAGTAATTGTTCTTTTTTTTTGTCGACATAGCAAGTAGTAATTGTTTTTGATTTAAGTTTAACGTATGCATAATCAATAAGGGAAAATATACAGAAACAAATAATTTAATAGTAATCAACTACTATAAAATGCAACAATGTGAATTGATAATGTTCTAAAAATTTGCAGCATTTTTTATTTCGTTTTTACAACATCAACATGGAGTCTAGTCCATCTAATTTCTCGTTTAAATTAAGTAATCAAGGAGTGTACGGAACAACTACAACGGATTGGATTTGGTTAGCTCAATTTGAGTTTTCCAACCGAACAAAATTGTACTAATCAAAAGAAGATTAAGATAATTGACGGTTATCATATTGTAAGACATTTTCGTGAAAATTCGGCTTTAGCTCATAAAAAAATGTTGACTCATTTTGAAATGCTGGAGAATCATGAAAACGAATGTACCTAATAAACCGTACTAGAAAGACTGCACATATGAGATTTAGCAGAGCATTAAATATATAAAAGAGAATATGCTCATTAATCATACCTCGACCATTTTTGGGTGATCAACCTCCTACTTTAATTTCTGAAGTGATTGTATTTCTTCCATGACCACAATTTGCTGGTCATAGTTTAAGAGTATCGTTCTTTTGATCGATGTAAGAATAAAACAGGTTTTGAATCCACTTATGTTCATCTTCGCGCTTGTAGCAAATGCAACACATTTAATTGGTAGTATTATTGTCGGAACAAAGTCAATGGGAAAACATCAAACCAAATCTTCCTTGGTTGCTTGACGCTATTGTCTGCGTTGCATTCGCTTCTATTTGTATCCATTCTAACCATTTTCATAACCCAAAATGGAATCTTTTATTGTTTTATCACATTCTCATTAAGTTTTGTTTTGCTACCTTAATTCCAGAAATCAAAATAGATCATATTGTATGTTAAACCGATAAATCCAAACTTTGGCGGTGAATAGTCAAAGCTTTTTGAACATTGATAAACTGATTATTCATTGCCAATGTGTAATACAATACAATGTGTTCAGTCAAAACCAGTACAACAAGTAAGTTAAAACAAAAAAGGGTAATAAACATCTGCCTCAAGCAAAAGTCTCTCCGATTCCATTTTCTTCTACCTCAAGGAACAAGCTTCACTTATCACTGTTCTCCATTGACGCTGCTGCTTTTTTCCCATAACGCTATTAGAAAAGCAAAACAGAGTGTTGTCAAGTCAGAAACTATTTTACATATGAATAAAGTACGAGGAAGAAAATGCAGCAACAATAACAATAATAATCACCTGTTTCCCGAAAGAGAAGGGGACGTATCTGTATTTAATCATATGCTGAATTTGTTTCCTTATTGTGACGAAGAAAAGCATCACCCAGTAGAAAAGTAGTATTGGCCAGAAAACAGGCACATCAAATACATCGAAGAACGTCATTAGGAATCCAATCACAAATGCCCTCGTGATCGATAACCTTTGTACATCAAAAATCAAACATATCAAAACTCAAATTATACATCTTTATGCAGCCATAATCAAAAAGGAACAGAGTATATAGACACAACAAGTTCTAGTGAAGTGAAATTTTGAAGATTATCACTTTCCGCATTTGGTATCCAAATCTCATTTCAATTTCTTCTTACATAGGATTCACATTGACTAAATCAATTCTAAATTAGCAAACAATTTCCAATAAAAATTTGCAAAATCGAATCTAAGGGAGTTTCGAATTTCAAAAATTCGTTGCCAAATTACATGGACGGATAAAAATTCAAAGGAAAAGAGACGAACCAGAACTTGAATTCGGGAAGACGGCGGACGAAAGGTCGGAATTCGTCGGATCTACGAGTAGGGAGACCCCCGCCACCGAGAGATGTCTCGGGATCTTCCTGAGGAGAGAGGAAAGCAATGAGAAGACTCAAAATGTAGATTCCGATTGCGTATGTGATGATGTAGAAGCCTTCCACGAAGTAGACCCGAACGGCGTAGATCAACACAACGACGAGGCATGAGATCCAACGGTAGAGAACGTGAGGCACCGTTTTATCGAGGAAATGCTGTTGCCGCTGCGACAAGACGTGGGATAGCCGAGCGACGGCGTCAGCTGGAGACGACGACGGTGAGATACCACCGCTCGATTGGAGATCATCAGAGGTTGCAGCGGCGGACGGAACCGTCGATCCGGACTCCATTGCCGCAAAACCTGAGACCTCTCACTACCTCTCTCTCTCTCCGTGATTTCGCCTCTCTCTCTCTCTCTCTGCCTCGCAAACTTCGGCGGAGGAGACGGAGAGGCTGGATCGTGTTTGTAAGCGTTTTTGTTTATTTTTTTTATCAGATCAGATTCGTGTAACATGCGATAGATTCGGTTTACGGCTAATTTGCTTGATTTTCGAAAACCGGATAAATCTAACCGTCTTTCCACTTCGGTTTATATATTAAATGTGTGACAAATGCTGACGAAAAATAAATTGTGTGGTTAATGTTGACTGGTGTTGGGAAACCGAATTTTGTAAAAGAACTTAAATTACACAGAAACAAGTTAGCAACTAACTGTATCAAACTGACATTATTTCAGTAATGTCCGTAATGGAACGATGGAGACTTAACAACAGAGGAATTAGTAGGGAATCTTTCAAGAACAGCCAAAGATTCTTTCATCGTCGGCCGTTTTTGAGGAACCGGAGATGCACAGTTATAGCCTAACTTGAAACAACCGAGTAAAAAGTCTTCTTTGCCTTCTAACTCGCCGCGGATCGCTACGTCAGCCATTCTCAGTACACGGTGTCCGTCCTCTACCGTCAGATCGTTCCCTAGCACAATCTCTTCGACGGACACGATCTTCCCCGTGAGAAGCTCTAGGAGGATCACTCCAAACCCGAAAACGTCCCATTTCGGACTTGGTTTTAAGCTCCGAAACGACTCCGGTGCGCAATAAGGCGATAACGGACCCACGGAGCTTGGACTCGGACTCGGTGTGGGACCGAAGGTCGAGAAGTCCCGTGAAGACATGGTGGAACGCTTGCTGCTGAAGATACGAGACGACCCACCGGCTCGGCTGTAGCTTGTTTCACCGGTTATAAGCCTTTCGAGTCCGAAATCGCCGATTTTGGGCTCCATGTCGTGGCCCAAAAGTATGCTACTGGGCTTTAAGTTTCCGTGCACGTGCTTCTTCTCGTGGAGATAAGCTAGCCCACGTGCGATTCCCTTTGCTATCTTGAGCCGAGTTTCCCACGGTAGATGGTATGGCGATGAAGGCCCACCTTTTCCTGTCCAATACGAATTTCAGTGCACTTTAGCAAACTATGCTAATGCGCGCCTTGAAGTGACAGAGAAGAAACGTTAAAACTTACGGTAACGGGGATTGACGAGGCTGCCGTTAGGGACGAAATCGTAAATGATCAATTTCTCGTCGGTACTGCAATAGAACCCACGGAGTCTGACCAAATTCGGGTGAACCAGTTTCCCAATGGCTCGAATGTTGGATTCGAAATCCTTAAACCGGCGCTGAGTCAAACCGTTCTCACCGAGCCGACGAACCGCGAAAACCGTACCGTCTTCGAGAACGGCTTTGTACATTATACTCGAACCAGTGGCTCCTAGAATATAAGCCGAAGCTTTAAGCAGAGTCTCAATCTCCATCTCCTTCTCTCCGTCAACGATCACTAACGTCCCATTCTTGTTCTCTCCGTTATCTGCATTGTAACTGCTCTCTTCGTCGTCCTCTTCATCTGACGGCGTCGTTTCGGGATCTTTTCGCAGACACGACCATTTCGTGAATCTTCTCGATTCGTCTGGTGATGTAGAGGAAGATGGTGAAAACGTGATCGTGTCTGTTTCGGTTCGTTGCTTGCTGCTGTGGTTGGTGTTATCGACTCTGTTGTTCTTCTTGCATTTGTAGATGTAGAGGAAAATCAATGCGAGGACTCCGATTCCGGCGATATCTCCGATTACGATCCCGGTTATAACCCATGGTCGCAAACCGGGTCGATGATTCGGGTTGGTTTGTTGTGTGTTTGGATCCGTAACCGGGTTCGAACCGATTGTGTTCGGTATGGCGGCGATTGCTGGTGTAGACGTCGGTACGTCGGCGGCGTCGGAGACTGTCGACGGTGAGGAAGGGATGGTACACGGGTTTCGGGTCGGGTATCCGCAAAGACCCGGGTTTCCGGAAAATAAATCCGATTTCTGGTTAAGGAAAACCGGAGAATCGGGGATTGAACCGGTTAGATTGTTGAAGGAGAAATCAACAGTGGCGTTTCTGGGGAAATCGGCGCCGATCTCCTGAGGAATCTCGCCGGAGATTTGGTTAAACGAGACATTAAAGTACCGGAGATTAGCCCCGCCGAAATCCGGTGGTAGTGAACCATTTATAAGATTCGACGAGAGGTCTAGAAACTGAACAGCTCTCCATCCGCCTGGAATCTCGCCGGAGAAGTAGTTATTCTCCAGAGAGACCACCGTCAAGTTTCTCAGTGACACCAAATTAGCCGGTAACTTTCCCGCCAAGGCATTTTCAGAGAGGTTAAGCGTTAAAAGGCTGTGAAGATCGCCGATTGCCGCAGGAACTTCGCCGGAGATCATGTTACTGGAGAGGTCGAGGAATCGGAGCTCTGTTGCGTTGAAAAACGAAACCGGTAATGGCCCATTGAAGGAGTTGTTGGAAAGGTCGAGACTTTGAAGGGTTTTGAGAGAACCCAAGTCAGAAGGAATCGTACCCAGAAGCTGAGAACTGGGGAGAGACAGAGTCACGACTTTAGAGTCGTTATTACAAGAGACTCCTCTCCAAGAACACGGAGTTTGGTGCTTGTAGTTCCATGTCTGTAACAGAGACAGAGGATCAACAAGAACAGAGGACTTAAAACTCATCAAAACCAATCCATCAGAGTTTAAAGCAGAGGAACCCAAAAAAAAGCTGAAGAAAAGAAAGAAACCCACTGAACCAAATTCCATTTTCATGGCTTCATCACTGTTGTGGAAGAGAGAGAGAGATGTTAAAGAGAGTGAGAGAGAGAGAGAGGTGTGAAAAGAGTAAAGAGATAGAGAGAAACAGCTCACGTAAACCAAACACTCCTCTTCCTGCTCCCTAAATGCGCTCTCTCTCTCTCTTTCTCTCTGTCTCTGTCTCTCTCTGCAAAAAATATTGCAGAGTTTCTTTAATACTATAATCAATACGGATATGTTGTTACAGTCTTGTTCATTTATTGTATTAAATTGGTCTTCCTTTTACAACTAATGTTTGTACTTTTTTCTCTCTCTTTCTTTACTGAGCCGAAGAAACGCGTAGGTTCTTTTAGAATTAGTGACCTACAAGACTTCATCTAATCTGCAGTTACAGTTTTGCTTCAACTTGTAATGTTTTTTTATTTTATCGACTTTTTGACTTTATTATTCTTATTAACGCAGCCAGTATAGCTCGAAGAAGTCTAGATCGAATAATATTTGGTTCTTTTATAATTATTATAGAAATAAGGCATGTTCTGTTTTTTTTGTTCTTCGAATATGGTTCTAATGTCTATGCTGCTTTTCTTATTTTGGGGTGTTTAATATTTTGTCTCGGTATGCTTTACAAGTATTTCCTTCTAGTAATGGCTTTCATGTTGCTGCTTGTTAATTTCATTTAACTGCGATTTTTTGTTGTTGCTGTAAATATATACTCCTTGGTTATTTCAACGGTCCGGATGATTCTGGCATTCTGCATTCAATTTTCTGTACGAGTTAATGATTTGTCTTCAAGCTATAGGATTAAATGGAGGGAAAATCGTATACTCCGTATAACTTTAAAAGAAATCCACATCCTTTTAAATGGAGGGAAAACGGTTTAATAGCCATATTATAATAAGACAAATCTTATAATTTATTTACAACTAACAACCAAAAATTGGTAGACACAGACGAAATTAGCTGAAAATTTTATGTTTAGCTCTAAAAATCATATCCGAAAATTCATTTATCCGTGGAAAAATATGCATTTAGCTAGATTTAGATTGGTAAACAAAACTAGTACAATCTAGATCAAGTGATAAGATAATTTGAGTTTATAGCATTCCTAGATGAGTTCGATGATCCCAATGAGTTTTCAGTTTCTGGCTTTCGAGAATGGCCATGCCATTAAAGATCCCGATGAGCTTCCAGTTCTTTGACTTTCAAGCTGAAGCTGATATTTATATTCTTGAACTCTCATTTTTTTTTTTTTTTGGTAATCATGTTAAGATTTCATACCATTTTGAACTCTCATATTTCTTCTTTCTTTGTTGTTTCTTCCTTCGAGTCTGTATATTTTGTCACTTTGCATGTAATTATTTATCGTTCGTGCGACAATGCATAATCGATCGTCTATAGACAAAATGACATTTTCTCAATTTAGAATCTTTCATAGCTAGATAGCGTTTTTGCAGAAGAGATTGGAAAATAAAATATTTTGGTGACAGAAAAAAAATTATCAGTAAAACAAAAGCTCCGGCGTTATTAAGTATAGCATTTTTTATTGTATACGTTTTCAATTATTGGATTTGCGGATGCACAAAAGGTCCTTTTTCTGTGCACACATGGTCTATAACCCATCATTTTAGTCTCTTGTTATTCACTTATCTCTTTCTTTCTAATTATTTTAATATTATAAAAAAACAAATTAAACAGTTTCTTTAGTAAAAGTTTGGAGGTGGCTTTACCCACTTCTTCATAAAATACAATTTATAAGTTGAAAAAGATTCAAAAAAGTTGATGAAACACACTTTAATTATAATGAGTCCAACAGTAAAAGCCACAAACCCCGCCTTGTTAGTTTTATGGTGGGCCATTGATTTCCATGAGATTATTTACCTTTTCCGGATTTTAGAATTGTACATACGAATCTACAATCGTAAACTTGATGACATAAAGAAAAAATCGTAACTATATAACCAACTCAATATAAAAAGATACGGAATATAAACTGTGGTCTCTTTTGTGTTTAGAATTCGAGTATACTTTATATGAATAATAGACATCTAAAAAATACAATAGCAACAATAGTAATGTTAGCTTTGTTGTGAATCATGTGATATTGTGTTTTGTGGATATTGCGTACGTTTATGCTTTTACGTTAAATGGAATAAAAAGAAGGCACAAACGAGGTCAAATCATATGATTTATGATTTAAAGGGTAAAGTCTTATACTTTATTAATTCAATCAATGTTATTTGGTCTTTCAATCTTTTTTTCTTCCTCATTTCTTTCAATCATTTCGATTTTTTCTTAAACCATAAGAAAAAGACCCCCACTTATTTCCTTATCACTCATCTCTCCAACATCCATAACTATTATTAGTCAAGATATATAAAGTATCTATCTTTTTGGCATTACACATATCTATATACTGAGTTATGACAAAACAAAACAAAAAGTATACTATTGACTTTTGACCTTGGAACTAGCTCTTTTATGTGTATATATATGAACCCCAGCCTAAACTTTTTGCCTAATCCATGGATCATGTTCCTCCTCAACGAATTGCTTATCCGAATTTTTCGAGATTTTCTTATGGTCGAAGGCAAAAAACCTAAACTAGTGATTAAAACATGTAAATACTAATTGCTGATAAAAACAAAAAAATTGCTAACAAATTCGTCATTATTTTATAGTACTGAAGATGATTTTGTAGTAAGTCACACTTACTTATATCATTCGTTTGAATCAAATGACGATGATGTTACAAAACACAAAATAACACACGGAAAATATCAAAATGTGGTTGTATACAGCGCCTGTAGAGGCCGAAATCTCAAAATCCTGCAATATATATGGGCCTTGAAAGCCCAATACAGAAGCTAAATCGAGACATCTAAACGAAAGAAAGAAGTGGATGATGAAAGGACGGACACCAAACTGGGCTTGTTGTCTTTTCGATTATTGATTTACATTTTATTTCGAGCACTGTGGACTTCTTTTTTGTCTAGATAATATTTTATTTTATTACAAAATTAGTCATTTATATATGTATACTAGCTTTGGATAATAACGACATCCGACACAGTCAATGTCAGCTTTATTCCCAAATTATCAATAATCTACTTCTCCTGTTTTAAGTGGACGATTTGTTTAGCAGTGGTTGTAATTTGTAAATTTTAGCTTCATAGCTACATTAGATACCTTTTTTTATGTCGATAGCTACATCTGATGTATTTATTATAATTAAGTCCCACACGATGATTTTGAGATTCTTTTTATTTTAACAAAATGATCTTGAGATTCTTTTAAAATTATATTAAAAAGGATCGATTAAATTATTATTATATCTTGTTTGATAATTTTCAACTAATACAAATTTGGAAACCTTGTTTCCCCAATTTATAAGCGTTAGAATTTTATTGGTAGAAGACTCAACCTTAAGTCACTATACGAAGTCTATATCTTTGATGACAGAGTAATTAAGGATGCTTATGCAACAGTTATATGTAAATTGACAATGTTTTGTGAAACTTGAATGATGTAATAAAAACAACAACGATAGTGTATCACAAAGCAATGGATCACCTAACCTTGTTTTATCGAATAAACTATAAAGGGTTCTTTATAAACTACTTCAGCCCGAAGCATTCTTCGTTAAGTCTTTTTAGTAATTTAGAGCCAAAAAGGGCAAACCAAATAAGCTAAAATAAATAAAGGGAGGCGACAGTACAACGACATCATACGGCCAACGATAGTGCGACACGGTTATTATCATTTTAATATACTGTTTGCGTTTAAATCTTAAGCTATTACATCACTACTCCAATAAACATTTACTTTTCTATATTTTTCCGATTCAATAATGCTTAAACTTTTGGTGCTTTACAAAGATACTAGTGCGAGTACGTAGTGTCAAACATTTTCATCCGAGATTCGTTAAACTAAACCCAAGTAACAATAATTATTATAATTTCGAAACCGCTCTTATCTTGGAGTTTGAAACCAGTGGAAGCATTCATTTGACGGTATTATAACAATTTTATTTATAAACTACTCCCTATACACTACAGTTCGATTTCTTCATCGAATCTTTCTACGAGTCAATCAATCATGATGAGTCGTGAACAGAATAATCAAAACCAAAGGTTCGACACGTGTCAGAGGATGACGGAATATTGTGCGCATGTGTTCCACGTGCCTTTTTGCCAACTGAGCAATAATGCAAAACAAACACTGACTTTGGGGGAAAAAATAGTGGCCGGTGTGGATGAATTCGTTTTGTTTTCTTTGACTAAAAAGTAAACTAATTCTGCTGATATTGAACTTATGTGCATATCGTTGGATCACTCGATTCACTATTATTATTTCCTTAGACAATGAAGAGGTAAATTGTGGTGAAAATATAAATTTCTACTGACGAAGTAAAATGGACAAAATGTGGAGTAACCAATACAAATTATACAACTATCAAATTCAGCTTTAACAACAAAAAACCTATGAAATTCAGTATATTTTTCCAAGTAGAGTCTACGCTTTATACTATGTTAATAAGAACTTGCGTCAATTTTCTACAACAATACAATTATAAAAAAAATCTCATCAACAACCATATACATCCGAACAACCACGCAAAAATCTTTGACCTTGCCTAGAAAAGCAATCAGTCTTATTGGATGGACATTCGCACTTATCGAGTATTACTAACGACGTCTTGTTGACCAAACAAGCACAACGTTGTCATTTGACTATTTTTGTTTTATATTTGACTCTTCTTGTGTACACACTGTGGTCAAGTTGTAGTGGTCAAAGTAAAAGTTTATCTACGCAGTAATATAAGCGTATCAAGTATAAGTACAGCAACATGAAAAAGCAAAAATATGATTTGAAAGTAAATATTATATAAATAGTTCATTTACTTTGAAAGTCAAAAACGGTACATC